CGTTGCAGAAAACAAAACGTCCTTGGCGGTTCTCACAAAGTCATTTCGACAACTTTACATTTGCAGCTACACTAACAAAAACTTAAAGTCTTCACAAGGGCTTTAGATCGAGTTAGAATAAAACCATAAACAGACCACTCAGAGTTTGCAATTAAGGTCCTTGATTGATTTGTTCTTTTCTTTCTTGAATCTTGTTGATTATGAGGGATTGTAGTACAAGACACTTCAAACACACCCAAATTCAAAGAGCCACCAAGAATTTTAAGAAAGAATTACTTTTAAAAAATTATTATAATCATAATTCTAGAGATAATGCAAGAGTCTTAGCTGAACCAGAAGACAGAGGTATGAAGTAAGTAAAGTCAAGCTCCTCTTCAATAATGGCGAAAAACTCATAAGTTTTCACTTTTCTCAAATTACGCCATTCATCATTGTATGCTTCACGGCACTTTTCAGATTTTTTACCAAGGTATATTCTTTCCAAACTCACTATACTGGAAGGAAACCAAATAAAAACCAAGTTATCTCATTTTGAATCATCTTTTATACAGCATAAATCTTTCAACGTTAGCAGTTGACAGAAATCAAGCAACAAAAGCAAGGCCAAGATAGCGAGCCTTTTGTGACGGTTTTAACATTAGCACTGACGTGTTCCCATATTTTGTCAAGTCGGACAAGGCCTGTTTTCGTTTCTGCAAGGCTCAAAGATTACCCATATCCGCTTATATGATGCGGACCCTGATATCCTCAAAGCTTGGCTAAAACCAAGATCCGGGTCTCAGTAGATTGTCCCAAAACAGCTTCTTGCTATGATCCTCAATGCCACCGGGCAGCCTCTTGGATTGGTCGCATGTTGTTGCATAACTATCAGAACTCTAATCACTGCAATTGCTGTAGGTGATGAGCTGTTGAACTTTACCCTCGTTCAGCTCGTTGCTTGTGCAAGCTATAGAGGTCAACTTTATAGTGCTTAATAGTTGTGCAATTTGCATACCAATCAGATTTTCAAACTCCACATGCAGCTTTCTATATTCTTAATCCATTTTCCACCTTCTCAGTTCTTTCTTTAAACCAGAGTTGGGGTTCGAGTTATGGTTCTTTGCTTCAATTTTTGTCAAAAACAGGGTCTTTCCATCTGATTGATGAATCTTTATCCTTACTATGTTTTTATGCAAAACAAAGGTGGTGCCTGTCTTGATAATTCTTTGTTAAACCCTTGACCCATCTAAAGAAATGGTTGATCCTAATTATCTTTGCTGCATTACACTAATGTGCTTATGCTTGATTGATGCTGCTTATTTTTCTATGAAGGAATTTTAAATATTACTGAGTGTGCGTAGGTTCTTGTCACTGTAATGGATGGCCTCATAAGGTGATTCAAAGGAGCCTTATGCTGAGCTATCGACAATGCAGACCACTTTATAATTCTAATTGTTGGATTAGAAGCAGTTCTTGAGTAGAGTGGGACTCCGTTTTCACCCATGAGAAATTACTGTTCTAGTGTATATTTATTTATGAGTTGTTAATTGAGGACTTGAGGTTACCTCCTGTGTCAGAAGCAAATGGGGTTGGTTTATGGGAATTCAACACAGTTTTATTGCTCAATGTTTATGGAAGTGGACTTTTTTTGCTAATGATTACGACAAACCCAACATATTGTATTTGCAATGGATGGTGTTGATTCTAAGAACATGCAGGCAGCATATGATTTGGGACATGTGGCCCAGGAGGCTAATTGCAGTGAGATACAGCCAGGGGAGGGTTTGTTATCAGCCTAACCGAATGTAAAGCACCCGCCTGGCTTATGCATTTGATAGCTATTAACCAGATGCAAGGAAGGCTCCTGGCTCTTGTGATTTTCAAGGCGTGTGCCATGATCACACCACTACAAGTAAGCTTGTTTACTTGAATGCAATTTTCTTTTTTTTTTTTTTTTTTTTTTTTTTTTTTTTTTTTTTTTTTTTTTTTTTTTTTTTTTTTTAAATTCCTGGATATTTAATTTTAAAGTATAGATGTTTATCTTTCAGTGGATTTTAATGAAATTGAACATATATTAATTAAGTTCTTGCATCTACAACTATTAGTAAGTTCTTGGAGAAAAAAAAAAGGAAGGATTTTGATAGGACTGTTTTGGATGCAAAATTGGATCTTGTGGGTGCTAGTTATGAATCAATGTTGGTTATAAGCTCAAAAGCAGGACATTGGTGGGAAAGAAAATGTTCTAGTGAAGATACTTCGCATTTTTTTTTTTCACTAAACTTCTGTTAAGTGCCTTGAGGCTCTTAAGCTGTTGATAGATGGCTTGAAAGAGGAAACTTTGAAAGTGAAAAAGGTTCATACTGCCTAATGCCATAGCTCTAAAGGGATATTGGCACCCTTCAATCATAATCTTCAGGGGATACTCATAAGGACAAAGATGACTTCAAGAGGAGATGGTGTGTGTTTCCTACCTGACATAGGCACATGGCTTATTGAGTGATTGGAGTGTTGGAAGGGTATGGAATAAACATTTTATGGTTGATGTAAAAAATTATGATTTCAATTTGGACATTGGTTCAAGTGGAGCCCCCATTGGGATGGGACACTGTTGTCATGTTTCATGCATAAGATTGCCTTAGAAAATGTCATTGTTCCACTACAGAAAGATGCCTTAAGGTTAATTGGAAGTGTTTTTTTATTCTGCTGGTGAAAAGTGCAAAGTCTTCTTTAAAAAATCTGATGCATGATTTTCTCTTGGTAATTTTTGCAGGTCATGGTAGCTGTATATTTCCTGGAAGGTAAGAGAGTATAGCTTGTATTTGGTAGACTGGTAGTTTGAATAATTTATTAAACTTGTTAACTTTTTTTTTTTTTAAATTTTCTTTTCTAGGCTCTTCACTTTCTCTTTTCTCTACATAGTTGTCAAAAGATGGAAAGTGCAAAAGGGGATAACTTAAGTTGAGCAACTTGCATTTTGGTTTTAATGACTAATGGTGGTCTCATTTCTGGTGCAGCAAGAAAATAAGCAATAAAACGAGGACGAGTGCGAACGCAACTGTATCAAGTGGTGCAGCACATAGTTTAAGGTTAATCAGCTTCAAAAGCAGTAGAATAATCACAATTGATAAGGCTTTAAATGCTTTCTTGGCTGTAACTTTCTCTGTTTTGGTATATACATTCCTTTTGTAAGTGGGTGTTGAGGTGCAAAAACAAAGCAATTTTTTCGAGCGTATTTTTATTATTTAAATGTTCAATTAATTGATGATTAAATATTGCTTCCAAAGTTTTGCTTTTTACTCAAAATATTAGGAGTGAGAGATTGAATTTTCGGCTTCACCTATTTTGGAAAATTTTATAATTTTATTTGGAATGACTTATCTACGTGGTGCATGATTACAATGGCCACGTCCAAAAGAGTTTTTTTTTTTATATATAATTAAATTTAATTGAAAACCCAATGGGCTTCGTTATAGTACAGTTTCCCTAAAACCTAAATAAACCCACAAGAAATCAAGCCCATGAATCATCATCATTGCCATTGGCGTTCGACCCCTCGAAACCGGCAACAAGTTTGAAGTTTGAATTCGATGGCAGTCTTATTGTGCAAAGGAACTTTATTTCCGTTCCAATCCATTCTCTGCCAAACCAAAAGAGAACTTAGCAAAACCTTAAATCTTTTTGTCGTTTCAAATCCAATGTCTTGGACCTGCAAGAAATGCACTTTCATCAACTCCCCTTCTCCGAAACCCACCTGCCAAATATGCCTATCGCCAGCTTCTCCTTCTCTTCTTTCTCCTTCCTCTTCTCAACAAGACACCGAAAAGTGGGCGTGCAAGGCTTGCACTTTCTTGAACTCTTACAAGAGCACAAGCTGTGAAATATGTTGTACTAGGCAATCTGTTTCTTCCCTTTCGAGTTTCGATGATTTGAATGATATTGGTGTCGATGATGACTTGGATTCTTCTGTTGGTTCTGTTTTCCTGCCCTTGAGGACTTGTAAGAGAAAGATTAGGGATTCGGATTCTGTTGGGTTGAGTAGCTTTTGTGGAATTCACGCCTCAAATAAGGCAATCGATGTCAAGGGTTTGTAGAGTTTTTATTATTTTCTTCCTTTTTCCCCTTTTATTTATGTGTTGGATAATGCTAATTTGTCTACAGATGGGGCGGATGAGGATCGTGTTAAATTGGGCGGATTTCAGGGGTTTGGGGCATCAAACAAGGCAGTGACTGTTGTAAAGAGTGAGTCAGAGTTTTGTGGCTCAATCTATTTGCTGTTTTCTCATTTCTCATATTTGATATCGGGCAATGAAAACATATTGAGGGAAGATATCACCAATGAAACATCTCTTTTCTGCAAGTGATTTAATAATGAAAAAGTTGTTCCTTTTTTATCTGTCATTTATAAAATTGACAGAAATCAAAGGTTCAATGATGGACGAGATAGTTTTTTTTCTTTTAGCCGAAAAAAAAAAGGTTATATTGTTTTGTTGATCACTCTGCCCTTTTCACCGGACATTATTGACAAAATTTCAAATGCGTGGCAGGGGACACCAGTTCACCAGCAGTTTTGAGTTCATTCAAGATTTTGAGCTACAATGTTTGGTTTCGAGAAGATCTAGAGCTGGATAAGAGGATGAAAGCTCTTGGTGACCTGATTCAACTTCATTCACCTGATGTGATTTGTTTTCAGGTTTTTCTTGGTTTTGGTATTCCCTTAATAGAGCAGTGGATTCAGCCTATAGTTAATTTCTCTCTTGCTTACATTGACCTTAGGAGGTTACTTCAAGTATATACCACATATTTAGGCAATCCAGCTGGTGGAGAGGATACCATTGCTCTGTTAAAAATGAAATGGCAATTCAAAGACCATACTTTTGCATGCAGGTAAGCCATATCAGTTATCACCACTGTATGCACTTTTGCATGGTCTGTTAACATCATGATGCATCATTGTAAGGTCAGTGAAAGGATTATAAAGGTCTTTTGCACGGAATTTATTTCTAAAATATGAAAATATTTTGGCTTTGAATGTGCTTTACAAAGTATTTCCATGCATTACAATCATATTGATCCTCCATAAATTTGTCTACTTATGATATTTTTATGTGCAGTTAAGCAAACTTCCGGTAAAATCCTTTAGTTGTAGGCCCTTTAACAATTCTATAATGGGGAGAGAGCTTTGCATTGCCGAGCTTGAAGTGCAGCCAAACAACCCATTGGTTGTTGCCACGAGCCATCTCGAGAGTCCCTGCCCTGCACCACCAACATGGGATCAGATGTTCAGCAAGGAGCGTGTATATCAAGCAAAGGAGGCCATCAACCTTCTCAAGACTAATCCTAATGTGATTTTTGCTGGGGACATGAACTGGGATGACAAATTAGATGGTCAGTTTCCTTTACCTGATGGATGGGTTGATGCTTGGACAGAGTTAAAACCTGGGTGCAACGGATGGACTTATGATACAAGGTCCAATCAGATGTTGTCTGGTAACCGGATGTTGCAAAAGCGACTTGATAGATTCATATGCAATCTGCGTGATTTCAAACTAAGTGAAATTGACATGATTGGTAAGGATGCAATACCAGGTTTATCGCATGTCAAGGAGAAGAAAGTGAGAAAAGAGGTAAAGAAGCTGGAGCTTCCTGTTTTGCCAAGTGATCATTATGGCTTGCTTTTAACAATTTCTGGCCGCTAATGTTGGCAATTGGTCAGGAAATACTAACCCATTTGCTTTTATATGCATTTTGTACAAACAACAAATGAAACGGTGTGAAGGCTTGAGAGCATTTTGGGAAGCATGTAGCTTCCAATTTTGTATTAAGCTCGTTGAATGGAGATGATATAAAATCCTTGATTGTTTGAATCAGGTTTCTGCACTGTCATTCTTAATATCAATTTATAGATTATGTAGAAATTTTCTCATTGCTCTATGGTTTTAGTCTCATAATGGCGATCATTAAAAAATCAGAAAATTTTGAAATTTGTTTTCGTTAATCAATTCAGAGATAGTGAGTGGGAGCTTGGTGCCTTGAGTTGAAGGATCACAAGTAGTCTTAAATGAAACCTCCACATTGTCATTATTCATGTTAACTACAATGTATGCAGCTCCACTCAGGCTGCCTCAAAAAGATTGAGTTTAATGTAACTATTAATATATTATTCTGTTTCTAGTAATAGCAAATTGCAAGAAAACTATATTTTGTCCAAGAAATATAAGCATACAATTGATATCTGTCCTGTCCTCCTGGCAAGCTCCAATTGATGTCCCAATTTCTGTATACAGAAGAGAGTTATACTTCTAGAAAGGCAAAAAAGATCAACTTCTGGGAACTCTAAATGTAGTTTGAAAAACTGAAAATGGAACAACTAAAATCATTTCCCGTTGCAACTGAGGGAAAAAAATTGTGGTTAGCGTGGATTGAACACAATTGCCTCAGATTTTTAGTCTGACACTCTCCAACTAAACTATTCCTGCTGTATGCAATCTTTTTAGAAAAAGAGATAACAAAGGGAACCAATGAAATTTTGATTATTTTGGTTCAACAGAAAAATTTATTACCAGTATTATTCATGTAGAAATTACAGCTTTCATAATAGAACAACTCCAATTCTCCTACTTGCTTTTGATTTGTGAATGCAATAAGTTTTAATAAATTGAAATATATTTTAGTTTCTTAACGTTTATTATATAAAAATATATATTTATCAAGTATTTGCTTCGTTAATGAATATCAAATTTTTAATTACTTAAAGAATTAGAGTATCAAATCGCTCATCTTTGTCGTCGGTGAAAAATAAAATTATATGTTTATAGATATTGGTAAGTTAAAAAAAAAAAGAAAAATTTAAATTTAAAACCCATATAATCTTTCTACCATGCACTTTGCAGCAGCACGTGATGGATGATCCGGTAACTCTATTTACTTATTATTATTCACTCACTAAAATCTATCATTATTGATCCTTCTCATCCTTCAGATCCAATCGTTAACCAGTAAAAACAGTGGTGGACCCCAACTCCTGAAGGTGACCCACTTAAAATTGATGGTTGCTGATTTGACCGAATCAGTGAAGTCCACTAGATTCTACACATTTGATCAAACCCCTTGACAGCTAATACGCCATCTTTCTCTGCTTAGTTACATTACAAAACAGAGCTTTGCTCGCAAACAGAAGCAAGCAGAAAATAATGAGACAGTCACAGAAATTAACAGACATTTCAGAGATTAGATTAACAATAGAGTTAATGGAACTGAGACTGTAAGAGATGGAGGCCCATTTGGTCTCTTTATATAACACCTTTCAACTCTGCATTTTATAGCAGATCTATAATTTCCATTGAAATTTTTATTATCACACCAAAGAAATGAGAGTTCTTTTCTCTCTCTCTCTCGTAGTTCTCTTATTCTTTCTTGTTCATGGTGTTAATGGCGAGAACCCATATAGATTCTTCACGTGGAAAGTCACGTACGGTGACATATACCCTCTTGGCGTTAAGCAACAGGTAAGGTCATTCTGTTCTTTGAAGCACTTTTCTTGATTTTGGAAACAAGAACTTATCTTGTATTTCAAATGGGTTTACTGGTCTTTCTCAGTTTAGGAAGTGATGGATGTTTTTCCTTTCTTTTACTGGGTGGACTGGCATTGCAGGGGATTTTGATTAATGGGCAGTTTCCTGGGCCACAAATAGATGCAGTTACAAACGATAACCTTATTATCAACGTTTTCAATTACCTAAGAGAGCCATTTCTCATCTCTTGGTAATTATGACTAACCTCTTATTCCTTTTATCCTTTAAATATAGTTATAATGCAATGTTCAATCCTCTGTTTTGTTGGCTAGAAAATAACTTAAGGAATCTTAGTACTGGATGTTTCATTATTATACCTCATTCTTGTTTTGCATGTTGATCTCTGAAATTTTAAGTTTTAAGATGAACATCGTTCCTTTACACCATGTTTATTTTCATTTCTTTTATTATTCTTTCTGCTTCCAAACAATGTCCTACACTTACCATAGATTTTTCCCGTGACGGAACTAATCAATTAATAAAAGAACTTGACTTTGAATCTACTGTCCCAGATCTGCTGCTAAAGATTATCCATTACCAGAAATATACTTTGATTAACTATCTGCTAAAAGGACACTCTTCAGTTTTGGTGTATCAATCATCATCAAAATACCAATTTCTTCATTTAAAATTGGAATCATTTGCATTTCTGAGAATATATATTATATATACCTTGGTACAACAGCGTTAGGAGGCAAGAGAAAAAAGGGGCATAAGGCACCCGGTGTCTTTTTTTTTTTTTTTTTTTTTAGGAGCAAGGGAGAAAATAAGGGGCATACAGGCAACCCGTGTCTTTTTTTTTTTTTTTTTTTTTTGAAATGTAAAGTACTGATGGGGTTGCTTTCTACAGAATAATAGAAAATGTGGGGATTTTTTTTTTTTTTTTTTTTTTGAAATGTAAGTACTGAAATGGGGTTGCTTTCTACAGAAATCATAGAAAATGTGGGGAAACAGAAAAGCATGCATTGCCTTTTCAGCGACTTTTGTTGGTCTTTATTTTTTTTAACTGACATCTTGCACAGTCTTACTTTAGAATCTGACTTTATTAAAATGATGTTTTCATGGTTAAATCTTAATGTCGTTTGCTAATACTGTCAGGACTAATTAATGGGTCAACAGTGGGACACGTTGTTACTTATTAGAATATTTCAATTCTGCAATTAAGATGATGTAATTAATCTCCTAACCACATGCTAGATCTCTGGATCTTGAGACCTGTAGTTTTTATATTAGATCTTTGTCTTGGTGTTTCTGATATCGCTTGGTTAGATTCAATTCTTTGTCTTATTTATTATAATTTAACAGAAGCCTGGTTTTCTTTATTGGCTTTGGCTATGGACGACATTATTGCAAGCCAATTATATTTTGGCAGCTTCTATGTCCATGAAGGACATGGCGATCTGATCAATAAATGCTTACTCATCCTATACAAAACGCAGGTCAATCAAATGGTTGCATGTTAGTTTCATTTAAACGACAAGCTTTCTTTAAGAATACTATCCATAGCGGATCAATAAAATTACTCCTCGAAGGCACAATTAATCAAGAAGTTCTTTTAACTTAATTACTTGTTCAATTTACGTTGTGTCTGTCCTTGCATGTGTATCCGCTGCTCACTAAATCAATTGGCATTTGAATATACTTAATAGATAGTTTTTCACTACTTTTAACTCATAATTGGACTGCTATCCCTCCTTGAATGTGTAATATACACTCAAAAACAAGAAGACAGTGCATTGACCTCTAAGCTTTATTGTCAATTTATATTAAAGGAATAAAGTAAACGGCATTTGACTGGAATTGTAGTAACATGGCCAATGTGTTGCAACAGGAATGGCATACAGCAGAGGAGGAACTCATGGCAGGATGGAGTCTATGGCACCAATTGTCCAATCTTACCAGGAAGAAACTTCACTTACATCCTCCAAGTGAAGGACCAGATTGGTAGCTTTTTCTACTTTCCATCACTTGGAATGCACAAGGCTGCTGGTGGGTTTGGTAGCATCAGAATCTGGAGCCGTCCTCTGATTCCTGTACCTTTCCCTACTCCTGCTGGGGATTTTACTGTACTAGCTGGAGACTGGTACAAGAGAAATCACTATGTGAGCACTTTCATATGATTATCACATTTATATTGCAGCTTTAATTATTTGTTTTGCTATCTTGTTTTTCTCGCCAGATTTTTTTAGGATCTATATTTATTCTTGTTCCTCTCTTGTTTGTAGCTTCTGAGACGAATATTGGATGCTGGTCATGATCTGCCATTCCCTGATGGGCTTCTTATCAATGGTCGTGGATGGAATGGATACACATTCACGGTTGATCCAGGTGTCTATCAATAAATTAATATTAAGTTTGTCCTTTTTGGTGTTTGTTGATTCTCACACACTAAATTTTTCAATATTTTGCATGTTCTTGTAAACTACATTCTTGATAAGCCCAGAATTTAACTTTTAGATAGTTCCTATAATGCATACTCTTTCCAAGCATTTAATTTTTTATTGGGGAGTATTTATAACTCATTATAATGGACGTGTATTTGCAGGTAAGACATACAGGTTCAGGATATCAAATGTGGGCCTTGCAACATCAATTAACTTCAGAATTCAAGGACACAAAATGAAACTAGTGGAGGTAGAAGGATCTCATACACTACAGAATACCTACTCTGACCTTGACATCCATCTTGGTCAATCCTATTCTGTATTGGTCACAGCTGATCAGCAACCCAAAGATTACTACATTGTCGTTTCTACACGCTTCACACCTCGTGTACTTGCAACAACAGCCATTCTTCACTATAGCAATTCATGGAGCAGAGTTGCTGGCCCAATCCCACGAGGTCCCACTACTCAGATTGATTGGTCCCTCAACCAGGCCAGATCGATTCGGTATTATGTTTATAATTTACCTCTGCTTGGTTTCTTGCTAGTTGAATCGTTTATGTCTGGCTAACAAATGTAGTACAATATGTTCTGTTAAACCAGTCGGAATCTGACTGCAAGTGGACCTAGGCCGAATCCCCAAGGCTCTTACCATTATGGAATGATCAAGACTAGCCGAACAATTATGCTTGCAAACTCTGCTCCTTTTATTAATAGGAAGCAGAGGTTTGCTGTTAACAGTGTATCATTCATTCCTTCAGACACCCCATTAAAACTTGCAGACTACTTCAAGATTCCTGGAGTTTTCAACCTGGAAAGCATCCCTACCTCCCCCACCTGGGGAAATCCTTACCTCCAGACCTCAGTGATGTCTGCTAATTTCCGGGAGTTCATCGAGATTGTTTTCCAGAATTGGGAGGACACGGTGCAGTCATGGCATATTGATGGCCATTCCTTCTTTGTTGTGGGGTACTACAATTTCTTTTCTTTGTTAGCATTGTATATCCTTTCCTCAGATATTGAAATATGGTGAATCCATAATTTGGGCAGAATGGATGGAGGGCAGTGGACACCTGCAAGCAGGGTAGGGTATAATTTGAGAGATGCAGTTGCTCGTTGCACCACTCAGGTACAATCAACAATTCAACACGAAGACCATGTAAAAATGTGATGAACATAAAGAATTCTAACTGATTTGATTGAAATGTAGGTGTATCCAAGATCATGGACTGCTGTTTACATGGCTTTGGACAATGTCGGAATGTGGAACATTCGGTCGGAGAACTGGGCTAGGCAATATTTGGGGCAGCAATTCTATCTCAGAGTTTATACCCCTTCAAATTCATGGAGAGATGAATTACCCATCCCCAGGAATGCTCTTCTTTGCGGCCGGGCAAGAGGTCGCCACACTAGGCCACTCTGAAACTTTTAAGTTACGCTTAGATTAAAAATTTTGTCACGAGAGGGTGACAGTGCCTGAGGACAAGGACAACCGATTGCCCATGTTCTGTTCTTGTTCTTGATTTTGCAATCCAAGTAATAATCAGTAGTAGCTTTACTTAAAGATTGCAACTTTTCATTTTTGATTAATACAATAATTAGATAATACTAACTTTTGTCTTGTTTGAGAATGAAAGAAAAGTCAAAGTTTCTCAATTCTCCAATCAAACGTTTCATTATTACAACGTCTCTTTCAAATAAAAGAGAATGTCACCAAAACGTAGGTTGTAAATAACCTCCCAGGGTACATAATGTTGCTTCTCATGACCGGACCAGACGACCAGGACTAAATTTTATTTACAAACGTTTATCTTCATTTCTGTATGGGAGAGTCAAAGCAAATCATGTTTTAGCCAGACGTCAACGGACCAAGAACATGAATTTTGTGAGGAAGAATATGAAAAATAGAAACTGATTAATAAAAAAATATTTTAGAAAATAAAAAAGGGAAAAATTTCTATCTCTTTGCTTACGGAATCAGAAAACACTTGTCCACGCTTCCCGTAAATCCATCCAAAGAATATTCCCCAATTTGAAACCGCCTTCTGCATTCTCCAACCTCTTGTCAGCCTACCCACATACCAACATGCATTCCTTGCTTCACCCATTTTGGCTCAAATCACCATAATTAAAAAAAAAAAAAAAAAAAAAAAAATCACCATAATTAAAAAAAAAAAAAAAAAAAAAAAAATTCAAGAATTCGGAATATTTTCTCCCACTAATTTCTTATGAACTCATCTTATCACTTTTCCTCTTCATTAGCTAAATGAGATAAAAAAAAAAAAAAAAAAAAAAAAAAAATCAGAATTCGGAATATTTTCTATAATTTCTTAGAACTCATCTTATCACTTTTCTCTTAATTAGCTAAATGAGATAAAAGAGAATTTAATAAAATAAAGAAATATTTTAGTATTATAAAAGTAAAATGAAAGGAATAGTAAATAATTATCATTTAAAAAAAAATGATAAGAAGTATAGTATAGTATAGTAATGTTTTTATGGGTATGTTTCCTTTAGGTCATGCAAGGCTTAGGTCATTCTCATCTTTTTTTGGTCGATGTGGGTCACATTAGAACAACGTATGAGTCTTAAGTTGTTTGTTTTTATATATAATATAACGTTTGATTTGGGTAATTGGCGTGGGAATTTGATCTGGGAATTGTTGCTTGCATTTCCTCACTTTGCTATTTTGAGACCCTTTCTTTTTGTCTGTCTTCCCTAAAGCTGACCTCACAAAGAATTTTGTGATATCCAAATACCAACAATATATATTTATTTATAGGAATCTCAGAATTTTAATTTGCATAATTTTCATTTTCTGTAAGAATATTTTCAATACTAATTTTACAGTCTACTTTTGTTTCTTAATAAAGAATGCTTGAAAGTGGCGAAATACGAAAGCAATTTTGTAAAATTAAAATTCTATTTATAGAAAAGTTTTTATGAAAAAGAGTAGTCACGAACTTGAAATGAAATGAAATGAAGTTAGAATATAATAATGAATTAAAAATTGAAAAAGGACGATCAATATGTGGTCGGAAGTAAATATAATGTCTAAAAATAACAAAACAATATTAATGTGTTGCACCAGAAATAGGGATATTATCATAAAAGTTTTGACCGCAGAGTGTTTTTTTTTTTTTTAAATTTGAAAGAAAATATATTTTTAACCTTTTTCACCCAATCATGAATGGCATTTTAAACAAAACCCAAAGTCTGAAATTCCGTGTCCAAATTTTCCTTTGTCTAATCGAAACTCCAAGGGACTAAACTGACCTTAATAGGGAGTTGAGAAAAAGCTGCAGATGGAGACAAATATTTGCAACAGAGTCTCTCTAGTATTTATTCTCTTTTGTATCAGCATAGACCAACTCTTCTTTTTTCACATTCTCTTTCTCTCTCTCTCCCTCTTGACAGACAATGAAAAGTAGAACCTCTCCATCCTCTTCTCTTCACAATTATGATCCAAGAGTTACAAGGAGGCGAATTGGTGATAATCTCTCTGGTATAACCCTCAAATCTCCCATGGTTAGGCCTTATGTTCGATCAAAAATGCCTCGCCTTCGATGGACTCCTGATCTTCACCACTGCTTTGTACATGCAGTCGAAAGGCTTGGCGGAGAAGACAGTAAACTTTCTTCTTCTTCTTCTTCTTTATATATATCTGTATAGATTCTTTTTTTTTTTTTTAATTCGAGCTTATATATTAAAATTCAGTTTTCTTTTCATAATTGAATTGCATAGGAGCTACTCCGAAGATGGTTTTGCAGATAATGAATGTGAAGGGCCTCACCATATCTCACGTAAAGAGCCATCTTCAGGTTCTTATCAAGTTGTTTAAGCACAAAACGTTTAGTCGTTTACTTAATTATGTGGGTATATCTGTGGACATACAGTGTAACGTTTTGGTACATGATGTGGACAGATGTACAGGAGCATGAAGCATGAGCAGATGATACAAGGTACTCCACTTGTAATAAAGAAATGAATTTTTATTCATGTGCAACTATATTTAATTTTTCTGTTTATCAAAAAAAGTATATATGGCAAATAAATACTTACAGAAAAATTTATTTCCCCAATTTTGGTGTATACATTAATTTCTTGGCTGGCTAACAGAAATGTTACCATGATTTAAAGAAGTTTATATAATTGCCATTCCCTGCCATATATATGATCATTAGATTTAATTAATGAGAGAAATTTACCATATATAAGTTGGTGATTATCAGAATAATTCAAATCGGTTGACAATATAACACGACAATCTAAAAAAACTGTCTTCATGTGAATTATTAATTATTCATTCTCACTCGTTTATTAATTTATCAAATAATTTCTTTGCACATATATTATATATCTTTAAAATATTAAAAATAATTAACCCTAATTAGTCCAGTGTTTAGTCCTCCAGAGAAATTTGGGCGAATTTTTTGAATTTTCTAATTTTCCAAGAAATTTGTAGCTTAATTTATACATGAACTTTCTTGTGCAGAAGCAGCTATTGCAGCGAAGAAGAATGAGAAGGCAAGTGGGATTCACCATTCAAACTATTTTTCACACCTGCTAGACTCGACTTGTTGCCAGCAGAATCATCAGTTGAAAGAAAAGGGATTCATTAACAATGCATCTGTACTCTATCAAGGCCATGGAGCTCAAGATAGCCCCACCAACAGGGTTGCTCTTATGAACACTACCATGTCAGTACAAAGGTTTATGAAGTTTAATGATTTTCTCTCTACTACATGTTCGGTACTGGGACTATATTTTCTCCTATATGTATATAGCTACATAGAGTTAATAGAGTGTGTTTAATATTTGGCAGGAAACAAAAGGGAGAAATGTGGATTGGCAACAAGTCGCTGACTGAATCATTCTCACATGAACAAGTAAAAAGCAAGGAATGGGAGCAGAAGAGGACTGATTCTTATATCATCTTCAACGACATTCTTCTCAAAAGATGCACTACTCAAGTACTAATTAATAAATTTTCTCTTGTCTCTCTCTATACATATATATACACACGCACCCATATCTATGTATTTATGTATATAATTATAAAGATTTGATCTGTGATGATCAGGAGTCCAATGGAGAAGATAATAATATGGCATCATCAGTAGATGGTACTGAGTGGGATAAAAATCATGAAGATTTTGTTGAGATTGCAAAGAGAGAAGAAGCTGACAAAATGTCTTTATTACTAAAGCCCAAAGCATCAGTTGAGTCATTGTTGAAGCTCAAGAAAGCTGAGAATTTATATGTGGAAGATGTTTCTCTTGAGCTCACTCTTGGTTAGAAAAAAAAAAAAAAGCTCAAGTACATTATCAAACCAAACATTTTGCACTTTCTCATCACTTTCATTTGTTATCTATAAGTTTTCCAGCTAATATGAACATCTGCACAAAGAATGTGGACATAGTTTTAACAGGCTTATACATAGTTCTCAATCCCAAAAAAATCAATTAATTGATTGCTGGCCAGTCACAAACTTCAGGAAAAAAAAAATCTCCAGAAACACTTATAACCCATGGGTAATATATAACTCCATTGGATAAATAGAGGAGTGCACTGTTATTGTCCTATTAATTTGGATAAAAGGAAAAAAAATTTGAAAAGCAAACTAAAAGATGTGAAGAGTGTGGAATTCCAGTCCTCTCCATCGTAAAGTTTAAATTTGGTGCATGTCATTTAAAGAAAATAATACCTCGAATAGTCTACAATATTATTCTGACCCATATATAAAAGAAAGTGCCTACACCATACACTTTATAAGAATTATTCAGCATCTATTGAATTATTATCAAGTAATGCAATGGAGTAGAGAAAAACATTAATGTGGATCTGGATTATCATCTTCCTTAGCCACCTAGCTGGTACAAGTAGAACTGTGTCAACATCCCATTTTCAATTGCAGGACCTAGTTAAGAAGAAAATAAAGCATATGTAAATTTCGCAATGAGACAAACAATTATTGTCGGCATTGTCGAGAGAGAGAGAGAGAGAGAGAGAGAGAGAGAGAGAGAGAGAGAGAGAGAGAGAGGACAAACAATTACCATTGTCGGCATTGTTCGAAGAGAGAGAGAGACGAAGAGAGACGAGAGAGAGAGAGAGAGCGATGAGAGAGAGCAGAGAGGACGGAGGCTTTGACTTGGACTTGGACTGTTCAACCTTCTATATCGGTCATTAATAAATGTTCGTAGATATGAGCCATTTTCCCTTGCGTTCTTATGAATATAAATGCAAGAACAGCCCAACATTGTGCTTTTCCCATTCACTGATTTTCCAACTTAAGATGGGGACCCCAGAGAGAGAGAGAGAGAGAGAGAGAGAGGACGAGGGCTCTTCGACTTGGACTTGGACTGTTCAACCTTCTATATCGGTCAGTTAATACAATGTCGTAGATATGAAGCCATTTTCCCTTGCGTTCTTATGAATATATGCAAGAACATGCCCAACCTTGTGCTTTTCCATTCACTGATTTTCAAATTAAATGGACCTAATTTTCTAAACAATTATATAATTCTAATAAGCTAGCCCAGTACAATTGCCACATTTTCAATTCTGTTTCCAATTTCACTTCAAATTACAAATTCTACAATGCCAAATAAATCAAATAAACACCGATAATTAATAAGAGTGAGATACTCTTTCGTCTGAAAGAAATTTCTTCTAAAAGAAAAACTGATAATTTAATAGGAGTGAAAATTTGAATCTCCACCCCATATTATATTTGGGATTTCATTTTTGGATTTTTATCACTATTTTTCTTTTAATTTTTATTTGATATAAGTTCAATTTTATTATATCTTCTAAAAGAACTTCAGTAACATTATATCTTCTATCTAAAATAACTCTGATTTCAATAAATCTTGGTTATTGAAAATCATAATAAAACTTCTTATACATGTTAACTTAGAGTTCTCCATAACGAAAAAAAACTATGTTATCAAAAAATTTAAATGCAATTGATCATAAAGTAAATGCAGGACCCCAGAGAGAAATGGTGATTAAGATGTCTTGAACTGAGACCAAAATCCAAGTTAGGTCTAGCTAATTATACACATGAGGTGGTCCTCAGCGCGGTAGATGGCTGCATTAACTTTCCAATGGGCTGTGGATAACTAGATGCTTCAAAATTATAATTTTCTCAACTGTCACTTTGTTTTTAAGTTTGTAAGGGAGTGGATCATGGATGCCTATATATAATCGTTGTGTTTTTGTTAGTTTTGTCACGTAAGTATTGCATTTGGATACACGCATTCCCTTGATTAATAATTATTGATAATGGCTACTAGGCTTTTTCTTGTGTTTATTCTCGCTTTTGTCACTGTTACTAATGCTAGGAAGCTTGCTGTGACGGAAAAGGGTGAAGTTGGCGAGACGAAGACATTCTTCTTCCTCTTTCCTGGTCATGGCAGTTTGAACGGTGGTGGTGGAGGAGGGTTTGGTGGTGGTGTTGGAGGTGGACAGAATGGGGGCTCTGGCTTCGGGGGTGGAGTTGGAGGTGGGTATGGCTATCGAATTGGAGGCTTAGGTGGAGGCGGTGGACTGGGTGGGGGGTCAGGCTTTGGTGGTGGTTTTGGTTATGGAAGTGGTGGAGGGTTTGGTAATGGCGGAGGTGGAGGTGGAGGTGGAGGTGGAGGTGGTGGAGCAGGTGCTGGATATGGTGGAGGATTTGGAGGAGGGTTTGGAGGCGGAAAGCCTTGAGTTTTAATCTAAGTCGCCTCATGTCATGCCTCATGCTGTGGTAATAACGTAACCTCCTTAGGGTACACCGTGAATTTGTGGGGCTTTCACGTTTGTCAATAGTCATATATTATATATTCGGGTAATTTACGTGTAAAATAATTAATAAGGGAACAAATAATTTTACAGTAATCTTGACTTTCCGCTGATTATTCATCAAGCAGCATGATTGAATTTTTTTTTTCCCTTAAGAACAAGTTTTAATTTTTTTTTTTTACAAAATCAAAAGAAAAATATCATTGCTTTTGCAGTTATTATATGCCGTGGAAATATTTACCTATAATGTATTAATTTATTTATATATCAAATCAATCACAAACGTAACGAGTGTATATAATTTTAGTAAAGTGATAGATGAAATAATAATAAATTGTAATATTATAATTAATTATAAGATAAATTTTATATATCCTTCTAATAGTTAGTCGTACTTACAAATAAATGGCCAGCATGTAAACAGGCTAAATACCATATTCAAGAGAGAGATATGATTCATCTTTTTCTAGAACCTCATTTACATTATTCCATTTGTCATTCCAATCAAAAGAAAATAAATAAATGAATAGTTGAAAATTTTGGTACACGATCATTGGCAGCATGGTTGTCTTCAACTATTGGCATTTCCAATTATTAGTTAGTGTAGTATATTTTTTCTCTTCTATACGTTAAATAAGCTGAGATCTCCTGAGCTTCTCATTGGATGCTTTAGAACTTCATTTAAAATAATAAAAAAAAAAATCTTAACACAACATTAATAAAGAACACAAACATGAGTTTTTTTATAAACACAGAAACTTCGTATTAGAATAAAAAGAATTATTATCTATGATTGAACTAATAATGGCTCAATTATCTTAAACATGCAAATTTAAAAAGGTTGTTTGCTAGCAGCATGATAGCAAAACGTGTCTTTTTAACTCGAAATCAAATCAAATTGTCGCTTAATTATAATTAATTTAAGCTAAACAATTCCCATTCCAAGTTGTCGTAAAGATGAAGACATACAGTCACTGGAATCCACTTTGCAAGCGGAGAATAAAATTTTGAAGCAGCCGCTCGTAGTGGGAGTAGTTAGTTTCCACCAATAGAACATTGTCGAAATATCTTAATAAGCGTTTCTTTGAAGATGGAGACAAAATTAGCAATAGGAAATATCTTTGAAAAGATTTCTTCTTACTAAAATTTGCCCCTATCAATTATTGCCATTGCTGATTAATTACCCAAAATTTTTCAAATAAAATATATACAGTACTGAAAAATTCCAAGATTACATTCTGTTGCAGGAAGAGGGAAATTCTATTTTGTTTTAAAGATTTGGAATTGGTAATTGTTTATATATTTCAATGATTGGATGTTGGAGATATATTGGTGTATGGCTAGGTTAAGTTGCTTCTACTTTTCTGGGCTTATACTTCAAGCTGTCCAATTTATATACCAGTTGGCCACTACCAAACCAACTATCTCTTATCCTTATATATAAGCTTCTACTTACTTTTTACATTTCACTGATCGCATGGCATCCACATGGACGTTCTCGCCCACTTGGAGAGTAAGTGGGGCAAGCTAATTAAAAACGTCACCCTTCTCAATTATGCATTGCTTGTTAATTTTGGAAAAGTGAAATGCCAGATAGGACTCCATTGAGATCAAAGAAGAATGACACGTGGGTTTTTCCCACATGCATTGATTGGACATTAAAGCGTCTGAGATATACTACTAAGTATATACAATGTTAACTACCACTCCACTAATGTTTCTAGCTAATTAAAATTAATGTTTCACAAAATCATAGATTATACGTACATTATTTGGGTTTTTTTATTAAGCAGTTGTACTTAAACGTGTCATCTTGTTTGAGTTCTGTAATATTTTTTGTTGTTGTTGACTGTAATTCACCAGCCTGAGAAATTATCTCGACCTTATTAATTCATTTGTTGAGGCGGATGGTTCGTCTAGTGCGCCCGCCAATTCCCGTCCCTTTGAAACACAGCAACATTTGGTCCACTGATAGTTTAGTGAGAGAACAAAACAATTTAAAATGCCAAAAACGGAAATTTAAGGGCATAAGCTAATTGTATAAATAAGAGACGCTAGGAAGGAGAGGCTAAGAACGTGAGTTTTAGTCTCTCTCGTTGTAGAATGTCTACTAAAATACTCTACGTGGTTCTTCTTGCTTTGAGCATAGTTAGTGCATTGAATAGTGTCGGTCAAGGAAGGGACGTACAAAATCAAAACGACTATAGTGGCCTTCCAGGTGGATGGAATTCTGATGATGACAATTATAATGAAGATTATTGTTATAGAAATTGGCGAAGTTGTGGAAGCTTCTTTGGAAAAGCCGGCAGGGGTTTTGATACACAGGGTAAAGGAGGTGCTCATCATGGTGATGGGTTTGGTGTTGGAGGTGGAGGTGGGGGTGGAGGAGGAGAAGGAGGAGGAGGAGAAAATGATGGAGGTAGTGGCCATGAAGAGGGACATGGGTCTGGAGGAGGCAATATTGGAGGAGGAGGAGGAGGAGGTGGTGGTGGTGGTGGTGGAGAAGGTGGAGGTGGTGGAAATATAGATGGTGGTTCTGGACATGGTGAAGGCTATGGAGCTGGGGCTGGAGTCGGGAGTAATGGTGGTGGTGGTGGAGGTGGAGAAGGTGGTGGTAGTGGTGGAGGGATCGGTGGAGGCTCTGGTCATGGTAGCGGACATGGTGCTGGTGCAGGTATTGGAGGTGGAGATAATGCAGGAGGAGGTGGTGGTGGTGGAGGAGGCGGGGAAGGGGGTGGAGGTGGCAATGGAAGTTCTGGTGAAGGTTCTGGTCATGGTAGTGGTTTTGGCGTTGGAGTTGGTACAGGTGGTGCTGGAGGAGGAGGAGGTGCGGGTGGTGGTGGTGGGGGAGGCGGTGGAAAAGGTTCTAATGGAGGGTTTGGTCATGGTAGCGGTTTTGGAGCAGGTGGTGGTGTAGGTAATAATGAGGGGGGAGGAGGAGGGGGAGGCGGTGGTGGTGGTGGAGGAGGAGGAGGAGGAGGGTCCAATGGAGGGTATGGTCATGGTAGTGGTTATGGAGCAGGTGTCGGGTTTGGTGGTAATGGAGGAGGAGGAGGAGGAGGAGGAGGTGGTGGTGGTGGTGGAGGAGGTGGAGGATCGGGTCATGGTAGTGGCTTTGGTGGAGGTGTTGGCTCAGGCAGTTTTGGTGGTGTTGGTGGTAGTGGTGAAGGATATGGACATGGTGAAGGTGGAGGCGTTGGGGCAGGCAGCGCTGGAAAAGGTGCAGGAACAGGAGTAGGCAGTGGTAAGGGTCACAATGGCATTGGAATAGGATTTGGAATGGGAATTGGATTTGGTTTTGGAATGGGAAATGATAGTGGAAGTGATGCCAATGACAATACTAATGCTGATCCTTGAAACCTAAACATCCATACACATATTTTGTCAACTTCAACAAGGAGGATTATACATTCTTTGCAGAGATGGACGTGAAATATATATGTTCAGTTTCATTTATAATGTACTGCAATTAATTTGTATGAGAACTTGTTACATTTTTCTTCAATACAGAATAATTCAATTTTTATATTTTTCTTCATGATGCGTAATGGGACTTATGAGAACTTGTTATTAGCTTGCTATAACATTACATAAAAGAGATAAAATGCCATCATCTGCAATTTTCCACAACTCAAAACTAGCATTACAACCGGAGGCTCTAGCTATGAAAGTCACCAACTTGATTGGCTTCTTTCGGAACCCACTTCAAGAAAAAAATCCCTTCTTTGGCTCAAATGAATTGCAGATCCGAAATAAAGAATACCCCATTCTCGTTATAATCCTCTCTTGGTTGTACCAATTCAAGAGAGTCAACTTCAAGAATCACTATAGATTTGGTCATTCAACCAGGATAGCACCACTTTTAAACCACACGCTTCTGCCTCTCGAGCAGCTAACAGTCCATCCTTCCATCCCCGATCCAGCACAAACAAAAAAAGAACCAGCAGATTTTCGAACTTAAATGGGCCTTAGACATAACGGCCCATTAAAGATAGAGTTATGGGCAATGACCCGTGCAGCCCATGACAAAACCCTAGCCTATCAATTTCCCCTTTCCGTATCGTCTTCTCCTCGCTAGCTCTGCTCTTGCCTTAAACCCTGACATATCAATCTCTGTTAAACCAGTCTCGAGTTCACGTCGACCAACTAACAAAACTCCAAAAATGGCCGATACCGTGCAATACCGGCTCGAGCGCATGGTCGACGAGCTCGACGACCTTGAGAGGCGAGGGTTATTCACGCATTATGAGATAGCTGAGATCGTGAAGCAGAGGCGAAAGTTTGAGTATAGACTGAAGCGACCGAGTCCATTGAAACAGGATTACTTGGCCTACATTGAGTACGAGACACAGCTTGACTCGCTTCGCCGCCTCCGCAAGAAATCAGTGGCTCGTGATATGAAAAACAAGGGAAACAAGAAAATGAAGATGTCTGTTTCTGATTTTGCTGGGGTCTCGAGAATTGTGGATATTTATCGGCTTGCCGTATTGAGATATAAGGGTGATATTGAGCTATGGTTTCGGTATTTGGAGTTTTGTAGAGAGCGAAGGAATGGCAGGATGAAGAAGGTATGTTTATGTTCTTTCGTTTCTGTTTCAGTGTTGAGAAAGAGGTGGAAAGTAAAAGGGAAAGCTTTTAATTTGGCAGAAATTATTTTTGTCAGCAGTTGTAATAATTCGTGTTTAAAGGTCTGATTTTTATCGGACGGATTTCTCACTTTCATTTAAATCACATTTGCTCTTCCTTATTTTTCAGGTCTTGGCTCAGCTAATTAGGTTTCATCCAAAGGTACCAGGAGTTTGGATTTATGCTGCAGCTTGGGAATTTGACCATAACTTAAATGTTGCAGCAGCTCGTGCTCTAATGCAGAGTGGTTTGAGAGTTTGCCCTGCATCGGAAGACCTTTGGGTAGAGTATCTCCGGATGGAACTTACTTACCTTAACAAATTGAAGGCCAGGAAGGTTGCCCTTGGAGAGGACAAGGGCACTCTGGTTCGTGATCATAGAGTTGCTGAGGAGCAACAGTGGAGAGATGAAAACAATGGTGCGTTTATGTTACTTGATGAAGAAATGAGAAACGTTGAAGGATCAAAAGTTAATAATGGGGAGTCAGAAAAGAAAATGGATTTATTTAGAGAACAAGGTTTGAATATACTTAAGACTATCTATAGTGGAGCAATTGAAGCTCTTCCTTCTAGCTTAGGACTAAGAAAACGTTTATTTGAGATATTGGAGGCAACAGAGTTGGCACATTCGGAAGAAATTCGAAAGGAGATCCTAAGTGATATGAAAAGAGACTTTTCTAAAGATCCCGAATACTGGGACTGGCTTGCTAGACTTGAAATGACTTATTCTAGAACTACAAAGGATACAAGTGAAGGTATCATGTCACCACAGCTACAAAAAGCAGTTCAGGTACAATTCCTGTAAAACTATGTGAAATCCTTGAAAATGAAAAGAGTTTTGCTTGGTGCTTTTCTCTTTGCTCATTTTTCCTGCATTCTAGGTATCTGACAAGCACCTTTGTGCATTGTTTTTATTTCTTTGAAATTGAAATGTATGTATTTGCTTTTCTTGCTCAATATCACTAATTGTCTACCTTCGATCTTCTACAATGTGTAGGTTTATGAGCAGGCTTTGCAGTTTGTGCCTTCTCCCATTCTGTTTAATCTATATGCTAAGTTCTTTATGGATGCTGTTGCTCCTAAAAGAGAAGAAAACCAACTTTCTAAATTATCCAATCATGCTGAAGATATTATTTCTTATCTATTGACGATTTATGAGAAAGCTGAGACATTTGGATGCATTACTGAGGATTTGGCTTGTGAATATGTTTCATTTTTCATCCAGCTAGGGAGGTTAGACGAGGCCGGGAAACTAGCGGACAAATTTTGCAATGGCAACTTTTCAGATTCAGTTAAATTGTGGATTTTAAGGGCCTCTTTAGAAATTAGATGTTTTACTAATAATATCCCTGGACCAAGTAAAGTTGATCTACGATCCATATTTGGACTCTTTAGAAGCGTGTTGACAAAAGTGTCAATATCAGAAGCTGAGGACTTGTGGATGATGGTATGTTTTTATGCTCTTGTAAAAGTTTTAAATTGTGACTTATTAATCTGGGTTCATTTTCTTGTCCCTGCTGCGTCCGTATTTTTTTTTTTTGCCTGAACAACAGTTTCCTAATTTCCCCAATTCTCATGTTCCCTGTCCTTCCTTTTGGTCCCTGCTGTACAGAACACTATGCAGACCCTGAGACATGCTTCCTTCTCTTTTGAATATTAATTAAGCTTTTGATCCATTTGTATTGACCATGTATGGTTGATCAAGCTTTATTACCATTTTAAATGCATAAGCTGATTGTTATATCTTAAGTTCCACCATCATAGAAGTAATGCAAGCAACTATTTTCAAAGTCTGAAGGTCCAAGCCAGGTTTTTAACATAATAACATGTTGCAGGCCCTCAAGTTTTTTGCAACAGAAAAATATTATCTGGACAAGTTGGTTGAGATGTCATTCGTTTCAGTAGCAAAAAATGGTGGCAGTGATAATGGATTCTCCCTACCTTGTGCGATTGTAAATAGTGTTCTTCAGAAGGATGGAATTCAGGAAGCAAGAGAGACATATAAGCGGTATGTTGGTAATATTTAAGCTATAGAAAATTCTTTGTAATAAACCTTCTGATTTTTCCAACCTGCTAATTGGAAATATTTTTTCGTTTGCAGTTTTCTTGCCTTGCCCCGACCAGGTCTTGCTTTATACAAAATTTGCATCGAGTTGGAAGAGAACCTTGCATCTAGTGGTGATAAAGGTTGTCTTGGAAATGCCCGAAAAATATATGAATCTGCACTTGCAACGCATAAGCAGAATGTGAGATTGTGGCAAGATTACCATGCCATGGAGGTTAAGGTGAATTTCTTATTTTATTTACATATAAAAGTTTGCTTTCCAAATTATGAAAAAAGTTTTCCAACTCTTTTCATGCCTGCCTGCCTCCCCCCCCATACGTTCTTTTCATGCCTGCCTGCCTCCCCCCCATACGTTTTCTCAATTTGACCAGAAACTGGAGTGACCATTCTATGAGACTTGGCCAAGGAATTCATTGTTATCTAATTTCCACCTAGAAAATAAGAGCAGCTTTGGATCTGTATTTTTTTTCCTGGCTACATTATGACCTGAGTACTAAAATTAGTTTAGATGCTATAACCATCAATGCTCTGTTTTCATTTTTCAAGCCTACATTGTTGTAGGTTTATATGTTTTCCAACTCTTTTCATGCCTGATGCTCCCCCCCATACGTTCTTTTTCATGCCTGCCTGCCCTCCCCCCATACGTTTTCCTCACTTTTGACCAGAAACTGGAGTGACATTCTATGAGACTTGCGCCAAGGAATTCATTGTTATCTAATTCTCCCACCTAGAAAAATAAGAGCAGCTTTGGATCTGTATTGTTTTTCCTGGCTACATTATGACGTGAGTACTAAATTAGTTTTTTAGATGCTATAACCATCAAATGCTCTTTTTCATTTTTCCAAGCCTAATTGGTTGTAAGTTTATATTGATATATATAATATATATTATATATAATATATATTATATATATATATATATATATAATAATATAATATATATTGTTAGTACTTTAAAAATATACAATTGTAACAATCTCCAATCACGCTACTTTTGCAGTGGGGAACATCAGAAACAGCAAAACGCTGCGTATACTGGCGTGCACGAAAGACATCTGAAAAACTCTGCTTGCATTTGTTGCTCTATTCAGATTCGTTGTAATTTTAATATAAACTAAACTTTCATTTTTTTGGTCTTTGATACCAAATATGTATTCTTAGTAATTGCAAGTTTTAAACAGAGGCCGCAATATTATTAGTTTCATTCAAATTCAAGAAATCTCTCTCTCCTCTTCTCGTCTCCTCCTCTCTTGCTCTCTTCTCTCTTCTCTCTCTCTCTCTCTCTCTCTCTCTCTCTCTCTCTCTCTCTCTCTATATATATATATATATATATACTATGTACATTGCTATATGTTAAACCACTACGTACTTGTAAACTGTCATTCGCAAATTGTAAGGTACATATCCTTCTGAAAATTTGCGGGCTGCTTAAGCCTTTAAAGAGGGGTAAGTAACGACCACCAAACTATTTCAATGTGAGAGTTTCATTAGAAACGGTACATGCAAGTGTTTGAACTAAATTTTGAGTGTACATAACATGCATACATTACGAGTATATTTTTTGAAATAAAGATCATATATAATTGCTGAGCAACTGCACCGATCTACAATTTACAATTGGAACCAGAAGTCCAAATGAGAACCTACAACGATTGACGTTGCCTGACATTGAAGAACAGAGGCTAGACTCTTGGCCACTGTGGACTTACAACCTGCATACAACCAAAATGCAATTTTAATACTGTAACTCTGATAACAGCAACAAGCGCAGGATTTCTTAGCTTCATCCTTAAAAGTGATAATGAACTATACAATCTTTTACATGTATACTGATATATACGAGTAGTTAACTAAAATAAAATTGATCATAATAGAAAGATCTTAGCATGGAGGTTCTGTGATCCAAAGTCATCCACAGGTGGGCTTGAGTTCAGTATAGATCTCTCCATATTAATTGAAATTGTTTATCATAAATCTCTAAGCATTAAAAAAGAAAGTGGCAAGACTTCTCTAACCTCAAGTGTGCTAAATACTAATCGCATTCGGCTGGCAACAACTGATGGCTCTTCAGCACATCCAACAACTGCCATTTGCTCTAATTGAAGAGTCTTCACAGGAAGCCTTTTGGCAAACAAAAGAAAAAGAAAAAGCCTCAGCTAGAAATCTTAGTGCACAAACATTCTAATCATTGATGGCATTAACAATTGAAAATTTCCTTTTACATCAGCAAACTGTTCTGAAAGTCATTAATTGACAATGATATGTATAATTAGAAATACAAATTATGAAAAATGCATCAAAAGAAGGGAGTTTCGCTTTTGTGCTCATGATGACATTAGTGCTCGACAATCCAGCTTATACAAAATTACATCTACGCTTGTGCCAATAAATAGCAAAATAAAAGCACTAGAAGGGCCTCACCATGCCATTCCCTTCACATAATATGCATTTGCAATTAGAGCACAAAAACCTTTCCACTGAAGCAGTACTTCATCCGACACTGGAGGCATAGATGACCATCTAACTATAGTTGGTTGTGGTGTACACAAGATAGTTATGAATATAATGCTCAACCACAGAATACATTCATCAATCTGCATCATAGAATAGAAAGTGTGACTGTTAGCCATCAATTACACAATAACCTGTGGTCATGATAGATAATATTGTTTGTTCATGATGAAGGCTAATCCACTCTCTTAATAAAGAAATATAGACACAAGTGGATTAGAGAAAGTTGGAAAATTAAATAAGACATGCAGAAATAATCATTCTCTTGACATCCATCTGGGATCTGACATAGAACGAGGGAAAGCAAGTAACTGAATTCTTTATAAATGATTTCAGGATACTCTTTCCCTTTGTGATTTTTTTTTTCAGACTCAAACACAGCTCAATAATGAGACAGAGAAGACAGTAGGACTTGATGTTAATGATAACCTTACGGCTCTAGTGCATCAAAACAGGTCGGATTGACTAACCTCCTTTGCGAAAATCTTGGATTTCACACTGGTGCTTCCTCTGTAATTCTGCATTGCTTCAATTTCAAGACCAGATTCTTTCATAGCATTAAGTTCCTTTCGTAATCCTTCGTCAGAGCAGCCAAGAGCATATGCATTCACTCCAGCACTGATGAATTCCTGAACACATAATTCAAACTCATTATTTGGAAATGGCTGCAAAAAAGTGTCACACATTGACAGATATGAGCAAATTAATGAAATATACTTTCAGGTTGTCACCTCCTCCTCGGTCAATGACATTCCTGTATCGCCTAAACAAACTGATTGCTATGTTCCGAGATGAACGATACTCATCATCAGGTGAAATGGAATCGTGTGATCGACACTGTAAAATATAGAACTAAACCATTAATTGTTAAATCAATACAAAGTGAAAAAAGAAGCAGTTTATCAAATGAAGCTTCTCCATTGCTCACCAGCCATTTGTTTGAACCCACCCGTTGTGACACATGATAGGTCCTAAGCTGATTATGTCCATTCCAAGAAAGAGCAGAATTGTGAACTACATTGTTATTACATGGAAGACATAAAAGGCTAGGAGAGACTGCAATAGTAGTCAAGGGTTTCACACGGGTAATCTTGCATGAAGAAGCATCATGGATTTTGTTGATGCCCGGATAGGGGTGGCACTTGCTAATACCTCCAGATAGATAGATTATTACCATGGTTGAACCATGTTATCATTACCTTCGCAAAAATGGAATACACAGACGTTATGCAAAGAAACGTAGATGGTATAATCTAATACTAAAATGCCACTATATGATATAAATACATGATGTTTGTTACTATGAACATCCTATTTGCTGTACATGCAAGGTATTACATCTACATGCAGCTTGTAGAAATACACAATCTTGCTTGCTAATTTTCAATCACTAACCAAAGGGTAATTTCTTCAATAGTTGCAATTGAATTCTCATTCCTTAAAAAAAAAAAAAAAAAGGTTCATGTTTTTATAAAAAAATATCGAAACAAATTGCTTTTGTACAATTATTACTTATCAAAAGGGGAAAAGAAATTCAAATAGAGCTTAAGTTGTCAAGCAAATAAACAGAGTATTGATCATCAAATAAATGACTCAATCAAATCTATAATTAAGTGAAATAAATTAAAGGAATGTCAATAGAATAAAAAGAAAGGCAAAAATAAGAAGAAATTACCTTATTTGGATTTTGAAGGTCTCATCAGAGTGGGAAGGAAGAGATTTTAGAGGAAGCAGTGGAGGAGAGGATGAGAGATAGATAGAGAGCCTAAAGAGTGGAAGCGAAAGAATCTAACGAATGTTTGGCAAATGGCCACCAGAGCTTCTAATTGCCAAACAAATTTTTATGGCTGTTATGAGAATTCCTATGTGAGGAAGACTTTGAAAGCTTCGTCATTTTCAGATTTTCCGTGGCCACCTGCTTTGTTTCGCTCGCTCGATGATTGCCGCGCCTCTCTCCAGCCAACGACGTCGCTTCTCTTTTCTGTTTGCGAAACGACATGGATTCTTTTTTCTTTTCCTTTTTCTTGTATACTATTTATTTAGGCTATCGCAATAACTAATTTTACCTCTTCCAGAGCCACCAGCTCCCAACTATTACTCCCATATTCGGAAACAGACGTGGCAATAGCATTTCCCAATGACAGTGGAAATTGTGGAATCACTCGCACCTCATCACTATGCGCCAGCCATCATTTTCCTTTGTTTTAACTCGACAACTAAAGATCACCCGTCAGTGACTATAATCTCGTGCTCTCATTTCCATCATTAATATTCGTACACTCTCTATATTGCTTGCTCCAGTTAGGAGGAAGTATATACAACATCGGATGAGATGGACGGCACAGATCTGATATTGCAGATTATTCGTTGTGACAGCCGTCAGATTCTAAGAGTACCATGAAAGATAGCGAATATGAGAAACAGGTGCACAAAAGACAGACACGAGATTGGGTGACTCATAGTCCAACACCACTCGCTGCCGATGGGGTTGTGGTTAATTGTTGGCTGTTTCTTGATTTGGCGGAGATAAACCCTCCTCCACCCACTACATAACATTACCCACCAAACATCTCTCTTTATTTTTCTTTCTTTTGAAAATATATATATCATATATGTAATACAATACACATATTAAAAAAGGAGTGGGTCTTTGTTTTATCTTTTTATCTGCGCTAGTTGCAGGGATGCTCTGTTGGGCTCTCCTCAGATTTGCTTTCTTTTGAACGACACCACCACTAATCCCTGTAAGCCTCGCTCATTTGTTGTCCTCTTTCTGTATGTGGGTTGGTTCATTTTTCTTCAAATATAGAATCTTTGATGTTTTCAATGCATAGTTCTTTTATGATATGATGTTTTGATTGCCTGATTGCATGCTGAGCCTGGAATGAGATCTAGACAACTTACCACATCGAGCTTGCTGTTGGGAAATACCCTTCTCATTTTTTTAATAAGAATTGTTCAATGGCACCTTATATGTTTTGAGATTGTTATGTACTGAGTGAGCTAGTCATTACTGGTTTCAATAATGGTTTTTGAGATCGTATTGGTCAGCAGTTCGTGAAATAAATGAAATTAGTTGATTTTAAGAAGTTCCTGGATGTGCCATGAATTACATTACATGATTTTGAATAAAGAATCTGGTGATAATTTTTCTTCGCTATACTATTATCTCTCAACTAAGATCGCTGCTTGCTGTTCAAGTATCAACTTTTGCAAAAATACTTTGTTATATGGAGTGGCATGATTCAATGTCATCAATATTTCTGCCAGCAACTGGTAATAATCTGCTTTTAACAATGCCATTGACAAGTAATTCACTTTTAATTGTCTACAATTTCCATGTATTCTCCTACTTATTTAACATGTATGGAGCACTGTTTTTCTTTTGATTTATCTCTCATGGCTTATCAATATAGTCCAACTGCTACTATGGATTTTGAGCCTGCTGATTCTTACTAATAGTTGTTGCACCAAAGATTTACTCCAGCATCATTTTGAACAGACATATACATCTTACAAAATGAGAGGAGGTCTGTGGCAACTTGGTCAATCGATCACTCGCCGACTTTCTCAGGCTGATAAGAAGGCTGTGGCTCGTCGATACTTCGCCTCTGAAGCTGATCTCAAAAAAACTGTTCTTTATGACTTCCATGTTGCTAATGGTGGAAAGATGGTGCCATTTGCTGGATGGAGCATGCCCATTCAGTACAAGGATTCAATCATGGACTCCACTGTCAATTGTAGACAGCACGGTAGCCTCTTTGATGTCTCCCATATGTGTGGACTGAGTCTCAAGGGCAAGGACTCTGTTCCTTTCCTTGAGAAGCTCGTTATTGCTGATGTTGCTGGCCTTGCACCTGGAACTGGGACTCTGACTGTCTTTACAAATGAGAAGGGAGGAGCAATTGATGATTCAGTGATCACCAAGGTTAAGGATGATCACATTTACTTAGTTGTGAATGCAGGGTGCAGGGACAAGGATCTGGCTCACATTGAGGAGCACATGAAGGCATTTAAAGCAAAAGGTGGTGATGTCTCATGGCACATTCATGATGAGAGGTCTCTCCTTGCTCTTCAGGTGAATCCTGATACTCATCGAATCGTTTCAGTTTCTTTATTGGATATTTCATATGTTTTAAGTGCAACTTTATACTTGGTTCACTGCTCTTTGGTTTGATTTTCCTTGTTTACAATCTTGTATGTTTTCGTGTCTGTCTTATTTCCTTGTCTCATCTTCCTTTTTGACAAGTACAGTGATCTCAAAATGGAGTTATGGGTAGCATTATAAAGAAATTTCCTGATTTTTTGTGTTGCAGGGTCCTCTTGCTGCCCCAGTTCTTCAACACCTGACAAAAGAGGATTTGAGCAAGCTATATTTTGGAGAGTTCTGTATAATAGACATCAATGGATCACAATGCTTTCTCACTAGGACAGGGTAAGATGTTGTAGTCTCTTCAATACATCATCTTGTTCTGGATGTCTTTAAATTAGCAGTTTTACCTTGTGGCAGTTTGTGACAGGCTTTAGCTTTGTGTTTGCAATGTACAGCAATGAACATGTGACTTTAACTTATATTTACTGTTTACTCGGTTTACACTTCTCTACCAGCTCTCCCCTTTCACCCTTATCTTTTCGCTGATCTTATACACAAATCTGATTCAGGTACACTGGTGAAGATGGATTTGAAATCTCAGTTCCTTCAGAGAATGCTGTGGAACTTGCCAAGGCAATCTTAGAAAAATCTGAAGGAAAAGTAAGGCTGACTGGACTGGGTGCACGTGACAGTCTCCGACTTGAAGCCGGGCTGTGTTTATATGGTAATGATATGGAACAGCACACAACGCCTGTAGAGGCAGGACTGACTTGGGCCATAGGAAAAAGACGAAGGGCTGAAGGTGGCTTTCTTGGTGCAGAGGTAATACTCAAACAACTTGAAGAGGGTCCAAAAATCAGACGTGTAGGATTTACCTCTTCTGGTCCGCCTCCTAGATCTCACAGCGAGATTCAGAATGAGAAAGGGACAACCATTGGAGAAATCACCAGTGGGGGGTTTAGTCCATGCCTGAAGAAGAACATTGCCATGGGCTATGTGAAATCTGGATCACACAAGGCAGGGACCAAAGTTAAATTAGTGGTACGAGGCAAGGCCTATGATGGAGTTGTCACGAAAATGCCATTTGTACCAACTAAATATTACAAGCCATCTTAAACCACCTTTGGTTCTTCAGCTTCTGGATTTTCTGATCAGTTCCTGTTTTCACTTGTTATTGTTAAACATGACAACATTTCAATGATGATTCTTGTTTGTCTGTCTGTCAGTTAGATATTAGATTTTTGTTGTTACCAAACATTAATGGCATTAGAGGGCTTCAAATGGAGAGGGAAAATATCTCTTTCATAGTAAATTGGGTCTCAAAGGACCAATTTGAATAGTCCTACACACCTCCATCCATAATAGTGCAAGCACGAATAAACATGCTTGCTCAGACAACAGTGCGCCCTAGCCTCACTCCATCTATCTAAACAAAAATCAATCTTGCAATAGAAAAAAGTGATATAAGAAGCCACATTAGGCAGCAGAAGCAAGCAAAATTCATTCCTTATTTGATTGTTAAGCTGTAGAATACAGAAGGTACAGAACAAATTCATATTATCAATCATAAAACCATACATCGTTCCAAATTATAGGCACTTTTTTTAGCACAGTTGGGAATCACAGAGCTGAGAGGAAAGACATTGAATCAGCGGTTTTTTAGTGTAAAGATTGAAGACGCTGAAGGAAAAACAAAATGAAATACTCTTGACCTTTAGTCATTCTCAGTGAACCAACTTCAATTCAAATTGCAATGTATACACTTGGGCCTATTTTTTCCCCTTCTTTTTTCCGGGTGTTTTTCCAGTCGTACTTTGTCTGACAATTCTCCGCTTCCGTGTGTACGCAAACTCTCCAAATTTGTGACCAACCTTTGCTTCAGTGATCTTACAACGAACAAATGTTTTTCCATTGTAAATACGAACAGAGTAACCAACAAATTCTGGTAAAATAACAGATCTGCGCGACCAAATTTTCTTGTTAGAGAGAAGATCCTTTTTATTCTTCGCTTTCAGCAGGAATGCGTCAACAAAAGGAAGTCTTGTGGCAATGTTCCTCCGTACCTGCAAGCACACAAGTGGCAAATTTGAAAGCATCATTAGGAGGACTTTTTCCAGATACAAGGAAGAGGGAAAATAGACAAGGAAGAACAAGAACAATAAGCAAACATCCTGCATGCACCAAAACTTCCAGAGAAACTGCTCATAAAGGGAAAAGAAAAATAGTATGCCCAAAATTATGATCTAACTTACTCTGGCTTCCTCTTCATTAGACAGTTGCTGAGCTGAAGATTCAAAAGGTGGTACAGGATTATTACGCCTATCTGAAGAAAATGACCTGCTCAGCATATAAATAAGGGCATCCATTTGAAAAAATGAAATAGGGTCCCTGCAGAACGGAAATGTTAATGGCATATGATAGTCATAATGAAATTTGACAAGAGAATCAAGCTCACAGCAGTGAACTGCCCATGACCTTGGTCTAATCTTTCCAAGATATGCTATTGGCATCAATTCTTTACATTTGTATGACACAAAGAAAGCAGAATTTACAAAAAAGCGCCAGAAAAACACAAACAGCCAGGATAAAAGTTCTTTAAGAAAGTGAAAAGGTGAACAGCAAGGAAAACAAAATAGCAAACATAGCTGACCTTACAGGCTTTGAGGCAATTGGAAATCCTGTAAACAAATGAAATTCAAACAGAGTGTTAGCACATGCCTACAAAAGGTTCAAACTTTCAACAAGGAGTGACAACTACCAAAATATGAAAAGAAATATAATTACCTAAGTAACTATTGGAATCAACATTTGGCGAGTTACACGATCCTCTTCCAAGGGATGGCAATGTCTGATTAAGCACAGATAATAAGAATTCACATTAAAACAACGCAATTATGCAGAATGACAGGAACATATAGAACAAGAGATGAAAAAGAAGCCAAATATTAAGAGAAATTGGAAAGTTACACTTTTCCCGGCGATAGAATAAGATCGTATTAATGGTGCCAGATTAGAACGAGTGGCTAGCAATGACTCCTCTAAAACCTATTTGAGCGCAAATAAAGACAATAAAACTCGAGTTTGTTAAAATTAAGTAGCAAATACATTTGAAACAAAAAGAAGGTTGCTTCCAACTCACAAAAGAAGATGAGAGGCCGCCACCGCCAGAGAGAAGTTTTCGCCTTACACTTGCCCACATCGCTTCTTCGAGGCTTAAGAGCAACACAGAGTTTGAAAATGATTCAAAAGCTCAAACGAGTTTAGTTTTTGATTTGTGAATGGAAAGAGAGAAAACCTGATTCGCGATGTCCCACGGCGAGAAAGAGGAGTTCCGGCGTGGGTTTAAGCGAAGCGCAGAGCCGAAGACCTAATGGGCCCACAGTAGGCCCAAAATGCAAAGGCAGGAGGTTTTGGTTCACGGGCTTTATAACATAGCCCATGATCTATTCCAAAGGTCAGACTGTTTGCATCTGAAAAAGTCAATATTTCAAAGATAATGAAAAATCATCCTCCCAATTCAAAATTATTATTATTTTGTCACAAAAAAAATTCAAAGTAGCCACTTCATCCAAACTTGAAACTTTCTCGTTCATCTGTTTGCGTCGCCAAAACATGAGGACCAACTCAATCAACTTATTTTATTATATATATTATGTTTATATAATTTGTGATTGCAAAATTCAATAAATATTTAAAATTTCATTAAGAGCTTAAAAGTAAGAAATCAATGAAGATAAACAAAAAAAAAATTTGAATATTGATTTTACATTTAATATATGTCAAGTGATATACAAAAATAATTGTTAGGAAAATAATGAAAAAATGATGATATGGACAAATTAATTAAAACAATTATAATCATCAAAAAAGCTTGCTAGCAAATTCATCTCTGTGGGCAACATCTCTAAGCTCTGACAAGCTTCTTCCAAGCTTTAAAGCCACATTCATTTCATACATTTCTCCATCTTCTCTTCTTTCCAAATCTTTTTCTTCAAGTGTAGACTCAATTGATTCCTCCAAAAGAGCAAAGAATCCAGCGCAGTTTCTATACATTTCAACAACCATGCCCACTTGGCCAGCATGCTCAAATGTATTAACTGTGCTGGCTAATGCACCGGCGGCCACTGCCACTACTGCAGCCGAAGAAATGTTACCTATAAAGGCTGAGCCGACAGCTGCAATGCCAGTGAGCAATGGACCTGAGATGGCTAAAATCTTGCTTATCTTCAATGCTAAGTTGCCTAGTCTCATGTAATCTTCAGTATCTTTACCCTTTATCACTTCAATAACTTCCCTCATCTCTACTTCCAACTCCTTACTCCATCCATTTCTTTTTTCATTACCCCTTTTGCTTTTTGTTTGGGATTTTTTAGAGTTAGGCCACCAAACAGAAGGCTCAAATTTTGCAGGGAACTTTTCAATCATTTTTCCTAGCAAAGGAAGTGGGTAAGCTCTGTCAAGAGCCAATACCTTCTCCATTGCATCCTTGACGTCCAACTCAGTAGGATCATAAAGGGCAAGTGTAGTTTGTATTTGGCTATAAAGCTGTTTGAACAATCTGGTTGCATTACGTTGCTCTTCTGCTAGCTGTGATGGCTGGATTTGGTTCATGATAAGCAACATTCCTGTAGCTCCGGAGAACAAAAGAGCCGACGATAGCTTCAAGGCCAAAAGAGAAGATGTTTCTGCCCCAGCAGTTGCAGCAACACCAGCCATGGTTGTAGCTGTGAGAGTAATCATGTTAATAGAGTTCAAAAGAAGTTTGTTCCAATTGTCACGTTGCTCTCCAATGTTTTTGTGCATCTCCACTCTATCAGCTACAGCCTCTAAGATTGCATAAAGCTGGGCCGTTGCCTTAGAAGAGGTAGTGGAATTGATAAAAGGTTCATTATCCTTTTCTACTGTGATCGTGTTTGTTAACCCATCTCTTAAAATCAGTTCCTCAACCAATGAGTTCCTTGACGGTGCTTTTGGAACTGGGAGACGGATGGCTGGTAGTTTAGGGAGAGAAATGGCAGCATTAATTCCTTTTGAACAAATCCTTGAGGAAGAAGAAGAAGAGAACAAAAGACTTGAATTTTGTAAGAACGCCATATGACTTGTGAGGTTTCTTTAGTCTGGTTTGCTTTCTTTGATGTTAAAATTAACAAGTTAATGGAAAGAGCCGCAGCAACCTATTTATAAAGGTGGGATAGTAACGAACATAACTGAAGAGAAGCAGTCATGCATGGGCGCCGTTGAAATATGGACTGCCCGATTGAGTTGACCAGTCCATTTGACTGGACCTATTCTCTCTTGGTAATTTTCAAGTTCAAAACTCCTCCTGCATGCAATTGATGACATGGTAAAACTAATTAAAAATTGTTTGAGCTTACATATTAAATATCTCCCATTTCATAGCTCGTTCCCTTCCCACATAGCTAGGTGGAGATGGTATCACGAGCTCATCAGCTTCAGCTTTGGGTAAAGATACTGTAGCATATTGGAAGTTTGATTTCCTGGTCGTCTAGCTTCTTGGGCAATATGTTGGAGTATGTGGATAATCCCACGTCGAATAAATACAACTAACTAAAATAGCATATAATGTGAAGGGTGAACCAATCAAAATAATTTAGGTCATTTTGTATTAAAGGTAAGCCCAACTCATTATAAGCCCAATATTAAACATATAATTGAATTTGATTTGATTAATTTATTATTAGGGCCCAGATTCTCAACACAATAACCTTCTGATCCATATATGTTTTGTCTATCAAGAAACTATAACTTGTAATATTTGATAATTAGACCAAGGGGAAGACTAACCAATAAATAAATTATCAATAAAAGACAGTATAAATTTGGTGTAATTCACCCAAGACTCTGTTCGTAATATTAGAGCTACTGCTCTCCTTTTTTTTTTAAAAAAAAAAAAAAATTACCATCTCTACGTTTCATTTGAATATAATCACCTTAATTAGCATCACCATCAAAAATCACGTTCTCTACTTAGGTGGAGCGTGGAGGGGGTCATAATCATACGGCATCGGCAGCCCTTTGGTGCATAAAACTGTAGAAATTTTGAAATTTAATTTGAATTCTTAGTCTAGCACTGCACATCCATCTTAGTGGAGGGTTTATAGTTTCCTTTTCTTTATATATACATTCTATTTTTTTTAATTTGCATAATTCAGAAGAGGAAATATGCCTATTTGTCGGAAAATATTTTCTTATTATCTGAAAGGCTCAAAATCATTGAAAAAATATATATAACCCAAAGCTGCCTGGTGATTGGAATATAGCCCAATGGTATCAAATGAAAGTAGAGAGTATGGAGGAATCTTTTAATTATTTATAATTTAAAGAAAACATGTAAAAAGGTTTGTAATTACACAGTATAATCTTTCTTTTTCATGCAATTAAGTCCTTAATTTTTAATCAGTGGACGCAGTGAAACCCAGATACAAAATGACACCGATCCTCGGAACAATAACTCAGTGGCGCGACGCTGCTCGCTGCCGCCATCTCAGAAGTCAGCTTCCCCAAAGCCATAAGAAGAGAATATCATTATGAGAATAGGAATATTCCAGGCGTTTTTAACTTTTAAAACCCGCTGTACGCATTGACTGATCCGCCCCCGAAGGCGACGTGGGAAAAAGACCACCACTTGCATTTTCTTATTAATCTTTGCAAGGTAGTACAGATATTTTTGGAGTTATTACACAAGTAATTAGAAAAGCAGTTAAAAATCAAACTCTCTTACTCTCACTCTTACTCAAAACTTGAAACTGGGGAGACAAAAGCAAACGCAACATGGGATCGGTGGCAAAGAAGGGACTGCAACAGTATTTGTTACAGCTTCAGCGTCATCCCTTGAGAACTAAGGTGTCTCCCTCTTGCTCCTTTTGTTTTTTTTTATGCGTTTCTGGATGATCTCTACTCAAATTTTGAGGGAGTCTCTTAATTGACGCCGGGGACTGCTTAAGTTTCAATCTTTTCATATATCCCTATAGATAATGGAAATCGAGCTCAATTAGCCGTTAGTGGTTATTTGTCACTGAGGCAGATTGCTTTTATGTTCTATAATTAATCGATTTCGTAATGAATTTCATTGTAACGCAGGCAATTACAGCAGGAGTTCTGTCAGCCATCAGTGACATTGTAGCTCAGAAACTCTCTGGTATACAGAAACTCCAACTTAGACGCCTTCTTCTTAAAGTGGTAATAGCGTCTTTTCAGTTCTCTAAAATTTGGTTCATCAAATTAATTACTAGGTTTAGGCTTGATGGCTACTTTGTATGTCTGATCTACGAGTTCCTTTATCTTGGTTTAATTGCCATGCCCTGTTGCATGCCATTAAAGTAATTGCAGCAGTTTCTTTTTTGGTTAAATTTTGATTGAATTTCATGAGGGAAAATGGTTAGTTATAACTTATATTACAAATTGTAAATGTAAATTTTGTATCCATCAGCAATATTGAGAAATTCTCCAATATTTGATCTTCCTTTACTAGCATCTTAGATTATAAACATAGTACATAATTAGACATGAATTGATACTAGCATTTCAAAAATATATGTTAGTCATTTACAAAATATGATCCGCATGAATTAGAAAGATTCTTATTGATTGAAAAGGTTGTCTTTGCTGTTTGCTCCAGCTGAGGTATGGCCTGGAGGAAACCTGGTCTTTCCTCCTAGGAAGTGGTTAAATTAAATGTCAAATTGCGTTATGAATTCTTGGGTTTACAATCACAAAGGTTGCAGCTTTGACAAAAGCTGAGCATTACAAACATTTGGGATGATCCACCTGCCTAGATTTCACGCCCCCAACCTGGTTTCAGATGGAGTTTCATGTATGCTCTATGCCCTTTTGTGAACTGAACTGATCAAACCAAACAATTGGTACAATTTGCGCTCATGGAATTTGCATCAATGTTAGATCTTTTGAAGTAACCATTATTGAATTACTCTAAGCTGTTTACATGATAACGCTAATTTATATATGTTTCCCATCATGCATTTATTCGTAGCATCTATCCTAACATGGCAAAATGCAGCTTTTTGGGTTTGCATATCTTGGACCATTTGGGCATTTCCTACACATAATACTGGATAAAATATTCAAAGGGAAGAAGGATACCCAAACAGTTGCCAAGAAGGTATTGTGTGACTCCACATAATTGTAATATTCTACATTTGCAGTTCTTTATTTTCCATTTCTGCTTAAATTTCTTATCAAGTAATTAATTTTTCCATCAAATTCTTTTAATCTAACATGTATTATTGTTTGAATTGTAGTACTTGTGATCGATCAATCAACCACACTATTCTATGGCCTTTGTTGAAGTGAAATTGTTCTAAAATGTTAAACTAAAATTTTCAGGTTTTGCTGGAGCAGTTGACATCTTCTCCTTGGAACAACATGCTGTTCATGATTTATTATGGTGTGATTGTCGAGAGTAAGTTCAAACCTGGCTCAGCTTGACTTATCTCAATTCAACAAGGCTGCAATTCTGTTGAACAGGGTGTGATGATTATGTGTACAGAGTATGAAAACACACTTGAAATAGGCCTAAGTGCAGTTGTTAGTCAATAGCCAATAGTCTTATAGGAAGAGCAAAGAGGTCCAAGATATAAATTAGTTCCATGCAGAACTCTTAAAGCTGACTTTATCTAGATTTTATAAAGCATAAGTTGGTATTGTCAAATATTCAGACACAGTTAGCATGCCATTGCTTAGGAAATGAAATTTTAGTTTTATCATAGGAAAAAATGTGACTATTGCCTGTCAACTAACGGGGATGTGAAACTGAAATACAATGCAGGAAGGCCCTGGATGCATGTAAAAACTAAAATAAAGAAGGAATACCCAACAGTGCAGTTCACATCATGGACGGTATATATCTGTCCCTGTTATGATTATGTCTTTATGTTGATACTATTAAATGAAAACATTAAACATTTCACTTGTCATAAAACCTCAATGCTGCAGTTCTGGCCGGTTGTGGGATGGATAAATCACCAGTATGTGCCACTACAGTTTCGTGTCATTTTCCACAGTGTCATTGCGTGTTGCTGGTATAGTCTCATTTCACCTCTTTTCTACTTCCCCTTTCTGCATAAGTTTCTGTTTTAATTTACCAGTAAATTTTACCCAGAAAAGATGATTAAAAAAAAAAAAAAAATGAAATGGTCTAATCTGCTCCTCAATATTCTTCAGGGGAATTTTTCTAAATCTACGAGCAAAGTCTATGGCATTGACAAAAGGCTAGATAAATGGCAGGAGGTGACCAGTACTTTTATCTGAAATGTGAAATGCCTCTTCTTCCTAGAAGATTCTGTAATTGTATTGTTCACAGGCTGCATGTTTTTAAAAAGACATCAACTTGAAATATAATATTTCAGATCTCTATCTAATTACGTATTGATTAATTTTAACTTTGCATTTGCTTAAAATACGTTAGTTTGCTTCTGCAGAAGAACCGTTAAGGGTATCTACTTAAAGAGTTTCAATACACATATATATCTTTTTAATGAGTTTCACAATTGGAGCATAAACATTTTGACGCCCAGAAAGTAAAAACTCTCTAAGCCCGATGTTAAGATTATGTGTGAGAACTCAGGAAATATACACAAAAAAGGGATTGACTTTGAGGATTTATTAGAGTTTTGAAATCCTAAAAAGTTCATGAAAACGTGGAATGGAGCTTTTATTATGAGAATCCAACAATAAAAAGGCTTCACGAGAACCATTAAATTTGTTAAATATCTTTTCTTTTTGTTGGCAGAAAGATAAACCAAGGATTTGAAGTCCTTCCCATGTGTGTATATGTATAACAGTACTACTTGTTTTGGGGTTGGTCGTCCTTCTATTGCTGTTGAAAGTCAAAATGGAGAAGCTCACTAACTCGGTTTAGCTAAACATTCAAAGAGTAAAAATTACTCATCCCAAAAACTATATATATATATAAAGAAAGAAACTCGATCTGTTGAATAAAGAACGAGAGCAAATTTAAAAATAAAAAACATGGAAGCCATGGCCGCTTACCCAGCAAACTCACTCACACTGACGTATCCAATTCAATAGAGACAAGAGAAAATACATTCAAATATGCTTTATTATCATATCAGAATTTTAATTAATATATATATTGCATTTATCACGTGGCACTCTATTTAAATAATTCTTCAATCCTTAATATGAGTTCTCATTACGGTAAAATAAATAAATGAATGAATAAAATTATATATTTCTTTAATTAAACTACTTAAATTTTTTTAATTTCATAAATTCAGATCGTAATAAGCTTCAATGATTACAAGTAGTAGTATTACAAATTCACAATTGCAAAATGCCATTCAGTTCTTTATAAAAATAATAATAGTAAATTTATAAATATTCACAAGAAAATCACGTAAGCAACTTCCACAATATATAATTATAAAATGATTTCTCTATTGACGACAATATCTCCCATCCGGATCCGGTAATCCCGTTTATTTATCTTAAATAAATATTAATCATTTTTTCCAATTTGAGTTAATTGTTTAATGCATTCCAAAAATCGATAATCCTCGTTGTTTTAATTATAAAATTAGGTTTGTTAAATAAGATTAGTAGTTATTATATAATAATAGAAAAATTATATTTGATTAAAATAGAATAATAATATGAAATGAGACGAAATAGGCTTAGAGAGCAGTTTTGTCCTGAAGAATTACCAAGTGGTTGGCTTGGCTTTTTCAATAAAAATGAAAGGTCGTCTAATAAGTAATAACTCGTTATTGTGTTGAAAGTCAAAATAGGAATCCTGAGCCCAACATACCACAAGCTGCCAAATCCAGGACAGGCAGGAAATATTCTAAGCGTTATTTGTAAATAAATGAAAAGATTTCACAAAACGAAATAGTCTAATTTCTGAATTCAAAATAAACAATTTCAAGTTTCAACTGTTAGACCCTTTCTATCTCTTGTTTTTTCAGCATTCAACACCTCTATATAAATACCACATCAAGATCAAATCATACCCATTAACTCATTCTTCAATCTTAACCTTCTCTAAAGCCTAAACCAAATATCTCATTCCAATTTTGCAAGCTGAGAGATTATTAAATTTTAGAATTAAAGAAAGCCATGGCAACCCTTCAAGCTTCAAACTTTATGCTATCATCTTCATCGTATAAAAGCAGAAGAACGATTCAAGCAACTATAAACACACCCAAAATACGTATTAGTCCTCTTTCTTTCCCAAAACTCTCTAATAAAGGCTTGATGGAAGAATTAACCTTTACTTCTGATGACTGCAGAGTTCCAAAAACTACTATTTCTACCGAAACAGAAAATTTGTACAATAATAAGTCAGATCCTATGGTGATTGCTAAGCTCTATGCGATTATAGAGGCTGTGGCTGATAGAGTGGAGATGCACAAAAACATTGGAGAGCAACGCGATAATTGGAATCATCTTCTTCTAACTTCCGTTAATGCTCTTACTCTTGCTGCTGCTACAATGTGTGGATTTGCAGCCACAAATACTGTCTTTAAGGTTTCTTCAATAATACTGTACGTAGCAGCCACTGGCTTTTTGGCTATAATGAACACTATCCAACCATCCCAATTAGCTGAAGAACAAAGAAACGCAGCTAGATTGTTTAAACAGCTTCATGCACAGATTCATACAATGATTTCAATTGGCAGTCCTACCATGGATGATGTGAATGAAGCAATGGAGAAAGTTTTAGCTCTAGATAAAGCATACCCTCTGCCTTTATTAGGAGCTATGCTTGAAAAATACCCGGCAAATGTGGAGCCTGCAGCTTGGTGGCCGCAACGGAAGCCTAAACAAAATAAAGGGCACATTAGGAATGGAAATGGCTGGAATAAAGAATTGGAAGATGAAATGAGAAACATTCTAGGGGTTTTGAAGAGAAACGATAAGGCAGATTATTTAAAGTTAGGAAGTGAAGCGTTGAAAGTTCATAAGATGTTGGCGATTTCCGGTCCAATATTGACTGGCCTTGGAGCTCTTGGATCTGCTTTCGTGGGCATTAATAATCCATTGGCTGTTACAGTTGGAGTTGTCTCAGGTGCTTTGGCAAGCATTGTGAATACAATGGAACATGGTGCACAAGTAGGTATGGTGGTTGAGATGTATCGAAGCAATGCTGGTTTTTTCAAGCTTATGGAAGAGAGTATCGAGTTTAATATAAGCGAAAGAAGAGAAAATGGAGAATTGTTTGAAATGAAGACGGCTTTACTATTAGGGAGAAGCATATCAGAGCTCAAGAATCTTGCAGCATCTTCTTCTTCCACAACTGAAGAGTTTGCAAGCAAGCTTTTCTAGAGCTTATATTGATGTGAAATATTAGTTTGTTATTGTATATAATTAATCTAACAGAAATTAATTATTCAAAAATTAATCCTGCACTTTTTTCCTGAATTTTGCTTCCAATCTCCATTTGCCTATGATATCTTGGGTCTTGGAATGATTAAATTACGACCAAACACACCTTTCTCAATGAGCTATATATATATATATATATATATATCCATACAACTGAAGTATTTTTGCAAGCAAGCTCTTCTCTAGTAGCTTCACAGATTGATGTGTCGTAGTTCGGCAAAATAGATGGAACAATATTTCTACTTTTTGTTAATTGTATAGTAATTGATAATTCTAGACAGAAAATTGATAGTTAATTAACTCGTAAAAATTAGAATCGCCTGCACTTTTTTTCCATTGGTAATTTTGCTGTACCAAAACATCGTCTCTAATTTTCTGGCACCTTAATGATATCTTGGCTCTGGGAATAATTAAATCTAACGACAACACACCTTTCCAACAAGAGCTGAATATATATATATATAGTATATCTAATATATGTATAGTAAGTCTAAAACAAACAAATGAAAATGAAAACGAAAGTGTTAGTAACTGTATATATATATATATATATATATATATATATGTATATAAGCTAAAACAACAATGAAAATGAAACGAAAGTGTTAGTAACTGTAATTGAGTTACTGGTTTATTATTGTGGATAATAATAGGTTCTTTATTACTGGTTTATTATTGTGGATAATAATAGGTTCTTTATCTTCAAAAATAACTAAAAGGTGAGGATGCTGGTGGTGGTGAGGGTGGGCATGCATTAGATAGTGGTTTTCCACATAATCCAGCATTACCAGAAAAGCTGGCTGCACTGAAATTGCTTAGAATATCAGGAATTCGACCACTTAACTCGTTGTTTGAGACATTGAATTCCTGTAGTAGGTTTGAGAAACTAAAATCTGGTATTATCCCTCTAAGCTGATTGCCTTGGGCGAGGAAGGAAAGCAGGCCTGAAATTCCACTTAGAGTAGGAATGTTATCAGATAAATAATTGTTGGATATGTCCAGCCTTTTCAAGTTTCTCAACTGTAAAAGTCCATCAGGAATCCGACCGGAGATTCGATTGTCACTTATATACAAGTGAGTTAGGATTTTGCAATTTCCAATCTCGTCAGGAATGAAGCCGACAATGTAGTTCCTTCTCAAGCTCAAAATAACAAGAGAATTAACCTCACATAAAGAAGATGCATCAATTGTTCCTGTTAAATTGAATTCATCAACAACTATTTTCTTTACGGTTTGCAGCTTAGAGTCACAGGTGACACCTACCCAACCATCGGTGCAGGGGTCTGAGGTGACGTTCCAACCCAAGTTGTTATCATTTCCTTCTGAAAGTTTATCCATGAACTGCACTAACGCCTGCTTCACATTTTCTTCTACAGAATTTGACATTGGAAACACATTAACCAGAAGAAACATCAAAATGAGGAACACCGAGAATGGAATGCGATCCATCCCTTTTGCTTGTAGAAACCAACTTCTCTAGTTTCTTTTTTATAGAGTGCGTTAGGTTTTGGACTTGATCAAGAGGAAGAAGGAAACAAATTAATATGATATGATAATATTGATCGTCAATTTTGATTGTTGACAGACTGAATTTCCAAAGTGAACTTTTGTAATATTCTCAGTAATTGCCTTCCACAACTAAGCCAAAAGAACTAAAACGACATCTCAAATTAATCAGCGGCCTGCAGTTTAAATTATAACTAAACATAATTAGAATATACAATTGTTAATCTGCAATGATTAACTCTGGATAGTTTATAAATTCAGATATGTTTGGTGTAATTAATGCGTAATTGTAATTTTCAATTGTGTTTGGGCTTCTGTTTCTGATTGTGTTTGGGCTCAGCTTGTAATTTTTTAATTCTAGCCCATTAATATAATATAATATTGTTTTTTTGGAAATAGAAATTATACATATAGACACACGTGAATGCACAATATTACCCCACCAATACTAATTATTTGCCTAAATTGATAGATGACGTGTCAGTCAGCCCATTCTTCTTTTATCTTTTTAATAATTCTTTTAAAATATACAAATAAAGTAACATGGGGCAAAAGATAATTAGCTTTTGCAGATTGTTAATTAATTGCCGTTAATGATGGATCTGGCTAATCACTCCCAACTACTTGTGATGTCAAATTAATGTAGCCCTTGTAAAAGATGACTGGCCTGGTTTGGTTTGGTTTGGTTTGTTGTTTATCTACCTTGAATCATCATCCAAGAAACCAACCAACCAAACCAAACCAAATAAAATAGAGAATGATTCATAATCTTTTTCTCAGTGAAGTTAAATATGAGAAGTATAAGCCCTTAGTTGCCAATATATAAAAAAGTGAGGATTCTTAAAGAAATAAACAAAAGAACTTTCGAAGCAGATGGACTCGTCTTAGGACCAAGAAATTGAATTTCATTGAAAAACCTCTTCTACTTCTCTTCAATTGTTCTGCTCTTCAATTTTCTCTGCTTTCGATCGACATTGTCATAAGCTTACCATAGCTCACTTCCTCCAAAGATCAAACCTTTGATCTTTGAATTCTGTGATTTCGGATTACACGAAACAATTAAGATATGATTAATCTACTGTACACAGTGATTTTCTCGGAGATGACGTTGATAATGGTGCTTATTTTCAAGACCCCATTAAGGAAGTTGGTGTTAATGGTTCTTGATCGGGTCAAACGCGGTCGCGGCCCAATCGTCGTAAAGACGGTGGCGGGAACGGTACTTGTGGTGTTGATATCAAGCGTGTATAGTATGATGAAGATCCAGAAGCGTTGGATCGATGAAGGTGCTGTCAATCCAACTGACCAGGTTCTCATGTCCGGTCACCTTCTTCAGGCTACTCTTATGGGTAATTCTTTAGTTACTGTTCCATTCATAAGAACAAATCACCTTTTATGATTGAACATTTTACAGATCCAATTTTTTTTTTTTTTTTTCCATTCATGGGAATTTAGTTATGTTGGTGCTTTAGAATGTGGTAATAGTAATGCTGTCTGAAGTGTGCATTTTTGTCTTTTAATTGTGATATTGGCCTGTCAGTTAGTTTCTTCGAGTTTTCACCTAATTGCATATGATAAAATGAGTTGTTTGGTAGAAGATTTTAGTTGAATAGCTGTTTCTTGGAAATAAAAATGTGATTTTTTTTTTTTTTTTTTTTCCTAAATTTGCATATATAAAATGAGTTGTTTGGTAGAAGAATTTTAGTTTGAATAGACTGTTTCTTGGAAATAAAAATGTGATTTTTTTTTTTTTTTTTTTGGTAAAACCCTGATTTATCCGCTTAGAGATCATAAAAATTTTGAGACTTTAGAAATCTATCAGAGCTTTTAGTTGTTTTCAAATTTAAAATTCTATGCACACATTTTCCAATTTTTTTTTTTTTTTTTTTTGTAAAACCCTTGATTTATCCGCTTAGGAGATCATAAAAATTTGACTTTAGAAATCTATCAGAGCTTTTATTGTTTCAAAATTTAAATTCTATGCACACATTTCCAATCTTTAGATTGTTATTGACTTGAATCAACTGGAGCCTGAATGATTTGATTTGCCAAATCTTGGAAAGGAAGGAAATAGGATCGTAATTCAACTTTCAGAAATATGATCTGTTGTTACAAATGGAGCTATTTTCTTTAGATGTACTAAGCTTTCTTTCCCCTGTTTCATCTCGATTGCTGCTAATAATTTTATGAGTTTTTCCATGTGCTGCGTAATTGTTTCCTCTCTTATTTATTTGGTCTTTTGAATAACCATTACATTTATCATATATGTTGCTTATATGATTATTGTTATCTCTTTTGTCATTCACGAGAAAAATTTTATTGGAGGGAGAAAACGTTTTTTTGGTAATGTATTTTTATCTTTCCTTATTCTGTTGAAATTCTTGTTGCTGCCTGTCCTTCAAGTATTTTGAGTTTCCTTTTCTCTTGCTGAATTATTGGTCCTTGGACCTGTAATAATGTAGATTTTACTACCTGCAGGATTCTGTCTTTTCCTTGCTCTAATGATAGACAGACTACATCATTATATTAGAGAACTTCGAATGCGGCGGAAGAGCATGGAGGCAATAAAGAAACAAAGTCGAGCTTTTGAGGATGGAAAAGTAGAGGAGAGTAAAGCCATGGAAGAAGAGATAACTACACTGCGAGCAAAACTTAAGCATCTGGAATCTGATCTGGAAATGAAGACAAAAGAGGCTCATGCTTCAGAAGCCAATGCAGTAGCACTAAAGAAGCAAGCTGAAGGATTCCTTCTCGAGTATGACCGATTACATGAGGAAAACCAAAATCTGCGGAACCAATTGCAATCTTTGGACTTGACATTATCACGATCGGGTAGCAAGAAGAATACTTGAGGAACCAAGCAGTTTTGCTAAATATTTGTTTATATTATTTACCTGAAAGTCTAAATGTGGGTTTTGTTGATTATAATTTTCTAATCTATGCAATGTTGTAAGTGTGAGCCCTGTGGGGAATGAAAGACATGCAAAATAGGAGAAAGGACAGAAATAGGTTTTCATTTTCTTTGTTCAATTCAAGAAGGGTTGAAGTTGAAATAGAATGGATCAATTTTATCAGGATGGATTGTGGCATACATTTTTAGGACAATTTAACTGAATATTATATGGTCAACTTCTTCTTCTTATTCTTCTTCTTCTTATTATTATTATTATTATTATCATCATCATTATTATTATTGTTTTCAATGAATGGTTCCGAAAGAGTAGTGCTGATCTGAAATCACTTGCACGATTCCAAGGAAACTGAAAGGTAAGGATTTGCACTTCATTAAGTAAAGCATAGTTCAAGTCCTTATTCTTTAATTATTAACGAGAGACAGCATGGGATCATTTTGGTAGAGAAACCTATCTATATTTAGTGCAGTGAGTAGCATCAAGCCAATTAAAACAAGAACTGAGAGTGCAGATAACAATAGCATCAAGCCAGATGCTGTGTGACCTTTTACCTCTTTTGCATATTCAGCAGAGGCAAGAGCTAGGACCGTCAATGAGAAAGAGTAAGCCCACCACGCGACGTTGAATTTTCTCATGGTTTTCTTGAAAAGAGATGGCCTACAAGCCTGTTAGGAAGTAGAAAATCAAAGTAAAATATCAACTTAATTGGTCCTAAACGGAAATGCTGTAATTTTGAATGTAAGTTGATTACCAGAGACATGAAAAGGAACAAAGAGAGAAAGAACAACATCTTTGATGTCATATCAAAAGTTCCAGAAATAGAATTCCAAGCTAAACTTGCCACGCTCGGTGCAGCGAAGAACAAGAAGAATGCAGGCCTCAGAATTGCAGGAAAAGAATAGCTTCCCGATAAACGCTGATAAAGTGTAACAAAGAGTACTAAGTAATGCACCATCCCAAGCGAGAACATACAAATTGCACCTTCTTTATGCTCTGCTTGTGCTGCTGCTATTGCAACAGCTAAGTTGGCTATCACAGACATCTGGCTAGTTGGATTTGCAAGAGCAGATAGGAACTTCTTTTCTGTCGTAAACCACTGTCCATACAGCTTTAAATCAAGGATCAGAATAGGAATAGCAAAGACCCAACAAAGAACAGGATAGAGATGGGCAGTGAAAGAAACAGGCACAGGCGATGATTTAAGCAAGAGAAGCCATGAAATCCAAGGAGCATAGAGGAAGTTAACTCCTATATGGTGCAAGAACTCTGCCTTTACCAAGTGAAAGTGAAAGAAACACTTAACAAGGTAAAGAAGGGAAAGGGAAAGTTGTGTTAGAATGGCAAGCCCCCATAGGGAGAGAAAAGCAGCGGAAGGAAACTTGCGAAACATTTGCCAGACTGTTGGTTGATTACTGTAAGACTCGGTCATTAGAATCTTCCATAGCAAAGCATGGCTGCTGAGAGATAGGCTTATTCTGAAATAGCCTGCATGCAGCCTTGTTAAGATTGATGATTCTGATGGTTTTGGACCACTTACAACCGAAGCCTTAATAATTATGACCTCACAAGGTGGTCCTCTACTACAATCTCTTTCTGCCATTGCCATAAAGTACATATGGAGTTAACAGCTTTGAGTATATGCAATCTGCCATTGCATTGGTGTAACTATATATTGGTAGCTTAGGGGGCAAATGACCCCTGACTTATAGGGGCCTTTTTTCTTTATAAAAGTTAGGGCTTTGTTTAGGATTGCAATTAGAAATGCCTATGTAAACCTACAAATTAGGTAATTAAAGGTAATGCTCTTTGAGGACTGATAATGGAAGGAAAAACTAGTTTATTTGGACTTAAGCACCTAAATGAATATGAATACTGCCCCACTCTGTATTAGAGATAGGGTTTGTCGGTGCTTTAACAAATACAGTATATATAGAATATTTCTTTAAGTGGTGGATGTGAAGTACTCAAGTTAGGTACATCTTAGGTCATTGGTTCTAAAATTTGGATTAGACCAATCAGAAGCTTAGTGCTTGGAGGAAATCGGATAAAGAGGAGCCAACTTATGACATGGCTTTGCATTTGATGGAATTTTCATACTTGTCCACTAATCATCAAGTTGGGAAAAGCTGCCCACAAACCAATTTCATTATATTCATCGGATTTTCTAACACTCCTGTTGATTTTAGGTAATCCTGATAACATGTTAGAAAAAGAAAAAGAAAAATTATGCAAGAATTGCAATGTAGAAGTAGAACACTGAAATGGTATTTCCTTCTTGTCAAAAATTAACTCATTTGTACAAGAACAATGAACACCCATAGGTAATATTTTATGAATAGTAGCATCGTTAGTGTTAAATGTGGTCAGCCCACCAATGGTTGATATCAGCTCGTCGTGGCTCGAATTAATAGAAACATATTCCCCACCTAAAGTATAACTATTACCCATTTCTTGATTGGCATCTACGAAGCTGCCAAACTTTTCTTGGGTGCTATCTTTTCCTCTTACGGTAATCCAATTGTCATCGCTTTCCCAATTTGGTACTCGGGGCTGGGTTTGGGCCAACTTGCTGATTCTTTCTATTGGAGAATGTGGATTTCCTTTGCTTTTATGGGTCCATTTCCAAGTTGTCTCCACCTCCTCATTTGGGTCCCATAAGGACAATTCTTGGTGCTCCAATACGCTTGTTGGACTATCCACATTAATCTCCTTCAAAACACTTGTTGGACTGTCCACATTAAAACCCTCCTCTGCAATAAAAGAATGGTTAAGTAGCTCACTGGCTGACCATCTCTCCACTGGATCTCTCTTCAAGCACTTGCTTATAAAATCTTTGCCTTGCTTCGACATAAAGCTTGGAATTTCTGGCATACTTTTATCTGAAAACCCAATTTGATATATGGCCGAAACTGGATCCGAGATATTGGTCCACGGAGCTCTTCCGGTGGCCATTTCCACAACCGCACACCCAAGAGCCCACACGTCAGCAGGGAATCCCTGGTGTTCACCACGCGCCACCTCAGGTGCCATGTAGATAGGAGTACCGGCAATAGTAGTTCTCGCCGTGGCAGAGCAAAACTGATCAACCCGTCTAGCACAACCAAAATCAGCAAGTTTTGGCCCATCACTAGTGACCAGAATATTGTGACATTTAATGTCACTATGTATTATCCCATTAGAATGAAGGTGGTGAAGCCCTAACAATATTTCTCGAGTGTATGATCTAATGATGCCTTCTTCAAGACACCCTCCACGGAGGCGAATCGCATCAGTAAGTGTCCCTGCAGGTGCGTATTCCAAGAAGATATTGTAGAAGAGCTTACCATATTCTTCAGTGACTTCGAATCCTTTGTATGCTATAATTTGAGGGCACGGCCTTAATGTAAAGAGAATACTTTGCTCCTTCTGCAAGAACTCTGATTGTGAGAGTTCAGCTGATTTAACAGCAAAAGCCTGATCGGACTCGTCGACGGTAGCAATTGAGACGGTGGCCGTCGAGCCTCGGCCAATGATTTGGCCTCTAGTCCAGCCCATTTTGGATAAATGAGGAAGAAAGGAGCGAAGGATTTAAAGAAAGCTTCGGTTAGGCATATTAGTTAGGTAAAATATTATACATATACACACACAACGATTAGTATGTTTTGTGCTTTTTCGGAAGCTTTGTTTTATAGCCAATGGGCGGCCGCCGTTTCTTTCTCTCTCTAAAGGAGAGAGTTCCAAGTGGCAAAAGGAGTGTGGTTTGAAAGCTTTTGGCCAGACTTGTGGGCGGTTGCTTAATGGCCAATGCTTAATTAGCTTAAGTATGAATTATACTACCCCACGTGCCAGCACGTGCGGAATGTGCATAGAATGTAGTGACATATTTATTGACATGCCATATGAGGATGGGATACAATGGATGTAGTACCATTTGTAAGGGATATTCCAAAGTTTATGTATGTGGGTTAGGAGTAAGTTTGCATGTACAAGTCTAGTTTTATGCCTTAATTTACATGACTTGGACTTTTAAGTCTAATTAGAAAATGTAAACTTATGCAAGTAAATCTCCTCCCATGATTTGATATCTTGAACTTGTACACAATTTAGTTACACGAACGGAGCTTCATTAATTACCTTCGATAATTTAAGGGATTCTATTAAATTATTCGTTCCCTTAACGGTCAAACGAGAGACTAATCCTTTTTAAATTTAAAAGCCAAGATCACTAGAGTGAATTTAATGCGCTTCAATCACTAAATCAAGCTATTTTGAATAAGTAATTTCTTAATCTAATAAATGAAGTTAGCACTATTTTTAGAGATATTGATTAAAAAGTGCCAAACCCATAAAAACTAACATAAAGATAGACTAGTACTTGTTGTTCTAGGATTGTAGGCGAAGCATTCAAGAGGAATATTGTATTGATTAATAAAAAAGAGGAAAAAGGTAAAAATGAAAGGATTACATATTTTAGATGATTAATAATAATAATAATAATAATAATAATAATAATAATAAGAGAACACCTTGAAATTGTAAGTTGCAGCTAACTCCAAGAAAGCCAATAGAACAAACCAAACCAAAAGTGTTGGAAGTAGTTGTAAAAACAGAAAAGTGAAAGCCAGCCAACAAACTAGAGTAGCCATTTTCCAACTCACATTCTCACACCAAACCTTCTTTCTTTGTTCTTTACACACTCATCTTATGTTCCTTTTGAGCACAGTTAGGGGCTTTGGGCGGCTCTTTTGATGGTATCTATGGATGCGTACCTTTCAAGTAACACTACCATTTTCAGTTTCGTGTGGCTATACCACCATTTTCTTGGCTTCTATTCCTTTCATTTCTTCGGTTCAGTAAAAGTTATAGGACCCCACATTTTCTTTTCTTTCCCTTTTTCCCAAATTTGTTGCCTGTTTCTCAGCATCAATCCTTTGAATTGTGGTTCAAAAGTGACATAAAAGGATTAAGTTTTAAGCTTATTCCTCAAAGAAAGCAATTCTACTAAATAACTTGTATTAGCATTACATTCATATCCGTCGTCATGTATATATATTTACACAGTTGACCTTGTTTTTGTAGTAATATGCATGAATCCTTGTACTTGGAAGTTGGAAGTTAGGAACTATAATTCGAAGCCAAGTTGTACCTCGTCCCTTAATTATTTCACTACCTTCCTTTTTAATCAACAATTAGAAAATCTTCAAGTTTTCTCTCTACTGAAAGAAATACCAACATTGAAATGGCAGACTTCCAACTTAAGGTCTTTAGATTATTTCTTGCCAAAAAAACAAACTCCCCTGATGACAGATTGGAGGAGAGCAAATGTTTTTTTTTTTTAATTCTCCTGTTGTTCATTATCGGTGTTGATAAAGGGCGCCACAAATCACTCAAATTGCCAAATATAATTCAAACTGATTCAAAAGTTATTGATTTGATTTAATTTATAATTTGTTAAAAACCAAAATATTAGTTTAGTTTGCAGTTTGAAGTTGAAAGCTAAAATGTGCATTTAGATTAGTTAAATTATTTTTATTTTTACTAAATTATGTATTATGTTAATAAATTAGTAACAGTTTGTTTTCAATATAAAGCTAATTTTTTTTTATTATTTTCTTCTTACTTTTTCAAACCACCAACCAAACCAAACCTTAACCTTATATGAATTGATTTAAATACCCTTCATAATCCTCATGTTGGTAGTATAATTTAGGATTGTGAAAGAGTTGCTTGTAATTTGTGTTGTGTCAAAAAGTTGGCAAATCAGGTTTCTCATTCCTTATCAAGGGCTTCGTTTTCTTTGTGCGATGGATATATGTATATATATAGGATTTAGTTCCCTTTCGTTCTTGCTTGATGTAATTCAATTTCATAAGATTATCATTCTTTTTTACAAAAATAATAATAATAATAATAATAATAACAATTTAATTCGATTTGAGTATACAATAATGATGTATTTGGTGAATCAAATTATTTATATAATTATAAATTCTCCAACAGTAACTGACAAGAAATTTCACATTTGAAAGATATTAAAAGCTAAGCTAACGACACAGCTGGAACTGTCCACATCACTCATCTCTAGAAGGATGGATTATGGTTGGAGATTTCTACATATTCTACACAGTAGAGACCCAACTTAGTCGTCACCTGCTCACAATTTAAGCTCAGTAGATAAATTACCCATAACCAAGAGGTGAAGCGCATCATTTTCTTGAACTAAAATCCGCTTATCCACACAAGACATAAAAAATATTTACAAGCAAACATTCGCCTCTTACGCCAGGCCCAACACCACTATAAAGTTTCCAGGAACTACACCATTTTTGAAAGGCACATATATTACATATGCTGGTAGTACACAGGAGTCGGAATTGTGTGGAAGGGAAACCTCTACGCTGCTTCTGCAAATCCAACTCTGTTATTGCCAAAATCGAACACAGTGTGGTAGCGACCCATGAAAATATCTCCCAAGATCCTGAACCATAATAACCAATGGTTAGAACAGAACGAGCCATAGGATCAGTCGAGGGTATGATCATTGATAGTAAAGATGAATAAGTATCGATTACCAAAGAGGTCCACGAGGAGGAGGCACATCCAAACCAGTAAACCCGCTAATGCACTGAGCTGCCGAACCCTCGCCCACCTTGAGAATGTACTGATCACCACCCACAGAAAATGCCATAAGAGCAATGAATTAATATGCAAACTAAATGAACAAAGAGATTTGATATTTAATTCAAAATAACATTTGATAGCAATAGCAGAAAATTTCCAATGACAAACCTCCTCTGGGGTGAGTTCAAAAAGCTTTCCTGCTATTGTGAAGGAAATAATAGGCATTGAAGAGAGACTTCCGCAGTCCACAGCTGACTGCCCCAGTGGGCTTGGAATTCGATCACAGAGCTGAAAGATGTAATATAACAATCAGCAAGAGAAGCATATCCCAAGCAATCAGTAAATAAAGTGTTGCACATGTAATTTCACATTGCTGGCATAGTTCTATAATTATTAATAGACGTATCATGTTAAGTTTGAATAAAAAAGAGAGAGAGATGTATCTTGAATTTCTTTAACCTCATTGACATAGTTCAGTATACGATCTTGCGTCTGATTCTGCCTCAGCTGGTTCTGCATCCAAACAACTGTCATCTCACAGGCAGAGCACATAGCATCACGAGCAATACCAGATGACTTATCATTTCTCTCATCAACCACACTCTGAATGCCCATGCTATTAAGCACAATTTCAAACAAATAAATTAATCACCAACTAAACTTTTTCCAGTAACAACAGGCAGAGGTATAAAGGTTAATGACTTGCAGCGAAAGAGAGAAGGTTCTGAGAGGAACAAAAACAAGAAGAAAGCAAAAGAACAACATGCTTAGGAACTGACCTAACACCATGTGTCCCATCAAATGTGCACAATCCAACTTGTGAGCAGATTTTCTTTGGCTGAACCTGTCAATACAAGCAGAACCATGGGTGAACCCTCTGCAGAAGCTACATTGGACCTTTTTTTTTTCTATTTGTTATTATTTTCCTTCCTTTTATTTCAAGCAAAAAATGAGGATCATAAAAGAACTACTAACAGAGTTACAGTTTTCACCTCCATGAGAAGCAAATCCATTATGGTTTGTCCATATTGAGCAACAACAGCTTTGCACTCCTGGCTAACAACTCCAGTAGCACCAATAGCTTGATTTATCATGGTAACCACAGTCTACAAACAAAAAGAGTCAAGCAGCCCAAATATTTAAAGGATAAGCAAAATCAACATTCAATAGCATAGAAATGAATCCACAACAGTGCAAAGTTCTAAACTGTTCATAAGCGATAAGTGTCTGAATTTCAAATCTCAAAGTCTGTGTGCCAAGATTAGATGATTGCAATAGAAGGGGCTAAATCCTTGTACAAAATGATTAATAATAAACTAGTTCTTATTCATCCATTCAATCTGGGACCATCCACATAACTATCAGATAACAACTTTGTGATTGTGATCACAAGCAAATTTAGGGATAGAGGTATTAGGGTACCTAAATAATACGCTAGCAAATCATGTTAAATAAGAAATCAAGCATCCAACAGGACAAATAAAATTTAAAGCAAGTGTTCATACCGTTGGACCTGCCAACAAGGAAGTTCCAGAGTCCGCAATTGCCGAGCAACTTCCAGCACAATACCCTGCTCATAGTTAGCTTAACTAGTTAGAACCAAACGATGAAAGACCAGATATTTGGAAGAGAAAGCAAATGGGCATTATCCACATTAACATATGCATTATATCAAATCACACAGCTTTTTACTACTACAACAGTTTTAGTTTATTCTGAAAATTGTATGTGTAGAGGGTACATACCAGTTGGTTTGTCACCAATAAGGATATCACCCATTTCAAACTATCAAAAAAAAAAAAAAAAAAAAAAAATTTTAGTTTTATTCTGAAAAATTGTATGTGTAGAGGGTACATACCAGTTTTGGTTTTGTCACCAATAAGGATATCACCCCATTTCAAACTATCAAAAAAAAAAGAAAAAAAAAAAAAAAAAAAAAAAAAAAAAAAAGGCATAATTAAACAAAATTAGAAAATAATTGAAGAATACACATGCAACCTTTATTAGGCGCAACAATTGAACAGGCAATGACCAGCCAACCTGCCAATAGCCTTTTTGTGTTACAGGAACATATGTATGCTTGCCCTTGTAATGATTTGGGTCCACACCACCAAATACAATTTCACCTCCTTCTTCTTCCTCTGTATTGCGGTTAAGCCAAAAGGAAAACACCGGTTCCTTGATAAGGCCTTGTTTAATCATGTTGTACCTGCAAGCCATGCAAGTGCCTCAACTAAAATACAAAAACAAGAAAAAACTTAAACAACCAAATAAAATAAAAACACAAGGCACATACCAGACTGGCACAGCATTTCCAACAGAAATTTCTCGAAACCCAAGTCCAAGTATACCATCAAATTTGGCTGCCAAAAATGTGACACCAGGCTCCGAAGTTGCCTCAATAAATTCCTGAAAAAGATTTATCCCAGAATTAAAACAGGGACGTAGACAGGGAATATAAAACAGCCGAGAGAACAGGGTAGAAATCAAAAGTAGGTCTAAGAAAATAAGAGAGGGAAGCATAAGATTACCTGATCTTTTACAACCAGGTTACCCACTCTGACATTGTCATAACTAAAGAAACCTGAAATAGCTCCGCTACCATACTGAATTTCAGCAGATTTCCCTGCATAATTAATCATGCCAGATAAATTGAAAATGGTTCAAAAATCTGCGTACAGCATGTAATTGGGTGGGTTTGACTAACAATAACACAAGAATGAACGGGGCTTAAGAATTATATTGATGGATCACATATGCACACTTCCTACATTAATTAGGACAATTAACTCCAGAGCAAACTAGAAATTTGAGTTTAATCATTCCCTTTCTTTATTTTTCTGTTTAGAAAATAAAGAAAAACTATGTTTGTACTCAAGTAAGCAAATATCTCATAAAATAGTGAATTTTATGGTTAACTTCAAATTGCCTAACATGACATGAATAAATTAAAACTACACAATAAATTTAAAATCAAGCTAAAATTTGTGCAAATGATACGAACACTTTGCAAGTTTGCAACTAATTGCAGGAAAAAGCATACCATTCTGCCTGTAGGTACTTGATTGGCTTGACTTGTACTTGGAGTGAAAGTAACAAGCAATCTATACAGCAAAACAAATCCATAAATTTGTTGTGCATAATTAAGAAAGTTCATCTGATATGCACTCAAATGATAAATACATAAAACTCACAGATAAAAAACATTTGGACGACGGCACCCACAAATTGGAGCTACCGGTGTCAAAGATAACAGTGAATTTCTGAGGAGGAGTACCAACGTCAATCTCACCATAATACTGAGCATCCATGTAATTCTTCAATGCAACAATATCAAGATCCTCAGAGTCTCCCAAATTACCCCGAAGACCATACTTCCTCACAGAAGCCCTCGATGCCTCTTTTGACTCAAGCTGGGCTGCAATTCTGCTGTTTTGATCCAATTTAATCTTTTTCAAGCCAATTCTAACCAACCCATCATTGGGCACTGAGTACACCAAGGAAAACAGCAGGGCGGGCAGAAACAGAGAAAATGCCAGTGGTTTCAAGTTGATTCCCATGTTTACCTACAGTTTGGATATTTTGCTGAGTTTCCAAGTTTTAAAAGGTATCATATAAACAAAGAGGGAGCTAATATCATTAACCACGAGGCCTGACAACCACTTTAGCAGGGCACACCTAGATTGTTTCAGTTAATCGAGGTCACCTTTAACTTTTACTTAAAAAATAAAATAAAAATATAACAGAAAGAAAACAGTGACATGAAGGGAAATAGTGAAAATTAAATCATTAAACGTAATATTCCTACAAATCATTATTCAATTGGAATAAAACAGAGTAGCAGACAATCAAAATCCTGAACGAAATCCTCTTATTTATGTGCAGGTCCTTACCAAAGGAAAACCTCCACTCCAATTAGCAGTAGTCCATAATAACAACAACACTAACAAATTTTATCCTAGCACCAAAACAGAACCCTTAGATTTATCCTAATGTTATACCAGTTGTCGTTTGGTTGTTCAGGTTACAGCCTACGTGTGGCTAGATGTATAAAAGACCACCCAGGCACCTAACATGTTGTCGTATAACCGTTCATGACTTCATGCTCCATAGGTTGTGTGTACAAATTCCTGAAGACTACATGCCGGGTCGTCTACATTTGTTTAAAAACTAAAACTAATACTTCAATAATAATAATCAAACGACGTTCATCTGATAAGTACATAGACGACAGTATATCACTGCTTTGGACGACTGGTCGTCTACGAAAAAATTAAACGAGTAACTAAGTATCTCTAAGATCAACAGCAATAGATTCTTCGGGAAAAAAAGAATCAACAGCAACAGTAAAGGAGTAATTGAGTATCCTTTTTGATTTCCTTATGAACAACAAAATCTTCAAACAAAGCAGATTACATTAGACACTAATGAAAGAAAACCGAACCAAATAGTCAGTCATTACCACTAAACTTCAAGACTACCACCTTAACGCATGGTGGCATGCGTTTATTTCAAGACAAAACAAAAAGAAAAAGCTAGCCGAAAACCCATTCTAAAGCTAGAACAGCCAAAAATCGAGAAATAGAGATCAAACAATATTGAGCAAAATAATAAACGAATTAGATATATATGAGCAGACATTACTCACAGGTAGATTGTCGAAGACGAGAAAACCGAAGAGAGAATGAAGGAGAATGCCACAACAGAGGTGAATATATAGAATAGAACGCTGAGCGAGAGAGAAGGTGAGTGGGGGGTGGGGGCTTGAGGGCAACCTGTCACCTCCATAAGACCCACAGGGCCCAGCTCAGCTTCCCTTGTAAATGTTGTTTTATTATCTTAATCAGAGCTTTTAATCTAAACCGTCGAATACGCGAAACCGTCTGATTTGAACCGTTGATCAAGGATAAAGCGCTCCCAGACGCACGATATTCTTGTTTTATTAGCGTTTCATTTTGGGATTGTTAAAACAGGATAGAATATGATTCCTTATTTTAGCTAAAAATATGTTAAAACTCATCATGGCCGTTGATATTGTAACAGATGCTGATGGAATAGTCAGAGGCACAAGTCTCGTGACGCGGGATTTTTTAAATGATGAGCTAACGTGTCAACAAAGTATGCAATGTGGTGTGCCTTAGCACGCGACGCTATATGACATGACCCCTCCGCCCTCTCTTCTCTTATGAGCCAAGTGAAGAAGGGGTATGTAATAATAGAGGAGGCGTGAGTATGATGCAACAAACTGCATAAAGGAAGGTGCTTGCCTAGAAGCAAGTTGTGCTGTGTTGTGCCGCATCTCATTAAAATGATGTCAAAGCAAAGCAGCTATGATTGGTTGTTGAGTACAAGGAACATATGATTCATTATCATTAATCAACACACACAGGTAAGGCTAAAAATGGTATATACATAAAGTAAGCTTGAGCCTTAGATGAGTTTTGGCCCAACTTATTCCAAGCCCATTCACTTGCATAGATTTTCAGCTGTTACTCACTTGCTTGCATTAATGGGCCACGGCCCATTATTATGCTATATTTTCTAAACCACGGCCCAATAGTTCTCTTCATTTACATGGCGGCAATGGCTGATTAACTCCTCATCACTTGGGAGGCCGGGTAGTTTGTTTTGCTTTAGATATTATATTGGTAAAACTACTGTGTTAGAAGCCTTGCTGGGATAATATTGGCAATATTACCAAGTTATTCTCATTTACTTATTAAAAATAATAGTTTTACCAGTTATTTGACTCTGATTTCAATCGGCTAATCTTTTTCTTTGAGATGATATTCATTTTAGATTTATTCCTATTTTCGAGAAGTAAATCATCTTGCGAATTGATTTGCTATTTTCTGCTTCTTTGCATTTAGGTTTATATATCTTGAACCATCTTCCTTAATTTGGAGATATGTGATTTTCCTTGCTTTATAATAGCTAGTCGAGTCATTTCTTTTTTTCATAAAAAAATAAATAAAAACATGTATTTATCCAAGTACATGTATGCTAACGTAAACAATTTTCGCAAATCCTTCTATAATTATAATTCTAGATGACGATTATTATGTGCTTTGTCATATAAGTAATATGAAACCCAATAAAAGAAGAGGATAGACAATTGGAATAATCATTCACGAGTGTCCGAAATCACCAATCACATGAAAGCATGTGCTCAAAACAAACGGTAAAGTCGAAGAAGGGCAGATTAAAAGATTATTGTACGGTAGATCACGTACGGTGCGACCACAAAGTTCCACGTTGGATTATTCGTATTTTTCTAATAATAATTAAATGAGGATGACGTTATCATTTCAATCAAAATAAGTCAACAATCTTTAATGGATATTCATGATCCACGAAACTTCCACCCAACGTTTTCTTTATATTATTTTTCCAAATTGAATATCGAAAAAGACTGTATAATTGTTAATTTGTATTATGAAAAAAATAATAATTCAATCATATTGTTTGAAAACAACTTTCACCCGTTTCCGGTTACCTTCATTATACTCCAACTATTTTACGTGTCAAATGGTGATAGCCGTATTTCTTGACCGCTAAGAACACCATATTCGTTGGCTTTTCTTTTTCTTTCCTTTTGAACTTTTCTTTTCTAATTTTCCATGGTTGATACTCAGACAAATAGCTAAATAATTCAAAAATAAAAAAATAAAAAAAAAAAAAGCAAGAGAGGAGTAGCATCAATTGGCACATTGAACTTGATTTTATCCTTTCTTGTATTTCCTTAACAATTAGAAAGTTATTCAAAATGAAATAATAACAAAGAATTTAATTTTTTTTGTGTTCTAACCTCTTCCCCCCCCCCCCCATTCAAAATGAAAAATAACAAGAATTTAATTTTTTTTTTTGTGTTCTCCCTTCCCTCCCAACTAAGAACAAAAAAATATGACAGCTCATCCTCATCTCATTCTTAATCCCACAAGAAAAAAAAGAAACTAAACAAAAATATAAAAAGAACTGAATACAAGAAACTGTTAACAGAAAAAAAAGGGTAAAACTAGAGACTGGGACCCTAGTTTCTGTTGCTTGTGTTGTTGCCATTTGCCTATTATTGTTGGTGGCAACCAGCCCCCCCCCCCCAACTAAGAACAAAAAAATATGAACAGCTCATCTCATCTCATTCTTATCCCCAACAAAGAACAAAAAGAACTAAACAAAAATATAAAAGAACTGAAACCAAGAAACTGTAACAGAAAAAAAAAGGGATAAAAATAGAGACTGGACCCTAGTTTCTGTTGCTTGTGTTGTTGCCATTGCTATTATTGTTGGTGGCAGCCGTGGAGTTGCCATTAGCACCACCAATAATGGAAGTGATAGCAGCTGCAAGTGCTGCAGTGAAGTTGGGATCGGCGGTGATGGCAGCCGTGGCAGCACTGACTGTGTCAACTAATGAAGGCGGCTGCTGTGATGAGTGCAATAGTTGGGGTTGAGATTGATGGTGTAATTGTGAGGAACCCATTTCCTGAGACAACTGGAGACCAGAGAATTTTGATTGGTTGTAAAGGGCTTGTCCAAATACCTGAGGCAATTGTGGGCCTGCAAAGTTGTTCTGTGATTGGCCTCCAAATGGGACTTGAAAATGGGTTGGAGGTCTTTGCGCTTGTAGTGGATTTGGGTTGTGGGTAAGGTCTAATGTTACAGTTGGAAATGGAGCTGAAGCCGAAATCGTTGCCATACTTGATGAGCATGGAAGGATTGCTCTTGCTAGTAAACTTGGGTTCATTATGCCATCCGCACTGGACATTGATCCAGAAAGTAACATACTTGCAGCTGCTGTTGTTGTTGATGCCATTGCCATGGCAGCTGGAGGCAAAGGGTGGTTGTGATTGCCTTCATAGGTTGTTATCAAGATTGTTCTGTCCTCCGCACATCGTTGAACCTATAAATTAAGTACCCAAATTTAGTTTTAGTTCACTTAAAGCTATGAAATGGAAATGAAGAGATGAAAAATGAAAGCAAAACATACTTGTTTGCGAACTGGACAACCAACTGCCATGGTGCATCTATAGTAAGCCCTAGGACATGGATTTCCTTTAGCCATCTTTTGTCCATACTTTCTCCATTGGCATCCATCTGTTATCTAGTTAATTAATCAATCAAACAACACAATTAATTAAAAAAATTCGGTTTAATAGTTTAATAAGAAAGACTGACTAGCTAGGCTAATTAAATATATACATACCATAGGTGCCTCTGATCGGGCTCGAACTGAGACACGGGCTTTTCTCATGGTAGCCTCAGTGGATTGATCAATACCCTTATTAGCTGAAGAATTCAATTTTTGAAGCTTGTTTGGATTCCAACCTTGAGATTCTGACTCTGGGCTTTCTTCTCTACCGATTCTTTTGCCATCTCTAAAACTAGAATTCTCCTGATCATATGAACCCATCTCAAGTTTGCCATTATTTCTGACCGATGCTGCATCTATATTGGTCTGAGGTGTGCTTGAACGAGTCCTCTCATCAGAGGAAGAATTAGATATCTCATCTGCCTCAGCTGAAGGCCCAAGATCCAAGAATTGTCTTGGCACCACCTCATGCTTCTTTTCATCAGGCTTTCCTTGAACAACCTGAATTGTTATGTTATAATTCAATTAGCCAGCGCTATAAAAGAACTGCTATCAATAGTATTATAAAATGAATTAGTCTACAAACCTCGTTTTCTTGGGCAGCTTCAGTTCCAAGATTATGTCTTTGCTGTTGCATTAGAGCTGCAAGGTGCATCTGTAAAGCATTGTAATTGTTGGTCACTTGACTAAGCATGTCTCTCAACCTTTGATTTTCTGAATTCATTCTTTGGAGCTCTACTTGCAATTGGGCCAGCTGCAAAAAATCAATCAAATCCTTTAATAAGCTAGTTAAAGAATCAATTTTTTTGAATGGTTTCAATTTTCCGTGTTTCTTGATGATATTTCCCTACCTCGCTTTTGGATCGTTTATCATCAACATCCGATGATACTCCATCATCCACAGTTGATTGATCACTTCCAGTGGTGAGGAGGTGCAAACCAGTCTGTATTTAGAAATACAAATTGCATTAATTAATTCTATTTCCGTAATATACCTGAATAGAAAATATAAAATAGAAAAAACAGAAATGAAAATTACAATTGAATTAAAAATCTTACATTTACATCGGCACTGGACCTTGGAGCGGCTTCGCCATAAGAATTCTCCTTCTTGACAGTGACGCTTGTGGCTTTAGAATCATCATTATCGTTATCATTATTAGTATTGTCTCCAATAGGCCTAGTCTTCTTATCCGAAAAGAAATCGACTTCACCTACAACCACCCGGTCATCATCGTCCGGCGAGTGAGAAGGGCGATCGTCCCTAGCAGGAAGGTTGACCGGGAAGGGAAACATCCGAACGGAGTCAGACATGTCAAAGGTACGCTTATTAATCTTGTGAAAAGAGTCTACTACTAGAGAGGGGGCGTTAGAGAAGAAAGTGAGAGGAGGATCAGAATCGAGGGTGAGACCCCATCCTTTGTCCATAAATGAGCTACAGATTGAGAGAGATGAGAAGGAAACGGAGACCGAGAGCTGAGAGAAAGAGAGAGAAAAGGAAAGGAGGTGTGCTATGTGTGAGAAGTCTGTGAAGTCTTTTACCGGTGCAATTGGGTCGGCTATAAAAAGGGTTGGACGTAGACCAAAATTAGATTAGATTTTGATTTCTGAATTCTGATAAACTGATGGGATCTTCCTCGGTTGCGTCAGACGGTGCGTCAGATGGCCAGCTGGCTGTGGGTCCGGATCCCCTCAGTGAGAACCAATATAAATGGATTACCCGCTTAAAGGCCCATGTCCTTTTCAACAACGCTGTTGTAATCCTTGTAGTTTATAAAACGATTAAAACAAGATTAACCTTTTATCAATTTTCAAAATAATTATACTTATTTAATGGAGGTAAAAAAAATATATGATTGAAAATTAATAATTAATTTTTTATAGTAATAAGTGAAATGAAATAAATTAAATTAAAAAATATCAAATTTAACGGAGGGAATATATTAATTTTATAGACGTTTTGATTATTGAAATTTAATATTCCAATGAAAAATTATTTTTAATAAAATAATTAAAGAAATATTGAATAATCTTGTTTGAATGACAACAATAATTTTCTAAAAAAATTTAAGATGATTATTATTAAAATAATGAAAAATTTAAAAAAAAAACTATAATTAGGAGAAACTCTAGTTAAAATAACGGACATACTCCATTATATGGTCATAGTTATTTCTTAAAAACAATTATATAAATTTGAGTATTGTAAATAATAGTATAATTTCTTAAAAACTGTTAGTAATAAAGTAAATTAAGTAAGAGTATATTAAAGAATTAAAAAATCAATTATAGTCTTAAATAATCTACCTTTAAATTAGTATAATTTAATATAAATGAAAAAAATAAATTTCAAAATATAAATCGTTTTGAATATTTTAAAGAGTAATTAAATAAACCATAGTTACGGTTTGGATATAAGTTGTGAGGTTGATTTAATTATTGGTATTACGGTTATTTTGGTTAATCCCATGTGATTAAGGAGTTGATGACCTTTTGAATTCGGGTATTTGGGTGGATAGTACTTGAATTTGAAATAAAGAAACTGTTTGGTTGATTGGAAAGAGAAAGCAGTAGAGAGAATAAGTGAAAGAAGAGGGTGGGGGTTGGGTTGGGTTTCGTTTCGTCTACAAATCGTCAAGAAAGAGTTTGACTCACTCCCAAATCAAATGCCCAAAGAAAAAAGGAAAAGAAAGAAATGAATCCACCGTCCCGAATAGCGCGCCGCGTTCCACGTGACGAAATACAAAAGAAAAAGGACATTATTGAAATAAATTAAAATAAAATAAGAGGGAAGAGAGGGGCCGAGTCAACGAATTTGACGGCCCGGGTAAGGAGTTTATGACTGGAGATCGGGCTGGGCAGCGGCCTAGTCTATGGGTATGGCCCCACGTTTGGGTTTACAGTTTAGACATCACGTTTCAGATCTCGTCTCTCCGGTAACCATGTTGACTGTTTACACGTGGGACCGAGTCGCTTGCTTTGACTTTTTAGCATTTCTTTTTCATTTGTTCTGATCTGACTGCTATATATGATTAGCTAAACTCTTATTCCGCCATGTATTTATAATCGTATTTATACATTTCACCAAAGTATCGAAATAGAATTAGTCACAAAATTATATAATTTTATTCTGTAAAACAATTATACATAAGGAAAAGAAACAAAACAAAACACGTGAGTCAGAGAAAGGAAAAGGGGGCAGTTGCAGATGCAATTATGGTGAAATGAAATTAGGTGGAGTCAAAATCTTGATTAGTTAATGAATCCAAAGCTTTCATTTCTTTTGATTTTCAACTTGTAGTGACGTACTTTTCTTTTACTTCCATCCATCCATCCATAGTTTCATTCCAACATGGGTGAGGTTAGAGACAAACAGTGGTGGTTCTAAACTTGGAAAACAACTATGCTAATCTAGCTTCCTTTATTTACCTTGACTATCATCCCCCATTTGTCTTTTCAAGAAATTTCAACATCATACCTTTCAGAAAGTGAAAAACATATCACTCTTATTGCCATTTTTTGACTATTAGGCCCTAGCTCTCAGTAATGGATCGTGCAACTTAAAAAAAACAATTCCATTACTGTTAGGATTAGGATTTAGTTACTTGTTAATCCGAATTATATTTCATTTTCTGTTCATGCATGTAAAAAAAGTACTTTTACTCTTTGTTGACAAACAGATTATTATAGATTGGAGTGTAGACATTCCTTTAGAGATGGACATAAAAGTGCAACACGAGCATTTTAATTGTGTGAAGTAAGGTTCTATAATATTTTAATGGTTTGATTTTCAGAACTTAATCTGTGATCCCAAGGTTTTATTTTCGGTTCAGATCCCAGTGGGATGAGATAAACAATTTGTAGTTCATTGCTAGGATGAATAAAGATTATTTATTTTAATTTAATACAGAGCCAATATGAATTTCTTTTAGGTTTTTCACTTTCTGATATTTTGACAGATAGAAAAAGAAATTCATCTGGGACAGTCAACTGGTAATATGTATGGCTTTCTTTTATATATATTCAAATATCAACGACACTACATGTGTTGTTCTTCAACTGTCCATATTAGCAGGACTGCATTGCAGCTGTATTTTTATAAAAAGAATCATTCTTTTTTTCTTGTGGGTATCGTCTAATTATTCCCTAAATTTGGGTATTAGCTGCTTATTTAATTAAGGGATTATATTATATATATTCAAAGGAAGCAGCCAAGGAAGGAACAATATGTGTACGCAAATTATATAAAAACACAAAATGTCAATACCCATTCGATTAAACAATCAAGATTTTCAAACTAAAGAGAAAAACAAAATCAACATAGAAGAAAAAGACAGAGTTGACTAGGATTTCCGATGACCAATATAGATACCTCCCCACGTGGCTTACTTGCATGACGTAGAAATTTGGTGTGAGGTTAGGTTTTGACAGCTCGGAACCATGGAAAAAAAAAAAATGGTTGCAGGCTGCTTCAAGACCATTTATACAACAGCCATCACTCAAACGGCACTGGGACAAACATGTTTGCGTGTTGGTGCTACCCACATCTTGATACGTTTCACACTCTCCATTATTCTTTTCTTTTTTTAACATTTTCCTATATTCTTCTCTCTGCTGCTAAAAATGATTCACCCTTTACCATTTTCTTCAAGATGGTTAGGTTTCTTTAAAGAAAAACGCCGTTTATATATATATTAAGGTGAATAAGCAAATGGGTACGTACTTAAATTGATTTCTATTTGTTCAAAAAAAGAAAAAACCTTCTTATTCCAGTGGGATTTAGCTTACTTTGATTATTTTGCTTCCATAGTTCAAAGGGAATTCTCTTAATTTCAAACGTTAAATTAATACCCACAAAAAGGAAGATGATAGCTAGCCATATATTTTAAGTAAAATTTCGAAATATTAATTAATTCTTATAAAGAATTAAAATCGTAAAAGGAACCCATCACTCATTGTCAAAGAAACAGCAAACCAGTTCCTGGTTTTAGTCCACTTATGGCTGTGCTTTTCGTAGCATTATATATATACAACAAAAATTTATTGGTCCCTGCAACTTGAAACGTAGCTTTTTGTTGATGATCTGCTGACGCATTATGACTTGAATTTCTAATAACTGAGGCAAAGTGGTATGGCTTATGCCTTTCTTTAAAATGGGTAGTTGGCATTTATCAAGTGCCTTATGCCTATATTAATTGGTCCTCAGGTTAGTTGGCTCCCAATCAATTAACCATACGACTATTATAAGACCTGATCACCGACTGCTAATTTAAGACGTCACGATGTAAACAAAGATATAAAAAGACAAATACTTGGGATTTTGCATAGAAAAACTTAAAAACATGATCACATCATCTTTGATTTGACCATAAATTATGAATTATTTTTTAGTTACTTTCTCTCCCTTGTTGATGTGGAAATGGTAGAAAATATTATTATTATTATTATGAGATACAAATGAAAGAAAAAATGTAATGAAAAAAAAGAAAGAAATAAAGCTGTTGTAAACGTAATGAAAAAATGAAATGGGGGCAGCGGAGGCGAAGGAAGGAAACCTCCAATCAAAAGTGAGTGGACTGTGGGGGCACGTCTCCTTTGTCGGCCGAATAGAAAAAAGCACGAGAAAGCTGAACCAAAAAGTTGAAAATTGGAAGTACGGTACGTTGGACCGTCAAAATTAAGGAATGGCGTTCGACTACTACTCATTGGTAGACGAAGTTGTAAGTAGTATCCCAGGATATTACCTTTCATACTATCCTAGACCGAGCTTCGCGTTAAGGCAGAATTTGAAAAGGGAAAAACAAAAAAAAGGTTGATGTTATGGTCTTCAATTCATGCATGCATGTTGTGGTTGGTCTTGTTTATTAATTATATATGAGTATCGGATTCATTTTCAAAGTTGCATTAATGAATAAGACTTGAGAGTTCACATTTCATAACGTTAACTACAATCCTTTTTCAACTTGTCTTCAATTTTCCACTATAGCAGCCATACCCGTGAACGGAGTTTTGGATAACAATTATTGACCATGTTTTTTGGACAAGGACAGCCATGACCCTCCTCCCGTTCCACGGATTAAACGGTTAATCAAATCAAATGAATTAATTCGGTTTTAATTTATTTGAATATATTTTTATGATATCTGAATTTAAAATTTAAATCGACTTTTTTTAATTTGAATTCGGTTATTTCGAATCCAACTAATTATTTTGGGATTAAAAATAAATTCTATTATATATATATATATAATAACTGTACAAAAAATTAAAAACCAAATTTATTAGTAATTAAATTTTTAAAACAATTATCAGAATCCGATTAAATTGATTTGATTTGATTCAATTTATAATTAAAAAATGAGAATTGCTCGCACGAATCCCAAACAAATCCATTGGTACGGTATGAAGCCCATGATTACAAAAATAGTGAACATTGAAATGAAATGGCTGCAGCCACGAACTTATTACTTCGAAAGGCCCAATAAAACCCAATTTATTAGAAAGTAGACCAAATTGGGTTTTCTGTTGGAGCTCAAGGCTTGGTGTCTGTATATATCCAAGAAAGAGCAAAACCAAAGATAGAAGAACCGAACTAAAGCTTCAGCATTGATAGAACTCACATGCCCGTCAATCATTAACTTGTCCAATATTCTCCTCTCTAGAATTAACCTTCTAAAAGAAATCATTAAAGCAAAAGCAGTAAAGCACTATGAAATCAGAGAGTATATGTAAAAGACTGCAAAGGAAAAAGAGAAAAGAGAAAAAGAACACAAAAGAAACGCTTAGAGATTCCATCTGCCTCACTCATTAACCCTTCACTTTATTCATTTCATCTTGCACCTACTATATCCTTAAACTGCTCACCATTATGGGATAATTAATTGCTCATTGAAACATTCCATAAAATATCTTTACAATGGGTTCTCTCTTCATCTCTTGCAAAACCATATCAGAAAATAATCTTCTGTCATGTTTTTGTATTTATCATTCTTTGTGTTTCCTGTTTGTCTTACTTACTCTACCTTTTTTTAGCCTTACAACAGCTCAAGCCAGCCATTGCAGAACCTCTTGTGGCACTATTCCAATAAACTATCCATTTGGTATCGATGATGGATGTGGCAGCCCTTATTATAGACATATACTTGTTTGCACTGATTCAGGAAATCTCGAGGTTCGAACGCCTTCCGGTAGATACCAAGTACGCAGCATCAGCTACTCTGATCCCCATATCATAGTCACTGATAAATTCATGTGGAAATGTGAAGATGGCAATCAGTTTAGGGCAACTAGGCCTTTTAGCCTTGATACAAGCACACATTTCACACTTTCCTCTCAAAATGATTATCTTTTCTTCAACTGCAGCGAAGAAAATGTGATTGTTGAGCCAAAGCCTATCTTCTGCGAGCGGTTTCCTGATCAGTGTGATTCCACATGTGATAGTGCAAGTTATCTTTGCAGGCATTTGCCAGGATGTGCTACTGCATTGGGCACCAGTTCTTGCTGCTCTTATTCCCCTAAAGCAACTGAATCTTTACGGCTTATGCTCAAGTATTGTGCCAGTTATACAAGCATCTATTGGAGAAACAATGGTGCAAATTCTCCTTATGATCAAGTCCCTGAATATGGGATTAGGATTGATTTTGACATTCCAGTGACTACGAGTTGCCTCGAGTGTCAAGACATGACCAAAGGAGGTGGAACTTGTGGATTTAACACACAATCACAGAATTTCTTGTGTATGTGTAACGATAGAAATACAACCACTTATTGCAACGGTATGTTTGTTTAATTTTAATTAAGGCTTTCATTTGGAAATGCAACTTGTTACTTTCTGTCTCATTAAAAGACATCGGTACTAATTTGCAGATCGAGGCACTTCTAGGCAGCACAGCAGTGCAGGAGCCATTGCAGGTCTAGCATATTTTTACTTTTATGGTTTATTTCAATTTCTTTTATTTTTGATCTATCATATCCAATTTGAATAAATTAGGATTAATATATGGATTTAATATATATATATATATATATATTATATTATATAGAAAGATTAGGATAAATTTTAATTAGACTGTGGTTTTGCAGGGCACTGTAACTGGAGTTTCAGGCTGCTTGGGGCCTTAGGAATTGGTGCTGCATTATTGGTATTGAAAAAGCGTTTAGCAGCTAAAGCCACCAGTAACGATGTGGGGTTTCAGACAATGAAAACAGGCTCCTTTCCTGATTAAGGAAGACCCATTAACTAAAAGGCAAATCGCCAATACTTTTTGTCTTTGCTTTTATTTTTTGAAATTGCTTTTTTTAGCTCTTTATTAGTTAACAAGCCTTCCTTAATTAGTTAAAAATAGTTATGGTGTAATTTCTTTACTCATACATTGTTCTCGTCGGTTTATAATTAATATACGATGTAATTTTCTTTATTTCGATGGAATTGCTTCACATCGTCATCGCTTGATTTTATATTCTGTAATGTTATTTTTTATAATAAATTAAGTAGGTTTACACCTTTGTTTCGAAAATTTATGGTTTATATTAACATATGCTCTGCTGAAAAAAACCTGTAGATGATACAAAGCCTTCATTAAAATTAAAAATAGCTCTCGAATGTTACTTAACTTTAAAGAATATATAGAAAGATAGGGATAAATTTTATTACTGTGGTTGCAGGCACTGTAACTGGAGTTTCAGCTGCTGGGGCCTTAGGAATTGGTGCTGGCATATGGTATTGGAAAAAGGTTAGAGCTAAAGCACCAGTAACATGTGGGGTTCAGAGCAATGAAAACAGGCTCTTCTGATTAAGGAAACCCATTAACTAAAGCAAATGCCAATACTTTTGTCTTTTCTTATTTTTTGAATTGCTTTTTTAGCTCTTTATTAGTTAACAAGCCTCCTTAATTAGTTAAATAGTTATGGTGTAATTTCTTTACTCATACATTGTTCTCGTCGGGTTTATAATTAATATACGATGTAATTTCTTTATTCATGGATTGCTCACATCGTCATCGCTGATTTTATATTCTGTAATTATTTTTTATATAATATTAAGTAGGTTTACACCTTGTTTCGGAAAATTTATTGTTATATTACATATGCTCTCTGAAAACTGTAGATGATACAAGCTTCATTAAAATTAAAATAGCTCTCGAATGTTACTTAACTTAAAGATTATAATTAACTAGGTGTATAGGTCTAATAAGAATATCCACATGCTTTACCGAGAACACAGTGCAGAGGACCTGCATCAGATGTTAAAGCAGGGACCATAGTGCCAGGAGCAACTGGAAATGATTGAATCCGAGAATAAGGTGGAGCAATGCTTCCATATCCAGATTGCACAAAATAAGCACCATTCATGAATACATCCTTAGAGGATCTCCATTTCCAATTCTTCCAACCATTTTTGGCTTCTCTTTTCGTAACCTGCTTTGAAAAACCTCTATCTGGCGCTATAAAATAGTTCCCTTCACTAAAGATGGTTGGATTAGCGCTGCCACCAATTGCATACATTTCCCATTCATCATATCTATTGTTAGCAACATGGGCATACCCAAATCTCACCCTGCAATTATATAATTTTATTAATTAATTGCGTTGGCAATTTATAATATGAGTTAGTAGATTTATTATATTTCCCTAATTACGCACCTTGGCATCCTCTCAATAAGTCCAGTGCCAAAATGGTTGAAGGCTATTGTTACCTTCATAACTTTATCTGCGACATACCCATCATTGTGTCCAAGCAACATCACCTGTAAATTAGAGCAATTGTATCAATATATGCAGAAATCACTCGACGGCGAATTTTGATTTTCCTTTTATAAGAAAATGAATAGCACCTTATCATGATGGGCAAAGTAGTTGTTAGAGATCGTGACACCAGTTGAAGCATGAATGACATCGATCAGGCCATCTGCGCTACGAGCAATATAGCAATGGTCAATCCAAACATTTGAAGAAGCAAATATAACAATCGCATCCCCATCAGAGCCTCCTCGACGTCCCACATGTGTAGGACTACTCCTAACCATGCCTGATTTCCCTGGCTTGCAGTCATGAATACTTATTCCATGTATAATAACATGGCTAACACCTTGAATTGTTATACAAGGTCCATTTGCAATCTCCACTTTAGCCCCTCTCCCATCTATAGTCTTGAAACTATTTATTATAAGCTCATTTTTAAGTGTAATCACCATGTCCTTGTCAAAAATTATCCATAGAGGTTCTGTTTGGATAACACCATAACGAAGGGTTCCCGGCATGGGGTTTGCTGGGTCATCGTACGGATTAGTGACTACGTATATAGCACCGTATTTCCCTCCCACGGCGCCTTTGCCAAAACCCACCGCGCAGTCGGCCAAGGCGCGGCGGTTTGTTGCCCATTTAGTGTTGGTACGCCAGCATGAGTCTATTGTGTTTAAGATCTTCTTGGAATTTTTAGGGAGATAACTTGATAGAGGCTTGTAGTAGGAGTCCAGTGCATGTGCTTGAAAGGCAAGTGAAATAGTAATACAGTACAGAAGAAGAACTTGAAGCGGGGCTAATGAGGACATGGTGTGTAATCTTGGAGAGGATAAGCAAATGGGGAAAAGAAGTGAAGTATATAGGAAGGAGGACACAGTTAAGTAGAAGGTGGCAGACACGATCTATAGTCGAGTTGCTTGGTCAACGTGATTGCACGATATGTTTTTCTTTTTTTAATAATATTTTATGACGTTAGTATTTTGGTCAACGAACTTAATGCCTTTGTTTTTCCGCGAGTTGACTTTCCAATGCTTAAAAAAATGTAGTACTTGTAACGCTCTATACCCTCTCTAAATGGAAATTAAAGATAATTTTGTATTATGTAAGCTTATACAATAATTTAATAATTGAAATTTTAGATATTAAAAATCACTAAAGATAAAATATTTTTAATAGTAAAAAATAAAATAGGAATATTTAATGATATATAATTATTATAAATAAACGTAAAATTTTTAATTTTAATAAATACCCTGAAATAATGAAATAATTAAAATATTAAATATTAAAAATAATAAAATATGAAAGTAGTAATGTGTGAGCTTTCAATATTTAATGATTTATAATTAATATGATTATATTCCCATAAAGTAATTATATATTAACAAGTGGAGTATATATAAATATAGTTAAAAAAAATTGTCTTTTTCTTTATTTTAATTCAAAATTTTCTACCTATATTTTTTGTACTGTATTTTTATTTATCAATAATAGACAATTGGATAGTGCAGATTCAGACACCACGAGTAGGTAAAAATGATCTCTTGAAATGATAGAGAAAAAAATACCGCTACTAAAAACAAGAAATCGAAGGGAAATTTTTATTTTTCTGTAAATTTTTGTAATAGAATTTTATTTTTTGAAAAGAAATAATATATAGGCTAAACTATATTTTTTACCTTGATCTTTCAGAGTTATTTTAATCTCACTCTAAAATGGCCATTATCGCTTGCACCTTTATTTTAAAATTGTACTATAAATATAAATTTAATTGTAAACTGAATTATTAAACAATAAAAATATAAATTATGAGATATATATTTGTTAAATAAGTATTTGAAGAAGAGGATAAATAATGTCAATTATGTTTTTATTTATTATTTATGGAGGGATAACCCGGCAATACGTTCAAGAAAGCATATTTTTTGTTTGAACTTCTTGATATTTGGAGTGCACAAAAATATTCAACTGAAAGTATTTTCTTGATTGATTAATCCTCCAAGCTCTTTACAAACTTTCTGCCACGGTCAACATTACAAAAGAAACCGAAATGATTAAAGAAAACAAGTTACAATAAGATTCAGGTTACAAGAATTAGACCTCATCTCTTCTATAAATCCCGAAAAACTGCATAAAAATTTCTATTTTATCTAAAATCCATAAGATATTATTTTGCTTAAGCAAAATAGGAAGACCGTCGGTCTTCCAATGGAATATTGCGTGAAATATTGGTCTCGATCAGCAAAGTTTTCCTGTAATGCAGGAGAGTGGCCCTGCATCAGATGTTAAAGAGGGAACCAAAGAGCCATGGGCAACTGGAAACGATTGACCTAGAGAATAAACTGGAGCGCAACTTCCATATCCAGAAGGAATAAAATAAGCACCATTCATAAATACATCCTTTGAAGTCCTCCATTTCCAATTCTTCCATCCTCCACTGGCCTCTCTCTTGGTAACCTCTTTGGCATTGGAATCACTGGCAATAAAGTAGTTGCCTTCGCTAAAAATGGTGGGATCAGCACTGCCACCGATTGCATACATTTGCCATTCATCATACCTATTGTTAGCAACATGGGCATACCCAAACCTTACCCTGCAATTAATTAACATATAAACACCAAATTTCGCATAATTTAACTAGAATTATTTATAATCATCATTAAACAATGTAATAGGCTACCTTGGCATCCTTTGGACGAGTCCAGTGCCAAAATGGTTGAAGATAACAGTGGTTTTCATAACTTTATCTGCAGTATATTCGTCATTGTGCCCCAACAGCATCACCTGTTAGTATATGTTAATTAATTTATCATCACAACAGAATCCAATCTTCCTTGCAAACTAGCTATATAGAGAGGATTTAATTTTCATTTTTTGGGGGGCTTATATATTACCTTGTCGTGCTGGGAGAAATAATTGTTAGAGATGGTAACGGCAGTTGAAGCATGAATGACATCAATTAAGCCATCAGTGCAACTAGCAAGATAGCAATGGTCAATCCAAATATTAGAAGATGCAAAAACAGCAATGGCATCTCCATCCGATCCTAGACGTTCGCCAACATGCGTAGGGCTGCTTCTAACAAGACCTCTCTTTCCTGGCTTACAATCATGGATACTAATCCCATGTACAATAACATGGTTAACACCTTCAATTGTTAGGCATGGTCCATTTGCAATCTCTACTTTAGCTCCTCTTCCATCTATTGTCTTAAAACTATTCACTATAAGCTCGTTTTCGAGCGTAATAACCATATCCTCGTTAAAAGTTATCCAAAGAGGCTCTGACTGGATTGCACCATATCGAAGCGTGCCTGGTTTTGGATTTATGGGGTCATCTTCTGGAGTGGTGACTACGTATATATCTCCATATTTCCCTCCCATGGCAGCTTGGCCAAAACCCACTGCGCAATCAGCCAGAGCTTGTCGATTGCTTGACCAATTGGGGTCAGTGCGCCAACACGAGTCTATGGTGTTGAAGATGCTTTCAACATTGCTAGGGAGATAGGCTGATAAGGGTTTGGGTTCGTTGTAATTGTCTGCATGAGCTTGAAAGCTTAAAGCAACTAAGATTGCAAATACTAGAGAAGAAAGGAAGAGTGAGGCCATGGACTGATATTGTGTTTGGATGAATCTAAAATGGAGAAACAAAGGAAAATATATATATACACAACACAAGGAGATGGATCACACGACGTCGGTTATAGTTGAAGTTCGATTTGGTAGGATGTGGATTGCTTCTAGACGTGGTTGCACGAGCTTGTTGACTTGCCAATAACTTTAAGCCTTCTCCCTCGATCAACAAAGCACTCATGGGATCCTTAGTATTTTTTTAAACGTCGTCGTTGCTATCAAACGACTAGGGCGTCTTTCGTTGTCGGCATTGAAAAAGAATAACGCTTGCGGACCGACTTTGAAAACAGCTTAATTAAAACGATTGCGTTTAAGGATAAGTTTGACAATGAGCAACATTGGGTGATAGTCGAACGACCGGTCGTTGCTTTTACAAACCGTTTGACTTTTCTTTTCTTTTTTTCTTTTTTTCTTTTTTGGGTTTTGAATGCTCCAGAGATTTGAGTCCAAGTTCCAAATTTGTCGCAGTGCATCATAAATTCAGGTTTTATATAGAAAGAAGGATTTATATGTGATGAGAACGATTTTCTCTTATTTGGAAAGAGTGAAAAAAATATCAAATGAAAGAAAATATGCATTATCTTCCCCTCAAACCTAAAAAATTAAAATGTCTCCAAATTGAATTGAAAAAATTACATTGTTTAATGAGGAAAAGTTAATTATTCCCTCTTGTCCGTTAACCTAAATTTAACTGTAGTGTTTTATCGTTAGTGAAGTCAACTTCACATGCAGCTGTTTACTTACAAAAAGTCACATGCAGTATACAACTAAATTATGAGACGAGGACTAACATTAAGTAAATCAAGATGACTAGGAATACATTAATTCTTATCACACGATTTCACATACATAAATAAAAAAATGAATAAAAACCAGCGAACCTTAATCATCTTATGTTATGGTGATGATGGTCGCTCTTATTCATATCACAAGCACAAAATAATTAATAAATGGGTTTATATCGGTCTATGCATAACTGCACATTCCATATGAGCAAGTGCTCCCTTTCTTGCACTTGTTGTTGCAACCTCCACAGTGCTTCTTGTTCGACATTGGATTCACACACGCCCCTTTGCAGCAAATCTCAGGGTACTTACATTTCCTCCCACACTTGCCGCAGTTAGTCTTGTCTGTTGCGACATTAACACATTTCTTCTTGCAGCAGTCAGGCCCTGGACTGCCCTTCGCACGGCAAACCCTAGGATAGTTATCACATGTCATCGCTTCTCGGCTTGCCTGGGCAAGAAACCGGTTTGTGATTCCTCGCAGAGAAGTTGGCGTTGTTTGTTGGTTCTCAGGCCAAGGAATATCAGAATTTTCGTCTAGGGTGTCATCGTTATCGTCCACAAATGATTCTTCTTGGGATGACAAAGCAATGGCAGCGAAAGCCATAAGCATGGCCACCAAAAGGAAAATCTTAAGAGTCTTCATGTTCTGAACGTGAAAGAGAGAGAGAGAGAGAGAGAGAGAGAGGCAATTGAAGTAATTACCTTATCAATGAGAATGGGATGGAGAAGAATGGAGGGATATGGAAGATATTTATAGCGGAGAAAAGAAGAAGAGTGCATTTGCATGTGATAAGTCAATGTCGTTTGGGCATTAGTGGAGTGGTCTAATTCAACGGCCTTGTGAAATGAATTAATTCAAATAAAAACCAAAGAAATTAGTATAATAAAATTCAATAATACTGAACAGTGGTTAGGTCAGTCTCCATTTTACGTTAATTTCAGTATATTAATTTATTTTCCGTTCATTTATATAATAATCTAATAGAGTATGTAAAAATATAAGATCATTAAATAGAGTTAGCAACTGGTTCTTATTTCACATCTGACATAAAGAATTAGGGTAATGTCCATTCTGATTTTATTTGCAAGTTGTGTATAATGATCTTGTTTAATGATCTTGTTTAATAATATAAATTTGCTTATTTTTCAATAAACATAATTATTTTCTATGTAATGTTGAAGAATAAAATATTTAATCTCTAAATATATTTATATATATATGGTTAGTGCCTTATTGATTAAATTGGGTATGTATCTTGGTTGTTGGCGGCTATAGCACGTTACGTAGTTCCGTTTTCAGGAGAAAATAATAGCAGTACAAGTAACTAGGAAACATGGTTTGAAAAACCGTTATAAAATCACTTCCTGACGGCCGCTCATTGACTTCTAATAAGATAAATGAAATTACTCCCCCGCCAGTAGAGGCCGTTTAATTAAAAAAAAATAATTCTCTTCAATTATAAATATTATTAATTTGATTAAATCATTTTTAAAAAATTCAAAGAAATAATTATTGATTACTTCTTGATATTTTCAAAATGACTTATATTTTTAAGAAACAATTACTCTAAAATGATTTATATATTTATGGACAGAAATGGTGGTATATAAAATATTTTCTTTTTTAAAAAAAAAAAAAAAGATAATGAGAAATATGTTTCCCATGGTTCATCACAACTACAAAGATGGAGTGCCAAAGGTTTTAATTTGATTTTTATTTTAAATTAAATAAAAATTATAAATATGAATTAGTTAATTAGAATATATATTAATAAGCAATAAAAACCATTAGCTAGCTAAGGGTGACGATGAGATAGAAATGATTAAGGAGGGAATGAAGGCTTAAATAAATGATTAGCTAATTAAGTCAATAAGCATACATGATTAAGATGCAATGTGTATGTCTTCATAACCAATTGATTGATTGAAATTAGAATCATTTAGTTATAGGAGCACTTTCTAAAAAACGTAAACAAATTTCTTTGACAATCTGTATTTGTATTTTTGACTTTTTAATTAATTTCCAAATTAAATAGTCAAAATGTTTGGCCACGGTTAGGCTATTCGGCAATCAATTCCTAAGCCTCTGGCCTGAGGATTAATCACGATTAAGGCCTTTAATTCATGTTTTGCACCTATTCATATATATAAATGTAATATTTTACTATTAAACATAGTCACATGCCATGGCAGAAACTCGATATAAATAAAACAAGAAAAACGTATTTTTAAAAATAGTAAAATACATAAAAATATCACGTTGTTTGGCAATATTTAAGGTAATTATATTTATTTATTGGGAGGCATCTCCCTTAACATTTGACATTTAACAATAATTAATTGAATTTTTTAAAATTATTTTACATTTAACAGCTTAATCAAATATTTATTTTTACCGAATATTTTTACTTTAAACCATTACATAAATAACTAACATTTAAAGATATTTACATTTAACAGGTTAATCAAATGACATGATGACACCTTATCATCAGTGAACCATGGCTAGATGAAAGTCGCCATTATTGCTACTGCATGCTTCATCTTATTACCAATTTGTGAAGAAAGATTAAGAGCAGGATCGAAGGCTCAACTAACTCTTCCAATCTGACGCCAATAAAAAAAAGGATGAGAGAGAGAGAGAGAGAGAGAGAGAAGCAGGACAGAAATGAGAATAAAATCTTATTTTTGTGTAGAAAAAGCTATTGAATCAAGATAGACAGGATGCTCTTCCTTAATAAGAAAAGAACATATTCTAATTCTTAGTACGAAAAGTAGTTGATGGAACAGCTTTAATAGATTATAACAACATAAACTATCTTTTTACACAGTTTTATATGGATTCCTTCTGTTATCTCAATCCACCATGACTTCACATTGCCTTGTAATCCTAACAATTAGTCTCATCTTTCCTCTTCCTTCTCTGGCTAGCAACGGTAAACTTGAAGTTTCTACAGTGGAAACAAACGAGTGGCAGACTGGCGTCAAAGCGAAAACCATCAAGAATGAGAATGGAGTAGAAACTAGCAATTACCTTGGATCATGGAAGGTTCATCACAGACATCATTTCAGGAATGTAAGATGTAATAATATGATATGAATCATTCAATAACTTACTCCTTGGTTAGGTACTAAAATGCATGAAATGATTAACACAGGCTCATGGGATTCTGAACATGATAGGATGGGGAGCATTTTTGCCCATTGGAGTAATTGTTGCAAGATACTTCAGCAAAGCTCCCCTGAAATGCGACGAATGGTACAATCTGCACATACTCTGTCAGACTTCAGGTTACATCATTGGTGCAATCGGATGGGGTGTTGGGTTGTGGCTTGGGACTTCTTCCAAGCAACAGAGCACAAGTTTTAAAACGCATAGGATTCTTGGAATCATTATATTCACATTGGCAACTCTACAAGTAAGCTTTTTAGATAAATTTACATCCCATTTTCCTTTCTTCTTGCCCTTAATTAGCCTGCTTGCTTGCTGGAAAATGATTTGCAGATTCTTGCCCTGTGCCTGCAACCCAAGAGAGAAGGTGATTATCGCAGGTACTGGCAGATATACCATCACCTGACAGGGTATGCGTTGCTTGCTATGATAATTGCAAACATATTTGAAGGGATTCGTAATCAAGCCCATTCTGAGAGATGGAAATGGATTTATGTGGGAATACTTGTAATTTTGGGTTTTCTTGCATTTCTATTAGAAATTTTAAGATGGGTGAAGCCCAAAATTCACCACCGGATGGCTTTTCATATCAACATTTGATTTTTGTTCCACATCAAATAAATTACAGAACAATTGCAATTAATTTTTATTTTTTCTTGTCAGATAGTTACTTTTCTTTATAACATCAAATTTTTTATTATTCTATATTACAAAAAATAAGCACACGGTAAAAGTTGATGGGTAAGCACTAAGCAACTCCCTAAAACGCAACGTTTCATCCACTCTCTTGGCCCAACTGCGAAGTGGGAACTTGTAGGATTTTCAGAGAAAATGAACGATCTGGAAGATCAAACCCAGTTAGATGACGCAATAGAACAATCGCCACAAGCTGACATGGCAGCAGCATCCGCCGCGATGGACGGAGTGGCAGCGGCGGCCCTCCGCTCTGTTCTTCAGCGAGTTCAGCAGGCTGCACAACGGGCTGGCCGTGGGTCGCAGCAGATCCGAGTAGTGGCCGTAAGCAAGACTAAACCGGTGGCTATCATCCGCCAAGTATACGACGCCGGTCACCGGTGTTTTGGCGAAAACTACGTTCAAGAACTCATCGAGAAAGCTCCTCAGGTGCCTATTCTATTCTCCTCTTGAGTTTTTTCAATCTCCCTATCATGCTACAATTTATCAATCAATTAAGTTTAATCATGGCAATAATATTGGATGCCCATTGCAGCTACCGGAGGACATAGAGTGGCATTTCATTGGGAATCTACAGAGCAATAAAGTGAAGCCTTTACTGTGTATGTTTAATTCTGTGTTTATTTTAGAAATTCAGGTTGTTGCTCTTCAGATGAGTTTGATAATTAGGGATAATAGACTCTATGCTCAGCGTTTGTTCTTTTGCAGCTGGTGTACCAAATCTTGCGATGGTGGAGTCTGTCGATGATGAGAAGGTAAGGATTTTTCTAATATATGCCTTTATTGTGATGCAAATTAATTGGTTTGAAGAGCTATTTTAGTTAATTCATACTGTATGCACAAAGATTTTTCATTTATTAACATTTTGGGATTGGTATATCAATCAGAAATGGTTCTCTGTTGTATTGAAAATATTACGGCAGCATCTTTGCAAGAGTCTTAGTTGGTATATTTCTTGATGAATTTACCAAGCCTTATGCTCTTTGCAGATTGCTAATCATCTTGATCGTGTTGTTGGAAATTTGGGGCGGAAACGTTTGAAGGTCTTAGTCCAAGTGAACACCAGTGGTGAAGAGTGTGAGTAAATCAAGTCATGTTGCAGTAGACTTGTTTGCCTCTTCATCTCTCTAAGTTCAAACTATTGCCTTAATTAGTATTGTATTCGATTTTGTAACTTACTTTTGGATGTTAGTTCCAGAGTGCTATTGCCTTAATGGGAGCTTATATAGACAAGGAATATGGAAATTCACCCAGTTGATTTGGGCCATTATAGTAACAGTTCAGTCTAGGCTATGTTTTGCATCATTTGATTTTTCTTTTTTTCTTTTTTTTTTCATGAAATCAACCAACATATACATGGTTTTACTTTACGAGCGATTGGTTGATATATTCTTGCAGCTGTCATCTCATTATTATATATGAGAGCTATGAATTGCTGATTATCAATCTTGCCAAAAATATAACTATTTAATTATTTATTTCACAGAAGAGAATCATACTATGTATTTTATTTGTTTGGTTCACTGCTTGTTGAGTTGAGTTGCGTAGGAAGTTCCCTTAGATTATGCACTTGATGACAGGTTAGAGTAGCTCTGGTTCTTTCTTAAAGCAGGTGTCTGAGTAATTTGCCATAGTACATATGTATATACTTATACTGCATATGGTCTTAACTCGCTAGGTCTGGTTCATGCTATTCTCTAGCCTACATCTCTGTCGTTTGCGACAAATCAGTGATTCTAATGCCGATGGCCAATGACATGATTTTTTATGTAGTAACTCTTTTATTATGAACTAGACATTGTAAGATATTATTAATTTCGATATCTTGCATTTTATCTTTAGATTTCTTACTGTTACCTTAGTGCATCCGGTATTATTCTAAGTATCTATTTTTAGTCTCTGTCTTATTGTTGCAGCAAAATATGGGGTTGAGCCCTCAGGGTGTGTGGAACTTGCCAAACATGTTAATCAGAGTTGCCCAAATCTCGAGTTTTGTGGCCTAATGACAATTGGAATGCTTGATTATTCATCAACCCCAGAAAACTTAAAGGTGATAGCCTGACATATTCTTCAATTTTATGCAAGCATCCTTTATTGCTGTTTTCTTTGCCTAGATTCTTTGTGCTCAATTTTTTTGATACTGGGTCTATAAGTTGTTGTCAGACATTAGCAGACTGCAGAAGTGAGGTTTGCAAGGCCCTTGATATACCAGAAGAACAATGTGAACTCTCTATGGGAATGTCTAATGATTTTGAGCAAGCTGTAAGTAATGCTGGCCTATCCAATATATAATTTCTATATGCATATTAATTTGAACTTTCATTATATTTCCAGTCGAGGGTTTTTGAAATTGCAGCCATTGCGACGTGGATCTGCATTGAGATTGTGCAACTAATCAGTGACCTCGTTTTGCAGATTGAGATGGGGAGTACAAATGTGAGAGTTGGATCTACCATATTTGGGCCTAGAGAATATCCGAAGAAGAAATGAAACAAAACTGTCGATGGCATCTCTCTGCTTTTTTTTTTTTTTTCTTCAAAACATTGTTAATCAGAGTTGCCCAAAATCTTCGAGTTTTGTTGGCCTAATGACAATTGAATGCTTGAATGATTCATCAAACCCCAAGAAAACTTTAAGGTTTTGATAGCCTGAACATATTCTTCAATTTTATGCAAGCAATCCTTTATTGCTGTTTTCTTTGCCTTTAGATTCTTTGTCTCAATTTTTTTGATACTGGGTATCTATAAGTTCGTATTGGCAGAACATTAGCAGACTGCGAGAAGTGAGGTTTGCCAAGCGCCTGTGATATACCCAGTCAAGAACCAATGTGAAACTCTCTATGGAATGTCTAATGATTTTGAAGGCAAAGCTTTAGTATATCTTTCCGTAGCAAATATATAATTCTATATGCCATGATTAATTTGAACTTTCATATAATATTTTCCAGTCGAGGGTTTTTTGAAATTGCAAGCCATGCGACGTGGCATCCTGCATTGAGATATGTGCAAAACTAAATTCCATTGACCTCGCTTCTTTGGTGCAGATTAGATCGGGGAGTAAACAAATGTAGAGGTTGGATCTACCAATATTTGGGCCTAGAGAATATTCCCGAAAGAAGAAATGAAACAAAACTGTCGATGCATCTCATCGCTGTTTTTTTTTTTTTTTCCTTTCATCTGGATAGTCCTGCACATTTCTTCTCATTCTTTGTTGAAAAGCAGAATTTCAGTGGAGTTATACCTTTTTTTTTTTTTTTTTCCTTCATCTGGATAGTCCTGCACATTTTTCGTCATTCTTTGTTGAAAAGCAGATTCAGGTTTATACTATTGAATGGCCATAAGTGCTAGTCGAACTGTGTCACATATAGATTAAAGATCTAAATAATGTACTTTGAAGATTTACTGCGTAGACGAGACACTGAACTATATGCAATCGGATATTACATTCGAGACTCAAGAATTGCTTTTTTCCTTCTCCGATTTGGTGGACCTGAGAACTTGGAACAAGCTTCACATAAAAGTTTCTCTTTTTATTTTAAGAACCGATGGTATCAGAAATGACTTTCGAACTGATAGCATATTTGGTTTTTGATGGTTGTTCATAACATTCTGCGTTGAGGGTGTTCATAAACTTTATAAATCGATCCAAACTATAAAAATTTGATCAGTATATATTGGATAGCTATTAAATTATAAGTTTACATTAGTTAAGTAAATTAATTATTTATTTATGAAAAGTTCAAATTTTTAAAATTGTTCATGGAAAATATATTGACACACGTTAGATAGGTAATAAATATGCGAGTTAAGCTTTATTTTTTTAAATAATTTTTTAGTGATAAATGTAGAAAGCAATTAACATTTAAATTCTATAAAATATGTAAATTAATGGAAGATTGAAGAATTAAAAAAATGTTTTTTTGATTAAAAAAATGTTCTTTTGATTAAAAAAATGTAATTTTCAATTTTATTGTTAAAGAATAAAAAGGGTGCAAACCAAAATTTTTTTCCTACATACATAAAACAAGTCATAAATGTTAAACTAAATAAAACACGTGGCCATAATTTAGTTGAGGTGACGACAGTATCGCAACTCCGCCTGCTCATGTGGCGGCATTTGGGGAGAGAGGGAGTTAGAAAGCATGGAGAAAAAGCGCTAAATCCCAAACAATTTTGATCAGAACGAACACAATACAAGAAAACAGAGATGAACCATATTCATAATAGGGGACACCAAAAGGGTTTGAAGACGGTAATGTGGATGATGGGGCTTTGCCTTGTGGGATATATAGTCGCCCCTCCCCTTTACTGGCACCTTTCTGATATTATAGTGGCTGCTCTTCGCTCTTCTTCTTCCTCCTCCTCCTCTTCGTATTGCCCTCTCTGCCCCTGCGATTGCTCTTCTCAACCCCTCCTCTCTCTTCCTAATGGTATTTTCTCTCTGTACCTCTATGTAAAATGTAATGCATGTATGGATGCTAAATGCGAGGATCGTATGATACTAATTCTTTAAACAGGGGTCTGGATTTCATGAGTAGGATTTAAATTTTCTTATACAAAAAGAGACAATAGCAGGGATTGTAGAATGTAGATCATTTAGGTTTCTACTTTCTTGTTATCATTTCCTATTTGGCATTGTCGAGGAATGTGTTGTACACATTAATACAATCACTGTTTTGTTCCATAATAATCAATTCTATGGTTGTTTTGTCAAGAATTTCGAAAATCTTGATAAGCGATTATGACCACTTTGTCCGTCATGCATATATGTGTATAGGTCCTGAACAATAATTACTCTATTATCACGAATCTTGCAGGATATTCATATCAATTTTGTGCTGAAATAAGTACCAGTCTTGGAAGCTGATGTGATGCCTGTCTGTTTTCTTGCAGGATTGAGCAACAATTCCTTTACAGGTTAATATCCCTCCCTATTACATCATCAACCTGAACAGTTGTTGGTGCTTAGATCACTGCTATTTTATTTTTGTCACCAAACTTAAAACCCTTGATTTTCTGGTGTTAGAAATAACGAAATATGGTTTGATTTCCATTTACTTATTTTGAAATATAACATGTTTAATCTTTTAGTTAAAGATGCTATAGATTTTGTTATGATGGAACTGTAAAGAGTAGCTCGTGTTGAGATTAATAGTGTCCAAAATGTAATTGCTTGGTTGTGGAATTTATTGCTCTTGTGTTGGTACATTTGTAGAGTGTATGAAGCACGATCCTGATGTGAGCGAGGAGATGGAGAAGAGCTTTATAGAACTATTATCAGAGGAGGTGAGGCTGAAAGAAGAAGAGGCTCTTAAAAAACAACGGCGTGTAGATCTGGCCCTGCTGGAGGCTAAGAAAATGGCATCGCAGTATCAAAAGGAGGCAGATAAGTGCAATGCAGGAATGGAAACTTGTGAAGAGGCAAGGGAAAGAGCTGAAGCCACGTTAGAAGCACAGAGGAAACTTAGTGCCATGTGGGAACTTAGAGCTCTTCAGAGAGGATGGAAAGAAGATGTCTCAAGGTCTCGTGCTTCTTAAATGCCGCATTGCTTTTTTCAAGTGGTTGATCAAAATTGTTCAGGCAGTTTCAACTTTGAGGAATCGCTTAATTTCTTTTTGTTAATCTTGTTTTTCTCCTGCTTGCTTCTGAGGTCATCCAATTCATTCATTTTTCACTTTCGACTCAATTTTTGCTGTTATGGGAAGTTGCTTGTATGGAGGGGAAGCCCGGGCATTAAAATTCTAATTCCGAGTTTATTAAATCATTGGGATAAGCAACCACTGCAGAAAGAGAACAGCAGGATATGGCCTTTTGAATGCAAGGGAATTTTTCCCAGATGAATGTAACATTATAATGAAAATGATGTTCCAGCTAAATTTTCTATAGGATTAATCAAATAGCCGCTACAGTTGCAATACTGTCAATAAAAATTATCAGTATTTGTATCTATCTATGTATACAACTGTATAATGTACAGGCGCTCCACCTGCAGTCTCATCAATACTTCAGAGCAAGTCAGTTGACAGCTAAAGATTGCTATCGGAGAACAGGCCACTATGATCAGTTGGATGAAGCCAATAATGCTGAGGCATCAAAGGGACCAACCACGCCCTCACTCAAAAGGCGCATGGCAGCTCCCCTAGAAAACTTCCTTGCAAAAAGGAAACAGGGAACAGATGTTGAGTTAGTGCGGCACCATTCTGTCCGGTACTCGGTCTCATAGTATACATGGTTGATAGCCTGTTGAATTGAACAAAAGAATACCACAATTAGGAGCATGTGGTGCCAAAAAAGAACAGATCATGGCAAACTATAGCCAGAATCTGAAAAAATAAATCACAAAGAGAAACAGATAAAATGCTGGTATTGTGCAACAATAATCATTTTTTGCCAGAATAGATCAATCCTCCCAAAATTTTCAAGCAGAACAACCAACGCATTGAACAACAACGTTGATACTACCACCATTCTCAGACAAATGCAGCACTCAGAAGACTAATGCATGTCCTAGAAAAGAAGATCAATTACAGCCACAAATATAATGATTGGGTATACACAGTTTTCTCATGCATACATGGACTGCAATTCCAATAGACTAACGGTAAAAATAATACCTTTATTTCATTGATCTTTTTAGGGCTTGCATTTGCATAGGTGAATGTGATAGGATGCCAACCTTTAGTTTCCATTTTTGCCAGAGACTGATTCCACACAGTATAGGTCAAAGTTCTTCTTTCAAGTTCACCTTCCAGCCCAGCCACCTGACAAGTACAGAATCGAATTTTGGATAGGAAAAGTTTGATACTAATTCTATCATTGATGACCGTGTCCTCTGCTTCAGTATTAATTACTAACAGAATGTGAGATAAACGAAAGCCACTGCTAGAGAAAACCCAGAATATTTCTTACCGAAAGCAATGTTGGCACGTAGTGTTCATCAGCAATACAGGTCTCCAGCTTTTTAAGTTTCTCGATCTAGTAATAAGGTAAAATCAGAAGAAACTATCAATTCCCAGAAACTGGGAAGGGAAATAAATGTAACGGAACTGCATCCAGTATACAAAAAAAGTACAGAATATCTCCAAAATAATACAATGAGCAAGCTCCAATTAGGAAGTAACATCTATATTGCACCAACTACAGAAAAAGGATAGAAATCAAAGCATCATAGCTTTATTAGCAAAAAGTATGAGGTGCATTAGTGAACATTGGCAATGAGAGAAGAGTTCATCACATCCCGAAATTATAACGAAGCAAGTTATACATGAAACTGGATAAAAAAAATATCCAAAAGTTCAGAAAACATTTCATCTTCTAGATATAAATCATTTTCAAATTGAACTTACAATAAACACTTTTCTCTTGACGGCATCTGGAGGTAGGCCCAGCTGCACAATATAAAATGCAAAGAATAAGCTATTACATCATAAAACAAATTTCAAATAGTTTTTGGACAGTGGTTCCATCCAATTAAAATTATCTTTTAAGAATTCATATTTTGTTAACACTAGAAACCAAAAATACAAAATTGAAACCATCTGTTTTAAAGCAAAATTAAATAGGACCCAAGCAGGCATTTACTAATTTACTAATAAACAGAATAAACTACCAAAGAAGAAAAGATAATTTAAGTCGTAATTTCTTAGGTTACAGCGGTAAAAGGTTCATGTTTTAGTTTGCTCCATTCATGAATATATCATTCATGTTGCTGTTACTTATAGCCAAAAAAGTTTGTAAGTAACAGACTAAAACAGGCAATACAAATTTGGATTGCAGCTTCGTGTGTAACAGCAATATTTAAGTACCTTGCAATGTTTCTTAAAGACTGGAAATATAACCTCATCATCTACAATCTTCTCTGCATGACTTCTCACTAAGGTGATCCACTGAAATTGCAAAATGAATAGCAAGATGGAAGATAAATTAGATATACCAGGGATGAGGGAGACATTCCTATACTTAATGAAATAACAACTACATTACATTGTCAAGTCAAGACTCAAAGCTATATGTATAATATAGTAATGCTGAGGATTAAACTGACAAGCAAGAAAAACCATCAATTAAAGCTGATGCTCTTAATGTCATTCCAATGATAAGGCCATTTTTACGAAGCAATCTTCCCAGGTTACAGTAGCAAGAGAACCAATTAAATTTATGCTCAGGAACTGAATAAAAAATGCTTCCTGCTTTCAAAATCTCAGGCAACTTTGCATGATGCTCTAACTTAGCCAGTCAAGCTTTTACTAACATGTCAACATCAACAAATAGGCCAAAATCTTACTTAATTAACATCAATTAAAAAATATATATATTAGAATGATGAGAAAAACATCATTTGCAAATGCTGTGAAAATCTCTGGTCAAATTGGCAGAATATATGACTTCAAATACTGGTCAGGTCAAAATTAATGCAATTTCAGATTCCAAGGAAATACAATCTCCCTCAAGATTTATATTAGTTTGTGCTTCTAGCAAAGTGAATTCTGTATAAGATAGGTTGTGCAAGAAGATTGCATCCACCACAGGTGACAATAAAGCGTCACTAACCTGAATATTATCAAATGATACCATTTCAGTTATGGTAATGCAATTTCCATGTTACATGACTTTATGAGCTATATTGCTTTCATTACACCAAAATCAATGCCAAGGAAATATTCCATGAAACATTCAAAAACTAATGAATTCTCTTAAACCTTAATTTACCCCAATTAATGGCCTCAAAGTAATTTGACTAAAGTGAAAGTGCAATAGAGTTAACCTGGGATCCTTTTCGCCATTTCTTTTTTTGTATGATAGGCGACATTTTCGGGTTGTAGCGCTCTCCTTTTGTTTCAATAAAGCTACAAGACAGAACAACTGCATAAATCTTAGCATTACAAAATGTGGAAGTATTAATAAAAAAAGGTTGAATAATGCTGAAAGTTCCATATAATCCTGTGCTTGGCACCTCAAGTATCAAAGCCTCTATCTACCTGTCCACAAAACTCCTATGAGAAGCCATCAAGTAGCCGTATATGTAGCTAAAGTTGTACAGGGGAACACAGCTGCGACATTTAGTGAAAAACATATATCAATACCAACAGAAATCTATAAACAACCTTAGTTTAACAACCCAAAATCCTCACATGAAATGCAACATTGATTATACTAAATGCAAGCCTCCACTTGCTAAACTTGTGAAACGTTAAAGGCCAATTGGCCAAATCCCGTGAGAAATAAAAATTTTCATTTTTTAAATTTCTAAGGAAACCACCAGCCAACCTGTCAGAGAGAAGCACGAATCTTTGATTTGCCGGATCTTCCAAAGCAGCTGCAAGCAACAACCTCTCTGCTTCAATCATACTCGACTCTCCCCAGACTACCTGCAAAACGTGACCACAAAAATTTCCAAAACAAGTTTATCCATCAATCAGTTCTATTTTTAGTATAAGAAAGAATCCAGTATTTAAAAAAAATAAATTAAAAAAAAGAAAGAAAATTGAATTAAGAACGATGCATCAGTATAACCGAAGTCACTCTTTAAAGGGGATGATAAAAACAGCAATCAAACTTCGAGTACGCCTTCGCTTAGCAATTAAGAGAAAAATCCTAAATCAATATTTGATGTTCCTTTTATTACCTAACATGTATAATGAACTATTAAAAGAGGAAGTTTCTACAAAAAAAAAAAAAAAAAAAAAAAAAAAAAAAAATAGCGGAAACCACCAGCGCAATCCTCGGTCCAGAGAGAGAAGCAACGAATCTTTGCATTGCTTGCCCGGACATCTTCCAAAGCTAGCCTGCAGAGCACACAAGCCCTCCCTCTGCTTCCAACATCGACTCGACTCTCCCCAGCACTACGCCTGCCAATAACGGTGAACCACAAAAGAATTTCCCAAAACAACAGTGTTAACTTCCCATCCCAGATCTAGTTTCTAATTGTCTTGTAGTATACAGAAAGAATCCAGTATGTTATAAAAAAAACGTAGAATTCCGTAACAAAAAAAGCACAAGAAAATCTAGAAAATTCAAGGAACCGATTGCAAGTCAAAGTAATAGACACCGTTAGAGTGCACGCCTCTTTCCAAAAGGGGGAATGAGTACGACCAAACGCAATCCAAACGTCTGCCGAGCCTATGCCTTGCGCTTAAGCAATTCCAGGAGCAAACATGGTCTCTAAATCAACTACTCCTTGTGATCGTGTCCTGTTTCTCATGCGTCCAGCCGTACACATGTTAACTACGCAATGGCACAGCTAGTTAAATAGAGGACACGCTGCGTGTCTTAACAGCAAAGAACAAAAAAATAAAAAAAAAAGAAAAAAAAACAGGAAACATTAGAGGTAGCCGGTGGGATAGACTATATTACTTTTAACTGCCCGACCGTAGAAGAAGGAGTGCGACCGTGGTTGTGTGGACTCGTCGAACTCCAAACCAGGCGCCCGAGGTGAAATAAAAAAGATGGACGATAATTCAGGCCACGTCGGCATTCGTTGCAACGGCCAACTTCGTTCTGTTACACCTTTCGTCATTAAAAAAAAAAAAAAAAAAAAAAAAAAAAAAAAAAAGGAAACATTAAGTACCTGGATACTATTCTTTAACTGCCGACCGTAGAAGAAATGCGACCGTGTTGTTGACTCGTCGAACTCAAAACCAGGCGCCGAGTGAATAAAAATGGAGAAATTAGCCACGTCGGCATTCTGCAAGCCACTTCGTTCTGTTAACCCGATCATTTTCCAGATAAAAAGATAAGGAAACAAATTCCAATTCCAAATTACCTCGAAGAAGCTTCCCCAGAGGAAATCGAGAGGCAGGTCTTTGCAGACGAGAAAAAGAAAGGCCAACTTAGGAGGACCGACGAACTCGAAGCTACGGCGAGAAATTCGAGATCTCGGGCGATAAAAGGTAGAAGTCTGAGACGAGAAATCGGATTGAAAATGGAGTCTTAGAAGAGCGAAGACGCAGAGAGTGACAGAAAGGAAGAGGACGAGCTTCCAGCCGAACCAAATGACGTGGCGTACGGGTATCGGTTGGGCTTTCTTCGTCATGGTTCTTCCTGCAAGGGCCATGATTTCAACGCATCAAACAAAAAAAAAAAAAAGAAAATCGAATGACAAAAGTGGCAAAAATTCAAGAGAATATGTAAAGAGAGAAAAAGGAGAGAGAGAGTACATTGAATGTGATGGAATTGATGGTAAGAGACTAACATGGAAAGAAAGAGCTGTACATGCTAAATGCTGGCGTTTCTTTTCTTTGTCGAAGCTCAATGAAGCGAACAAGAATGGGAAAAGAGAAAATGAAAACGTGGCCGTTTGGGTTCAAACCTGTAGAAATGGCAGCGCAGCGGCGCAAGTCTGGCCTTAACCCACGTTCAAAAATGGAAAATCAAAGGTGGGTCCTACGGTATATTGAAGGCATTGACACAATAAAACGGCACCGTCAAGGAGGATTTGGCGCGTGGTCGACCTAACTAATTACCTAATTATGTTTGATTTGTTTTTTGGAATGGAAATGACGAGAGAGAATTTGGCCCTCATAAGGTAAGAAAACTTGACCAAAAGGTTCAAATTTGGAGATGTGGACCTAATTAAAATTGTTTACTTACAATTACCAGCAAGTGTATCCACCTTGGTTGTGCATACTGTATATAGAAGAATAACATAAACGAGTATGAGAATGATTTACCTATATTTATCATATATAATTTATTCATACATCAAACCAATCACAAATAAAATTAAAAGCATTTTTAAACATATATTGATTTTTAGAAAAAAAAATTTATTAACTTGGTGTATTTAAAAATATTTTAAAATACAATATATGTGTTCACCTATAAACCAAATTAATGAAAATAATTCATTTAAATGAAAATAATTCATTTAAAATAAAAAAAAATGAATGAAACTAATATTTTAGCGAATAATCAAAAATATTATATAAGTTCATTAGATGATTATATGATTAAAATAAAAATAAAAAATGCGTTAAGTTGGAAAGTAATAAATACTCTTCACACGCATGTGGACACAGCTAATAAATCGAACCATTACACATTGTCTGATTGTCTCTCAACTAACATTATGCAAAAGCAAAATAGACTAAAGTCCTATGGCTTCAATCATTTACCCAAAACAATTTGTCCTATTAATAATAATAATAATAGAGACTAAAAAGAGAATATGATGACATAAACATGTAGGCCTCACCTACATTACGCAGTTTATTTATAGTTGTTCCCTCGGACAAGGCTGGTCCTTAAAAATCATAAAAAAAAAAAATTATTTTCTCAGATCGTCGTATGATATATTTATTTAAAATGAATGAATATACTATTTTTCATTTTAATCTTACATAAATAAAATATTAATTAATTTTTTATAATAATATTTAATATTTTATTATCTTTAAATAATTATAAATAAAATAATCAAATAAAAATATTAAGTTGCAAAAAAATAATTATTTTTATAAGAATAATATAGCCTAAATATAATATAAATACAAACCAACTTTTAACTGATAAGAAAAAATTCCATCATATGATCAAAAGAATCGACAATTAATAGCTATTGATAAAAAATCCTTATCAAATTAATCACCTAACCGTTAAATACAAATCAGCAACCAACTGCACAAAACAGCTGAGCGAAGAGCCTCCCTGCTCAAACAGAACATCATAAATCTGTGTCCGAGCTCGAATATTACAGATAATAAGCAAGTAGGTACACTCTGATGGTTCAACCATAAATACATCGATGCGTTTGCAAAATAACTCAATCCACAAATTTTCTTGCATGTCCCTCAAGGCATGACTAGTAGCAGCAAGAAACTTTCTGCTATCACCCTTGTATCCTGAATGGAACCGACAGTTCCCTATATGCAATCGATGATCTAACCTGGAGCATGTAGACATCCAATTCAGTTTCAAGCTTAGAACCATTAAGTACATTTGCCTCTCCTCGAGATTTAAATTTTATTTGCAGCGCAGATGCCAATTTAAAGTGAATTGTGGACTTAACAGAGGTCAAATGCACTATCGGACACCTGCCTTGACATTTTGAGGGCCCAAAATAACATTTAGAATCTTTCCTGGAATGAAGATTCTTTTCCTGATAGATTTTCCATCCAGATACCTGGAGAGCTTCTCATCCTCGGAAGCTAATCTGAAAGCATCCTCCTCTGAGCATCCTTCTTCAACCTGTATAGTGCCTCGTGTTTTGCCATTGATCTGAACTGGCAAGATGACAAAAGTATCCTTCAGGTAAGCAGGATTGGCCTGAAATTGGAATAACTGGGTGAGTAGTCTCAAAAAAAGGACCCAGGTAGATATAAGTGGTTACTATTCAACCAAGTGCATCTTATCCATCATGGAATCTAAACTCTAAAGCGCACTCCACAATGAATTATATTGACTGGAAATTAATAAGACACGGACACAATCAGATTACTCATTGCCATTCTGATGGCAAATCCAGTCCACTGTCTGGATTATCCAGTCCGTTGTTTGTTAATCCAGAGAACGAGTTTTGTCACCCTCAAATGAAAATTATTTGATGACTAATTCAAAGCACTACAGCATTTTAGATCATCATACATGGACAAGGACTAAAACAACAATGTATTAAAGAACGCCGAGAAATAAAAGTCAAAATAACATAACAAACAAGATGTCAAACATATACAGCTGAGTTGAAGACAGAAATTTACCTCAGGAAATGGTTCATATGCCAATGAATTTGAGTGCCCTAACCGAAACCAAAGCTCCTCAGCTATGTGAGGTGCATAAGGAGAGAGCAGTAAGACAAATTCTTCAACAATTGACCTTGGAAGTTTATTCCACTAGTGATAATGCAAGCAAAAGTTGTTACAATTAACAGGAAAATATCAATCATGAAACAAAAGAGAAGACATGAAAGAGGAGGAAGAGTGGGTAAGAAATAAAATAAAATGTAGCGAACTCCTTAACAAGGAATAAAAGGAAATTGTGGCAAGACCTTATATGCTGAATTAATGAACTCCATCATTGCTGAAATTCCTGTGTTGAATCGTGTCCCTTCAATTTCTTCTGTTACCTGTGAAGCAAAATCAATTCCTCGAGTTTCATAAGGATGGAGTGTGTCAGAATCTGCTTTGACAGAAACTTCCAAACAAATAAAGCAGCCTTTCTTCTGATCTGTAGAACCACACAATTGATGGATTCTCGCCCAAGAGAAAGCCCCATACCACTCAGAACTCTATATGGTTAGGCAGGGTAACCACAACTCTAGTTGTGTCTATCGACCATGTAGTTAAACTAAATATAGTAAAAACTTGAGCATCTTGGAGCATATATGCAACTGTTAAATAGAACATTTCGGGATTAAGGCTGTTGATTTGTGTTTTCTGGATGGAATATTCTTATAAGGATAAAGCTAAGTAAAGTTATTTACTCTCCCCACTTAGCAGGTATTTGCTTTTGATACATATATCAAAAATTAGGGAAATGCATAGTATATAGAATTCTTTATCGTAATTCTTAACAATATCAAAGGATTTAACTTTACAATACATTCTTCGACTATTGAGATATCGATCTTAATTTTCAAAATTAATCTTCGCATTAATACACCTGTTTCTGTAAGTCATTATAATTAGGATGCATCTTCATATGAAGCTGTATCTATCCTCAGGAACTTTTTAATATTGATAACTAATTAGTGTAATCAATAACAGGGAAGCATGTGAGAGTTATTGGAGGAAGAAACTTGGATAGAAATTATCTTGTTGGTTTTAAAACAAAACTCCAGTCCTATTCAAGATGTAGTCAAAGCACCCAACCAAATCCACAAACAAACAAATGCAGGTTGATATCTTTTAGGAAAGGTAGTGGACAAGTGAACAAAGGAATACTCTCATAGAGAGAAAGAGATGCTGAATATTCAGATTTCGATATAACCTTTGCTATGCATTTATGTAGAGAACGTAGCTGTTCATAAGTTGGTTCATCATCACTCGCCACGGTTCCATCTTTGAAAGCACCATTAGCTAAAGGTGAACCAACAATCAGCCTCCAAGTTCTTCCCAAAAATCGGTATACACCTTCAATGCCGCTAGTACTCCATGTTTTTGAGTCTCTGAAAGCATAATGCATTGAGGACATAATCATATGAGAGAATATCTTTATTTTCTCTAACACTCTGCACAAGTTAAAACCAAGAAAGTAAGGCATACCTAAATGGTCCCATAAACATTTCATATAATCTAAGAGAGTCTGCACCATATTCTGAAACAACATCATCAGGATTGACAACATTGCCCCTACTTTTACTCATCTTATGAGCACGGGCAATCAAACGAATATCACGGTCATCTTTCAGCACAAATGAATCCCCAGATTTTATCACCTGAATAAAGAGAAATGGGATTTTGTCAGAAATTAAGAAGATACAAAGCTGTAAATAATAGACGAATATCTCAACAAGTGTAGACAGTCTTGTATGAAGACAAGAAAATGCCACTATATTCATTCATGTAAGAAAATACCTTTTCCTCAGGAATTATTTCCTGATAAAGTTCACCCAATATATCAGCAGAATCTGCAGACACATAGTTCCCATCTGGGTCCTTGTAGGCCATATATTGAACCTGCCACCCATATCATTAGAAAAATGGTGATGGTTTATATTTTGATGCACACAAACAAGTGTACTTACTTCTCCAAGGATGATTCCTTGGTTTATAACACACTTGAAGGGCTCTTTAGTTGAGACAACACCAATATCATAAAGCACCTGAAATACATATTTTCTGTAAGAAATACATCTTATGACATAAATTAATAAAGTTAGACAATTCATTATTTGGTTGTGGGAAGTGCACTGCTAATTTTGATATATAGGCTCATTTCACAAGCACTAGATTGATCTATGCAAGCATAAGTCAATGGTAAACCTGAGTGGAGACAAAGAATACAACAAAAACTGTAACAAAAGACAGAGATCCACATTGACAATGATGATGATAGATAACAAGCTGCATAAACAGGTGTTATTTGTCGAAAATGACATTAATTGATTCATCAAGTTAATCTCAAAATTATTATAAACAACAATGCATTCAGATCACAAAACCTTGTGCCAGAATCTTGAATAAAGTAAGTGGAGAACAGCGTGCTCTGCACCACCAATATAGACATCAACTGGACTCCAATACCTATTGGCAAATATAATCTTAAAATAGAAAAGAAATAACAGCACAAAAAATATATTCAAGTTCATAATTTAAATAACATAAGTACATTCTTTTTATGTTACTAAGACCAAATCTTACATTTCTTTTGTCTTATCAACTAATTGCTCGGAGTTCTTTGGGTCCATATATCTCAAATAATACCTGAACATTCCAGAAAAATTCTAGAACATCAAATATCAAAGAAAACTTGAACTAACATTTTGCTCAATAGAAAATGCTGGAAAACAAAATGACAAACTTCCATTCATTCCCATTCATTGCAAAAGATTAATTTAAGGATGAAACATGGTTGTTCTTCAAACAAATAGTTACTAACTTCAAATTGTAACAGTTATTGTTCAAGTCAACTGCCAAATTAGTCCAGATTCCCTATCTATTAAATTTTCATTAGTTCACAGCAGGTTAGCTACCCAATTATCCCACCTGCTCCATATTTTCTCTCCAAAGGAAGAGAAGGTTAAGAAAATGCTCTGACTAGATTTGAAGTGAGAGTATACATATATTAATAACTACTCGATCGTAGCATATACAAAGAATGATTAAATTTTGTGAGTGAAAGAAAATAGTCATTATGGACATCTGAGAAGCAGAACCATAAATAATTGGATAAACAAAATGTGACATAGGAATATGGTCTGTCCAGCTAGTAACATGTCCTAATTTTTGATAAAGTTAGAAATTTTGACATTTTGACATTTAGGGTAGTAAAAAATGTGTTGCCAGCAGAAACATTTTTAAGTAGCAACATATATGTTACCAGCAAGAACCAGCCCACTGTGGCATGGTGCTTGTTTCTCTTCTGGCAGGTTTTCCAGATGAAGGATCAGTGGTTTTCACCTGAAAATAAGCCACAAAAAGAAATTGACATACAACATATTTAAGGAAACAAAAATACAGATGTCGCTGGGAGAAAGGAGAAAAGTAGAGAGACTGTGAGAGAGAGAGAGAGAGAGAGAGAGAGAGAGAGAGAGAGCCTGAGATCTATATAATGAAGCAAAAACATGTAGCAAAATTATTAATTCATCAAATTTCCAGGATTTTCCCTGAATTTAGCAGTCAATTAGCAAGCAAGATCACATTAATAGAAGCGTAAGCTGCATAACCAAGGAGTGAGAAAATTAATGGATTATTTCTACATTGACTTATAGAAACAGCCACAAAGAAAAACGATTGACCATTTAAGCACTTTTGAGCATGACACCCTCCTTTTGGTCCAGTCTATTGCATCAATTTTATCAAAGTAAATAGGAAACTTCATAAACAGCCTTCTCCTGCGTTAACCAGATATAAGATTCCAAGATGCCACTGGCTTCCCCAAGATATAATCTGTTATATTTCTAGAATAGAAATGATTGTACTGAATAAACAATTTCTCTACATACAATGAATCAGAATCCTGCACCATCACAAGCTCTGGGAAAGAGTGATGGATTCATTATTGATTTTGTGGTAAATACTATCAGAAAAAGAGAGACTGCAAACTCTGAAACATTGTAGATTACAAGGAACACTTGCAGTGAGGATAAAAACATACCCAAGAAATAGCTTTTGACAGTGGTGGTTCTCCCGTCCCTGTGGGAGTGAAATCATCCAATTCGGGTAATTTAAGGGGCAAATCCCTTTCAGAAAGTGGAATACTCTCACCATTATCCTCCAAGAAAACAACTGGGATAGGTTCCCCCCAGTAACGCTGCCGAGCAAAAAGCCAGTCCCTTAACTTGTAATTCACCTGAAGAAAGACCCAACATGTTTTCAGTATAATAACCTTCCTCCCAAGATCACCTGTATCAGTAAGCTTTAGATTATAAGTAGAGAGCACCTTTTTCTTCCCATTTCCAGTTTTTTCAGCCCATTCAATGACTTTGGATGCCGCTACTTTGCTAGGCAAGCCATTGATGTCAAGCCCCACACTTGAATTCGATGAATTTAAGATAATGCCTGCACCTGCATAAGCTATTCCTGAATCACCACAATCTTCACCATCTGGCTTCACAACCCAACATATAGGAATGTCATATCTAGTGGCAAATTCATAATCACGAGTGTCGTGTGCAGGCACAGCCATAATTGCTCCAGTCCCATAACTGCACCCAAAATATTATATATGTCAAAGACACCAACAAACACTCTCCAAATGCTTAGTATTGATAATCCCATGGCATGATTACATCATATTCCAAATAACAGCTCATGCATTTCACACTGTAGACAACATACATGGGGGAAAGTTGCAACCTAAGCATTTATGCATCAGCCAACTATCATCAACAAAAAGACAAAAAACCAAGCACACCTGCCCAAAACATAATCTGCAATCCATATTGGGATTGCTTTCCCATTAGCTGGATTTCTTGCATAGCAGCCACTAAACACCCCAGTTTTTTCCTTCTGAAGCTCAGTCCTCTCAAGTTCACTCTTTCGAGAGGCAATATCTCTGTATTCCTCCACCTGTGATCAAGATTTGTTACCTTGCAACTGTTCATGGCAGTTGAGACAAAATATGGAAAGGAAGAAAAGAACAATACACTTCTACTCTGGGCGAGAGAAACTAATGATGAAAGTAAAGAGTGCTCTGGTGCCACAACTAAATATCTGCACCAAACCAGGAAAAAAATAATTATCAATCCAGGGAGAATGGCATAAAAAATTTATTGAACAAGCACATGGTGCATAGATTTATCAAATAAACAACAATAATATAGGATATGAAAGTACGTTGCACCAAAGATGGTGTCAGGTCTCGTAGTATAAACAATAATTTTTTCGCCTCTTTCCTTTCCATCATCACCAAGTACAAGAAATTCTATCTCAGCCCCTTCTGACCTCCCTATCCAATTCCTTTGCATGTCTTTTACACTTTCAGGCCAGTCAAGGTCATCTAAGTCTTCAAGAAGGTGATCAGCATATGCAGTTATCTTGAGCATCCATTGCCTCATTGGCTGCTTGGTAATAAACAACGACACTGTAAAATTACAAGCCCATTCAACAAAAAGAAGAAAAGTAATGCGAATAGAACAAATGTTTTAAAAGATAAAATAACATACTGCCACACCTTTCTTATAACTGGATGACCACCGCGTTCACTCACCCCATCTACAACCTCCTCATTGGCCAGAACAGTGCCAAGCGCAGGGCACCAATTGACTGGAACCTCAGCCTGAACAAATAATAAGTAGACCATCAAATCCAGTTTTAAGGAGGAAATGAGAGGATATGATGGTGGAATGGAGATAATCCCAGACCTGATACGCCAATCCTCTCTTCAATAGCTGAAGAAAGATCCACTGTGTCCACTTATAGTATTCTGGTTCAATAGTGGAAATTTCACGATCCCAGTCATACGAGAATCCCAACGATTTAAGCTGAAAACAAAATTGGATGTCAATACATTAAGAAAGAACAAATTTAGATGTCAACATTTTTAGAAAGAACCACATTCAGGAACACATGATATAGAATAGACAGTTAGGCTAATACATGATGAACAGAGTGCAATGCCATCTCAAGTGCCTAAAAGGAACTTCTCTAAATAGGTTATGATTTTTCCATGTGGCTTAACTTGCATCAGCAGCACCTCATAGAGGTCAAGATGAATAAAATTGTTCAACATTCAGAATTTCACATTCCACTATAATTAGGCAAGCAACTGAATGACATACAAAGTGAAATTATAAGCTTCCATTTGAGCACTCTCAAACATTGACCTGTGTGCTTTTGATCAACATAACAACATGCCAAGTATATGCATGTGTTGCTTTGGTGTTTCTCATGCTGATGCTCCAGTTGCTCTAAACATGTGAGAAAAAAAAAGGTAACAGAATCTGCATTACAAGATTGAAAATCATTCTGTGACACACATGGCACATGACTCGAAGAAACATTACTTCAGAACTGCAAAAAAAAAAAAATAGTAGGGACATTACTTGACCTGGGATCTGAAGCGGTTAATATTCCTCAATGTTGTGATTTTCGGATGTGTTCCTGTCTGTTACGCGCATATGCAACCCATCAATCAATGAGAATGTTAACCATAAAAACTGAAAATTATGCAAAGCTTTCATCAGCACTGCAAAGCATACCTCAATTGCATATTGCTCTGCAGGTAAACCAAATGCATCCCATCCCATTGGGTGCAAAACATTGTAACCCTGCATACGTCTGAACCTGGCAAGAATATCTGTGGCAGTATACCCCAGTGGATGACCAACATGTAACCCAGATCCACTGCAATAACCACCAACAAATAATTCCAGAAACCTCATTCGTTATAACAAATTTCATTAATCAACATTTTCCATCCCTTGAATTTGCATTGATTTTTATAACTAATTGTCGTACGTTTGACCAGTTGAAATAGCTCACAATTGCTAAAGCTTTAGAATTGAGAATAGCAATCCAAATTAAATGTTGTTTATACCTGAGTCCCATATCCAATTACCAAAGTCTTGTTCAAAAAAAAAAAAAAAAAAAAAAAAAAAAAAAAAAAAAAAAAAAAAAAAAAATCCATTACAAAAGTCTAAGGGCAAGTAGAAATGATAAAAAAAAAAAAAAAAAAAAAAAAAAAATCCAATTACCAAAGTCTAAGGGCAAGTAGAAATGATGATATTGGGCTTCCCATATTTGATTATTTAATGGCTGATATCAAGAGAAATTTAAGGAGAATAGAAAGAGGGAATGAAAAACAGTTACCTGGGATAAGGGAACATGTCAAGCACATAGAACTTAGGCTTCGAGGTGTCAATTTCATCTGGGGTTCGAAAAGTGTAATTATCATCCCAATAACGCTGCCATTTGGGCTCTATTTCATGGAAAGGGTAAGCTCTCTTCACCACTGGCTGCTTCTGCGTCTGCTTCAGCTCAGGTTCTTCAACTTCATTGTCTTGTTTGTTCACTAAGCTCCTAACTCTAATCTCTTTAAATCTAAAACTTTGATAATTTAGGCTGTTTCCATATGCTCTTTTTCTTGGGACATAACAAGTTTTCTTGTTGGGAGTGCTGGGGTTTGAAGACTGCGGTTTTTTAGCAGAGAAATGAAACTTCTGGTAACGAAAAATAGATGTTGAAGGGACCATTTGGGTTAGTGTGAAAGTTGATGCATTCATTTCCTGTACATGTAAATTAGAAAGAATAAAGAAGAAGAGTTCTGAGAGAGCAGACTATCTCTTGTTGATAATGTTTGGCGCTGAGATTTCTTGGCTACCGTTTTTGCAGTGGATATTGGGCTTAACATAGAGCCCATAATGTGGCGTTTTCAGCCTTGGGCCTTGCATTGGGAAGTAGGGGTGTGGGCGTGGAAACGGAGGTTCGATTTCGAATCGGATACAACCGTAAAAACCAAAAATTGAAACTCACTTTTGGTTGAAACTAATTTGCATTGAAATAAGTTTGGAAACCAGATGAATCAATCGATTTGGTTCATATCGATTCAATTGAACGGTTTGATTTTTCTTAAAACTAATTATTATGCAATAACGATATAAAGATTGAAAATGAAAGATGAAGATTGAAAATCGACATTGAAATTGAAGATTAAATAACTGAACCAAAAACTAAAAATAAAAATAATGTTATTTTGATTTTTTTCCAAAGTTTGCTCACACTACCAAAAAGATCTTAACAGATTTTTAAGTAGCTTTCGTGTGTAATAACATGCATGTTTAAAAATAGCTTACATGCTATTTAAACTGGCTTTTATACATTAAGGTGACATTTTATAAAATGTTAATAAAAATGCATGTGCACGTGACAAACGCTATTATGATTTTTAAGTAGATTTTGGTCAATAACATGCATGTTTAAAGTAACTTATATACATTAAGGTAATGCTAGTAAAATAGCACATGTACAGCTGATTAATTAAGTAGCAATAGTATATTGACAAACGTTGCTAAAATAGCTAAAATAGCCAACAGCCAATGACTACCGCAGCTAGAACAGCTAACAGTTACAAGGAACATTAATCAAACATTACAAAAATCAATGGCAATGAGACTATGAGTGTAACATCCAAATGACTCACTCATTTGTTGGGACGATTGTCCCCTAAATTGTCAAAACCTAAAAATGAAACAATTGTCCCTTACAGCTGATTAATTAAGTAGCAATATTATGTTTTTAGTGTGTTCAGTAATACAGTGTTTGAAATCAATAATTACTAACAGCTATCAGAAACATGATGATTAGACTATGACTCTAACATCGAAGTGACTCACCCATTTGTTGGACTGTCCCAAACAGCTGACTAATTAAATTTCTGTTGACCATTAGGGAATTCAATTCCTTCCTTTATAGTTAAGGAAGGGATCCTCCTCACAAATGGAGTTTGTATGTTGTAGGGACACCAACTTACACCTAATTATTGCAGAACAACTTACAATACAATCTCTTCCTAAATCTTTAAAGTGGAATATTCTATACATAAACTAATTGCTTACAACAAACACAAATGAGAACCGCAACTTGCATACCATCTCCAAAAGACAATGAAAGCTTCTAAGTGGGAATCTTCTATACATAAACTAATTGCTTATGATAAATACAAAGAATTTAAACACGAAAGACAACTTACACTAGGCACTACCAATTCTAAAAGACAACAAAAGCTTTAAAGCGAGAACTTTCGTGTATAAACTAATTACTTATGACAAATATAAAGAATTTAAACACGAAGTATATTTTGCATTACCAGCTCGAAAAGACAAGGAAACCTTCAAATTGGAATTTTTTGTGTTTGAATCACGGAGGAACAAAGATGCTTAAATTTTTTTTGAAATCGATATAAAGATGCTTAATTTTGAAGTGAGAAAGGAAAGATGATCCAGCAAGGACTATCATGTTTTCATCTTCAGAGAAGTGTGGGGCGCAGTGAAGATTTTTACCTTTATAATTTGTTTATCGTGAAGGAATAAAAGCAGCTCAACAGCCATTCAATATAAATAGGAGGCCAACAGTCACATCCGAACTTTTTTCATTTATATATGAAGAGGGGCAAATTTGCCATTTCGTATGTAACAATTGTAGCCCTAGCCGCAAAATTTCCCCTATAAAAGGATAACTTAGACTTGAGGGTGCACGGTGGGTTAAGAAAAACATTTGATTTGAGTCTTTCTTCACAAAATCAAAAGATCAAAAGAAGATGAATAGATGCTTATCAGATCTAGAGGCTGGAAGCCTGGGAGAAAGATGTATGACTTATGATATGAGCTATACATAGCAAGGTGAGTTACATCATAACATGGATATGTGTATACATGTATGTGTTCTAACTTTTGTGCTTTCATCAATTGAATTACTTCAAGTTCTACCCATCAATTAGCTTAGTTTTCATCTTCAATCTTCCTATGGTTGCACAATAAAATTTTGTTTGACTTTGAATTCTCTACTCTATATATATATATATATATATATATCTACTCTAATATAATATATATATATATATATATTCCTGTAGAGAAAAACTTTATGATTTCCAATTATGATTTGAATCATTTTAAAAAATTTTACCTCTAGAGTTTTTTTTTGATAAACTTGTATTTTTCTTTTAGTTTTATAAATTTTTTGACTTTTGAACAATTATTGTTTAGATTTTTTTTTTTTTTTTTTTTTTGAATTCTAATTTTTAAAGTTTTGAATATTGCAAATCTAGATTGCCAAAACATTAATATTATTATATAACACAACTCATTTAGTAAATGGATACTAATATCTCAATCTTATCTTTTTAAATTCTTTACTTTAGTTTCCACCATTATTTTTTAACTTAGTTGTATTGATTAAGGAGTAAGGTTTCTTTTTTATGCATATTATATAGGATTTGGATAAAATGTTAGTTTTACTAAATATTTAATTATTTGTTTGAGGCAAGGTTTTCTCTATTTAAACAATAAAAAAAATTGATTCAAACTCTTTTTATTAATAAATATAAGTTAGTGATAGCGGGATTCTTTTATCTATAAATATATGTTGTATGTTAAGAATATTTATTTAAGCCTAGCACCCCTAGGACTATAGAAAAAATTGATTCAAACTCTTTTTATTTAAAAATAATTCGTGATAGGAGAATTCTTTTATCTATAAATATATGTTGTATGTTAATAAACATGCCTCGTAGAGTAATTCTTTTGTCCTTAATATATGTTAAGACTATTTATTTAGGAGTAGCACCACTAGACTATACTATGATGGTAAGTGCATGTACAATATATATATATGTTAGAATATTTATTTAGGAGTAGCACCACTAGACCATAGTCTATTGGCGAGTGCATTTACAAATCTACCAAGTGGTAGAGTAATTATTGTTTATAATAATCTAGTAATAAGTGCATATACAAACTTGTATATAGTACCACTAGGCTGCAGTCCACTAACAAGTGCATATAGTACCACTAGCTGCATTCTAGTAGCAAGTGCATGTACAAACCTACCAATAGCTTAGTGGTAGAGTAATTTTTTTGTCTATAAGTTAAGAATATTTATTCAAGAGTAGTACCATTAGGCTAGGGGTGGCCATATTACGGTGCCATATTACGGTTCCGGGAATCGGAACCGGCGGGAATCAGAACCGGTGGGGTTCAAGTTTTGTTGGAACCGCAAACCGGCGGTTCCACAAACCGGTCGGAACCGGATGGAACAGCCAATTCAAACCGATTTGAACCGACGGCTCTAGCCGTTATAAATTGTCAGTCTTTTTTTTTTTTTTAATTTTGTTGTGATTTTCTTTACACTATCAAGAAAATCAAAGAGCCATAGGCTTCCCCTTCAAACCCACCACCGAACTAAGAGGTAGGTAAAGTCTTTTTCTTTTTTACCTCCACGTCTTTTGCTTATGCAGTTCTTCTTCTTCTTTATTTTTTTATTTTTATCAATTATATCAAGTGGTAATGGTTTGGATCATCTTTTTATTTTCTTGTTAATTCCTTTTTCCCTAATGGGTTGGTTGGGTTTGCGTTTCTTTGTTGTTGTTCAAGTCTTTAAAATAAAAAATAAAATTTATTGAAGCATTTTTTAATGTTTTAGGTGAATTTTTTTTTTAGAAATAACTTTGACAAATTTTATTAATTTTGAAAATCGTCTTCAAAATTTTAAAGATTTAAATTAAGCGATTTGCGAAACGATTGGAACCGTCGGTTTTGAAAAAAGTCTAACCGGAAACTGGACAAAACTTATTTCACTTACGTGCGCTATTCCCTGGATAATCTAATTTATTGGTTTGAAACCGGAACGCTGGTGGCTCACCCCTCAACATTCAACGTGGCTAGTAAGCCGCTTCTCAGTAAGTGGAGCAAATCGCGTCATTTGAATGATCAATATCTCAATCCACATCTCGACTTGACATATACCTTAGAACAAAAATGTTGAAATCCATTTTTTCAAACTACTATCCGACCACTTAGTGAAGATTGGCATAGCTTAATTTATAGATATAAGGTATAAAGGGTCTAAAAATGTACCCAAAGATTTGTAGGATGACAATCTGTGCAGAATAATTGAGAAGGAAACTTTGACAAATTTATTAAATTTTGAAAATCGGTCTTCAAAATTTAAAATTTAAAATTATGCGATTTGCCGGAAAACCGATTGGAACCGTCGGTTTTGAAAACGTACCGGAACTGGAAATTTTCGGTTCGGTTCTGGTTCTAATTTTTTTGAAACCGGAACCGTGGCCACCCCTACATTAGGCTATAGCCTAGTGGTAAGTGTATGTATAAATCCACTCTCTTGCAATACTAAAAAAAGGAATCTTTTTTCAAATTTATCCCCAGTGAGATTGGAGTAATAATTAGGTATAAGGGAAATGAATATTTTGTTATAATTGAAGAAATTAAGAAGTATGTATAAAAGTATTTGCTTAGAATTTTGCTGTTTTTTGATTTCATTAGTCATTATGCAACAACCTTAAACTACAAGTATTTGTACGAATGTTAGAAAGCAACAACCTTAAACTTATATGTGGAAAGATTTTCTTGCTGCTATGCAAAAACCTTAAACTATAAATATTTGTGGACATGCTTTCTTAATCTCTGTGTAACAACATTAAACGATAATTATTTGCGATACTACATGTTATTATTTCATTCACACCCATTGGGGAGTGGGTTTATCCTTCAAATCACACACCCATTGTAGGAGTGTGTCCTGTCCTTAACCCATTACATGTGGGTTTATATAGGTTAAATGCTTTTACAAAGTTATCATGATTTTGTGAAGGAGCAAAGTCATAAATATTTACTTTTAGATTTAACATATAACATAATAGTTAAGCGAGCTTATAATGGTAATCATTAGTGAAATGTAACTTTATAGGTGACAACGAAATTATTTTTGGGTCAAATTGAGGAGTAGAATGATGAAAGATGTAAGTGGTCGAAGTGGAAACTTGAAAGTGTGGAATCATTTGGAGTGTAAGAAGCATATTCCAAGGAATTGAGCATAGAGTGAAATAGGTACCAACACTTTTTTGGTTTAGAGAATCAAAATAGCACTTTATCTTTATTTAGGCATATCTACACTAAACTTCTTGTCTTAATGCCACTTAGTTTCCGTAAATTTGACCATTAATTTGATTTTATTTTATTTCATTAGTACGATATTGACTTTTTTTTTTTTTTTTTTTTTTAGCCAAAATTATAATCCCATCAGTCTGGCACCTGGTCAGTTCTCAAGCAAAGCTGAGCTCATGGATTGCGCAATTACTCCCTTAATATCAAGGTATACTTTCTTTTATTTTTTTTTTTTTTTTTTTTTTTTAATGGACTAGCCAAAATTATAACCCATCAGTCTGGCACCTGGTCAGTTCTCAAGCAAAGCTGAGCTCATGGATTGGCAAATTTACTCCCTAATATCAAGGTATACTTTCTTTTATATCTCTCAAAAAAATTGCTACCTGTTACAAGCTGCCAAAGAATTGACCTAGACTGGCATTAATTCCTATCAAAGGGAGTTAACAATTAGTTCAAAATTTGAAAAAAAAAAACAATTAGTGGTGTTTTCTCTAGCTGCTGCTTTCATTGCTGAATAATATTAGCTCTAAGCTCTTTCAAATCTTCTACTGTTTTCTGCTCTGCTTGAAGTAAACTCATCGCCGCTGGATAATATTAGCTCTTTCAAATCTTTTACTGCATGTTCAATTGCATATATAATCATTTTCTTGACCTGACAGAAGGAAAACAGGAGTCTATTAGTTACAGAAGCAAAAATTAACTGATAAGATTACGATTATGGCAGAATGGAGGCAAGAGTTACCTCAAGTTTGTCTTCTCTAGCCTTGTGATTCTTTGGAAGCTGCCGAAACTCCTCAGTTAAGCGAAAGCACTCATGGAGATTTTCAGGAGAGACAAAATCTACTGCAACTTTCGTACATGACTGTTTGTTTTGCAAAAAGAAAGGCCTTATTATAAGTAACTTACCTATTATATAATGCTAGATTGCTTATTTATTTTCTTAAAAGAGAAAAGCAAAATGTAGTAGTTTTCATTAATCATAATCTCTTCTGCCATTGAAGTACTAGCATAAAAAAGCTGACAACCAGTTTGAAAGAAAGATTGAAAATAACTTCCCGAAGATTTACCTTGAGATTCCTAACTTGATGTGGGCAACCAGCAGGGATAAATACGGCTTCTCCAACTCTCTGTCCAAATGACCAAGGTTCAACTTCTATATGAAATGAATCAAGTGAATCAGTGATTGCCACAAAGTAAGTTGTAAAAGAAAAGTTGAATTATAATATACTAACCGAATTCCTCTTTCAGCTTCTTTTTATGCTCCGAAGTTAAATAAAAACACTGATCATGAATTGGATGGGCAACCTGTTAATAAGTAAAAGTAAATCACAGATGACTAGTCTGGAAAACTAAAGATTTAAATGCAACATATACCTGTTCCACTGGACAACAGTATGTGTGCCTAAATTCCTTTGAGTGCTTTCTTAGATATGTTTCTAACTTCGGGACATCCTCTCTTCTGAAAATATCCCACAATGCACCACATGTCTCCTCTAATTCCACTCTAGCAATCAAACCAGGTTCTGTCTCTTCTCTTAGCTTATTGTCTGAAATCTCCATATCTAGCTCAGTAGCTTCCAATACGTCCTTCTCTTTCCAGTTTCTACAGCACTCAACTACTTCATGTAGCTCTTGACGTTCTTTCTCATCTTGTTCCCTATGTTTCCTTTTCAGCTTCTGAATGGCAGTTTGCTGTTCTTCGCTTAAAGCCACCTCCGCAGTATGTGTCAAAATATTCACCTGAATAAATTGATATCTTACACCTTTAGAAGTGTGAAAAAGACAATAGATTGTAATAGAAAGAAATCAACAACCCTTTTACAGACATTCCGTATCATCACCGACCAAACTAGCAGTTTGGCAAGCTAAAATATGCTTAACAACTGGCATCGCAAAGCCACCACTTGTCACCGTAATGTGACTTGACAGTTGAAAGAAACAGTTCCTCAACCCTTCCCCACCCCCCCACCCTCGCCCCCCTCTTTTCTCCCTCCTCCCAGAGAAAAAAGAGAGTACAAATTGCGGATCATTTGAAATAATAGTTTATTTTTGTAAACACCTGCCCAAAATGAATCATTGATATTAACTTTAAAACAGCCAGTGTACCATAAAACTTTAACACTCGCGCATTTATCTGCACGACATACTAAATAACATAAGTGATATTTTAGGCTTACCGCATCTGACATATCACAATGAAGATTGGTCACAGAGTCCCCTCTTCCAAGCTCTTCTGTTGTTCCATAAGCAATGTAAGTTTTTGGACCCAGGTCTGGTTTGAGTAGCCCTGGCGGAAATTTAACGGCTAAGTTAAGGATGCCAGCCTTGGGGTCACTGTATTCTTGGAAAGGTAATGCGCTGATAAACTCATCACAGTGGCGTGGCAAAAGGTCCTCAAACTTATCGGACGGTGGCCAATCCTTCAGCTTCAGCATCTCAGGCCAAAAATTTTTATATCTTCTCCCTTCTATATAGCCCTTGAAAAATTGTCGAGCATTAATTTCCACCTGAATATTTTGACAAAATCAGAAATCATTAGAACACTAATTAGAAGGGCAAAGAAAACAAGTTCACAAGAAGAAAAATGTATTTCTGAATACATCAGCAGAAGAAATTTTATCTCCTTTAATATAACTAACAAAAGCAAACCAGATGATATTCCTCAATCATGAGATCCTATGTTTTGGATGAAAAATAAATGCCAGGAAAGATAGTGGTGCTAACCTCACAACTAGCCAGGCAATCAATGGCCTTCACTTCAGACATCTTAGCACTTGTCTCTAAATCCACATTTTCACATAATGCACGCCACATGACCATTGGCTCCCAGCTCAAACGAGTTGTTTTTTCCAGTGCATCACGAACAATAACAGGTTCACCTCTAACCCAATGCTTTTGAAAGTGAAAAAGCCCTACATCCTCTTGAATGTCACTGAAAGGTGGGCAATACAAGTAATTATCCTCAGATCCTTCTCTGTAAGCTGCTCTCAACAACATCTCTTCCCCTGCTTCAGAATATTTGCAAGTCAAATTATTCTTTTCAGTGTCAAAGAAACCCAATAAATCACCCGCCTCTTTTTTCAACTCTGAAATCCATCCCACTGGAAGGATACGCTTTAGCTCCAACAAACAATCACCACAACCACCCATTTCTTTTGGGGCACAAGAAATACTACCATCACAATTGGCATTCCACTGGAAAGTTGGTGGTTCACTTCGATCCTCAGGATTTTCAAAACCACCAGGCAATTGATCTCCACCATGCATATAATCAGATCCTCGGTTTACATATTGAAACTTTATTTCATCACGGCTTGACAAACTTCCTTCACGAAGTTCTTGACAACAATGGAGACACAATTCATAAATGCATTTTGGACAGCTGCGGTGGAAGTCAACAATAGAAGTTGCACAATGGTTGCTGCTCCAAGAACAATAAAATTGCAGACAATAAGATTAAAGTTCAATCAAAAGACAAAAACTTCATCTCCAAGTTCGAGACAGAATGAAGGAGGCTTACCAAAAGACACGCTCATCGTTGTTACAGAAGATCTCAGCTACCTCAGGTACGGAACCTGGTTATAAAACACCATAATTAGCAGAAATGAAATTTAAACATGTAAACTCACACCAGAATAAAAAAGGAAACAGAAGGTACCAAGAATGCTAGCCTCAATTTGCAACTCTAGCGTTTGTTCTTCACAGATTTTTTCCAGAAATGGAAGCAGTAACTTGATCAAATATTCTAGATGCTGAACCTTTTCACTGTTAGTGATTTCCCGATTTGATGTCTGAAAGTGAGGAATATTATGCACTAGTTAGAAAGCAGATTATGCCAAGATGGAACAGATTCTGCTTATATATATTGGAAAGAAAGCAGAAAACCAAAGAGATAAACAGTATGGAGGAATTGATGTAGTATACTAGTAGGGGTGGTCTTGTGAAACAGATAACCTAAAAGGAGGGCACCCTTCTAATAGCATATAAGAGTAACTTCTTCCTTGTTTTCCACAATTAACTGGGTTAACTAATCTATGGACCTTTTACTTCATCATTAACATCCTAACAAAGGATTGAGTAGTTGGGGGACAGGATGGAAACAAACCTTAATCAACCCACTGGAATGCAGACACACATTGCAGTTGCAATTTCGACGACAAAATGGACATTGTTCTGCAATTTCTTCTTCTGTCATCTCTGGATACCTACATACAACACAATAGAAATGTGTATTAAGCAAAAAGACTCAGAGGTAATTAAACAAAACAATGTCACAGATTCTGGACCAAAAAATTACCAGTGCTTGATACATTGTATACAATACATTTTGCTTTTACACTTCCTGCAAGGGACAACAACTTTTCTTTCATTTTTCATGCACTGATGACACTTTGGGCGTGCTTCTATTTTGGCCTGCTTGAAGCAAGAAAAATTAACATCCTTCAGTTACAAAAGTTAATAAAGAAAGAGACCCTTCAATGTGAAGGGAAAAATAATACTATAATAGTTCCACTGTAGCAGATAAACAATGTTTAGCCAATTACCTTCACATTTCTCATTGCACATGTGCTGTTGCTGCTGTCTTCACTCTTTATAGCTGAAGCAGCTGACGTAGAAGTTGACAGAGAGGATGAAGTACAGGAAGAAGCATTTGCAAAATCTACACTCTCCTCCTTTGTATCCCTGGTATTTCTTTTACTTACTTCCCTATTTGAAATTCTGCGTCTTTTGCTTTGTCTCAGATTTACAATACACAGTTGCTCTAAGACTTCCTCTTCTGAATCATCCTCTACATCTATAACTACAAAACTACTACTCTTATTTAAGGCACTCCGCCGCTTCTTTGGAATGCCGCTGCCCTTTGAGAAATCAAAATCAGGAGTCAACCTTACTTTCTTGGATGAAGCTGAAGTTCTTTTTCTCGGTACGGGTGACCACTCATCATCATCATTTTGTGCTTCTTTCCATATTCTCTTATTAATTCTACCCTGCAGAGTTTTCGCATCTAGTCTCTTCGGTGTGAGCACGGGTTTTCCCATTCCCCGCGTTTTATGATCATTATGGTGGCCAAACCGGTCCCTCTTAGCAATTGCTGCAGCCATCATAACAGCTGCAATAGGAAAGATGCAAGATTGAGTGCCAATATACAGAATTGATCTACCGCAAAGCGGAAGAAAATTCAAATTGCATTATTCTTCTTTCACCAACGACGGAACCATGCTTTTAACAGGTTAAAAACAAACAGGAAGCACATTGCACTCCAAGCAAATAAACAAACAAATAAAAAGCTCTGTAGTCAATATTAACAGGTAGTGAAGTGAAGTTGACTTGACTCAGGTCAACTCAGAGAAAACGATAGAACAATCAAAATGTATCCCAATTTAAATATAACCGATCAAATAGCAATCAGATTCAGATTCTAAATCGAAAAAACACAATTTCAAAATAAACTGATATAATGTGTTAGCGCAAAAAACAATCATACCTTTATCTGTCGAAATTGAGATTGAAATCAACGTAATTCTTTGATATTGCAGATAGCTATTTGTATAATTCGGGAGAGAGCGATGGTCTGGTGTTTGCGCTTATCGAGAATCCAATAGGAATTAGGAAGAAGGAAAACGGGAGGAGAGAACGATGACCGTGAATATTAACGATTTGAGAATCGGATGTCAATTGTCAAGAGGACTGGGGAGATGAGCGTTATGTATTTATAGTAAAAAGAATAGAAGCGCGGATTTACTGCACCGCTTTGTTTCGAATAGGCTACGGGGCTTTTTTGGGCCCGCAACATTAATTATCAATCCGAATCTGATAGGAAATCGCGTTATGCAATCTTCTCCACGGTATCTTTTCATTTGCTACTTGAGTCGCAAGACTGACAGCTGAGAACCGGTAGATCATGTAGAATCTCTTCCTTTGCTTTCTCCTTCTGTCCGGTTCGACACTCCATATCACCGATTCCGATTGGGAGTTTGGTTCGATTGGATATTAACTATTTAGTATTTCTATTTTAATAGCTATCTGTTAGTGGTTAGTAGTTGTTAATTATTTTACTATTAGTTATTTTATTAGCTCTTAATTACTTATTAAATCTGTTTATATAACAATTTCTATTTTAATAGCTAGTATTAGCCGTTAATTATTTATATTTTTACTAGCTGTTACTTGTTTATATTTTACTAGTCATTACTTCTAGATATTAATTGTCTGTTTATGCAGTAAAACGATTCTAAGAAGGCAGATAGAGCAAAGCTTTTAGCTAATTTCTAAAATGATAGATTTGCTATGAATAGAGAAATGCGAAACACAGTAATGAATCAAATCATATATCGAAAAGGTAAAATTAATCATCAAATGCATTTTTTTGATGAAATTACTTAAAGAGCTTGAAAAACTCCAGGGTTAAACGTCTTCATTTGAAGGAATTCTAAAATGGTGACCTCCTGGGAAGTTATCCATTCCACATACTAGATGAAATTGACTTGATCCAAAACATAATTTCTCTTTGGTTAGAATCGGAGTGTAACAGTAAAAACACTAAAAGTTTTAAACTTTCTCCCCACCTGAAATCCAAACTCCATCTATTTTTATGAGATGGACGAGACTAATTAACTTTATATAAATTATTTTTTGAATTATTCTTTTTTCTCATAAAAATAGCCTTAATTCTACCTTCACAAAAATTAAGAAAAATAAATTTGAACAATTAATTTTACTACATTTTCCAAAACATCTTGATATTCTATAACTCTTTCTACACAAAAAGAATAGTCACTAAATCTATAAATTATTCATAGCAGGATTATATTAAATTGACTATATTTTTTAAATTAAGAATTAATTTTACTTTTAAAAAGAAAATTGACCTATAATTTGCGATATTTATTAAGAATTAAGAATATTTATGGGAAAAACTGTTAAAATTTTTTACATTTATTCGTAATTATTAATATTTGTTCATAATTATTTTATTACGATATGATTATTAAATATTATTATAAAAAATTTAATAATTTATTTTTATTTATATAACATATTAAAACAAAAAATATATATATATAAAAATAGTTGTATCTTTAAGAAGCATTATACATATCAAGAAGTTAATGAGAGATTGAAGGATTTTTTTTGTTTAAAAAAAGGAAAGAAAGAACGAAGAGATGAATGGTTAGTCAAAAAAAAAAAGATTTTACTAACTCTAAATAAAAGTTAACCTTACGAGTGTGATTCTTGAACTTCCGGTCGGCGAATCCCTGATAGCCTTGTTTGTGAATACTGAATAGTGTTCAGTTGAAAGACCACCAGTCGCTGCTCCAAGAAATCTGAATATGAAAGATAGGAAAGTGGTAATTGAAAATGAAATGACGGTCAGGATTACCGTAATAAATAAGGTTTATCTGTGGATGTGTATCGTAGGGCGCCCATGGTTTGTCTTTTAATGGAAAGATTACCTCGTACTTCTCCTTATTAGAAGTACTAACTCATAATACCATTTTTAACCAACAAACCCATGTTAAGAATTACTTTCTATTATTTTTTATGTAGAGAAAATTTTTAATTAGAGTGTGTTTATATTTCATGAAATATAAATATAAGTAATATTAAAATTAATATATTTTTTATTTGCTTTAATATGAACATTAATACGACAAATGCACTCAAAAATGTTTTTTTTTTTTTTTAAATCATTTATACTATAATAAAGGAATCCACACACTGGTTCAATGCAAAGATTCCACTTTTTGTTGGAATATTTGAAGGTCCCTTTTCTCTCTTTCTCCCTCCTATACAACAAACAATACCCTTCTCCGTTTAATTTACAGTGGCTAGTGTGAGCAAGTGTTGCAACCAGCCAGATATACACAACACGATTTTTATGTCCCACATTTGAGAGTTAAGGCTCTGGATGTTTCTTGATAGCCTCAGTCAGTGAGGGTGAGGAAGCACCACTTATTCTGCTTGGCGCAGGTGTATTTCTTCGCGATTGACGTTTTGTGGGGACTAGCACGCTCTCACTTTCTAACTTTTCACTTAATATCTCGTCTTCATCTTCATCCCCATCATCAGCTTCTTTGAAAACTGGATGTGCATATGCATTTTGAAGATATCCTTTCAAATTCAGGTTTGGTTCCCTTGCACGTTCCAGGGTATCTCTCATCATCGCCTCCTGAAAGCCAACAATAAACAAAGGACTATGGTGACTATCATATTTAGTGAATTACCCGTGAAGGTTTACTTGACAGCAATGTATACTTGGTTCAGTATAAAACATAAGAAAGCATCAATTATGCAATAGCAAGAACACACCTGCAACGGATATTTGACAAAAGCAGGTTCATAGCGACCTTTGCAGAACCTATGGAACCATATCGTGAGTATAGGAAGGGCGATCAGAAATGGTGTTGACAGGGCAGCACGTTTCGTGCTCAACAGTCCAATCATAAGCACCTGTGAGATTATCAGTGCAGTGACTACACGTCCATGTACATCAGGCCAGTATGCTGCTGCACTCTCATATTCTTGATTGTAAACATTTATGATCTGCAATTTTTACATAAATGGTTAAAGACGTGAAACCAAAGGAAAGAGATTTAAGGTGTCCTTAAATCCAAGTTTACCCTCAAAGGGTTAGCCTAATTAGAAACCACACTGGACAAACTTTTGGTGGTCCCAGCCAATGCACATTGACCGTAACCCCATGTGTACTGGAGATTTGCCCAGTCCATGTGGAGGGGGCATTTGCATGGACCCGAGGTGGAGAGCATGAACTATGCCCTTAAGGGCTGGGCACCACCCCAACATAAAAAAATAAAAAAAAAATGCAGAGAGATTTCAAGCTTATCCTCAGCAGAAGCAACATGTAGAATCTGATCGGTGGTGAAGTATTTGTTTTACAATTTCCCTAAAATTTGCTTTCCTTTCCTAATGGCAACGACATGTTTGCAACATAAATTTTTCTATACAGGATTAAACAAAGACTATATGTGCAATTGAAATTGTTTTTTATATTGAACATTATGTAACTAAAAGGTCATGCTTTTACCTGATGACGGAACACAACATAAGCAAAGCCAAAGAACACTATTATGAATGGGAGGAGAGCCGGTGTTACTGTCGCATATACAAGGCCTAACAGAAAATAGAATTGTATACGCGGTTCTCCAGTGTTGAAACCAAGACTTCCGGGATCCATTGCCTCTTCTCTATCCTTTTCAGTCTTCACCAGGAAGAAATTCTTCAGATGGAAGAGTATTAGTGGTTTCAACATTAAAACTTCTCCAGCTATTCCAGCCCATCCATCAACCATTATGTAGGTTATGAAGAAAGTTGCTTTCATTGGAATAGCAACACCAATTGTCTTGGGAATGCTGCGAAATGCATAAATGAAGAGATCATAACAGGAATCATCACTAAAAGTGCAAAAGACAACATGAAAAAACATTTTCAATTATTTTTAGTTCCACACAAGCTGTGGGCCACATCTTTTCTGTTGTACCAGCCGAGGGAGAATTCATAGTGCTAATTGAGGTGGTTAACAATGCCCAGCAGTTTCATGGAAGAATAATAAGCTGATAATAATGATTCACTATGCAGAAGAAACATTGAAAAAATATATGATTATTCGTTTGCAAAATTATAACATACTCATTAGCAGACTGCTTCATAAAAGATTTCAGTTGTTCAAATGCAGTTCCAGCAATTATGCTCCCCAGGAACACATTCACAATGTTGAAAAAATAATATCGTGCTGCTGATCTCCTTTCAAGGGATGACAGAGATGTGAATCCTTCGAATTTAGACATAATCATCAATATTGTTGGCAGGAAGATCAGGAAAAGCTTCAATACAATACCAGGAAGAAAACCTTGGAGAAATGATTTAATAAATTTTCTGCATTATAAATCATGAAAAATTAGTAGTTATGGCAATGAAATCTTGTTGTCAACTGAAGAGGTCTTTGAGGATCACTAACATTTCAATAACAGGCTTCAGAAAGGGGGCAGCTTTCTCAATTCCCTCAATGTTTGCAAGAACTTGCACAAATCCAATTGGGATCATAAAAAAGAAGGTAAGGAAAAAGAAAGCAACACCCATTATCAACCTCCTAATTGTGAGCTCAACATATGGTATGGCTAGATTTTGCCAATACACATCACGTGGCTCCGGAGCCCACTCTGTTAACCACAAAGTTGGATTTCTTGATTGTTGAGTTTGTGCACAAACAGCTGCACCCCATCGACTTTTGAATGAAACAAATGCTGCCGGCATGATAACCTTTGGATCCTTTTTTACCCTTTCCTTCTCTTCTGCTATCTGAAATGTAGGAGGCCATTCATGATCTCAAATTAGAGCTTTGGTGGTAAAAAAAATAGTCACAAAAAAAAAAAAAAAAAAAAAAAAAATGGCAAGCTTAAAGCAAAAAAAAAAAAAAAATGGCAAGCTTAATTATGTGCTGCATCAATAATCATAATCAAGAAACCCAAGTACATAACTGGACATAATTAGATCAATCTTTCATCATGAAGATCCAAATCTTTCACTGATTCACTCTCTCTCTATCTCCCAATTTCTTCTATATGCTAAGAAGTAACCTAAAGAAACAGTGAATACTTTCCCTCATGGAGCAGTAAGAGTATGTCAATGAGCAATTGTAATGCATATGTTCAATATTAATTGACAATACTGCCTGCCAAGTGTAAATAATATTACCATCATGGTAGAAAAATCTACCTTGTTGACGTTGGTATGACAAACAGGAGGCAATAAAATCTGAAAGGCAACATTGAGTTCCCATTGATGTTATGTGGCAGTATATATGGATCTCAAAAGAAATTTGTTTCTTTCAAAGTGACCTAGTCAGTATTAATAGAGGTGGCAGATTAAAGTCCACAGACAACCACTCAAATGAGGATGCCAAAAAATCAGTTCATACCACGTTGAGGTCTCACAGGATATGGGAACAATAAATGTGATCATGTTTGTGTACCATTTTTTTTTTCTTAAAAAAAAAATACAAACAAATCCTAAATAAACTATTTTAACTGCTGCAAATAGATTACCAGATATGTGTTCTTAAGCAAACAATAGGATCCAGAATCAAACAGTCAGTGGACTTACTTCTTTTCTTAATTTCTCAATCTCCGATGTGTAGTGATCAATTGCATCCACTTTTTTCCCCCAAAGCCCGAGAAAACCAGTCTGAGAATAAAGGGATTCAAAAACTAAGCTCAGATAAAAATTAGATTTTTAGATGAAAGAAAGATGGTGCGGCAATTGTTTCTAAAGACATATCAGATCAGACTCCATTGTAAAGTACCTTCATGAAAGGCCTATGTGATTGATTCCTAGAATACTTAAGTTGGTAGTAGTCAAGCCAGTTCTGCATTTTTTTCTTCTTTTTGACCAATTTGGCTAGTTTGTTTGCATTATAGACCACCTGCACAAAATTTTCTAAACTTCAAAACCGATAAACAGAAAAAAAGTATTTACTTTTATATTGAAAATTCATGATTCCTCAAATAGATTAATCAAACAACTTTATAGTCTGTTCCAAAAGTTTTAAAGAATACATCTCAGTTTAAGCTGGAATCTACCTGGTGCGTAAGATAGGTATCTGGATGATTGACCAGAAAAAAGTGTTCCACAAGCTCACTAACGGATTCATCAGGATCTGGTGGTACATTCCTCACAAGGACCTGTAAAGAGTAAATTCCATGATACAAGTTTGGTGTGTAGAAGTAATGCCAAAAGGGGGGGAAGAAAACCCTACTCCAATTCAAATCTGAAGGGATGGGTTGTAACCTGTAAACCTATTGAATTCCCAAAAAAAAAAAAAAAAAAAAAAAAAAACCCTACGACCAAATTCCAAATCTGAAGGGATGGGTTGTAACCTGTAAACCTATTTGAATTCCCAAAAAAAAAAAAAAAAAAAAAATCCCTGTCTAAACTGTATAGTGCATACACTTCAAAAAATTGCAAATTTTTCCAATGGAAACAGTAGAAAAAAAAAAAAAAAAAAAAAAAAAAAAATCCTGTCTAACTGTATAGTGCATACACTTCAAAATTGCAAATTTTCCAATGGAAACAGTAGAAAAGGCTCAATAATGAAAATATAATCCTAATGTAAAGTAACTGGATGAGGAAAATAACTTTCTTACTGTAAATTGATCTGGACGACGTCTTTCTGAGGCAAGAAACTGCAACCGCATTGTAGCTACTTTCTCATATTCCTTCATTAACACATAGCATGTCCAAAAAGTAAAGGCATAAGCCATCACTATATGTGTCCAGAATCTGCAATCCAGAAGCTAGAAAGATTATTACAGTACTTAGTTTCATAAAGTTAAAATGTGGTTCTCTATGAAAGTTAGCAATACATAATATGAATAAGTTACATTAAATGACAACAACAGAAATAAAGACATAGAAACTAAGCTGAAAAGAAAATTTAGATTTAATGATTTTTTGTTAAAAAAAAAAGCATTCAAACAAAGATATAACGTTAAGTATCATCTCTACAATGATAGGTAATATAACTTTACAGAAAGAATTTAACTGAAAAACATAATTACCAACATTTATGTCCAATACATTACAAATAAATAAACATTCAAAATAAACATTTTATTCTTTGTAAAACGTTGCAATTAGAGTATCTGAATATGTGAATAGTGAATCCACACCTAGAGAGCTGAAAGGTAGCAATGAAGATGTACCCATACCTTTGTGATCCAAGTGGGATATTTGAAATTGAAAGCTTGTCAATGTCACTGGAAGTAACATTACTCAGCTTAGCTAACTCCAACGTACTATTTGTCCAATTAACTGGAACCAAGATAGCCCAAGCAAGGAACGCAATAGGAACAAAAATCTTTAGTCTGCATCATAAAAAGAAACAACAATAAAAACAAAAGAGCTAAGTGCCAAGTAATTCAACACCAAAAACACATTTGCAGAAACTAAAGAAACTAACTTTATCTTACCCAATCAAGTAAATGCGCAAGTAAACAGCAGAATCCAAACCCGCATGTTCTATAAGCTCAGGCTCTGGCATTTTTAGTGCTTGAGGCATCCAATTTAAAAATCTCAGATACGCCCTATAATCTAAATTGACAAACCTCCTCACAAACGCTCCTGAGTGCGTAGGACTCTCTCTTAAGCCCTTGAGATACCATTTTGGGAAGTAAACCCTATCGTTGAAGGGCTGCAACCTTAAAATTGCAAATGCTAAAAGGAAAATAAATGCACTCAGAAGATTTACTGCAGCCGAAACTCCTATATCCCCAAGTGTCGCCATCTAAAGATCTGCACAACAACAAAACTATGTCAACGCAACCGCTTTCCTAAAAATGGAATTTCAAAACGTTTACCATATAATTATAACTGCTATGGCTCTAGCATCTCTAAGCTTCAATTGAGAAAAGTATACTCTTTACATCAAAAGATAACAACTTTACTATTGAAAACAACAATAAACTAAATCAAACCACACAAAGCAAAAGCCTAAGATACAAGAGGAAAAAATTCTTACACCCGTGACTAGAAATTCAATGTTCCTGCTCTAACCGCAATGGCTTTTAAGTTTCGTCCCAAAACGGAAAAGTAAAAGGAAGGCCGCAGAGAAAAGATTGAGCTAATCTGAAAGTTGAATTAGGGAGTGTTCGGATTGCTTTCTAACTCAACAAAAGCAACAGCAGGATTCTCCGTTCCTTGTGGGAGGATAAGTAGCAGGCACGCTATCATACACGCCTTTACTTAGATAATAAAACCGAAAAAGAAAATAGCAATGACAACTCCAGAAGAGTAAGATCTAGAAAGAGGAATCGTTAAATAAGCGAAGCAAAAACAGTAGAGAGTATTTTACGACTGCAGAGATAGAGAGAGATAGGAAAGGTGATGAGTTTGTTTGTCCCTGTAAATGTTATTTTCGATGTGAACGTTTTTTGGGATTTTCTTTTTTTTTTGACTAAGATAGATAATTAAAAAAAAATGGTCTTTCCGTTAATTTTTAACGAAAGGGTATTATTATAACCACCGTTGTCGGCAGCATGCCACGTGGGATCATCAACGGATACTTTACATCGGTTTCTGGAATTTTGCGCCAAAAAGGAGTCGTGTCTTTCGTGGTGTTAAGGCGAGTGGAATACACGAACCAATATAATTGGAGAAAAGTAGTTGATTGGGTAACAGTAGGTGAGCCGATGAGTGTGACAACGAACATGTAAAGCGGTGCCGCGTGGAGAGAGCGTATATTGCGTGGATGCGTCTCATTAATGACAGCAAATGTTAGTTGGAGGAGACCGCCGGAGAGGATCAAAGATAAAGACTGTTCGGTGTACTATTGCAGCGGTTTTTTGACTTTTGGACAATAATGACAATTTTTACTAATTAAGCACGAGTCAGATATAAGGAAGAAATTTTAATTTTTTACTTTATTCCTTGGTCTGTTAAAAAAAAAAAAAAGACTTATTATTTCCTTTACACGTATTAAAAAATAAGTTAATATTAATTTAAATAATAAATTTTCAAGAACAAAATTTATGTGGCATCTAAATAATTAATAGTATGATTAAAATTATTTCAAAGTGTTTCAAATTACCATAAGATTTAATAGTAATTATTATTATTATTATTTAAACACTACCTAATATCCACATGGAAGCGTAAAGAGTATGATTAGTTTCTACATTAATAATAATAATAATATTATTATTATTACACTTCAAATAAAGAATTCAATATAAAAACTGTTAATAAAAAGACAAATTAAATAAAAATATTTGTATTAGTGTTTTTTATTTATTAACTGCTTGCTTAACTAGTCAAAAAAGTGTCAATTCCGCGGGATAGGCCAAAAGCAGAAGAAAACATAATGCTTAGATTGGAAAGCAACCTAATTTCCCATTATTAATACTGGCACCTAAAATTTTGTGGCATGTGAAAGTACCTTAAAGCTGGAGTTTTTGGACTCAATTTTCTTTTATTATTATACTTAAAATGGGTGGCATTTGCCGACTTTGCCTTCGAAATGATATTTGAGATTATAATATCAGATGATACGAGGCGGCAGTCAATAACCATCCAGGTCAACAAAAGAGCAATATATTTAAAATTAAAGGCAAAACTTGCATGATATCATTTAACTAAAACGTTAATTCCTTAGCTTCTCCGCCAATGAGCACATGCAGGGGCGAGTTACTAACAAGAAATACATAGTGTACAATTTTTAAAATGTATGAAAAAAACAAGCCAGAGTGCTGATCTTAACTAGTTTGAACTGAAACTAAATCAAGCAAAGGTGAAGAGCATAAGCAACAAGAGATCATTAGTTGAAAATCCCATAAAAAGTAGTTCAATCCTATCCACCCTCTTGGCAAAATTACTAGCACCATATACGTTCTGTTCAATGACGCTTCCTACCACCACCTTTGTTCTTTCCCCGGTTTTTATTTCCAAATCCTTTCTTCTTCTTCTTCTTCTTCTTCCCTTTACTGGCCATTTGATCAGTAGAATCATTATTTTTATATGGAGCTTGGTGTACCATATGCTTCACATCAAGGACACCATTTCTGAAATAACCTTCACTTGACCTCAGCACCCTGTCCTCTGGTTTGCGCTTCTCTGCTGATCTTTTAGCACCACTGCCTAGCTTACCTCCAAATCTCCCAAGAATCAGATTCTGTAATTTAGCCCAGTTAGCACATGAGAAAAAAAGTTATTCGCTAACAAGTGCAGTGGCAATTCGGAAGAAAATCAGTTACCTCTTGAAGCATTTTCTCTTCTCTTTCCTTTTGTTTCTTCATTCGTGGGCGTGCTACACTCAATGGTAGTCTCTGTTTCTTCAGAGGCTGTGTTGAAGACAAGCACAGATAAATACTCAAATGGCTTTTGAGGCAGAAACATTGCCTTCATAATGGAAAACACTTCACTCAGCTAAGTATACAGCTGTGTGCTCTGCGCATGCAGAGTTCTTACCTTCCCACCAAGGGAGACTACCTTCCGGTTCTCTCTCTCCTTCCTCTCTTTCCATGTCATATGAGAGGCACCTGAAGTGAACAAAAATGACAGACAACTGCTTAATCAAAATAGAGAACACTTCTAGAAAAAATTCAAACTGGTCACATGCAACACAGCAAATGAAAGAAGCAAAATAGAGCCATGAAGCCTCCAGATAAATCAAACACCATCAGAATCAAAACCACATCCTATGACTCTGAATTTTCTATGACAACAAGGATCTTTCAGATTGGAATTCCTACTCACCACATAAGTAGCAGCTTTTACCAAGATAAAAAAAAAACCATAATTATCTTCCAGCCTACACTAAAAACTAATTTACAATCATAAAGCACCAATTCCATCTCATCCATGTAACCGACAAGTCATACAGTTATAACAAGTGACAGCCAAAAATAAATATAGTGCATGTGAAAGCAAATATGTGACTGCTACACCTTTGGTTTCCAATCAGCTTGAGCCACAAATTATAGTGCCATACACTGGGTTGTTTTTTAACTCAAGGATCTTAGGTACATTATCACAGGCATAGGGACAGAATCCTTTCTGCTTCTTGCAACATTTGACAAAAAAAAGATAATTTCCCGAACTATCAAGTTATCCAAACTAATCGAAATTTTATTCTTTCAGGTTCTCTAAAATGCAAGGAAACACCTCAATAGTGTCCTCACCATATCAGCTTTGAGGACAATTATGTAAGAAACATTCTCATCTCAAAGGCTGCTAGAATATTCAATCTTAACCACCACCTCACAGATAACCCTGGCCCATCCTACCATCAATGACTATGATTCCTCGTTAAATAAGAGTCAAGTATATAACTTCTTGACTCCAATCCTCTGTTGCTGATAGCATGAGACTTTTTAACTCCAACTGCCGACTGACTTTTACTTACTCATATCCGGTGTTTGACAGGTACAATCACAATATTTGTCCATATGTCACAGGCTAGTAATTGTGTATTCAAACAAGAAACCAGCTGTTAACTCTAAATACTCCCAGTAACCATTAGTTACATAGCAATCAACAAAATTAGCATATAAGCATAAAAATCCCAAAAAAAACGTAATTCACAGTGCAGAGTCACCAAGGAATAAATCAGAATGATAAATGATACTATCACAAACTCCAAAACTAAAAAAAAAAAAAAAAAAAAAAAAAAAAAAAAATTGTGTATGTGCAAACAGAGAAACCAGCCTGTTAACTCTAAATACTCCCAGTAACCATATGTTACATAGCAATCAACAAAAGTTAGCAATATAAGCATAAAAAATCCCAAAAAAAAAAAGTAATTACAGTGCAGAGTCACCAAGGAATAAATCCAGAATGAAATAAATGATTACTATCAAAACTCCCACTAAAAAAAAAAAAAAAAAAAAATAAAAAATAAAAAGGAAAAAAAAAAAAAAAAAAAAAAAAAAAAAAAAAAAGGAATTCACAACCGTACAAATATACATCACATACAAATTTGTTTACGATTTATGCATATAATACCATAACATGCAAGCACAAGCGCAATTATGGAATAAGGCGAAAGCTAAGAGAAGATGAAGAAGAGTAGTAAAATACCAAATAACTCGATGTCTTTCATAATCTGTCTAAAATCCCACTTATGGTCCTTGTCATCCATGGAATAGCTTGCTTGGTTTCTTTTCTTCATTTTGTTGGCCTTTGTTTGGTCAGTTTAACTGCAAAGAAAAAAGAAATTGTAAGACCCTTAGTACTGCAATACTTGCACAAAAGGATATGGCGAAAGAGAGAGAAGCGCAAAAAAAGAAATTATAGAAGGAGAGAGCAGATTGCAATCTGATTTAGGGTTTTCCCAAGAGAGTAGATTACTGGAATCTTTCGGGGGAAAGGAACGACCGCTGTGAGTTCCAGGAACAGCTTCTGGGGATATGTACAGCAGGGGAATTTCGGTTGCGAAGCTTTGTGGAGGGATGTACGAGGGTTTAGGACGTACTGTTCACATTTTAAGTGTTTGTCGGCTGCCACTTTGTTCGAGCGATCAACGACATGTCGTCCCAATCCAAAGTCTTCCTTTACAAAAGAATAGAACCCCCAAAAAACCGAACACTGACAGTGTCCGGTTAGTGGAACGACATCGTTCATTAAGATCGCACGGGATGCGTAAAACACGTTGCTCCGGAAGACCAAACAAGCAGTCGTTCGACGGTTGGCAAAGAACCTAGAAAAACTACTGGCCGGTTGCTATCAGAGGATGACCGGCATTAGGGCTGTAAATGTATCGAACGAGCCGAACTCATCCATGAAATGCAAGCATTTGCCTCGTGCAGTAATTTAGCATCAGCAATCATCAATTAAGCCATTCATTTAAAAAGAAGAATGCCACACAATTTATATATATATAATGCCAACACAATTTATATATATATATATATATATATATATATAGATATATATATATAATAATATGAAAACATATGGCATCTCCCTCCAATAAAATTTTCGTTATATGGATAAATAATACATATATATGAAAAACATATGCATCTCCCTCCATAAAATTTCGTTATATGGATAAATATACAAAGGTATTTATCGCCCTTCAGCAAATATACAGACGCATAAATTTTGCTTAGAGAGAGAAATGCAAAATAAAAAATAATTAGAACGAGAGAGCGTGAAATTAAGGAGAAATTAAACTTACATGCAAACAACTGCAGAGATTGATAAGAGATTTTGCAGGCCTCTGTGCCCTTCTCTTCTGCCCTGTAATTAATGCAAGCAATTTCGAAGGGTTGGGGTTTTCTCTGTAAGAAAGAAAGAGAAAGGAAAACTGAAATTGCAGAGAATTATGAGAGAGTTCGCAGATTTTTGAGTCAGATAGAAAGACAGAAATGGAAGAGTGAGTGAGAGAGATAGCGATTGGGGAACGAGCTTTTCGACGTCTAGACAAATTTGATGGCGATGGCGAGACACATTGAGAACGGCTAGGTTTAGGATGAAATGCGTGAATGAAGAGTGATGGAACGTTTAGTGTATTTTAGGACCTAAACGTCGTAGTTTATAGCTTAAGATTTAATATTTCTTTTTATTAATATCAATTATTTCTTTTAAATTATCTCCGATCAATAAGTATTTTCACGTATTAATTTTTGTGGATAAAATTTAATTTGATAGTTGCCCCAAACAAAACTAACAAAGCTTTGAATTTCTGAACAGTTTGATTGCTGAATAAACTGTTGAGATCATATAAACAATGGATGTGAATGATACAAGTTTTTTACTTTTTATCATGACAATAAGTTTTATATCTAATGGAGGAAACAAGAAATAGCAGCCCAGAAGCACAAGCTACCTTCCTGACATTAGATTGAGTAAAGCTTGATTTTCATAGAAAGAACCCACGTCCCAGTCCTCATTAGAAGATGATAGTGTCATAAGTGCTATCACAATTGACCTCATGCTTGGCCTCAGCTGAGGATTCTCTTGTGTGCAAGCTTTAGCTAGCTGGGCCATCTGTGAATCAAACATCCATTAAATAATTACCACTTCAGCTACATCTATCTTTAATTTCTATGATAAAATTTCACCTTACAGACTGAGTCAAGCGGGTAATTATCTCCAAGCTTAGTATCCACAATTTTACAAAGATCTTCTTTTGGATCAGGCTGATTCAGAATATCCTCAAACTGCAGCAAGTTAGATTTACAGTGCACAAGATCAGTTAAAGTTAATATTACAGGAAGATACAATTAATATATAATTGTATGCTGAAGAAGACAAGAATAACAACCAAAGCAACTAGTCCTTTAGACTCTGTGATAATCTCATTTGTCTTGACAACAGCTTCCTTAGCAGATATGAGTTCATATAGTACAACACCAAACGCATATACATCAATTTTAGGGGAAACATCACCATACTGAGCATATCTGAGCAGAAATGGCAATTCAATCAATACCGAGAAAACAACAAATATTCAAATAGAAATTTAACTTACTCTGGAGGCATATATCCAAATGTTCCCACAAGACGTGTATGCATTGAAGCACTTCCATATTCAGTTAGCTTAGTCAACCCAAAATCAGCAACCTGCCACAAAAGTAGAAAAGATTAGTTGTGCATTAACTTGAGAGAAAACCACGGGTATGTGACAATAATCACAACCTTTGCTCGAAAATTTTTGTCTATTAAGATGTTTGCAGATTTGATATCGCGGTGTATGTATACAGGAACTGTATGCTCATGGATATATTCAAGTCCCCTAGCAGAGTCCAGGGCAATTTGCACCCTCGTCAGCCATGGCAATGGATCCCTCTCTAGATTTAAAAACATGAAAAATATGTTAGACTCAATTGATTGCAACATATAAATTATGAAGCAAACATCTTCATCTTGCAGTTACATTCTTTCACCTGAGCCACGCAAATGCTGACTCAAATTGCCATTCTCAACGAACTCATAGACCAAAAATAAGGAACCTTCAATACAATAGCCTATTAAGCGCACCTGCCACAAAATTTAATTTTAATTAAGCATTGGATATGATCATTAATCAAGGTGTTTCCATCCTTAATTCAACATAAAAAGAGATGCTTGCATACCAGGTTCAAATGATGAACATGTGTTAAAACCTTCAGTTCAGCAAGAAATTCCTTAGATGCTTGCATATCCATCTTCTTTATTGCAGCCTTCTGCAAGGCAGATGAAAGTTTAGCAAGTAATGGCACTAATACAACTCGCTGTTTGGTTAATGACAAAGGGATAATAATTCATTAAAAAAATAAAAAAATAAATAAATAAATAAAACGAGAAGTCTACTAACCTCCCCTCTTAGTTCAGCATAGTATACTGATCCAAAGCCGCCTTGTCCAATTTTGTTTTTGATGCTAAAGTCATTAGTAGCCTTAGCAAGTTCTTCATATGAGAACACCACTGATTTGTCCACTGTAATACCTGAAAGCCCAGGAGTGGCTACAAGTGCGATTGCTTTTGAAGTTCTATCCAACTTACTTCCATAAACTATATATAACCACAGATAAGCACAGTGATCAATAATTAATTGACCACCAGAGAGGCATTTATGAAATTTGACAGTTTTAGCAAATTAATGAAGCCTAAACTATTGGTAATTAATTACCATGCCCGTGTTGAAAATAGTGATCTTCAGTTGTTTCTGAGAGCAATGAAGTCTCCATCTTCTTCTTCCTATAAAACCAACAATATATAGAAGAAGCAAAGAGTAGAGCTCCTGCAACTCCAGCAATAGATATGCCAGCAATACCTCTGCTCGAAATTCCTGTTTGAAATGCACATTTATGACACCATAAATACATTAATCCATGCCTTTAAATTGCCTGTTACCTTGTACAACAGAAGCTAGAAAACTGACAAGAAGTCAGATCGAGAAAGACCCTACCAGCTTCGCTGCAAAAATAAGACCAAAAGGACCGATGGAAGCAATTGTTAGAAAACTCCAATTAGGCAAGGAAAACAAATTCAATTCCCATTGGTGTAGTTTACCTTAGTTTTAACGGAGGGAAATTTCCAGTTGAATCTGCAAAACCAAAAACGGTTAAACCAAAAACCATGACAACCAAAAGAGGAAAGGAAAAGCGATTGGGTTGGGCTGTTATATTAATGGGCCGGAGCATATTCTAGGTTTGGTCAAATAATAGTCCAGCAAAGGCTAGCACTGCACCTTTGAAAGTGATTAGGGGGTTAAAAAGAATGAATGAACATGATTAATGTATTAATTAAATAATATATATGGGGGTTTTAAAAAGAATGAAATGAACATGATTAATGTAATGGTGATTAAATTAATATTGTATATATATAATATATATATTATAATAATAATTAATATATATATATTAATTGTAGATAGATTATATGAACACCATAATATGTATCTATTAAAATAAGACACATTTATTTTTTTTTTTTTTATTATACTTTGCTTTTTTTGTGTTAGTACTACCCCTTTTATATCTATTAAAAATTAAAAATATTATCTGGTTGATTAATCTATACATTTTAGTTTTATTAATTCATTTTTTAAAATTTATTTAATATTAAATAGATAGATTATAATGACATATCTATTAAAATAAAATTTATTTTTATTATACTTTCTTTTTTTGGTGTTAGTACTACCTTTTATATCTATTAAAATTAAATATTATCTGTTGATTAATCTATACATTTTAGTTTATTAATTCATTTTTAAAATTTATTTAATATTAATAGATAATAATCAGGTAAGTGTTAGTATTTAACTATAAGTCTAACTACATATCTATTTACAATCTACAATAACATATTATTAAATAACTAAATAATTATTAATTCTTTTTTTATCTAATTATAAATCTATTTGCATCCTACATCTATAAAAATAAAAATTATTTTTTCATTTATCTATATATTTTAATTGATTAATTTATTATTTAAAATTTATTTAATGTTAATAGAAAATAACAAAATAATTAATAGAAAATAACTACAATATTACAATATTATAGATTTACAATATTATATTATTACAAACAATGTCATCGTTTTATTACAATTCATTTTGAACATAATTAATTATTTCATGTACAGATTTTTAATTGTTCTACCCCAGAATTTTACAATGCATAATAATTTATTAAAAATAATAATATAATCAACTATAATAATTAATAAAATAATATTTAAATATTCGCGTGCAAAGTGCTGTTTTCGACTAGTAATTATATTAATCTACAGCCTGCAATGATAAGTTAAGCGACAAATGTCCATTATCAAATACTACTTAATATACTTTATATTTAATTTAATTTTTATAATTATGTATGTATTGAATGTGTCAAAGCGTGTTGACAAGGCCAGCTCTCCTCAGTAATTACTTTTGAGGTATTGTACTGTAGTCTAAATTTAACGGTTAAAAAAACAACTAACCTTTCGCCGGAACGAAAATGATTCCGCTCCCTTCACTGAAATTCTTTCCCGGATTGTACCTCTGCAGCAAATCGGGCCGTACACCGGATTCCTCTGCTAGGGACGACAAATTATCGGCGGCACCAAGTGGATAGGTGGTGAACAAGCCGTAATCCTTGGACACACGTTTATCTCCACAGGAGCAATTAACAGTAACGTTGATAGGAACATAGTCAGGAATCCTTGTAGTTTTATAAATGTTGACTCTGTGAACCCAATCCTCTGTTGTGAGGTTTGCAAAAGCATATTTTGCAATCCTATCATAAGTATCGCCGGGCTGCGTGGTGTACTTGAAGGTGTGGCCCAAGAAATCGCCATTTAAGCAGTCGCACGAGAAGGGTATATTAAGTCTGGTATCCACTAGGATGCTGTCTTGGTTGGTGACATTGGGATTGTAAAGGAGAATTTGAGGGATGGTTTGGCTAAACAGGTTGCTGATATAAGTAAGGTTTACTCCTTCCCATACATTATAGGAAGCTAAAGAAAGCTCACATCCACTTTTGCACTTCGCTTCCGCTTTGAACGACAAGAGAACAAGAAGTAGGATTAATTCAAGCGTTGGGTTTTTGAAAATGGCCATCTTAATGGAGAGATTTCAATTGGGAGATCATTTCGTTTCCTTTGGGTGTGGGAGCATTTGTTCGTTATTTAACTTTTTTTATGGACATATACGGTGTTTGGTATCTTCGCCTCCTATGAGTTTTTGTTTGTTTGCATGGGTTAAAGAAACTTTTTTCAGATTCATTTGTTTCTGTCTGCGACTCGTTGAATTTTAGATAATTCTAAATCAATATGGTATATAAGGCCCAACCCTTCTATGTGTTGGGAATTTAAGGCCCAAGCCCATTTGTTAAATAGAAATATAGGACTAGGAATTAGGAAACCACCACCACCAACAGCAATTTTCCTACAGTTTCCATATCTGCACTTTTGTTGCTAGCTAAAACAAGAATACAAGACGGTGGGGTTCCTGTTGACAAAGATTTGTAACTTTCCACATGGATGCATAGATATTTTTTGAAGCCAGTACTGTAAATATCTTCTGCCTTAATACCCAAGATCTTCATTTCTCAACTAAGCATGGAGTCCTCTGCACTTCCACCACTCTCTCAACTCTCTTTTTGCCCTCCAAAATCCAACAGGAACAAAGCTTATCCTTGGCCTTGGCCATGCAAGAAGCCAAGAACCGCTCGATTTCAGTGCCACAAGATGTATGTGCCTGGTGAATTATCGCCGGAGAAAAAGGCAGCAAACAATCTGCATAATTTCTTTAACTATGTTGCCGTTAAGATTGTCAGCGCACAGCTTCAGGTTCCTCTAAATTTGTTATGTGCATCTTCAAAATTGTGCATGTTTGAGGGATTAATAATTTCATCTTGTTTCTCAGAGCAGAGCTATAACCCAGAGGCGTATGAGGAGTTGATGGAATTTTTAGGTAGGCACTCTTTGAATGATGGAGATAAGTTTTGTGCCAATTTGATGAGGGAATCTTCAAGGCATAAGAATTTAGGTAGGCCAATCATCCCTCTCTTTCCTTCTGCCATTTTTGTCTCATATTTTTCTTTACATCTGTCTGACTTGTTCCATTTTGAAACTTACATGGCATCCACAATCACAGCTCTACGCATCTTAGAGGTCAGTATTTAACTCTACACACGTGTGTGTGTACTGTTTCGTTTCAATTCCCTTATATGTATCAATAATCTATACTCCTTCCATTCTTGGTCTTGATATAGGTTCGATCTGCGTACTGTAAAAATGATTTTGAATGGGACAACTTGAAACGATTAGCCGAAAAGGTCAGAATTCAAATTTCTTTCAACTCCAATGATTTCTCTCAACTAAAGGACATCATTGATCATTATTTCCCAAACCGTTTGCTTCTCTTGTAGATGGTTGACGACTCTAACAAGAGGCTTATGAGAGATTATGTATTAGAAACCAGCCATGTAGATATAGAAAGTGAGAAGTGATCAAACCGCACCGTATCAGCTCTTCTCTGTTCTAATAGAAACATCATGTATCCATATAGTTATGCGATATCATGCGCTAGTAATATGTGTTATAGACAGAACTCAAATTTATAATATCGTATGTATACAATCTTATATGCGTTCTAAAGTTCAGCCACATAATGGAAATTACTCTGTATATTATCCATATAATACGCAGAACTCAAATAGGAATCAACTTGATAATGAAACTTTAGTCCAGAGCAGTAACCAACTTGAAGATAGTACCAAATACAGAGAATATTGAGGTTGTAATGGTAGCCTCAATCACAGTCTCTGGATCTCTGGAGTTCTTTTGTTTGGGCATTCCAAATCTTATGTGACGTAACAGTTAAATTTGCAAGTCCGCCTATACAGGAAGTAAAAAATTATATACTTGAATGATTTCCTCGTGAGCCTAAATTGTCGGCACTTCTTGTTCCTTCCATGGCTGCAAAAAATAGCTAAAATGAGTATGGTTACACAAAGTATAGAAGTGCAAAGTTAATGCACTTTATGGACAATGAATTACCATATTATATCGACGGATGTTGTTTGAAGCATGTATATGTCCAGTGCTGAAATATGACTGAGCATATTCTTCAATTTTCTCAACCCTGCAAGTCATTGATCAATGTATCTCATCATTCAGGTCTTGAAATTTTTGGAGAGTAATTAATCAAACAGATTACAGATGTAAGAATTATCTGCTCGAAAATGCCGCTAGAAAAGTTAACAAGACAATCAACTGTTAATGGTTCAAGCATAGGGCAACTCATCCAGTTGGAGTAGTCAAATTTGTACCAATTAAATTCATAAACTCTAGATGTTGGAAACTCAGTTTCTTTCATTGGCGAATCATAACACAATCTGAAAGCAAAAGTTGCATTTGCGATAAGAATCACCTGTACACATAGTTCACCATGATACCTCCACTTTGACGAAGGCCTTTCTCAGAAGGGTCTGCCATCCAATTTATTCTTTCAATCATCTGTAATATAACACCAAATATCTGAAATTAACATACAGTAGTTCTCAACTTAGGAGAAGCTTGCTGTATGCTGGGTTGCCTCCTCTCTAATCATTAAAATACACACATGAAAAAGCATATTCCCTTCTACACCTATGGGGAACATCTTTTCAAAATTGTAAAAAAAGAAATAGGAATCTAAACTGAGAAACATAATTTTTTTGCAAACAGATGTGACTGCTAGGAAGGATTTGATTACTGCCCTATATATTGAGGTTCTATAACATACCGCGCCATTTTGCAAGTGAAAATTAGCAACAGAATCTAGAGCTTTTCCTCTCTTTTTCTCTTGCAGAAGGTACCTGCAACCATATAACGAACATCTCTAAATTGTATTTTAGATAACCAGAAACCCGAGCTTCATGAAAAGGTAAAAGAACCGAAACATACAAATTTTTGTTTTCCAGTATGCTCAATTTTTAACTTATTAGACCCATGTTTGCTAACCGTATTCGCAGATTATTTTAATTTACAGCGGGATATTGATGTTTAAGATTTATCAGATACCTGGCACAAAGTCGCATTAGAGGGGGCTTTAATGCTGAAAGCAATTCATCTGAACTGGTCCACTCATATTTTGTTGATGTCAACAGCTTCAGCAGCACTTCGATTCCATTTTTTCCAGGAAAATCATCCCTGTAAGTCAAAGAGTTAGTGTCCATGCAAAGCAATATTGCTGTTTGAATCAAATTTCAAAACCACGAGATGGAGAACAGGCATCTGGAGTTACTATTAGGTGCCAAAGATAGACCATATCATTGATCTTGGAAAGATCATATAAACAAGCAGGCAACATCATTTGAAAGAGAATAGACAGCATCAAGGATTATGCATCCACGTTTCATCTACTGGAAATCTAAGCTGCGACATATCTATGCAGTCCCAAGCAGTTCTTCCTTCAACTTATATGTAATGCAGCAAATTTTGGTACTATTAGTATTTTATGGTCAGCAACATATAGGAGCATTGGACTGCTTTAGGTTGTTTTTCCCATAGAAAAAGGGCAAGAATGGATTCAGATCATTTTAAGATGGATTGAATAGCAATAAATGCCTACGTAGTCCTCTCCTCTTCATTGCATGATCATTCGGATGCCAAAACGACAAGAAACAAATATATTCTGATGTGGTTGTTCGACATATATATTTTCTGATGGGAAAGAAAAATTAGGGATCCATGAGATATTTCATTCTCTCGACCTCAACAATCTTAAGAGAGATTTTAAGTGATCTGCTCATATGCACCTCTATGATGAAGTAAAGTTAGCAAAACAGGATATTGGTAAAAATGGCTTACTAGGAATTTGGGGTTCTTATAAGATAGAGAAGTTCGATGGTGAAAAAGGAGAATACATGTCGTAAAACAAACCTTTTTAAGTTCACAAAAAGACACCATGGAAAAAGAAAAGACACCATGGAAAGAGCAACATAACAGCATATTCAATCCTTAATTTGCAAAATGAGTGATACCACTGCCATCTTCTTTTGTTTTCCTTTCCTTTTTGTTATTCTGGAAAGGCCCACTATATCCAAATGCCACAAATCTGACGTCTTAATTCTAAACTTCTCTTCCTTTTATCTTAGCCCTCAACCTGGTAGCATGGAAGAAAATGATCTAAAGTACCAGTCACAATTAATCTGGTTCTAATGCTTAGTTATGTTGAGTTTTTTACTTTTAAAGGAAAATATTATCTTCAGGACCAGCCATACTTCCCTCAAGGATAAGTAGACACAGGAAAATATCAAAACAAAAGGCCTATTCAATTTAAAAGATAACACGAGGTCAACTAAACTTACAGAGAACAATTCATAAGTAATCTTTCTTCATCTGGTTCAAGTATATTCTCCCTAAACGTAGAAACAGATCCATTTGGAGATTGTGACATGTTCTCCACCTCAGCAAGGATTGACTGGGATGCCAACTTAGATAGCAGCCATTGCATGAATCCAGGAATTGGGCTTAATGTTGCAAATACCTTTGCAGAAAGAAAATAATCAGCAAGTAAAACCAGCAGCAAGGTTTGGAAATCATGATACCAAGCGGCAAAATGGACGAGTGCACTCACTGGATTGATGTGTGCTATGGAATAATAGTTCAAAAAGATTGTGGTTTTCCACTTCATCTAAATTAGATCAGAAAATACTTACAGATATATGTGGCATATCTCTTTTCAGCAGTGTAACGACACGTTTGATAAGAAACTTTCCCAGGTTGATCCCTGCCAAGCCAGGCTGTCAAATTTCTGTAAGTGTGTAGTTCAGGTAAGGGAAACATATAATTAGAATTTGCTATTCATTTTTCTTCAGTAGGAAAAGAATTGATGCCTGAGAAGATACACAAAATGGAGAATAACAAAGCCACTTTTCTGTAGATTCAATTCACTTGCAATTTATACAAATACTCTTTCAGATTATACAAATACTCTCCCATCTCTATCTGTAGAATGGCATAAAAAGTTAAGGAAACAACTGGCACAGAAGTAAACTTCATGGATGACAATAAACCATAGAGAGAATGCGTCTTAAAGCTACTAAATTCATCTGTGATGTGCTTTGCAAAAAATCCATGATTTTCTAGTAAGTACATTGTAACTGTACTATGCAGATTAAACATGCTATAGTTGACGTTTCATTTTCGTCTCATGATAAATGGTAGAACCTGATTGTTAGGGGAAAATACGGCGTAATTTAAAATGAAATGAAAAAAAAGGCCAATGTAACTAATCGTACCTGAGTTGATGATATGGAATAAAATAGTGCACATGCAGCCTCAGATTCAGGTATGGGAGGATTATCCCATAAAACTTCCTGTTATAGGTTAAAAAAATAAACAGAAATACACTAAAAAGAGAGAGCAAGTATAATGTATTAAATGTAACCTGTATTGTCTGAGCCACATTCTTCAGAAGGGCAACTTCTATGAAAATAAGCGGCTCACCTGCAAAAGAAAAATTTACAATCAGACTATGTTCGGTAACTTAGCAAACAAACAAAAGAGAGATCAATAGAATTCCATCAAATTTTTATTATGGTTACCAAAACCTAAAAACCAGTTGTCAGGACAACCATAAATAGCAGAGAAGTCTAAATTTCTCCAACATCACCACTCTTAAAATGCATAATTTTGTTGGCTAACCCTGATTTCTGCTAAAGGATTTTATGATTGTGTTCTGACAGATTCAAGGTTTCTTCTCAATAAGTGCATGTTCAATCTACTGCAAATGGAGATAGTCAATGTTGTACATGGTGTGCCACACATATCTATACCATAATGCAAGGAATCCATGTTAGAAAGGTTAATCTACAAGATAAAATTCAATTTTCAAACACAAAATATAAGGTCTCTCATCCAACATTTGACACAATATTCAATAAGTCATTTCCTAGAATTTAAATGTTATATTACAGTTGAGAAGACATGACATGAGTATATCACAATACACTTAAAAATAGTAACTCTAGCATTCTGAAGGAAAAGAAGAGTAAACAAGAACTCCAAATAAGTCCAAAACATTAAAAAAATAAACTACCATTTCCTGCACCGACATTTATAAGATAGCACTGCTAACCAGGTATTGCTGGATGTAAATATCCGAAACAACGACGACCAACCCCCAACCTCCTTTTAAGATCTAAAAGATTGCAGATTGGATGTACTGCCTACACAAAGAGCATTCTTGTAAAATAAACAGATACTAAGCAACGTCTTAATCTGTGATAAGTGCAAGACAATTGAGAATAATTACCTCATAAGCCACAATTTTCTCCAGCAAACGAGCAGGATCATCCCATGTAATCTGATGAAGCTCCAATGCAGCAGGACTAAGCCAAGTATTAAGTTTCTCCTTTAAGTAGGAATCTAGAGATCTCAAAGATGCAATATTTTCCTCTCTGTGGAGTTATAAAGAACCAACCAATCAAATATTAAATTTCATCACTATAAATTGTTACTGATATAGCCTTTGTTCAAGAATGATTGCTTTTTATGGCAGCTGGTGCAACTCAATAGAACTATTCATAGCACTTTTATGTTACAAGTGAGAATCTCAGTGCCAGAGATTTCGTTCCTTGCTGTTTTAAAAGAATAATTTCGCAGAAGTTGGTTTCCAGACTTGCAGTAATATGAATATTAGATAACAAATAAGAAAGAACAAGAAATTTTGAAATAATGAAAATATGAACAACCATAACATTACGCGAGAAAGGATAGGATGTCAGCCCGAAAAATTGACAGGAACTTCAGTCCCCCAGGGTGGTTGTTGAGTCGTTCAAAGAGAACCTCATATGCTGGCTGAAGAGCTTGTCTCAAATTTCGTTCGATGCGATAGAAACAAGAAAGCATGGCTTCCTCTTCAGCAGTACTGGATTCAACTGAATTACCTGAAACCAAAACACCTAACCTTTAAGAAAACCTCATGAAAAATCAAAACAAAAATAAGAGTAGCAGGACATTATTAAGTTTATCTTTGATAAAAATGTGACGGAATGGAATTTAAGCAACATGTTTAATGAAACCAGAAAAGTAATGTAACGACCACTCTAATCTTATTTTTTGGTTACTGATACAAGATTCGATCCAATGTAATGATAATTCATAATATAATTGCCATTACAGTGTAATAAATTTGAGACAAGCAACGTAATGGACGTAACATTGCAGCTTGGGTTACATTCGAGCAACCATAGCTTAGGATTAAAAAAGATGAAACATAGATATGCAAAGCTTACTGCCAGGAACTTCGAATCCAAGGTATTGTTTAATGAGGTCACGAACTTGCATCCTATTGAGATCATAAACTTTGGCCAGAGTGAGCAATAATTTCTGGCGGTCTTCAAAAGAAAGGCTGACATAGCCCTGCATTATAACATATAAGATGAAATTATATCATCTGATGATCAGAAGTTATGTTAAAGCAATCCTTGTGTTACCTCGGAGAAATCATTAAGCGCCACATCCAGAACCTCAGTTTTGTTCAATGATATGGCCGAGTGCAGTGATTCTCGGACAGAATCGAAATCCCTATACGTGAAAATTAACAGCCGGTAATAAATTTGTTGTTATTAAAAAGAACAAAAAATGATACCAGGTGACTCTGCACAAAATAAAGACCTCTTTCCGTTGGTGGAGACATTGAGCTTGTTGGCTCCTCCCTCTGAAACACTAGCATCGAATTGGCTATCTTGAGAATCGGATATAATTTGATTAACCCTGTTCTGTTATGAGATAAATTTCAGAAATTAGCATAAAATGTTTTTACAAAATTGAAAGACAGGAATTTTGATCATGGAGTATCAATAGTAACTTACATTGAGAGTTAAGAGAGGAAGCTTAGTTTGATCTCTTGGAGATTTCATTCTTGCTCGCATCAAAATGGCCAAGCCTTTCTTGTTCATGATTTGAATCGATTGCTAATACAAGATTTCTCGCTTTGTCTGTTAATGCATCGCTGTCCACAAGCTCATCGTTTTTCTCGGCTCGCAGAACGTAAGCAAATGATCCTACTTCTCGACATTACGCCGTTTGCATGAAAAACGGCATCGTATTCTTATTCATATTAAAAATGCTTTCACCGGAAAAAAAAATGCTTCAAAATTTCTGAAAAATAGTTGGGCCACATAGAATTAGTTGGTGGATCGGATGTTACTGATGGGCTCAGGTGCGGCCAGTAAGCGTCTAAGTGATCTTACAATATTTTATTTTTGGCCCACACGCTTTCTGCTTCCATGTTTCTATTCCATTTATTTCACTATATTAAATTAAATTCACCCTTGCTGCACAGTAACAATTCGCCACCGTAAATAATCTGAAGGAAAAGAAAAAAAAAAAAAAGGAAAATTTGTTCTTGTTTTTTCCTTTTTTGGATTAAAAAATAGTAGTAAGAAGGAAAATAAAATTGGTTGCAGATGATTTGTTAATATAATATTATTAGAATCCATGCAAGTGCAAAAAAAATGAAAAAGGTTTTCCTTCGATTGATGGCTTTGCATCGATTTGCGGTGCTTGGATGGTATAAATCTGTACTTGTATTGAATAATAAATGGACAGCTCAAACAATGGCGGTCATGTGATCTACTGTTAATGCATATCTTACTTATAATTCAAGAAAATGACAAAAACAAAGTGGATTTTAGACAACTGGTCTGATTCCTTTCCTAGCTCCTCTTCATTTCTCAATAATTCTTCCTTTCCTTTATTTCTTCGTAAATACTTTTTCTAGTAACGTTGAAGTTTTCTCGTGACCTTCGTAAATACGAATATGAACTTCCTATATTATTCTAGTACTGTGCACCCACATGTTGGTGTGAGAAATAATTGATATACATATATTCATTTCATTAATGCATGTTACCATTTTAAGCCAATAAGTATTTTAGTTGGTCGTTACCATAATTTTCCTCTTGTTTGTTTCTTAGACTCGAGACATTAATATTTCTCTCTTTACTGTGTTAATCATTGTTTAATTTGAAGAGAAATTCCTTATTTTTGCTGCATCTTTTCTAAATTTAGGCACAACATGCATTACTAAGAAATTATATGATCAATGGCTCCACGGAATTGATTTGAGCAAGAATTAATAAATAAATCCAAAAAAAGAAAAGGGGCCAGCAGTGCAGCTAGATACAGATATGAGACGGGTAAGGACTGAGGTAACCAATAATTTACAGAGGTAGATCAAATGATGAGACGTGATACCTACCTGCTACCATGGAAAAAAGGGTCCCACATTTGACTGCAATCCAGTTTCCAATTATAACTTGCATCTGCTGTTATTAATTAAATGAAACTTCCAAACATGGGTCTTGCAGAGAGGAGTTAGTGAATGGACGAGGAGGTCAATGAGTTGGATAGTTTGCTTAATATTATTATATCATTTTAGCTGAGACAGATCAGTGATCACAGGCAGCATTTTTGCATAGGAAAACCAAGAATAGAATTCTCAATTCTAGATCTTAACAAGCTATCTTTGATTGATCTGGAAAAATTAGTGGTATTAATATAATTAAAGAAGTCTTGCATCTGAAACAATGCGTGTGGAAAAAGAAAGTGCGGAAAGGAAAGTTGATAAAAGAGAAACTTTGTTCTTTCTTTAACATCTTTTAGCTTGTGGAAGGAGATAAGTAGGATAAAAACTTTCTTCTTCTTCCTATTATTGTTATATCAATTTGCAGTGTGTGTGTATATATATATATTCTACAGAAAATAGTTGTTACAGTATTTACACTCTGTGTCTTTTTCTTTTAGTTTAGGGTAACTTTTGGAAATATCTTTCAGGGCACAAAAGTTCTTGCAAAATAACAAATGAAGAACTGGGGACTGTTGGTAGGCTAGCCTGTGATGATCATCCCCACCACGAGCACGAGCATCAAATTTACAAAAATAAAAACAAAGGAAATGATCAGCTATTAACAGAGAAGAAGACAAATCCTTCTGCGCACTTGATGCCTAGAACTTTTCTATTTCACGGCCCGAGTCAATGAGGGACGAGTCCCAATCATTTCACATCTGGACATTTTAGTCATTTTCACAAATACTCTTTATCCTCCGAGAGTCAGAGACTGATCCTGAGCTACCCAGCTCATTTTCTTATCTATACTCATTAATAATGCGTCAACTTTTAGGGGTAGTATTGACATTAAACACACCTTTTAAGCCAGCCAGGGGTTTGAATCTTCTATGTTGGGTCCTTTACAGCTTTGTTTGTACTCCACTGCTCTTATTAGGAAAATCAGATTATAAAATTGCTGAAATTTAGTATAAATTTCTCCATATTAATTTAAATGTATGCTTTCAACCAACTCTACAAATTTAAAGTGTTTTGTATTTGGTTTTCAATCTACATCTTAAACAAAATTTCCTAATAACACTCATTTTAAAAAAGAATTAAAAATTGAAACTTTACTCATCAGTCACAGTAAATCAAATCAAAGTTGAAAAAATTTGTTAAGAGTTGGTTTTGACTTCTAACGGATGGAATGGAACGGAACTTCTTTTTTGTGTGATAATGATGGCGTTATCATTTTAGATCACAGTCTTTATTGCTGACATGGCAATCGATGGCAGTTAAAGTGCAAAAGAGCAAAGAAAGAACCACATGTAGAGAATCCAAAGCCCAAGGAGGAAGACATAGGCACATACACAACGTAAGTATTCAATTCAATTCATACATGCGTTCCTTGCTGCCGACTTGAAAGCTATAACCCCTTTTTCTTTTTCTTTCTTTCGTTTTCTCTTTTGCTGTTTAGTGTTTACATTAATTTTTATTTTTAACAAATGTTTTTTTCCTTTTTCGCCGACACTGACACTCTCTCCCCTCATTACTCCAAGCTTCGAATATCTCTCTCTTGCTGTCCCTTTCTTTAATGGCGATGCTTCTTGCCCCTCGCTCCGATCTCAACTTCAATACCGACCTCTTCTTCTATTCTTCTTCTTTTTCTTTGCTTCAGCACCCACACTGCTATGTCATGCTATCTCCCTCACTTCAATATCACCTTTAAATAGAGGCACACCGACGATAAGTTTCTGTAATGGCTGGGAAGCCCATTGCACTTCATTTCTTTTTTGCTTGTTCACCACTCACCGAGTTAGTTTTCCTCGCCTCGATCTTTCTTTTGCCGTTTCTTGTTCAATGCAATACTGATGCCTCTGATGGTATGTTTTTTCTTCTTTTTTTCCCCCCCTTTTCTGAGGTCGTGATTGAGTGTTAGATTTAGTTATTAATGTAATGTGATTGGTGACTGGTGAGTGCAAAGTTATTGACTTTTTCTGTTTATTGCATAACCTTGCTAGAGTGCAGGAAATGAGCTTTCACTTCACTTTTCTTTTTTCTTTTTTCTTTTTTTTTTTTTTTTAAATTTAATCTTTATGCTCTGTTTGTTTCCCGGGAAAATGTAGGAAACTTAACAGAGTTTAATGTAATAGTTTCCGTTTTTTATGTTGGTTTTTGTGTACACAAAGTAAAAGGTATTTATTCATAAGAGCCAAATATTTTTAATCAGTTTATGCTTAAGCTCTCAAATGATCAAAAGGGTGTCTTTTTCTATTCCGATTTGAACTTTCTTTCTTTCTTCTTCTTATTCTTCCATTCCACATAAATTAAACAAGGGTATGTATCTTTTTTTTTCTTTGGGTAATTGATTGGTTTTGGGATTTGAGTTCAACTACTTCTGTTGCAGTTCAAGCTCTACAAGTTATGTACACTTCTTTGAACAGTCCTTCTCAGCTAACCAATTGGAAAAGCGATGGTGGGGATCCGTGTGCAGAGTCATGGAAAGGAGTTACCTGTGAGGGATCGGCTGTTGTTTCCCTGTACGTACTATGGCCTATAATCAATGTAATTTCTTTCTTTGAATGTCTTCTTTAATAGGTTTGTTTTTGTTGTTGTTTAACAGTCAGATTTCTGGGTTAGGACTCAACGGTACAATGGGATACTTGCTTTCAAACCTCATGTCATTGAGAACATTGTGAGAAATTGCTGCTTTAGTTCATTTATTGGTTCTTTGAAAACTTGCTATTTATCGAGGTTAGTTGAGTTGTTGGTGCGATTTGTTTTTGCTTTCAGTGATCTGAGTGACAACAACCTTCACGATTCAATCCCTTATCAGTTACCGCCGAATCTTACAAGCCTGTAATGTTCAATCATGTTGTTTTTTTTCTGTTCTTATGGAGCTCTATTATGTTTTATTTTTTAATGCGGCAGATTGTATTGTAATTCAATTCAGAAATCTTGCTGGAAACAATCTAAGCGGCAATCTTCCTTATTCCCTCTCTACCATGTTTTCTCTCACTTACTTGTTAGTAACTTCTCTCAACTGCTATGACATATTTATACACACACCAACTTAGACTTGTGTCATTGTCCAGTTCTAACATCATTGGTTTCAGGAACGTGAGCCATAATTCACTTGCCCAATCAATTGGAGATGTTTTTTCAAATCTCTCTCTTATCACAACTCTGTAAGAATCTTAATCCAAATTATATCTGTCATTAATGTTGCATTAGCTCTTACTACTAAGAAAAGAAAAAAGGATGTCAACTTTTTCCTTCCTGGCAAGCTTTTTTTTATGGTATAGTGTTTATACAATCTGGTCATTTTGAATAATTTGATTCCTGCAGTCATTATAAGTACACACATAGTTGACAATTTGAGACAGTTAACAGAGGAAAAGATGGTCAAATACCTTTGCATTACAATGCATTCGGATCTTTGGGGTGAATTCATGCAACGATTAGTATTGGTGCAATAAATATACTTATTTTAGAAAAAAAAAAATCTAAACTGGAAAAGGGAAGCTAAGAGTTCTATTGTCTCTCACCTGGAGAAGGAGGGAAGGGAGAGAGGACACAAGATATAGGAAGTCCAAAATGTTGATTGGGAAAGGGGAAGTTTGAAAGTTCAATGTGTTACAGAAACAGAGATGCTAGATTTTATAGGGTTGTCAATGGGAAAGTGGAGAATTATGAAGTTGCAGTCAAGCTACAGTGGGAATATATTTGGAAAAGTTTGTCTGGATTTGGCTGCAATTTTCTGAATTAAGCATTACTTAAATGTCTAAAATTTTTGCTTTTGTCATATATCCTTTTTCGGTTTACATAAATAAAGAAACAATGCTAATGATAGATATTTTACATGGAGAACTGAATGCGTTGCTAAACCATACTATTGTTTGACCCCTTTTAAGTCTTCTTGAACAAGTGCTTGTAAGTTGTTTCACGTTACCATACTCATGGATGCAGGGATCTCTCTTTCAACAATTTTAGTGGAGATCTTCCCAGTTCCTTTAGTTCATTGTCCAATCTGTCAACACTGTGAGTTCAATTTTCCTTAGTTTGTAAACTATATTCCAAGTTAAGTATAAAAGAAAAAGATAGCAAATATTGTGCAGTTTGATTGAAGCTCTCTGGATATTCTATTATGTGACAGTTATGTTCAAACCAATCAATTGACTGGTTCTCTTGATGCTCTTGTGGGTTTGCCTTTGACTGCCTTGTAAGTTCCTTCACCTTTGGTGTTTTGACATTTATGTACCTTACTTCTCTTATTTCAACTTATATTTCAATAGAAATGTTGCACACAACCGTTTCAGTGGATGGATACCTCAAGAGCTTAGATCAATTCCAGACTTTATGTAAGTTTCTTATGCCCTACTTTGAGATCAATCCTAACCAGATGATTATAAATTTTTTTCTATATTAATATTCTGTTATTAAATATTAAAATATTTAAGAAATATTAATGGAGTTTCATTCACTTCAATCCATAATATTTCGCTTTTGCAATATGCTTAACTGTTCTGTTGATAAAATAAAACAGATACGATGGAAATTCTTTTGACAATGGTCCTGCTCCTCCTCCGCCACCATTTACCCCACCACCTCCTGGTAGATCTCATAATAATCGTAATCATTCGGGATCAGGTGCACATTCACCCCCATCTTCTGATGGCCAGTCATCCGAGTCAGATAAGGGAATGTCAGTGGGGGCTGTTGTAGGCATAATCCTGGGTTCTGTGCTTCTTCTTTTGATTGCACTTCTTGCGGTTGTGTTTTTCATTAGAAAAAGTAAAAGAAAGGAAGTTGGTGCCATAGTTTCCCAGGGAAGTCGGTCTGCTAGCACAAATAATAGTAGGTTCTCTTTCCTTTGTTCTTCTATACTCCTAACATTACAGTTTCATGGAGTTTGTGAATATTGAGTCATTTAAATGTTAACATGGGTTCTTTCAGAAGAAAAAGAAACAAAAATGTTAACATGGGATTTGGATATTTTTGGAGGCATAATATGTGTGATAATATATGTACACAAGGTTTGAGCATCATCATGATTTCTTCTCCTTTCCTGGTGGAAGTTATCCATTTCCTTTGGATGTTGGATAGGAATAGCTAAAATAAATAAACAAATAAATCAATTGGCATTGGTTAATTAGTTGTTTCCTGTCCACACAGTAGTGGGCTGCAAAATGTTGAACTTCTCCATTTCAATATCCTTCAAAATTTGTTCATTGATAATTTGAAGCTGGAAGCTCTAGCATAATGCTAACCATCAGGTGCTAGCTTCTGCTTTATTTTTGCAGTAACGGAGATGCATGAGCAGAGAGTGAAAAACATTGCTGCCGTTACAGATCTGAAGCCCCCACCTGCTGAAAAATCGGTGGTTGAGAGACTACAAGGGAATTCTGGATCTATAAAGAGAATGAAGTCTCCAATCACAGCTACTTCATATACTGTTGCTTCTCTGCAAGTAGCAACAAATAGCTTTAGTCAAGAGTTTCTAATTGGTGAAGGTTCTCTTGGTCGTGTTTACAAAGGGGAGTTTCCTAATGGAAAGGTAACTTGGTAATTCCATATAAAGCATATGCTGTTATGGACATAGTTCTTACTGTTTTGTCTATGACACTATCAGTAAGAGTCTTTAGCCACCAGCATTTTATTTGCTGCTGATGATTCTACTTTAGCTATGGTGCAGAGTAGTGCCCAAATTTATAGTGTTCGTAATGAATTAATCAATTTACCTGCTGTTGATGTAGACAATGGCTATCAAGAAGATCGACAATGCAGCACTTTCATTACAGGAGGAAGATAACTTTCTTGAAGCTGTTTCAAACATGTCTCGCTTGAGGCACCCTAATATTGTTTCACTGGTAGGATACTGTGCAGAGCATGGACAACGTCTTTTGGTTTATGAGCATGTAGGAAATGGGAGTCTGCATGATATGCTGCATTTTGCTGAAGATGGCAGCAAGACTTTATCTTGGAATGCTCGTGTTAGGGTAGCGCTTGGCACAGCGCGGGCCTTAGAGTATGTTATATGTATATGAAATTATAATTCTGTCTCTCCCTTTCTCCCTCTCATATTTGTTGCACGTTTCCTTTCTAAACTGTAGCTTGACTTTCAGGTATCTGCATGAAGTCTGCTTGCCATCTGTTGTGCATCGAAATTTCAAATCAGCTAATATTTTACTTGATGAAGAGCTCAATCCCCACTTGTCAGACTGCGGTTTAGCTGCTCTCACACCAAATACAGAGAGGCAGGTAAATAAAGCCACTGATAATGTGTATGGTTGGTAATAATACCTTTTAACTTCTATGTTCATGAGTTTAGTTGGATTTGGGTGCTGAATAAGCATTTAAAATGACAGGTTTCAACACAGATGGTTGGATCATTTGGTTATAGTGCCCCTGAATTTGCCTTGTCAGGAGTATATACTGTAAAAAGTGATGTATACAGCTTTGGTGTGGTGATGTTAGAGCTGTTGACTGGTCGGAAGCCATTGGACAGGTAACACCTCTCTTTTTGTTAGTCATTATTGTCCTTATGTTCTTGGGATTAAAGAATTTTAATTCTGCACTTTCTTAAACCTTGTTATACAGCACACATCCTTCATACAATTTTTGTATTTTGTATAGTTCAAGGGTGAGATCGGAGCAGTCACTTGTGAGATGGGCTACTCCTCAGCTGCATGATATTGACGCCTTGGCAAAAATGGTTGATCCTGCATTGAATGGCATGTATCCTGCAAAGTCTCTCTCACGTTTTGCTGACATTATTGCCCTCTGTGTTCAGGTAAGCTTCTTTCCTGATGGTAAGACCAACTATATATTGAGCCTAGCTATCATAGCGCACATTTTTCTGTTGGCTTCCAAAAGCATGTAAGAGTTTGCTTGGATCCCTCCCTCACTGATACTGTGAGGAGGGCTGGACTTTGCCTCCGGGAATATCTGGAAGGAGATATGTGTGATTGCAAAAACATGCATGTGTTTTCTTAGTGCTCTAATTAGTTCATAGATTTTTGTTAATCTTGATATCACTCAGAACTAGCAATTTGTGGTTTTTGTTTTCTGTATAGCCGGAACCTGAGTTTCGCCCACCTATGTCTGAAGTGGTGCAAGCATTGGTGCGGTTAGTGCAAAGGGCAAGTGTGGTTAAAAGGCGTTCTAGTGATGAATCAGGATTTGCATACAAGACGCCAGATCACGAGGCCATCGACATGTCATTTTGAGCATCTCAGCCTTGTTGAATTGGAGATGAAGCGAGTCCTACATAGTATACAACCAGAAAAAGAGAGTGGTATTGAAAGATTGAAGCGCATGCATGCACAGAGGCAACAGGCGGAACAACTACTATATCAGATGAGAAATGTAATTATATCCTGCATATACTTTAAGGTACCTTTATCTGTAAATGATTCAATATTGTATTCCAAAATTTTCCAGAATCTTTGGTGCAAGATATACTACGGCAGAATAAAATTTTTCATTTGATTCTATCAAGATTATGTTTTTATGAGATTTTTGCTTTGTAATAAATCTTCTTGTACGTGGTAACGATGAAACATTATGCGAGTAAATATTTCCCGGCTTATAGATTGATGGTAACTTGGTAAGTTGACGAAAGCAACGCCTGTTTGACTTGTTCCTTGCAGTGCTATTTTGCCAGAAACTGCCAACCAATGGTGAAACGGGGAAAGGCCAAAAGGGACACCATTACTGGATCAAAAACCAGGCTGTACCATGTGCCTCTGCAATGGAAGTAGGTTTTGGATTAGCATTTACAAGTAAAAATTGATGGTTGGTTTAACATTTGAGCTCCCAACTTCAAATATGTAACTGGAATCGAATACTATATTACATTTTAGTAATAAAATTTAGTAAAGTATTACATTTTAATTGATTATATTCAGAAGATTCTATAATACTATATTTTAAATAAATCAAATAAATTTTTACTATAATATAAAATATTTGTTCTGAATTTTATACATTTTAAACTATTACTTGTATAATTATACAATTGGTACTTAAATTTGGTCAATTTTTCTATGTTATTATCTGAACTTTGTTTTTATTAAATATCTATTCAACTTATCTTTTTTTTTTTTTCATTCTCTAAAAATCTTTGTTGTCTTTTTTTTTTTTTTTTTAAATTTGGTCAATTTTTTCTATGTTATTATCCTGAACTTGTTTTTATTCAAATATCTATTTCAACCTTATCTCTTTTTTTTTTTTTTTTTCATTCTTCTAAAAATGCTTTTGTTGTCCTTTTTTTTTTTTTTTTGAACGAAGAATAAAGTAAAGCAACCAACTAATTGGCACTTAATTATGAATTAAAATCATTAATTAAATATTGCATTATAAAAGACTGAATTCTTTTTTTTTTTTTTTGAAGAAAAGAATAAAGTAAAGCAACCAACTAATTGCACTTAATTATGAATAAAAATCATTAATTTAAATATTTATTAATAAAAAGACTGAATTTTACCAATAGAAACAAGATAAAATGTTGAATTATTTGAAATTGATTCAAATTTGGACATCCATCAAAGTCTAAATCATAAATCCTTAATTGGGTAGTTAGTACCGTAAGAAATGTAAAAGAATTGAAATCGGAAGCAAAGCAATTCCCAAAGGTCTGTTATGATCTGGTGGGTCCTACTTGTCGTTGAATAGCGTCAATCAACCTCATTGGTCGTCGTGGGCTATTACATTTAGCCCTGCAATAGCGGACCATTTTTATCTCCGTAAAAGAAAAATTCAGACAGCGAGCAAGGAGCTCCCGCTTCCCTCGCTCTCCTTGTCCTGAAATTTCTCTTTTCATCTTCAAAACTAGACTCAGATGCCTCCCTCATCAACAGACGACCACTTTCAACTCTCAGATACATTGGTTTCAGTTTCAGATCGAACCGAGAAAACCGGTTTTATCCACAGCCGGACCAATTCCTCCTCCTCCTCCTCTATGAACCTCCAATCCTCGCCCAGACAATCACCCCGTTATAATCAACATGGCATGCCTTTTTCTTGGTCAAAATTGTTGGGTTTTTTGTCGGATCAGAAACAGAGGCAGGTAAATAGGACAGTCAAGAGAAAAGGAGGGAGGGTAGAGTGGTACCAAAGAAAGAGAGTGAAAGGACTGGTAACTGTGATTGGATTGCTGGTTTTGTTTTTCATTGTTAATTGGTTAATGCTTTTACGGCTTCAAGATCATCGAATAATTGATCCACAGAATCACTCTTCTCAAGATTCTGCTTCTTCTATTTCAGTTTCCGTTAAGGTATGTGTCAATATTTACTTTTCTGTTTTATTCTAAAGTTTACTGGAAGAAATATTTAGAGAATAATTGCTTGCTTTGCAATTTTATTCAATTACTTTTATAGATAATGTAGGAGTTACTTGTTTTTGCCCCCCTGTTTGAGATTCAATTTAATGGTCTTTATGGGTAGAGAGTGGTTTATGAATACTTTGTTTTGGTTACAAGATATGAATAAATGACAGTGAAAAAGTTTATCCTTTCATATTTGAACTAGCAGACTGAAGAAATTTCCCACCTTTTTCTTTTTGGGAAACTGAAGATGTTAATACTTTTAGCTAAAATTTGTCTCACTACTGAATTTAGCTATAGCATTTCCGGAAAAATGGGAATTTTTTTGTCCTGTTATTTGGAGCCAGGTACTATTTCAAAACTCCAAGCTAAACTAGTATGAAATGAAAGTAAGCAAGCAAGGAACATGACATCTGCTAGTGTGACCTTTGCTGCTAGTGTTAAGCTACTGGTATGACATATGTAGTTCACTAATCCCTTCTTTGAGAAATACTCCTAAATTGTTTCTTCTGTTCATGTAAAATAATTTAAATATTTACATAAAAGAGGATGACATACTTTAATACTCCTAGGGGTAAAACAACAGAGTTGTTAAAGATCCAACCTTTACAACAGTAAAAAGCAAAAAGCCTGATACTGGGGAGGTTCAAACCCTGAATACACGTTCTCAGAATTTATAAAGGGCAGCAATTTCTTTTTAAAGAATTCAAGATGCATATTTATTTATTTTCCCTTGTTAGTTTCTTTGGTTATTTGTTGTTTATATACTTGGAACGTGTGCAGACAGAATGGAGAAAGCCTGGCAAAGGAAAAAAACCACAAAAAGGTACCTATGAAAGGATGTTGGCTTTGGCTGCTCATGCCCTGGCAGAGGTGATTGAATATCAAATCAGTTATCATCTAGTCCGTATCTGTATGGGAAGCTAATTAGTTTCAATCTGTAGGTTTTCTTTCCCTGTGTGGTAACTGATTGCATTTGTGTTATTACAAATGGTGACAGAATAAGCGTGAGCCAAAGGATTTGTGGCAGGAACCATATATCGAGGCCTCTGCTTGGATACCTTGTGCTGATCAACGTAGTTGGGAACCTAGTGGTGACTCTCTATTTCACCCGTCTGTATCTACATTTTCATTTAAGTGTGCATATTGGCTTGAACATGCAACTTGATGTTTGCATTTGCAGGTGTCTGCAAGGCATGTTTATGTGAATATATGTTATGAATATCTTAAAAATGCATGATAAGATGCATATTATGGGTCGTGAAAGCTGTTTCTAACATGATATTTTTTAATCTTACTTTAATAGGGGGAAGTAATGGTTACATTTTGGTCACAGCTAATGGTGGGATGAACCAGCAGAGAGTAGCTGTAAGTAATGCCTTCAACCAATGTTCTTATCTGGCCTAATCTCATAATTTTAGGTGATTCCTCTTTTGCTTCTGAAGGGTTAATATATGTTCTTTTGTTATATGACTCAATTGTTTTCAAAGCAGGTTTGTAATGCTGTTGTTGTTGCTCGGTTGCTGAATTCAACTCTTGTTATTCCTAAGTTTATGTACAGTAGTGTCTGGAGAGATGTGAGGTAATGTGTTTCCTTCTTCTCTACATTCATATATCTCTATTTCTCCACACTTGTGTATTTCGGGAAATAGACTGTTGGTTGTTGGATAAACTATAACTGTCATTATTGCTGCTCTATTGTTATTGCTTGTTCCACTGTTACACTTGAAGGGGTTTCCTTTAATATAAAAAAGTTCTCACTTCAAACAACTGACGTGATCGTAATTTTGTGAATGCTACTTAAAAGGTTGAAGTATTTCTTCTTGTAACTTCTATTCTGTCATGTACTATTTCCATTTATAAATGGCAATGCTTCCTCCCTTTCGCCTCCTCCTCATGTACTATTACATAATTTAGGCAGTACAAGTAATTACCTCTTACATAAAATGATATCATTTAGATGTAAAAGTAATTGACTATGTCAATGTTATATTTCGTAGTCAATTCAGCGATATCTATCAGGAAGAGCATTTTATTAATTACCTGACTCCTGATATTCGGATAGTGAAGGAACTCCCGGAGGAACTACGATCACTAGATTTGGAGGCAATTGGGAGTGTGGTAAGTTTCATAGCTGAGTTAATTTCTGAGCTTTTCAAAAATAAAATTAGTTTTCATTTCATTTAGGTTTTTTGTAATAGTGATATTTCAAATGGTGACCAGGTTACTGATGCAGACATTATGAAAGAGTCCAAGCCAAGTTTTTATTTGAAAAATATTCTCCCTATTTTGCTGAAAAATAGAGTCGTCCATTTCATTGGATTTGGGAACCGGTTGGCATTTGATCCAATACCGTTTCAACTGCAGGTGAATGCTTGTCCTTCATTTCTAGTCCATAACAAGTGATGATATATGCCATTATCTCTTCTCCCCATTTCCTACTTTGCTCTTCCTAATATGGGGACTTCATCTAGAGACTTCGATGCAGATGTAACTTTCACGCACTGCAATTTGTTCCCAAAATACAACAAACTGGCGCTTTGCTGCTCCAAAGATTGCGTAAACGTGCATCTCATCCTGGGCCATTAGATCATTATCTTGTTGGACCTTATGCAGAATCAAATATGAAGGAAAGTGGTGGTCGTTCTGGGAAATCTTCAAAATATCTAGCTCTGCATCTGAGGTTTGAAATTGACATGGTAGCACATTCTTTATGTGAATATGGTGGGGGTGAAGAAGAGAGAAAACTGCTGGAAGCATATCGCGAAATCCATTTCCCTGCATTGACGCTTCTCAAGAAGACAAAAATGTATGCTCTTCTGCCTTTTTTGCTGTTTGTGATTGTACGTATGCATATGCATATATATAGGTTATGAGATGCGGGTAGTCATGTTTACAGTGCATTGGATTGAGAGGTGCCTTTACCACATGCGCATAATCTTTCTGGATTAATCTTATTTTCCTTGAAGTGATGGCAATTTCATATTTTAAGGATGTAAAATTTTTTTCTTCTAACAGAATCATTGAAGAGGACTATGTACTTGTTTGCTATATCATTTGGAAGGGAAAACGTTTACATTAACATTACTTTGTTTTATTTTCTCAGTAAATTGTTTTACTCGTTGCAGACTACCTTCTCCTGCAATGCTCAGGTCAGAAGGCCTATGTCCATTAACTCCTGAAGAAGCAGTCCTTATGCTTGCCGCTCTTGGTTTCACCCGTAAGACACATGTATTTGTGGCTGGTGCAAATATATATGGAGGGCAATCAAGATTGGCTGCTTTAACCAGCTTGTATCCTAAGTTAGTTACTAAAGAGAAATTACTTTCAGCAACCGAACTTGAACCATTTTCAAACTTTTCATCTCAGGTAACAAAATTGCAAATATCTCTTGATTTGTAGTTTAGTTAGCTTTTCTTTTCCATTATATTTAGTGCGTGATGAGCTTATTTCTTCTGCAGCTAGCTGCACTGGACTTCATAGCCTGCACTGCTTCTGATGCATTTGCCATGACAGACTCAGGGAGTCAGTTGTCATCTTTGGTTGCCGGATATCGAACATATTATGGCGGAGGAAGAATGCCAACAATACGGCCAAACAAGCGGAGACTGGCTGCCATCTTCACTAAGAACTCCACCATTGAATGGAAAGTATTCGAGCAAAGAGTTAGGAAAGCAGTTAGACAAACTAAACACGTTTTTGAAAGGCCTGTGGCAAGGAGTGTTTACAGATTTCCACGGTGTAAAGAGTGTATGTGTTTTACAGAATAAAATTATTCTTTTAGCAGAGATAGGAACTAGTGATATTCATAAATTCATTATTATTATTATTTTTTTTTTTCTCTCGTTCATTTCGTTTAAATGAAAGGAGTGGAGAGGCTACTGGGATCCATTCTGGCAAGAGTGAAATGAGATCTACGTATTAGCTGTAGCCGAGAATTTTTCTTCTAACAATAGTAACCAAAAAGGAGAAAGGAATTTTGAAAAGGAAACTTCCAGAAGGCATAGGCTGTTGCAAAGACAAAGGGCTGTAACGGTAATCACCTACTTGTTTTATTTCTGTTTCAAGGGCAAAGCAAACAAAGAAAATTTGTCGCCAGACAGTTTTCCATCCTTGGATTTGCAACAGAAGAAAATTTTCTTTTTATTTTTTATGCTTTCCTTCTCATAAACGAATATTCAGTTCGTATTTAGAAAACACCTGATCTTCTATATAGATCTTAGGTCTGTGACCTTTCGATTTTTCTTTTTTAGTTATATATTTCAGATGAAGTTGCGGTTGAAAGAACCAATAAACTGTTCTTTCTTCTTTCAGTTACACACTCTCTTACTGACAATGAAAGTTTCCTCTTCTAGATTCTCTATAAACCATGTTGGAGACAGAGTCACTGTAGTAACAGCTTATTATATGAAGAAATTTTTGGGCATGCTATCCTATCCTCGCCACCTTGAATGAAAAAAAACAACTTTTTGACATTTTTGTTTTTCTGCCGCCTCCTGGACATAAAGGACATGTGACCTAATGAGTCTCAAGCAAGGGTATGACAGAAGTTGATTTTTTTGTTTTCTAAAAGGCATTATAGCAGTCTACGTAAGCATACCAATATAATAGGCAAAACAAAAGAAAACAAGCTGGAAGGAAGGTCTGAAGCGGATCAAATTGAAATTGTCTAATGTTGGTTGTTACGCTTGAATCGGAAAGTAACGGCGTTTGGCGCTCTTTTGGGCAAAAGGACTCGGTAAATTTAAATTTATTTTACATGCAAACGTAAAGCTTGCACGCTGTAAGACTAAGATTAATGCCCTACATGAAGCCAGGATAAGAATTATTGCCTCTAACGTATTGGATCAAGACAATTAAAAAGAGTATTACTTTTTTTTTTTTTTTTTCTTGCCACGCTGGTAAGACTAAGATTAATGCCCTACATGAAGCCAGGATAAGAATATTGCCTCTAACGTATTGGATCAAGACAATTAAAAAAGAGTATTACTTTTTTTTTTTTTTTTTTTTTTTTTTTTTTTTTTTGGTGAATAGTAAAAGTACTCTTACGACAAATAAGAGTTTTTTTTTTTAATTAGTTTGATAATAGGCAAATCCTAAAATATAAATATTTTGGTCCCACCCGCATTATTTGAATAGGAAAGGAAAGAAATAATGAAAAAAAAGAAAGTAATGCAATTCATTCTTTCTTTTTGTCTCTAATTTGCAGAGACTTTAATTTTATGGGTGAAGGCCAAAAAATAATTCTCTCTTACTAATATAAAACTAATTATAAATATATTTTGATTTTTCTAGAATTTTTAATTATTTATATAATTATTGCTAATTAGCAATAAACCTACTATATAATTCATTTATTTTTTTTAGCATGTATCAGGCTTGCCTTCTCTCTCTCTCTCTCTCTCTCTCTTTTTTTTCTCTTCTTGTCTTTTCTTATTTTATTTTTAATTTATTACAAATTCCACTTTGTATGTCTATTCATTGCAATTTCCACGTCTAACTTTATCATGTTCATTAAAAATTATTATATTATTATTGACAAGTGCTTTTCCGAATTCACCATGTACCGCAACGTTCAAGTTTCCCGACTGCAAAATCATTCAAAAGAAGCATGCCAGTAAAACATCATGTGAAAAATAACTGGTTTATTTCAATTTGCGTTGGCAAATGGTGACACAGGCCGACAGGAGGGGCAAGAACACGTGTAAAGTAAAACCTACTTAGCCTACGAAACCCTGAGAATGACATTCCAAGAAAGATGCAACTACAGGTTCATTCCCAAGGAAGTTGCAGAGCTTGCCCGAGTGACATATGAATCTAACAGAACAGGCAAAAATCCAGCTAACTCCGGTGACAGACCAGTATCATGAGTTTTGCATATCATGGATAATACAATGACAGTTCGTCCTTATAAATGCTGTGCCACAGCATGACAGGGCACCTGTGTGAAAAATACAGCAAAACAAAATTGCTGCCTGGCAGGCTCCTTAAGTTGGCCCTCCAACTTCAACTCGTAATTGCAGCCAACTGCTCAGAAATTGGCAGTCCAGATATCATATAATTGGGGTTGCAAAACATCATGATCTTACAAGTAACTGCGACACAAGTAAAGTTAGATTACTTCTGGAAAAATAAATTAATGAGCAACTGTACTGACTGTCACAAACTCAAAAGATGTCTGCTCAAAACATTAGGTTCACGTCTGAGCCTTGCTGAAAATAAAGCCTCTTTTTTCTGAACAAATTGGTAACAGAATTGATGTCCTAAATCTAGAACAGCTTCATATATAACAAGATACACACATAAATTACTGACGGCCCATAGTTTGAGCAAAGCATGCCACTGTTCTCTGCACTATACATCCCACACAGCATTCTATAAGTTAAATCTGCATGAAGAGCCATGTCTCCCCATGCTATTTGTTAACCCCCCCTAAACGCATTCTACCTCTTCCGTCGCTTCGTTTCTACCTGCAAGTAGAGAGAATATGGTAAAAAGCCAAACTTACAAAAGAACCTCCTGAAAACAAATTGTGCTGACCAAGAACAAGCCTTCCATAATATCCAAAACAAATCCTCTTGTTTCACATTCTGATATCATGACTAATGAAAATCATTCTAATGCCCACATGATATTTTAGAAAATCCGACACTGAGTGAACTGATATTTGATAAAAAATGATGCTTAGGGAAAGAACTCCAAGGTATCAATGAATGATGGGTGCAATACTTGAATCAATCTTGAATACTTAAAATCAGAAAACTGAAGTGCTGACAGTCATCTTTAATGAACTGAGGCAGATAAGCTTGACAGAGCAATTACTAAATACAAAAAGAGGGAAAAAACGGGGCAAAATTGGAAGGTTCACACACAGTAGTGCCATCAAGTTATCAGACAAATATGATACGAGACATGTAAAATAACAGCCATCATACAGAAAGATGGGAACCCAATCCACAGAAGGTTCATATATACAGTCCTTCAGCACTCTTAAGACGTGTTGGGACATGAATGGTGAGAAGGTTCATGGCAGAGGCAGACACCTTAATTAGAAAATCAGCCCATTTGAAATGACATCCATTTCATTAAAACACATGTAAAAACAAGACACACTTTCAAACAGTTTCAAGCTTGTATTCAAGCACAACCAATAAGCAGAAAAATCAATACACAATGTAAAATGTGGATTCAGAAATAAAAATAACTGTTCAAATGAGCTCATTCTAGAAATATACGCCAAAATAGTCGACCAATGATTCTTGGATAATAATCTCTTTTCCTCGAAAACTTGGAGGTGTCTAATCACCTCTGGCATTTGAACAGCCAAAGCATAAATGTCTCACCTTGCCATCAGCTGCTGGTGATGAAGAAAATCCATTCTGTGATCTTTTGAAATCTTCATCTGATGCACATTCAGAGCAGACAAAGTGCTCTAACTTCTTTGCTTCTTCAATGGTCATGCCAACACATGCAGGATGGTACCTACAGAAAACATGTAAAGAATCATGTCAAAATAATGTCGATCTTAAATGGAAAAGAATTTCACATCTCAAAGAGCAGTCTTGACACAAAGAAACATACCAACATAGAATTGGATCATCATAAGCAAAAAGGCCCCAGTATGATGCAAAGTTTCATTGATAAAACTTAACCCAAACAAAAACCAAGTAAAATTGTGGTCTATAAGACAAAACAGAACGGAAAAAACAAGTCTAGAAAGCAACACATCTCTTCAAATGTTACCCTAAGATCAGGTTAAGTACTTAAATTCTATTAAATAATTGTAAGCTCTTTACTACTCTATTGATTCTTTCTTTTTGCTAAAATTCATAAACCAACTACTGTTTGCTTAACATGGGCCCATATACAGAGTTTGATGCTAACAGTCGCCGTACTTTTTCAGATACACACATTCAAAAATGTGTTTAGGAGTATCAGTATATAAAGCATTTCCTTTTCATTCTTTTGGAATAACTAATACTAATCTTCAACTCTTTAAAAGAGAAGGAATGAACTTTACCAATCTTTGCAACCTTCACATTGCACCATAAGATCATCCGGGTTATACGGCATCTCACATTTACAATATCTTCAAGAAAACAAAAGCCAAAACGAATTACATCTTAATCAACAGTAAGCAGATGAAACAAACACATTAGGAGAAACCAGAAAATCAGTAAAACTCACACAGCGACCCGGTCAGGCGTAAAGCCTCCAGTAGCAGCCTTATACTCAAACCTACAATAATAATCCTCAGCCCCAACATTCTCAAGCTTGGTATAGTTCTTAAAAGAGTGAACTATACACTTCCCTTCAATAGTATGAGCACTCTGTACATCATAGTGGTCGGATAAAAAGAGCTCCTTTGCGCCGTGAAACTGCCTGCGACCACCAAGTGCCTCCTCAGGCCGATAATACCACCTCACCCTTACCTTGACATTGTTTCTGCTGTCTGTCTCGATCCCCTCGATTTTGGCAACGTATGGTGGCTTCCCGGTGTCCGATGGTCTCATCAACACGCAATCCCCAACTGCCAAACACCAAAAAATTAAAAAGGCAAGCATTTGTGAAGTACACGAGACAGATATACCCATAGTAAATACATACGTATATGTATAGACATGCATACATGTATGGAACTGTACATGTACCTTTGACAACTTTGTTGGTGCCGCGAATGGTGTAGGAATCGAGTTCTCTTTTGCCAGATTTGGGCTTGGAGATGAGGCCAGGTCTGGTTTTGGCCATGGAAGACGTAAGGTTCTCCTGCTTTGTTAGGATAATGTAAGATTTGAAGAAGATTAGAAATGGGGAATTTGAAGGTTGGAGGGAGAGGAACCCTAGGCACTGGCTCGTCTCATGGAGAGGTAAGAGAGAGAGACAGAGAGAGGAGACAGCGAACTGTGACCCTTGACCTTAGGCTTAGTTACTGTAAATTATATATATATATATATATATTAGTATATGTGTGGTTAATTAATAATAATAAATATGTTCAGTTAGCAATTAGCAGGTACATTTTTGTTTGTTTTATTTTTTAATCTCCTTTTTAGCATTCGAGTTCAATAAAAGCCGAAGCCGTTGATTAGAAAGTCAAAGTTAAATTGATGTTAGAAGGAAAAAAAAATCAATTTACATATTAACACAGTATTTATAATTAATGGCGTAAAACATTGGCAACATTTAACAACAAAATAACACACCCCTTTTTGATTACCATTTTTAAAAAATATTTTTTAACAGCCAAAAAATATTTTTTTTATCACTATTAGAATAGAAAAAACTTTTTAAATCTCCTTGTTATATATAAAAAAAAACTCTGAAATCTAAAAGAGTTACGTATGACAATAATTGTTTTTTAAGGATAAAAATACTTTCAAGTCTTCTCTCTCTTTGACAATTATTAACAATCTCTTTGGACTTGCTTATTTATTCATTTGTCTGGTTAGTTACAAACAAGAAGCAAGCATGACTTTTTTTAATGTAATGCGCTAATTTTGGCTGTACAAGGTTAGCCGAGTCAAATTTATGGCCAAATGGGCATGTTTATCAGCTTAAGCGTATCGTGGACATTTTCCTGAGCTTAGAACACCATAAGCAGTCTCCTAGTAAGAAATCCACATGCAACAGACAAGGGACATACAGGAAGAAGAGATGGCGATGATTAAGACAGTGCACGCCACATGGGCCATCGATCGTCCAAAATTGAAAAGCAAAAAAGAGCATTCAAATTCAATATGTATTTTGAAATGTGAGCGACACGAGATTGAAGTCACCAGTGCCCAAACCCAAACAAAGATAACCAAATTGGGAAGTGGAGTATATTTTTTTGCCTCGAACCATATGCAAAATCTGCATCATGGCGTGCTTAACCTTTCACCAAAATTCAACTGGAAAAATTAAAAATCCTAGTCGATGGACAAAACTAGAACAAGGAAATGGATGCCCAGTTGCAGGTTCCATATTTTTAGCAAAAAAAATGCTACATGTTATTCTGGATAACAAAATGAAGACTTCACTTTATCGATTAATGGGAGTGTGCATCCGTTCAACAATCCTGTTTACAGCATCACGAGACATCACTAGTGTGTCATGCAGCAGGATGCTATAGACATTCAAACCCTGAAAAGAACAGAACAAACTAAGCTCAGAGATGCGATCATGTCTAGCTATACAGGGAATATTGAACATGTAAGCTGAGAAAAAGAAATACAAGGCTTTACGACTATCATGAATAGATGATAGTCAAAGTATTCGCTTGCAAAAGAGAATTCACAAATGAAATTAGGTTTAATTCATTAACCTGCATACACATCAACAATTCAAGAAATTCTAAGAGGCTGTTCCATGCTTTTATCCCAGCAGAGTAAGCTCATTGGGTTTTATACACAGATTGTGGATCAAACACTATCTATTCTAAAATAGATCAAAGATCCAGACCGCATAGTCATTCCATATCCAACTATTATCCAATAAAAGTACAAGGATGAGAATCACAACTTACAATTGATGGTAGTACATTGACATAATGTAGATTTTGTGTAGCCAACTTAAGCTTTTCATTAATGGGCCCACCATCCACCACCAGTAGCTTCTTGGTGTCTTCCATTTGCTTAACACAGTTCACAATATTCTTAGTTTTATGTGTTGGGACCTCCAAATCCTCAAAAACCAGCAGCTGTACATTTATGGTATGTTTTTAAGATTATTACTTCATACATGGATGAAAAAAATTATTTGAATATAGAAGCTTTCGTTAAAGATGAATCTAAAAGATGTAAATTGAAAATGCAAGACAACTACAGTTGTTAAATCTGACAGAATAGTAGTTATGTAACAAGTAACAGCAACAATACAGCCTATAAGGTCTGGTGAGAAAAATGTTGATAATCCAAAGGGAACTGGCATCTCTCCCAAAATATAAAAGCCTCGCATGAGGTCTAAACTGGCATCATAGGTGTAACAAGTAACAATGGCAATGCAGACAATAAAAAGCCTGCTGAGAATGATAATCAAAAACAAGCCAGCATCTGTCCCAAGAACATAAGCCGCTTATACAATGGATAGTAATCAGACAGACTACCTAAAATAAGCTTCTGACCTTTTCACAAGATCAATGCAAAATTAAATAACTGAGAGACAAAGATACATGCCTTTCCTTCTGCTGCACGAGCCGTCAAAGCAATCTTCAGTCCTAGACGCCTAACCTTCTTGTTGCATTTAATAGCATGACTCCGTGGCTTAGGACCATGCATTGCAGCACCACCCCTAAACTGTAACCAAAGCATCAGACATTAACATCTAGCAAAATCACAGGAACAACATATCTCTAAAAAGAACAAGGAAAAAAAAGAGAGGAGAATTGACCACCTGATCACTAAAACAGGCAAAATAGGTTCTATACCTGTGGTCCGCGCAATGTTCCATGCCTTGCTCTACCAGTACCCTTCTGTCGGTACGGTTTTCTCCCAGTCCCACTAACCTCACTGATAGTTTTTGTTGAATGTGTTCCCTGTAGACAGCTCAAATTACATGAGATTACTGATTCCTACTTTACATGTTGCAGATTTCTGTAGTAGAAATTAATTAACATATCCCTATCGTATCTGGAAGTAATAATAATTCATCAGATAGCTTCCTTCAGAAACAGAACTAACAGCTTTTATGAATTATATGCATATGGGACACCCTAAGCCACAAGTGTACCAGAAACTGATTCTCAACAAAACCAAATCTTTTTGTAGCTTTTAATTATGGATGAGCACCACCTGCTGTCGTTTTGCAAGTTGCCACCGCACAACACGATGAACAATATGCTTCTTAATGGGCACGTCAAAAACATCACCAGCCAAAACCATAAATCCCTTGTCCTCGTTGAGAAAATTTGTCACTGGAATTACCAGGTCCTGATAAAGTCCTATATCACAACATAAAATTAATAAACTTTACCAATTTTGGCACATAATAAAAATAAAAGACAGCAGATGAAAGCTAAATCTAGAATGGGTTCAAAGCAAAACAAGGAGTGTGTGCCTTACTAGACATGAGCGAAACGAGAAAACATCACTTTTTATATTCTTCAGGAAAAAAACAGATTTAATATAATAAGTCAGCAAATTGAAACCACACTCAAGAGTCACACCTTAGGTATGCAACATCCAACTGTAGGAAAAGGGAACTTTAATTATTCTACCTTTAACTGTCAATAACATAAGAAAATGGCAGGCATTGACAGTGATTGATAATAGTTCAAGTGAACAATATGTAATCACCATTGTACAAGCACCTTTAAAATAATCAAGAAATAATATGATGTTTTCAGAATATAACAAACTTGATGCATTTTGACACAAAAGGGGGCAAAAGAAATATCTTAAAGTTCATTAGTATCTCATGAACAAAGCTTAAAAGTCTATGCTAAGAAAATAAATTTTCTCTATTACAACATGCTAATACAGATATTAGAAACTTTAAAGTGTACTTTGAGATAAAACTTTTCTACATTGATAAAAATCATAACTAAATGCTGGAAAGCACCATTTATGACGGCAATTCTTAAAGAATCCAAGAAAGCCCCGAAAAAGCATGTAGAAAGACAATCCACAAGCATCTAAAGGCATTACTAGATTGCATGTTGAAAATGATGTTTCAAACATGCAAAGACATTCGTAAAGATAAAAAGAAGTAAAAATAAAAAATAAAAACTCTATTTTCTGGATGTACAGAAGTTTAATCGATGATAATACAGATTCGAGCTTTGCTCATCACTAGGAAGTCGTCTTGAACTTGGAGTCAGCAAGCTTTATCATAGATACAGCTTATATTCACTCTGGTAGATTAAACTAGCATTGTGTTCAGGAATTGCTTATAGATCATCAGCCAAAAGAACAAAATATATCAATCCTTTTCAATATTTGATATTCATAGTTTTCTTTTACAAAAATACTAAATAACTTACCTAGTTCAAATAACACTAGAAGTTTGAGTTATGCTTTTAGCTCAGGAAATGAATATCTCAAGTATATGTCACTAATTTCAATCCATGCAGTGAATCACCTATAACATCATGCCTGTAAAATTGCTCTCTTCCCATACCTATGTTACGCTCTGGTGTTAGCACAGCCTTTGTGGATAACAAATCTGAGGGGAATGCACCATCACTTGATCCAGGAGTCAGAATAGATGTTGAAAAGCTCCGATAAGGGAGAGAAGCTGCTTCACCCTACATTATAACAACATGTAAAATTAGCTGCTTTCTTCGCTAGCAAAAATAAATTCCCCGAGAAATACAGAAAATGATGATAAAGTACCTTGATAAAGCTAGAAGATTCAGCAGGAAATAAGCAACCCCAGGAGACGTGGCCGCAAAAATCTGTCATGAAGGTGTCAAAAAAATTTAAAGGCAGGCAAACACTCGCCAAATATTCCCAGCAAGCAACTCCAAGTTATAGTGCAATAAGAGAGATAGCCCTTACCTTGGGAAGCCTGAAATGAGTGATATGCGAGACATGGAGATTTACAGCGTCCAACTTGTAAGGACCCAAGAGAACGTAAAATCCTTCTCGATATTGACACTGCCATAATCTTACAAGATAGAAAAGATATACCCCACCGATCAAAATAAGGAAGTGTCACACTCACATGATCATCTGTACAAAAGAATACAGCAAAATAAACGCCCACTAAGTGTTCGACAAAATGTCTCGTACAAAGACGAGCAGATGAAGAAAACTGTAAACTGTAAACTGACAAATGATAAGGCAAAGAAAAGAAAAGAAAAGAAGAAACCAAAAACCTTCTCCTGCAGATCAAATTCGAGGAGCAGCTTTCAATCGGTGACTGATAAGCTGATAGGCTGGTTCTTTGATCGGAGGCACTTCAGCCTGTAAAAGAGGAAATTTGCGGCTGAACATACAAAATACCCCGAAGCTTTTTGTTTTTATATTTATTCTCATACTAAAAAAATAAAAGTAAGAAAACTCACTTAAGAATAAAAACAATTACGAGTAGAATAAAAACAATAGAGCTTGCACTGGAAACCGAGATCTCTGAGAGGTCAAAGGGAGAGCGGAGGGAGAGAGACCACGATTAGGGGTTTTTAGGTTATTCTAAAACGGCAACGTTTGAGTGGTTAGAGTGGCTGGTGGTTATTCCAAACTGGGCTTGGTTTAAGTTCAGATGTGGGCCCACCACAGTGATTTTTTTGTGTGAAAAAAAAACTTAGGGGTGCTTGTTACCATTTTATGTTTTTTAATTTTGAAAAACAATATTCTTTTTTTCATTTTTTTAAACTTATTTTTTATATTTTTTATGTAAATTGAAAATCAACACAAAATAAATGAGAAAAATATTCTTTTACGTATATAAAGAATAGTCTGTCTACCCTTGTTTACATCACAAACTGATTTTATTTATTTAATATATAAGTTCATCCTTAAAACAAAATGCAAAAACTTCCCTCAAATGACCAATTTGATCCTTAAAAGCAATGTCCTAATTTGTTTTTTTTATCAGCAAATATAAATCTATTATTATTAAAAAAATACCTGAAGCAAGTCCAAAAAACTCCACTAATCCAGGATTCTACACCCTTACCCAAGCAATGTCTTAATTATAATGGTGGTATTATGAAAGGCATATCGTACCTATAAATTCCCTAACCCATCAATTAATTATAAATGAACTTAATTAGTGCTATTCAATGAAAGTATAACCTTAACCCTGAAAAATTCTGAAACAAGAACGTTGCGAATTTCTCATCAACGCGATGAATGGATACCTTGTTAGCAAGAAAGAAAAAAGAACAACGTTACAAATTTCAAAACTTACTATGTAAATAAGAGAACCACCGGCTGGCCGGCTGGCTCAGCATTCAGTTACATGATATAGATACTACGACATATCATAAATTCCATGTCAGATTATAGGTGTAAATACAAATCCACCTGCATTCCAACAATTAGAATTGCAGTAACATATAAATATAATACTATTTGATTATATATTAATTTATATTTATCCGGTCATCTTCACAGCAATGTAGGAGAGATGTCCATCGGGAAAGGGTTACCAAGAACGTTATCCACGTAATAATGAGGATGCGTAGCATCCATCACTACGAACTGCATATCCTCCGATGGTTTCCAGTGCCGTTTCCTCTGGTTAATGAACCAATTGTTAATTTGCTTCTGGTCCAGGCCTGTGGATTCTGCTAGGGCCAGCTTCTGTGACTCCTGTAATTCACATGCAATACATATTGCTTGCTTCAGCCATTACAACTCATCATACAATTAACATGTCACAACAAATAAAATGATAATACTTTATCTCCTCAGCTCAGAGGCAATCAAACTCGAATGACAATGATGTAAGTTCTATGCCACTACGATGCGTTCTTTATTGTTTAGATATAACATTCACCCAGTTTATCGTGCAAAACCTAAGCTAAGTATCTTTCTCCGTGCCGAATCCACGACCATCTAAGCATTACTTAGCAATTGCAATCCACATGAATGATATATTGCATGTTTTGGCACCATGAATTAGTTGGATGATATATGTACATTAAATATGTAAGCATACCGATGGATAAGGCCATTTGTAATGTCTGCTCCACCAATCCAGTAACTGCTGTCTGGCTTCCTTGGGTAACTTCCCCTTTTTTCTCTTTTTCATGAACTCTTGCTTGAGATTGCCTAAACATCCACTGTACCTGCGAAGAAGCTGACCCTTCAGTTCCTGATCTTCCGCCTGGGGATCTATGAAGTTGTTATTCACATCAACTTCTTCTTCAGATGATCCATTCCTCTCTCCAGCCTCACCACAAGCTATGAAAGCAACATGAAAAAAGGTAAGCACCAGAAAACACTAAACAACTAGTTTTACCATAAGTAGCATTAACAAGTCCCAAACATTCTTCAGTACTAATTTCAGCTTACGATAGTAATGAAATGGCATACTTACCCATAAAGTTCCAGAAAAATAGACCATATACTAAATTATCCCACAACCTCAAGCTTAAATATATTCTAATTGGACCATCATTACTATGCAAACTTTATTGTTTCCCATCATTGAGATTTCTTGCATACTGGAAGTTAGCTGCTTGACATCATAGAGTTCAGTTTCTTTTTTTTTTTTTTTTTTCCTTTCCATAAGTAGCATTAAACAAGTCCCAAACATCTTCAAGTACTAAATTTCAGCTTACGATAGTAATGAAATGGGCATACTTACCCATAAAGTTTCCAGCAAAATAGACCATATACTAAATTATCCCAAACCTCAAGGCTTAAATATATTCTAAATTGGCCATCACTATACTATGCAAACTTTAATTGTTTCCCATCATTGAGATTTCTTGGCATATCTGGAAGTTAGCTGCCATTGACATCCATTAGAGTTCCAGTTTTTTTTTTTTTTTTTTTTTTTTCCCTCTCAATTGGTCTTCATCTTTTTCCTTTTTTGCCTTCTTTTCCCATTTTCGACTATCAAAAATTAGCTTAACTACAATGTCAAAAGATTGAGTGACAAATATTTATTGAAGTTCACATATCAAAAACTAACTCAGATAATGTATAGAAGAAAGATAACTGCAAAATATGATCTACTATATGCTTTTTCTTGACATGTCTCGTTACTACTTTCTTTTCCAATGAAAGCTTACAGTAATCCAACCGATAAAATCAAGCAACAACAATAGACACAAAAACATCGAGGCAAATCATATTGGACCAAGAATCTGATGTCGAAAAAATGCCCCAGTAGTTCATGACACTACCCATCAGCTGATTTCCCCTAATTCTGAGAGGGCAAGGATTTCTTCAGAAATACAGCTAAGATCCATTTCATAGGTTGGCCAATAAGCAAAGTACGAGTATTAAAAAAAAAAAAAAAAACTAATATAGCTAGCTCTCTACACCGTATTCCTGCACATCCATTAACATTTGTTCATCAATTGGATAAAGATTGCATTAAATTGCTGTCATGGTGCGGTCGAACACACAAGCACTAACCATTTCATTTCTGCTACACCAAAATCGATTTAAATAAGGATTTTTATATTCATGTGAGTCGGAGCTCTTTTAATCACTTGAACATATTTCATGGTGCTTGCAGGAACTATATTATTTAGAACAACAAAATATCATATCTCCTAAAAAGTTAGACTAGGAAATGAAGCAAATACTCGAGATGCTTAGATGTTGCAAATATTTTTTGCTCGCAAACTACAAGACTAATAAATTGCCCTTTTTCTCCAACACCTTCCAATCTGATTAATGATGAGTACCAGCATAATGAACAAGTAATATCCATTATCATTACATACAAACAAAATAAAGCAACATTCCCAAGTAAGGAGAAAATAAATGAGCCCTTGAGAAGTCAGATTGCAATACAAAGGCGTAAAATAAGACTGATGTAATGACTTAAAATCTATCAAATTGATACTAATACACACACACACACACACAGCATGTATTATCTTTCAGACAGCACATTTCACCTTCATCTAACAAACAAATAATGCCATATGCTACATTTATTGAATCGACCTTACATTATAAAAACTGAAATCCACAAATTAATCTTAAGTTTATCACTTTGCTATTTTGATTGATGTTCAAGAAGAAGGCAATAGAAAAGTGGATATGAGCATTTAAAAAGACCAGACGTAAGCAAGCTACAAGCATTCACTTGAATGCAAATATTAATCACAAAGCAGATTGAAGCCTTAAATGAAACAATAATTTAAATAAAGAGGAGGCATTGTTTAACCAATAACAAAAAAGAGAAAAGTTCCTGAAGCATCACACAAGCTTTACAATTGGCAGTTCCATACGTGACTCTATTCCAATTTTCCAATTTTTCCAAGGATTGATGGAAAAATAATGAATATCTCCCCAAAAGAAATGGTCCAATTGAATTTCCATAAGATGTTTCCAAGTGTGGCTGCATGAATCTCTCCAGAGAAGGAATAAAAAAAGCACTCGCTCCTACCTTAGTAAGCACAATGAAATGATTTTCCAGTAACAAGTACGAACTCAAGACAGCAATTTTCTCCGCCAGTTTCTAAATATTTACTGCTCAAGTTGTAAACTTTGTTTGTATAATTCCGTACGGGGAAAAAGTGAATGAAAGTTCCACCTAAAAACCTGTGTCCAGATTTCAAATTTTTTCTGTTTTCTTTCCTTGAATGAAGGTGTGTCGTGTGTCCAAAATCATTCCGATCCTTTATGTATGTCCTCCCGGAAACCCTAAATTTTCAAAGTCATGGGCTGAATAACCAGAATCCCGTTCTCGTCTGATCGATGTTTAGTTTTAACATGTCTATCTTCCCAGCCTTATCAGCTAGATCAATGTATAATAATGGAACGTTTGTATGGAATTGAATATTCAGCTACCAGATATCACATCGGCGACCTCCATAGGGCTGGCAATAGCACGGTACAAGATGGAACAGTGAAAAATATGTCAAGTTCCTTTGAGCAGTATGATACAAGGCTCAATATTAACTTGGCAAAAAACTAATGACAAGATATTTCCTTCTGTTTCCTAAAAAGTGCAAAAAAATGTGTCGGTACCTACCAATATAGCAAGTAGAATTCACGAGAAACCAAGAAAACACATTAAAATACACAAACATCAAGAAGAGAATTAAAGCAAGGAATATTTAACATAACCCTAACACCTCTAACGCAGTTTCAGTTCGCATCAAGAAGAAAGAGGGAACGGACCAAAAAGAAAGTACCCACTTCGGGAAACAACCTCTTCTCTGTTGTTAATTAATCCTTCTTGGAAACAAAGACATGCATGACTGATTATTTTAATGCAAAACATATTTCCATATAAAAAACCCAGGGTTAGAAGATCTAAGAAAACCTACAAGTACACGCATCAAACAGTGTGAGAGAGAGAGATTATTATCACCGGAATTTGGAGAGGAAACAGTAAGGGCTTTGAATTGACACTCAACCCTCTGGAGGAAAAGCATGGCTTCCTTGAAGGGCTTCGAAAGCTCTTGCTCATACTTCGTAAGCATCTCACAGTAAGCCTCCATGAACTGGTCCAGGGCCGGATCTTCACCTACACAGCTCGTGCCAGTCGGGCCCATTGCTGCCGCAGAAGCACAAGCTTCTTCTAGTCGAGCCACCACTTCAGGCGGTGCTCCAACCTGAGGATTTCACACGTGTAATCTGTATGACCAAGAAGAAGGGATAAAAAGAAAAAACAGAGACCAAATATACACCACCAGTGTCTCTATCTTATATTATACTACTCAAAAACATTTTGACCTCTCACTTTCTTGGCACAAAAATTTTCAATTTATAAAGTGAAGAACTCAAAAAGCTTTCGAGTAGGAAAATTTTCTTTGGACAGATCCATAATTTTCAAAGAAACCAAAAAAGCAACTAAAGATTATGACTTGTCTCAAGGGGCTTTGCAACATGAGAATATCTCAATTTGTGTTTTCCACAAAAGGAAGAGATATGCACTATGTTTCCGTATGAGAGAAATAAGTCGCGAGCAAGGGGTACCTGCGCCTACTTACAAACAAAGAGATGGAGATTTAAGGGTTTCGGGTTTTGTCTTATTGGAGAGTGAGCTAAGAATTGTGCTAGGTAGTTTTCACCTTTTGACAGTTGATATAAGCAGCCAAGAGACGATGGTAATGAGGATGAGCCATGATCTTGGCCTTGACAGAAGCAGCAGAGCCATCGTTGCTGTCCATGAAATAACAGCTTGTGTTGGTGTTGGTGGTGGTGGTGGTGGTGTTGTTATGATCGTCAAGAATCATAGAAGAAGCACTACTACTATTACGGTTTTGGTCTTGATGGTTGGTGGGAGGTGGGAGAGGAAGGAATAGGGTATTTGATGATGAGTCTGCATTAGGAGGAGGAGGAGGAGGATGATGATGGTGATGATGGGGATGCGAAGTCATGAGAGGCATCATCATCATAGGACATAGTCCATTACTGTTGTCTCCAAAAGCCATCATGCAAGAAGTGCTATTGGAACCACCCTCCATTATCTCTCTCTTACACATACAACACACACTAGTGTCTTATCCGTTCCTAGTTGTTCGCTTGTGCTTAGCTATATAGCAGTAGTACTAACAATTTTACCCATGATATGTGTCTTTCTTTCTTTGAATCGGGTGTTTCTCTCTCCTACGCAATCTCTTTGTTCTAAAAGATTGTTGTTATATTGTATGTGCAGTGCTCTCCCGAGATTTATGCTTCAACAAACAGCCTTTTTACAGGAAATCCTAAAGAGTGATAGTAGTGGGAGTAGCGAGTGAGTCAGTTTTGTGGGTTTTACACTCTTGGCTAGGTCTGCCAATTAAAGAGTGCTCAGTTTTGCCTTTCCTTGGGGAAATGCATTAGGGCGTTTATCTTTGTGGATTTAAAAGCATTAATCTCAGAATTCTGTTTGTGAGTAGGAGAAAGAGGGGGGAGTTGGAGATGAAAATAGCGGAGAGCGCACGCGCGCGGGGTGAACAGAGAGAGAGAGAGAGAGAGAGGGAAATAGTAGCAGGAGCAGAAGAAGAGGCAGGCGGTGGTGGTTCATAAAATGAAAATGTGTTTGTTATCTTTGAGGCACTGAGGTAAAGCTTTACCTTCCCGATGAAAACTCTCCCCCTCTTTTCTTGCACTGCCACTGATGCACTGCGATTACTGGCAAAGAAAGAAAAGAGAGAGAAACAGAAAGTTTTATAGAGAAGCAAAGTGAGAGAAAGAAAGGAACGATCAAATCGAGGTAAGAAGAGCCCCGGAAGGAAGAAAGAAAGAGGTGATCTGCTGTTATGCAATGGAATAGAGTTATTTGTTTTTTTTTTTTTTTTCTGTGTGGGTGGTGAGGGTTGGGGCTCGGATATCACGGCTCTCTCCCCTGTGCCTGTACAAACCCCTTCACTCTTTTTATTTGTTTATTTCTTTCTTTCTTTCTTTCTCTAGTTATTGGACCTTGGGTAGCAATCTGTCCACTCATTTAATATTCCAAATTTTGTTGTCTTCTTCCACATCTCAACCCAGCCCCAAAACTCACAAACTGATACTGCCATTAATGAGCCTTTTTAATTTTTGCAAATGTTCTTTCTGGTTTCTACTTGGGATACTATTTATTCTTGAAAAAAGGAAATGCTGAAGTACTATAGCGGAGTATTTTTAAAAGAAAAAAAAAATAAATAAATGAGAAATCTTGGGCGCCTGGAAGTGAAAATTAACGCACTGACGAAAATCTTTTCCCAAGATTGAAAATGACTCTCTCAGTCTCACTCTTTCTCTCAAAGGCTCAAAGTTAATAATTATCTTAGTCACAGTCATAGCATCTAATCCATGGCTATTTATTTAGCGTAGGAAAAAAGTGGGTTTAGAAAGCTGATAAAGCTTGTGGGACAGTCCGAATGTCTCTTCTCTTCTCTTCTCTTATTTGAGATTTGAGAGTGTAGTAGAAAACACAGCACCGCACAGCACAGCACAGCACAGCTTAGCTCCAGTCAAGTTGAGCAAATTGTCTCTACTCCCTTGTCTCCCCCTATACTGTCCGCACCAAAAAAATCAATCTTTCACCACTCCCAATTCTAATAACATAGATAGATACTCATCTACCTTGGTACAATCACCCACGCTTAATTATACTGAGTACACCATCTTCTCTAATCACTTCAAAGTTCAATCATATATTTTTATTTAACCTAATAAAAATAAAAATGACTTATCCAAACCAGATATTTGTGTTTTCCATTTCAGGGAATTATTCATAGTCCTCGTACCTAATTATATAGATTGAATATTCACTCTTAATTAGGTTATTTATGACAGTCAAGTTAATTGTTTTTGTAGAATACTCTCCAATTATTTTATCGTTATTATAAATTATGTCTAAATCAAATAAGTAGGACCAAAGGTTCTTAAGGTCAAACGTGCCCATCCCTTAAGTTTTTTGGATTTGTCTTAACAGTAAAAACAAAATTCTAACTTGTTGAGCTAATCCTATTGGTGCCGCATCGGACTCTTATTAAAATTCTATCTCTTATTTAAATAATTTGGATCTTTGTACTTATGTCAACCCGTCAACAGTAAATAATTTTTTTATGTTTAAAATCTCCAAAATTGCTGCTTATTATTTCTCAATAGCAAAATAAACTTTTGTTGTTAATTCAACTACTTTTTATATGTGCAGCGATAAGCCTTTTATTCTTCAAATAAAACCAAACATAGAGACAACAAGTTTGTTGAATTGCAAAGTGAAAATTGTAAAAGTTAAAAATTTAATAATTTTGATGATTCAGATTGAAATATGGAATATAATATCAGGACACTGTGTTTCCATAAAAAATAAAAAAAAATTTTGACATTGAATCTATAATTTTACATGTTATTTAAATAAACATTTATTTTTACCAATTATATTAATTAAAACAGAAGGAATGAAAGATGATAATGTTGCAAATATAAACAGATTGAACCTGAAACTACTCAGAGTATTAACTTTAATCTTACTAATTATATACATATGAAAGAATATCAAATTGGCATCTTAAATGTATTGGTAATTCTTATGGGAAAAGCAAGTATCAGTATATAAACCATTGACCATTATGAATTAATTAGAGTATATTAGATATTAATCTAATCATTATCTTGTTTTAATTTTTGGAAATAACCCATTTTGTTTCTTCTTCTTTTTTTTTTTTTTTTTTTTTTTTCTCATTCTCTGTATTTAAAGTAATTAGTGGAATGATTTGAGTACTTATTGCGGTGCAAGCTACCGGTCCGACCAGTGAAGATTACATTTTTTTGATGGTTTTAAGAATCTCCCAAAAGTGACTGCCGGCTTTAAAATTTTGTGTATTACCTCAATAGCAAAAAGTAAAGTGTTTGTTTTTGTTAATTACAAGCTACTTTTTTGATATGTGCAAAGTGCGACTTAAGCCACCTTTTATTCTTCTCAAAATGAAAACAAACATAGAGGACGAAATCAAGGGATTTATGTTGGAAAAGTTGGCAAAATAGTGGTATAGAGAGTGTGAGTTAATAAAGTGTATAAAAATTTAATAAGGTTTTTGATAGTTGAATGGATATTCCAGAGTATTGAAAATATGGAAATATAATAGGTCAGGACAGGCTGTTGTACGTTGTGTTCAAGTAAAAAAAGGAAGAGAAAATTTTTGACATTTGATAATTTTACATGATTATTTAAATAAACAATTTTATTTTGTTACCAATTATATTAATTAAAACAAGAAGGAAATGAACGAGATGATAGTTGCAAATATAAAGACAAGATTAAACTGAGAACTACCTCATGAGGTATGTAACTTCTTACATTCTATACTAATTAGGATACGATTAATGAGAGAAGTTATCAGAGATTGGGCAATCGTGTAAATGTATTTGGTAATTCTTATGGGGAGAACAGCGCAAGTATCAGTATATAGAAGCGCATTTGACCATGACGTTACTATCGAGATTTAATATTAGGAAGATATGTAGATGTTATTAATCTTAATCATGTATCACGGTTCGTTGATTTACACTTTTTGTGGAATAACCCCAGTTTATTGTGTTTTCCCTTTCATCTATCTTTGGTTTTTTTTGATCTTTTTTTATTTTTTTCAAATGGGATTGGCCCCAATTAACTAATTGTGAGAACAAAGCAATAAAAAAGAGAACAGGGAAATCGGGCCAAAATTCTTTCTGGGACGTTTACGAGGCTTTTTTTTTTTTTTTTTTTTTTTTCAATTGGGATTGCCCAATTACTATTGAGACAAGCAAAAAAAAAGAAGAACAGGATGGCCAATTCTCTGGGTTTACGGCTTGTCAAATGTAACATCTGCAACACGACTCATGGTTAGGGTTAGAGGGAGGGGAGGGGGTAGGGTTTTGGGGTGGGAGAAAGAAAGGACGCGAATCCGTCACAGCAGCATAAGAACAAAAGCAAAGCCAAGCAAAAAAAGGTAAAGAGACGTCATTGCCACTGCTACCATCCTTTTATTATAAGGTGGTGGAGTGGAGAGAGTGGTTTTTATTTTTAGAGAGAGAAAGAAAGAAAGAAAGAGAGGCACTGTGACTCTATCCACCCTTTCAACCCTATTTTAAGCTTTTCTGATTTACTTTACGTCTTTTCCATCAACAGTTGCATGATATAACGTAAAGAGTTTTCCTTTCGACAATTTTTTCCTTCAAAAATTCTCATAATTAATTAGAAAAACCAAATTAATTTCTCAAGTAGACAGGACATCACCTTTCTCAATCCCACCCCTGTATGCTTAATTATCAACATTCAATCGCTAATTAAACCTTTTTAGCATCTAAACTACTTTGTTAATTATTGGTTTCCACAAAGCAAATTTACTTTTGTGGCAAAATGTTATATATTCCGTATAAATTAACTATCACGGTTTGACTATACAATCATCATCAAATAGAAATTACTGGGCATTCAGATTCAGAAAGGCATCATCTGCCATCATAATCTTTAACTTTCATTAATTCACTTGACTGGGTTGCATTAAGGCACCTTCCATTTCTAATAACTTAGTCAAAGGATGAACTTTCATCTTCTGGTTTATTTTTAAATCAGCAGTAAACAATACCCTGTCAATGCATTTTATAAAATAATATCGACATTCTAATATTTGTCTGTTGCAAAGTCCGATTAATTATTTATAGGTTTGTCCTACGTAAAGGCTGCAAAAATTTAAGCGGCTACCAAACTCTGTATCTCCAAATGCCTTTTCTGAAAGGAGAGGGGCCAATAAACAAAAAAAGCAAATGGGTCCATTCGCAATAAATCATATTTCATTTCACCCAATTAGGAAATTATTTAGGCTACATGTAGCTCTCTTATCATTTGCTGTTTGTGGCTTGCAAGTGCAAAGCAATTACTTCCCTTTTCATATTCACAAAACTGCCCATAAAATCCTGAATATAAGAAAAATAACCAAAACTCTGATCATACAAGGGGGAAAAGAAAGAATTACTATTGTGATTCTTGAACTTGTAAACATATGAATCCCAGCAAGAAACGAAGATTAAATGACAAGTCTTAATTAGGACTGAGGAGTCTAATAATAAGATATTCTTGTAAATAAATACTATTAGAACAAGAGATTAAGATAAGCAATTAACTGCTCTGTCCATTTTTCCTCATACATATGGAATTTCTCTTGTCTTATTCTTATTGTCTTTTTTCAGGTTGAGTTCACCAATCCACGGAAAAACATCCACAGAATTCTTTGACTTTTATCGATAATAGATTGCCTGCTTATCAAATAATTAGTTAATTTAGCATGACTCCATTAAAATTGAAGCAGTCATGAATCAGTAACAGCATCTTTACGAGTAAAAGTTTAAGAAACAAAATCATCTTGTTTCAGGGTTAGATTTTCACTTCAATTGATGATTGGAGTAAAACATTAATTGCTGTAAAGTTCTTTTTTTAATCATCTATAGAGTTGTCTAAAGATGGGAAAAAAGAATGTGGGTCTGAAAGTGTGATGGCTAACACAAATCAGTTGCATAAGTGTTGAATAATTGAGTATTGACAGCATATAAAAGAGTGAACTTTGTTTCAGGATCGTGAGATTGGGAGGCAAGAAATGGTTTAAACATTAAAGTAAAGTCCTAATGATTTTGACGCCAACCAAACCTTACTTTTACAGTCAACTTAACTACTGCTAATGGTTAAACAGTTCCCAATTACAACATTATTAGGATTATTATATATGATTAATTAAGTTTAGTCAACTTCCAGATATAGTCAGATTAAAGATAGTAAGCCATTTTTGAGAGACACAACAAATTGGAAAGCTTTCAAAGGTGGGGTCTTTGGCCTTTCCATTCAAAAATGTACCGCAAGCGGTTGTCATTAATGAAGTGTATTAATAATCAATCTACTAATCAATATGAGGTTGAAAAAGGTTGGATTAGCAATTTGGCATCTCACACGTATGCTTAAAAATTGAAAGAAGAAAGATATTTCAATGTTGAAATGGCACGGGCAAGGGCAAGGGCAACTGGCTTATCTTTCATGTCATGGGTTCATCATCTCCTAACAGTGGGTTTTTTAGGCAATGTTTGTTCCACTTGACATGACTTATTTATACTCTCTGGATGTTACATTTTGTACAGATTAATCTTTGGAGATTTGGCACCAAATTATGAACGGCATTAGAGATGCGCAGGGTGGGGTAGCACATGCGCATGGGGGGCCTGGGCATGGCTTCGCCCCAACCCTAATTCACACTGTATTCCAAATGGGTTTCTTTTGGCCGACCAAATAAGCTTTTTGTCGTCCAATCCATTCCATGCCACTATCAATGGAGATTGGAGGTATTAGCTCTTTAAGATGCCATGCCACGCCATCTCACAATCTCACTCCCAGCTTAGCTAGCTAGCGTATGACTTAGGTTAGGTAGAGAATCCGCCATTTATTGTTTCTTCTTTTTGAGACTGCATTTGTTTCTACCACATCCAGTCATTTCACTTATAATTTAAACCTACTTTCAGGTTGAATTTTTTTTATGAGTTTTAGAATAAAAACTCATTCTTGATAAATATATTTTCTTTTTAAAAATTTTTAATGTATAATCCATTGTTTCGTAATGGCTATTCACAGTCTTTAAAATTAATTAATGAGTCAAACTTTTCCGGGCATCTAAAAATTTTTAAAAATAAACAGAATCTTATAGAATAATTTCTTGCATATAAAATTAGCACAAATCTTAATGACCATAATACCCTCTTTTAATTTTTATTTTGTACACTAGAAAGTTCATCAATCCTTCCTGCCCCGCCACTCACAAATCTCACACTGTACTTATCCTGCCCTGCCCTATAAAAATGTATATTTTAATGAAATATTTCTATTTGAAGGTGGGTTTGGTTTGGGGCACCTAAATTAATACTAACTTCACCAATTAAACTGTCTTGTTTAGGGCGGGGTTCAGGATAGGATGCCCTAAAGCCTAAAGCATTGAAAGTTTGGGCATTCTGCCATCCATCCAATAAATCTTTGCCTCTGACTTCTTTCTGAAAAATAAATTACTTTGAAAATATTTTACAAATTTTCAATATTAAAATATTAAAAAAAAGCAATCAATAGAAAATATTTTCTTCCCATTTTTAGAAGATAAAAAAATTTTCTGGATAATAAACTTATTATAACTTTATGAACACGTTAGACACTTACACTAATTTATAATATTTTAAATATAATATTTTAACTTATCACAATTTATTATTTTTTATACATTTTTTCTTGTAGCTAACATAAAATATTTTAAATATAATATTTTAACTAATTTATAATATTACAAGCAAATAACGGAAAATGAATTATTTGAAATATATTTTCTAAAGATTTTTTTTTTCCGAGACACTTAATATTAATGTATTAATTACGAATGTAAACTTTCATACAACAATTTTCCTATAGTTACACTCAGTACTAGTCATCCTCGAGGCTTCGATGCCTAATATTTTGGGAAACGGACAAAAATCACTTCCTAGAATGGCAAATGATAATGCAAAGAATGCACAGAAGATTACATTCAACTTAGAAAACACGATGTGCAACAGATTCAAATCATAATACTCAATTCTAATAACCATGCAACCAGCGACCAAAACCCTCTTTTAATATAAGGAAATGGAGATTGGGGTCCATACGTTTATAGTATCCGGTTCGCTTGGCACAGTAAGCAACCGAGTGATGACTAAAGAAAGTGGACAACCTCTTATTCATCCTGGCTAGAATTTCTGAATAACAACTGAATTTCCAAGCCCTGCTTCCTCTATTGTTTGAGTTGGGTCAGAAAGAAGCTTGGGTGGAAATCCCATCAGCTGCAGCTGATAATTCTGAGCACCTCCAGGTCTAGATGCATTAATGAAAGCTCGAATATCATTCACGGTATGATTGAAATTGAAGTGAGCAATCATGCGGGTCCCATCTGCCAACCTAAGCTGGATTGAAGTTGATGGCAATGTTTCATTCACAACCAGGCCCATAGATGGCGTCGGAGCAGTGTTAAGAGGAGTTGGATCGACTGTTGGTTCAGTTGTCGTTGGGGTACTGCTACCTAAAGTTCTCCCCACACCCTGAAATGGAACGTGGCGCTGCTTCTCTGGTTCCTATAAGAGAACAAATAAGAAAACAAGAATCTTCGCTTACCAATCGTTTCAATCAACTGCTGAACAGCACGCAGATAACTTGATGGACATTCTCTGAATTGCCTAAATGTCAAATCCAAAATAATTTGGCCTAGCCTGGATATATTAATGCTCTAAGCATTCAATCAACAAGTTTGACAAAAGAGATGCACTTACTGGACATTGTTCATCCCTTCTAATCAAATTGACATGAACTGAGGACCTTCTATCCTCTGGCTCAAGTTCCTTTGGGCACTCGGACTTTCGGATGCTCTGTTATAGAGATATAAGAAAACAATATCAAAATATCAACACCGATAATACCTGGAAGAAATATAAAGGATGGGTAACAGAAAAACACTATCAAAGCCATAGCGGCCCATCACATCTGTTTAGGTCATGCCGGTCATCCAGTCAACAATAGAAGATAACAGAAAAAGCAATGTAGTTCAAAATTTTCGAACTTCTTTCTATTAAATGGAATTATGGAAAAATAAGAAATGCATTAGTATGCCTCATTTCATGCTTGCTTTACATCTTCCTTGCACCGCTAACTTGCAATTGCCAAGTCACCTACCTCCAACACACAAGTAAAAAAGTTCTGCTTTTGCTTTCTTTTTAGTTTTAGAAATATTTCTTTTTATCTCAATGAAACATTCATCGATATTACCTCTAAGAAAGATGCATTTTCAGGATCGTCCAACCTTCTCAAAGGGCCATCGTTTACAGTGAAACCATTAGTCCAGAAAACAATATTGTGAATAACAGCCTCAGGTTGCTGAGGAGCAGATGGTACAGTTTCCCCTGAGAGTAATCTACCAGTTCCAGTAAAGCTTCTGGAGCTTGAAGATGGACGAAATTGATCGAGAGGACCTTCAACAGCTCCTAATTGCCTAGCTTGATTGAATATTGCATCCACATCATTACCCTTTGTAGGATCTTGAACAAGCATACCACTGCAATTACAAGTGTTAGCCATTAACAAGAGAGTTTCATAAGAATATTTGACATATGAAAGAAAGTTCAAGGTCATCAAGTCAAATGAATGTAGATCAAAGAACATGGATAGTAACAAAAATAAAGATTTGGACCAATGAAGAATAGTAAATTATAATTAAATGAAGATCAGGTGCTGCAATTATACTCAACATTTTCTCATTTGTGTCTCAGCAAATCCTAGTAGTCATGTAATGAGCTGATGTTCAATGCTAAAAGCACCGTCCCCTCCACCTTCTATACAAATATATTTGTTCTTATGATACTTCATCCAAATAATACCTCAAAAATTCTGAAATTAACGCACTCCAATGGAGCCATAGACAGCACAAACTCTACCTCCTCAGCTTCCCACAAGGGATAGTTGCATTTTTAAAGAACCAAACCATGACCTAACAGGACCTTCATCGGATACAATTCTAGTCCCATCTGAATCTGTCTTCTAGACCATTAGAGTTAATACATAAATAGTCCCTTATAAAAGTGCAAATTAAGATAAAAAAAATATATCACTAAAATCTCAACTTCCTAATCAACTTCTTCAAAAGCACATAATTTTCAGGTCTCTTCACTTGCATAAGATAAAGAAAGAAACTGAACATGGCCAATACCACAAAACCAAAACCTACCCAATGAATCTTACTCAAACCACCTCTCCACCTCCACAAATATTACTTCCACACGGCTGCCAAGGAACCTTCAACAGCACATGCTGACACTATGCTATTGCATCCACAAATCCAAAATTAAGCTCAATTTTGTAGTATCTCTAACTCCAGATAAAATTAAAGAATGCTCTCAGCTCAAGACAATTAACATCTTCATCTTCAGATTTTATCAAAAAAAAAATCGATCACATAGTGCCTGAAAATCTCTAACCTATATCTTTCCCTCCAATATCTTGTGCAACACAAAAGAACACCATCAATTAAATCCAAAAAGAACACAAAAGGTAATGAAATTAAAACCCATCAAAGTTATAAGAGCGGAAAGATAAACCACGATTTTGTTTGCAGCAAGAAGCAAAAGGAATTCAGACTATAGGCAGAAGAAAAAGGGGAGAGAAACCTCTTTTCGCCACCGGTGTAGTACTCTTGGGGAGCATCATCGTCGCTGTCAGAATCGGGACCGGAACGTCTGTTCAGATCGGAAAGAGTGCGGATACCGCCGGTACGACTGCTCGAAGGCTTGGCTGGTTTCTTGTCTCGCGATGCCATTGGATTCAACGAAAGAGAGAGAGAGAGACGCGATGCTGGTTGTAGCTGGTACTTCTTTCCTAGTTCGTACTAGTGATTTATACCAACTACGACACGCTCTGCCGAAGCGCGTGATGATTTATTTTTATCTTATGGGTTAACACTTAACACTAGATATGATTAAGACCTCTCTCTCTCTCTCTCTCTCTCTCTCTAGTCTCTCCCTCGTTAAGTGGTAAAATTATTTTTTTAACATAAAAGTTAGGCTTTGCTTAACATAATTCAAAAATTAACAAGGATTAATAATATTGATTCGGGTTTAGTCCGAACCCATCTTTTTTCTAAATTTTGTATTAATAATATTTATTTTACAAAAGAAAGAAAAATTATTTAAAAAACAAATGAAGGAAAAATTATAATCATAAATGAGGAGATGGGTACCGTTAATTTAGTTTTCTTAGCCTTGTTTTTACATTTCTCATTTTTTATATTTCAGTGATAAAAAATAGAAGCAGTTAATGACGATAAAGTCCTAAGTTGTACAGTGACATAATTGAAAGACTATTGAAGTCAAAGGAAAAATGGAGAGCTTGCTATTATTCCCAGTGTGGGTACGATCTGCTAATTAACAAAAGTACTTTATAAAATAAAAGAATAATTTAATTTATTCTTAAACAAAACTTATCATTCTTATAATTAGTAAATAAATTAGTGTAAAACAATATACAATACAAATAGTCCCTTTTTTTATATATATTTTGGAATTAAATTATATCACAACTTAATTTTTTATTATTATATTATCAAAACTAACTAGTAACATTGGTCTAGGCCCAATGGGCCTCCAAAATCAAAGGAAAGGATGAATGAGAAGTGGGGCCGCGTGTCCCCAGCCTTAACCGCACAAAAGCTCAACATGGTATCATTTGTAAAGCGCACTCTGGACCCACCTACTTTGATGCTGAAGCAAAAACACACGCACACAATTTAACGGTTTAACACAGCTCATGTGAGTGAGTATGCTATGGCAGACCCAACCAGTCGAACCAGAGCACAAATGGCTCCAACCAACGACGACAACCGTCTAAAGTGCGCCTGCGATGCCGGAATTTTATCCGACGCATGCCCGTATGACAACGCCAACGACCATGATATCGACAGCGAAGATTCTAATCAGCCACAGAGTTCCGACTCCGAAAGCTGCGAGTCGACGCGGCTTGACGATCTAGCTGCCTCCTGTTTCCGTGTCTTCTCCGATTCTCTGTCGAGAATGGAGCTGGCGGAGATGGAGATGATCAGGGCAAGGGAGACTTCGCGGTGGGAGGCGGAGAAGAGGAGGATGGAATTGGACGCCGAGTTGACTCGCATGATGCTAAGAACTCAGTTGCAGATCGCATCAGTTGTCGCCGGGAAGGGGCCGAACAAGAAGAGGAAGCGAGTTGAACAAGAAGAAGATGAGTCGGCCATCTCAACAAGGCAAGTGTTTTTTTATTGTCTTTTTTTTTATTCTTTTTTTCCGTCATTGTGCATCTCAACCGTAATTGTGTTGCTGTGATTGCAGGGAAGGAGCATTGCTGCTAAGTTTGTTGCAGTGCAACTTCAGCTTTTGAATTGTATAATGGCATGTGATTTCTCATCTTCTTTTTCAATAAACAAAATAATTTTGCTCAAAACAAAAATATGAGCTTGATTGTACTGCTACATGCGCCAAGATGATTTTATTGCTGGCAGTTATAAGACTCGTCTTCCTGGGAAGAATAAACTGATTTCAAAATCATAATCCTTCGCATTCACACATTTTACTCGCACTATTTCCAGAAAATACTACTACTGAAGATCAAAAAAAGAAAAAAAAAGAACAATCAAGTGTAAAAAATGAGATGGTAATTCAGATGTATGTACAATATTAGGCTGTACTCTTGATCAATTGTAAGCAAGACACCTTCTAATTCTATGTATTAAGTATTCATAGTATCCTTCACTTACTCTTTAACATAAATCTAATTGACCTCTGCTTGTGCGCGGATTAAAACCTCGACTTCTTTGGTCTCCGATGCTAAGTAGTGCCTTTCTCCGGTTCATTGCACTTTCAATGTATTCTCCCAATGGTGGAAGGAACCCTTGCTCTCCATCTTTATCCGCTTGTCCTCTAATGATCTATCAAGTCCACGAAATAGAGACTCGTAATTTCTAAACTACATTGAAAATTCAAAAATTTATGAGAGACTTACCTTTGATGCCCATGACCGTTCAGCTTGTTGACATACGTCCTTTATATCCCTTCCAGACATGCTGAGTACAGAAAGGACGAAGCCAATACATAATTAATATTAATAGTCACCAAAAGCGTTCGTGAAATCTTGTAATAGCAATGACAGGGATAATATTATAAGAACAGGTAAATAAAATGAGTTAGAAGAAAAATCAACTGCTGCACCAACTTTCAAAGCCATGTTCACAGACGTTTAGCCAAATTATCACCATAAATTTATCAGAAGCACGCATGCATGTTGCACACAGGATCCAGATAATGAAGAATTTGATATATCAGAGAATTGTGCATCTTACTCTTCTGTAACTTTTGAAAGCTCCTCCATATCAGATTTTGTTAGGTGCTTTGCATATTGGGCAATAATTTGCTGGCGGTTCTGCTCATCGGGTAGGCCAAAAGTAATCATTGAATCAAATCGGCTGGTAACAAAAGTTAAACATGAGTTAGAAGATAATTTGATTAATCAGGGTTTCCATCGTTCCAATAGAGAAGAATTGCACCAGTCTACCTGATTAAAGCAGGATCAAGGTCTTGTTTTCTATTTGTTGCAGCAATGACAACTACCTTCTTGTCCTGTTCAAATCCATCAATCTGCAAAAATTACAAACCACACCATAAGCTCAGTCACTTTCATTATGCAAAATTGATACATTTAACACGAAAGTTCTCAAGTACTTGGCTCATGAAACAAACAACCACAAAGCTATAGGGATGCCTGAAAAAAAAAACCCAAGATATGTAGGATTTGACGACAAAGCTTTTCAATGCTTTAACGAGTACAATTTCTTCAGGTCTCTCGTGGACATGGATTTGGTAAAACTATAAAGATTATTGAGTATTAACTAGTACGGCCTACATAGCAACTTCCAAATGGCTTACAGCTGGAATAACATATTGAGAATTGTTTTGATTCGCAAGCAGGCTATTTATCCAAGAGATTTTGGCAAAGTCACATTCTAAACCATTGCGAACAAAATATAAAACGCACAATGGGTTCCATAACATAAATAAAGCATCAGCAGACCAGAAAAGGCCCACGTTCAGCAGCATTAAAGGAATTGAAATCCATCTTCACCTGTCTCAATAAAACTGATAAAATTCTACGTGTAGCTTCATGCATTTTACTATCACGAGCAACAGCAAAAGAATCAACCTGTCATAACATTGGACACAAAAAAAAGAGACTTGATTGTTAAATGAGTTCGTAACTTATATTGCAATTGCAGGCTCTGAAAAGGCACTTAGTAAATGCTATCAAGCGAGCATTGCTTTCATTTGTTACCTCATCTAGAAATATGATACCGCCATTAGGAAGCTCATTAGCGAGAGAAAAGACTTTTCCCAACAATCGTTCGCTTTCCCCATAGTACTTTGACATGACAACCTCCAGAGGCACATATAGCAAGGGAACACCCTGTCAGGGCATAATTAGATGACATCTGACTTAATATTGACTGGTGCAGAAACCAATGCATAGTTAATATTCTGCATCAAGCACGAGGCCAATTCAAAAGCCATATAGAATTTCCTGAAGTTTGAATTATCAACATGATTGATTCTCCCAAATATGTGTTAATTTACTTCAACTGAATTGGCAAACCAGCAACTCAAAGCATAAATTTCTTCCAATTACAGGACATTATTTTAAATCAAAATATCAGCAATTCTTATCTTTGAACACTGATCCAATGACCATTATCATAGTTAAATGGTTAAGGACACCTTATGGAAACTTCAAAATCAAAATCCTGAGAAGATTTTCATTTCAGTACAACAAAATGGCCAAGAATTGATATAATCATGAGAATATCTAGATTAAAAATACCAGGAGCAGTTGAATAAAATTAAAGAAAATGAGGAAGAAAACCGCAAATTTAGGATTAAGATAAAATCTAATGCAATTGTCCATAATGTGCCAGTGACTCACCGCTCGATTCGCAATAACACGTGCACAAGATGTCTTCCCTGTGCCTGGAATTGATTATCAGTCATAAGCAAGCTAGCTCAATAACTAACCACAGTTCTCACAGTGCTATCAATTCACAAATCAAATAAAGTAATTATACATGCAAATAAGGATACTCAAAAAAGTAAAGGTAAGCTCAATCATTTGATGTGAGCCACTCTCCAAGATTCTATAATACGTGACTATGGCTAATGACATTCTCTAATCATTTAAAAATTAAAGTGAAGAAGCAGGTCTAGTAAGACCTAGTTTTGAGCTCAACACAATACAATACAGGCTCTGGAGTGGCTTGCCTATATATGTTTGGTGCTCTCAGAAAGGTTGATAAACAAGAAATACAGTACAAGGAGCATACAGATTATTCTTGCACATGAACATATGTCCTTCCAGCAACATAGTTATTTGAGGTCATGTTTAGAAGACAAACCTGGTGGACCTTCAAAAAGCACAGCTCGAGGTCTATTTGACTCAAACTTACATCTAGTTCCTCGAGCAATATCATCATATACTTCAGGGCTATGAAGAGCCAACAAGATTGTATCTTCTATTTCTCTAGATAACAGACAGTCAAAGAGGAGTATCCATCAGTATTTTCATGAATATGACTAGACGCATGATACTTAAAGTTGGTAGACAAAATATGTGAGAAAGGTCTATGCTTGTAAATCCATACCATGATACATGCACTTTTCTACAGAGATCACACAACAAAATGAGTAAAAGTTTTTCTGAAAAGTCCTTCTGGTTTATAAAGAAAATATATTCAATTCATATATATTATATATTGAGTATCAATTCTTTCTCAAGCAGCAAATTTTGACCGCACCAACAAACATAAGGATAAACTATACTTATCAATATGCAATAACAGCGGATGAGCATTGACACTCATGTTACATACCGTTTTTGGTGATCATATCCAGCAATGTTCTCCCATACTACCTCACTGTTTGAAGAATTTACATGTGGTGCATCAAGTCCATATACTCTCACTCCCATGGACTCCAGAGCAGCAACTGATTTTTCTGTGGATGGCATCCGAGCAGCACCTTCCCCAGGCTTTATTTCTGAGGTCATTACCCTCCCACCAGCTAATTGTAATACAGACACAAGAGCATCAAGCTCTGTTTCGCTCAATCTGCCACTCTTTATAAACTCAATTTCCTGCAAATTGATGTGTTTAGAAAAAGCAATTGTTTATAGGATAACAGAGAATTAATCTAAAAATGTACTAACTGCTTTATCTCTGCTAATGAGCGAACGAAATAAGAGAATACACAGATCTCCCTCAGGTTCTGCAAAACTGCTGTTATCCCCATGAGATTCCTTCTGTTTTTCTGGACAACTAAGTGTTAATTGCCAGGCAACTGCACTGAAATTGTACGTAGGAAACAAAGAGAATAGTGCAATGTTAAGACAACTGCATAACAAGCAGAAAAACAGCATAAAATAAAGAAAAGCTAATTATTCAAAACTAGATATTGCAAGAAGAACTTGACAATGAAAACTTCATATCAGTAAACCTGTCCCAAGCACGTAAACGCATGTCTGAACCACCGCCACGCTCATCAACCTTCAGTCCAAGATTCATAGCAAGGTTTGCAATCAACTGCGGAACATCACATGCAGGAGGAATTTGAAACTTGATTGTGACCTGTGACGTAACATGCACAAATATCAGACATATTTTAGCATTCAACATAACGGGGAGCAGACTACTGATAAAATTAAACTGCAGCCGAAAATTTTTTATTAGATAAACATATAATTTTGAACCCTTCAGGAAATAACTGTAGGAAAGTGTTTCTTCAGATTGACACAAGTATAATGAAACACTCAAATAAAAAAAAATATATATAGTTCATAAATTGTCTTTAGTATAGTTCTAAGTATAATTATTAAAATTAAGAGTAATAACCTTTTGACCCTTAAGAGCAACAGTGAACCGGGGATAAGAACCATATTTCATCCCTTTACTTCTAAGCAATTCTTCAATTCGTTGTCTTTCTTTCTTGGCAATCTCCTCTAGGTCCTGATAACTTGAAGGAGAGTCTGGGGACAATGTAGGCTTAGAAGCAGCCTGCAGAAATTTATAATCAATAAAAGAATTGCAGCTTTTCACATTGTAATAAAGCTCTTTCCATTACAAAGGTACAACTACAAAATTCAGCTCTTCATAAATGGTATTTATTCATGATAGAAATTTGTTAGCTGCAAATTATATAAACCTGATCAGAATCCGCATAAGCTACTTGTAGCATTCCGATTCCAAAGAAACCAGCTAAAATAGCTGGAAGTGTAGAGTAAGGTTCATCAGCATTAGGCAGTAATATGGGACGCTGAATTTCTGATGCAGTGGAATGAATGTGGTGACTAGAAGACCCTGCATTTCCAAATTATAAAGGTAATTGCACACACCGTAGAATCTGTAATCAATTATATCAAGAAGCGAAATCATCATCAACCTCTACAAACAGAGATTAATTTTACGAGGTACAACCAACTTTTACAGCAAATACTATAGGGAGAAAGAAGTAGAGAAGCTCACGGTGATGGAGACGGCCAAAGGATTCGAGTGAGCGAGCATATGAGCGACTTAGGGTTTTGGGAGAAGCGATTTCTCTCCATGCCCGAGCTGTTCTACTCAATCGCCCCAAAGTAGCCATGGCTGTCTGTACGTTTCCGAAATGTGAACTTCGGGATCTCTCCAGTGTCTAGGCTTTACGCTTGGTAGCTGCGTGGCATATGGGCTTTCGGGGTTTTTCTGGATGCGCGTGTTTGGGTTTGCGCTTGTGGCCCGGTAGCTTAGTCGGTAAAAGTCATTAATTTTTTATTTATTCATTAAAGTTTCATTTTTTATTTATTCTATCCTGATCATATGCATGTATTTTTTTAAAAAATATATATATATATTGAAAAATAGTTTTGTAATCTCTTTGATGCTTTAGTTCTATGAAAACATTATAATTAAAATTGGTCTCTCCAGCATAAACATCAACTAGTCTTCATTTGTGGCATAAAAGTGAAAATAATAACCCAAAACCAAGGGAAATAGAGGTTAGGATGATACTGATCATTGACATAGTATGCTTTTGGTTGTTGGTTTAAAAGCCACCAATAACAATTTTGGTCTCCTCATCTATCTTCAAAGGATGAGATATTTAAATAAAGTTCAATTTTTGGAAATCAGAGTGGCATGGCTTGTATGATGAGGTGTAATAATACGTGTATTGAGATGAAACATTGTTTGTTGGTGATAATGATAATTGACAAAGAGTGGCAGCAAAACGTAGTCGTTAAGACAAATTCGTATAATGATGATATGTGCCCTTGGATGGTGCCAAGATTGCAGAGACTAATAATGTATATACATCGTAATGTACCCCAAATACAACAGCACAAATCCTCTTTTCTGTTTAGTTAAATACACGAGATGTGAGAAAACTTATCCACTGTTTCAGAAAGTAAAATGAATCAAAAATCAAGCTTTAAATTAATTTCAAAGTTCATTCAGTATTCCATTAATAAACTTTTTTCGTGAAGAGGCTGCGTAAGTTGAAAAAATGACCGCCACTTCCAACATTGCCGTTGCTGTTGCCACTGCCGCCGTTCCTTCTTTCGCCATTGGTACAATCTCGTATACCACTGCTTTCATGGCTTCTACAACTCAGTTGCTGTCTATATCCGATACACGTCGGCACGTTCAAATTCACAACTTTGGCTTTACTATTGCCACCGCCGCTGCTGCTTCCGGCTGCTGTTTTACGAGGCCGATCAGTAACTTTTTTACTCATCCCCTTTTCACTGTTTCGACTCACAGGTTCAGAGTAAACACTCTTTGAGCTCCAACCTCCGGCTGCTCCACGCCGCACCTGCCAAACCGGGCTGCTCCGACCCAGATGGACTCCACCCCTACCCGGACTGGTAGGCCACTTCCTGGACTTCGACTCCCCTGCTGAATTACTACGTGAGCAAGGCGCGCTACTCACCTTGCGGGCTCCAGGAGCTCCGGGAAACATCCTGGGTCGGGATGCGCTGTTCCCCTCGGATCTACTGCGTGCGAATGGCCATATATTGATATTCAACTCGGCTCCTGAAGTTGCTCCGCTTTGACTCTTTTTCTCTCTCTTCTTGTCTTTCTCCTTTTCTTTATCTTCTTGATTTTGAGCTGTTGCAGTTTTCTTGTCGGATTTCTTGAAAATGTCTTTCCATCTCTTTGAAGCGGTTAGAGGGGCGGCGGATTCTGCTGCTATGGTTTCGTATGAAATTTGGGGTCCAAGTTCGAGTTGGGGTTCAAAGTCAGGTAGAGAGTTGGGCGGTTGGGGATCCGGTGGGTGAGGGCGGTGGTTGTGGAGGGGGAGTAAGTGGAGAGGAAGAAGGACACCATCAACAAAGAGTTCATCAGCGGAGAGGAGATTGGGCTCCGGAAAAGACGGATTCTGGAGCATCCAAAACTCAAATTCGGGAGAATTGGAATCGCTGCTTCTTCTTCCACCGCTGCATGGGGAGAGGAGAAGCCGAGGTGGTTGGGAAACTATTCTGCTGGGGCTGTCCATGCTGCTTAATTTAGGCGTTGGAAAGAATGGATAGAAGCAGAGAAATTGTGGGTTGGTTTTCCCTAAGTAAGGAATGCAGTGCAGGTGACCCTACACCTACACCCAAATCAATAATAAACAAAAGGAGAAAGTGAAAGAGAGAGAGAGAACGAGGGTTGTAATTAATTTACAAGTCTAAATCCAATTATGCATGCAAGTGCGCATACATGAAGCCAAACACACAATAGATTAGTACTAATCAACTAAGGATAATGTTTCATCTAACCACTTTACTTATGGGTAAGCAATGCTAATAAGTGATTAAGAATTTCCATCAGCTATTGTTACTAGTTTTGAAAAAGAAAAAAAAAATGATAATGTGATTGATTAGTTGAGATATTAGAATAATAATATGCGTGAATTGTCTCTTTCAGCACATGCAAAGCGTACGGACGAGAGACGCGCATTGTACTGTGACTGTGAGGATCGTATTTTAAGAGGGTGATGAGGAGAATATTGGCCATCTGATCATCCCTTGAACCTTGGAACTTCTCACGTATTTAATGATAATTAATAATAATAATCTGTTGCAGAAACAAAAATGAGGGATGGATGATGATGATGATGATGATCCAAGGGCAAGCGTACGTGATGGGGCCACTGCCACTGTTGTTGATCTCTAATAAAAGAAAGAGTGATGTCAAGTCATGGCAATGGTGGGGGTATTAAGCAAATGAAAATAGTGCTCACACGCTCATGGCTTCATCTAAATCTAAAGCAAAAATGCGTTGACATTTTGCATGGAGAGAATGTCGGCTTCCCAACCTAAAAGTTTCATCATATAGATTGGCATCTAATTAATTTAATTAAACAACTAAATAAGGTCTCTGTTCATAATTGATTAAATCAAATGAAGACAATAAGAAGTTGGTCTGATCACCTAACCTTTTTCACATGTGATGGAGTGACAAACTTTTACCAAATTCGCAGCCACAATGATAGAAATTACGAATTTTACATTGAACTGTAATATCTAAATTACAATCTAATAGAGAAGTAAAAAAAAATTTTAAAAAATGATGGGATCCGCAATTGAATTAGAGCCAGGAGATGAGCAGAAGCGAAAGAGATATTGAAGTGGTTGGTCTTCTTCAAGCTGTGTGCGAATGGCATAATGGGGTTTTGTTTGTAGGGAAAATGATGAGCATGTGCAGGCACAAAACACCATTATTTTCATTAACGTGTTGTTGGGTCCACCTTTCGAACGCATACTCCTCCTTTTGATAGCTACTGCTTTGATTATACTCTGTCATTTAGCTATACCTTTTCTTTTCTTAAATAAAGATTACCCCATGATTGATTATTTAGTTAATAATCTTTTTTTTTATATATTTTTCAGGAAAAATCACGAACAACCACTCGCTTAATTGGTATAAGGACGATGGTGATATTTTTCCTTTCTTATTGAAATCTTCAGTGGATATATATAAAGCTTACAAAAAGAGAGCCAACCATGTGGCTCTTAGATCGCTGCTGCATTTAAAGATGATAATTACAGTTCAATGTAAAATGTTGTTTATAATTATTATTCTCAATAAAATTTAAATTAATTGTCCTCAAATCTGTAAAATTTCAAATGTAAAGACCAAACAAACAGTTGGTGGTGGTTGGGTCCACAATATGAGTAAGGTCTACTACACAGCCCGATTTAGTTAACCAAGTGAAGTGGCTCAGAGCACTAGGCCTTGGGCTTCACCGTTTGTTTTTAAATTTGCAATTATTTTCTTCTGTTTGGCTTCGCATGCAACCTTTGCGCATCAATTCGCGTGTTAAGACCTAAGTCTAATTTTTATTCACTATTCAAAATTCACATTTGAGGGTCGGATGCGTTCAGGTATGACAATTCGCGTCATCAGTGACACTGAAGCCATGTATTCATGGGAGTTAGCTTAGTATGGATTAAAGAAGAGATCATGAATACATGGGCAACAAAGATTTTGTTTGTCATAGGTGTCGTCCAATGATGAGCATCGATATGGAAAATGTGATCTTAGTTGGTCCGCTGTCTCTTTCACTCAACAAACAAAGATCCCCCGGTAATTCCAGAGCGATCCCACTAAAATCCTATATGGCTTACAAGTAAATTCTAAATAGCAGTTTAAGCTTCTTTCACAATCACTCGATTGTTTTCATTTATAAAAAAATTAATTTATAAATCATTAACAGAGAAAAGTGTATCCTATGGTTCTAGGTCAGCTTGACAATGTCGTTGCAATTCTCAAGAAGTCGAAAGGCTTAAAAAAGGCAACTAGCAAGATTGTTTCCGGGTCTTCACCAGGCAGCCCCGGTGCTCAATGGACCAATAAGATTTCTCCCACATCGGTTAAACTAACAAAATATCATGTCAATCGTCAATACTTGACTATAATACTTGCATCAAAAAAAAAAAAAAAAAAAAAACACATCGGTTAAACTAACAAATATCATGTCAATCGCAAATACTTGACTATAATTTACTTGGCATCAAAAAAAAAAAAAAAAAAAAAAAAATGCTAACCAGTGGCTTTAAATTGCAAGGTGGGACAGCTTAAGAGGAAAATATCTTAAAGTCAAAAAAAAAAAAAAAAAAAAAAATGCAACCAGTGGCTTTAAATTGCAAGTGGGACAGCTAAGAAAATATCTTAAAATCAAAACTTATGCTTGCATCATATTATTATTATTATTCATTCACTGACAGCAATCACACTTCAAATGTACAAGTCCATGGACTACCATCCAACTAAAACTTTAAAGAAGTCCCAGAATCCTACACTCAGATATCAGCTTAAAAAAAGAGGCATTGAATAAAAGCAACAAAAAGTAGAATTGCACCAGTAGAACTCGAGCTTCCACCAATCAGCAGGCCCACAATTATACCTAAGCATTAACTCCCAATTCCAACAGTAACGTGTGACTCACGGCATCGGACCCTGGGCCCATAAATTGGATAGGACCTGACATCAATTACTAGAGTGTTAATCACATAATCTCAACTTAGTTGTGCCTGAATTGCCTAGAAAAATAGTGCATATTTTACAAAGGAATTCAGTACATCATATCAAGAAAGAAATGCCCAGTCATCTTAACCTACCAGGACTAAGGTATCGATTCTTGAGTGCCCACTCATCTCGCAATGATGCAAACTTCTTGAATGGTGCACCTGAAATTTCATTCGTAGTGAGTAATTTTGCTCCCGAAAATTTCTTTGCAGAATATAGATAGATCAAAACAAGAAAATGGTATGTTACGTTGAATAATTACTGGTACATTATACTGAATAAATACTAAGGTCAACAAATCATTGGCAGCAAAGTGGAATTCCATTATGCAATCAGCATAAAGTGAATGTGCATGAGAACAGATTCTCACCATCAAGCTCAACCATTGCCTTCTTGATCACGGGCTTGAATTTACCTGCCAAAAGAAAACAAGGAAAGAAAAAGAGAAACCCCCTTTCAGATTAATCCAAATGCTCCAATGGGGAAAAAAGTGATGAAAATAAAATTGCTGAAAGAATGGCAAAAATAAAGTTGCTAGAACACTCAAACAAAAATAAGTTTTAGGGATATTCTGATCTGATTTACTCTCTCATGTATGACATTCAACGTCACAGCTACAGCAAATAAACAGCATTCAATTTTTAAGTTAAAAGAAAACTAAATAAGTGGAGTCACCAAAAGAGTTTCACGCATGCACTCCATCCATGGAATATTATATAGCATGGTTTATATCAAGATTATGCCAAAGCAGGAAATGCAACTATTCTATCAGCAGTCAAAGGAAAGGGATACTGATATTATATGAATCTTCTTTTCTTCCCATTAGAGAGAAAGAGAGAGAGAGAGAGAGAGAGAGAGAAGAATATAGAAAGATATAAGCATACCATGTCTCCTCTCCACATCCATCAAAGAAGTCAGTGCAGTGCCACCAACAGTCCATTCTGCAACAGGTGCCCCCAAATTCCCAACCTGAAGATACAATAACAATAGGTTGCAACATTAATTCAGTACTGAGGCATCAGTTTCTTTGATTTTTTAAATGAATAGGAAAACCTAGGTAGCCAGGAACCACTCTAGAATTGAAGAATGATAGAAGTCAGAGATGAACAGTGATCAAGAACAAATGAAAATGCAAGGTAAAGCTACTCACTGATGATATCAGCCCAGTTTTTCCATTCTGAAGCAAAGCTCCAGCACCATAGCCCAAAGCATAGCAATACATAGCATCGAAGTTTGTTGGCAAACCACATCTTCCTTCATAACTGAGTAGTAGAAATGAAATATTAGGTAAAAATCTTATAAAGAGACTCATGGAGGATGTGCACAATGCAAATTCATATGTACTAACAAATAACATATAATTAACTAATAAACACATCACTTGAGTACATGAATCATAACCTTGAGACCAGAAGAAAGAAAAAATCTCATACAAATGGAATCCGGATATTGATTCGTAATTTAAATTCTCTGTTTAGTTAAAGGAGATAATTACCCAAAGAAGTGGGACTGTCCTTTGAATTGGGCTTTATATGAGCCTTGCTGCTTCCTCTTCTCCAACTCAGTTTCAACCATTTGAATAAGCATTTTCTCTGTTTCTATTTTGGCAACCTAAATATAGAAACAGAGACAATGTGAACAACAATGCTCAGTAATAATCCAGTACAGAAACAGGAAGCAATAACATATTACATGATAAATACCTGGACATTTCCATGTGGATCTCTTTCCAGCATCAACTGTTCCTGAATTGCCTGTGGTAGAAATTCGAAAAGCTGCAGAGATTGATTAGTAAGTTTCCTTTTCCATAGCCCACCTTCGTCCACCACTTCGCGGGCCAAAATTTCATTCAGTTCTGCAATGAGATGCTGCACCTGCAGAGTAACAAGAGAATGTGCCAATTAACAAGGAAAGATTCCTGTGCAGCACTAAACATGGGATTGATAACACATCGTGCGTGGTGTGTAGGTGATATAGCAAGTGTCAAGATTTACGAGCAGTACCTCAGGAATGAAATCAATTAGACCTTCAGGTATAAGGATTACACCATAGTTATAACCCAGATCAGCACGTTTACAGATTATATCTACAATATAGTCGGTAACACTTTTTAGTGTCAGCTTCTTAGCAGCAACCTGCAACAAGATAAGGTAAAGCAGCAAATATACATCAGTAACTTCTCTAAAATTGACAAGTAAATGCACCATGTGATACCACAGCAAATAAATTGCCAACACTTTTTGCAAACTATTCACTGTCCTTTGAATCAAGATCAGCCTTAATGTATCAAACATCCAGCTGATAGAACAACTCTCTCTCTATATATATATATATATATCTTAGCTCAACTATCAAACTTAAACTCGAGCACAACAAGGTTAGTTAATGGACCAACTTGTACAGTTCAACTTAGGGGAAAACCCACAATAAAGTGAAAGAGAGGGGGGGGGGGGCTATTCCAAACTTAAAACTCGAGCACAACAAGGTTTTATTTATGACCAACTTGTACAGTTCAATTAGGGGGAAAAACCACAATAAAGTGAAAGAGAGGGGGGGGGCGGGGATCATTAAAAGTTTTCAACAACCACTAAAAACAGATTAAATTAAGGATTGTTAAAAAAGAAAATGACTAGTTAGTTAACAAATAACAAATTAAAAATTTTAATGAATAGGTGTGAGATAGAGTAATGCCGACTAGAATCGCTCATCTAGATTCCGAGATATAGATAGACAACATATCTGTGACCAGAGATAAAGAACACGCAACCACAGCAACAGTATCCACAGTCTATCAAAACAATGTGCGTTGCAGAGAACACCAACACACTTAGTGCACACAACGTTATCTCATCACTTTAACAGTCACTCTCGTAATCCGAGCCAACCCCATGCACGTGTAGAACTGATAACAGGATATGAGCTTGAATCGCATCCACGCACTCGCGTATAATAAGAACCACACCATGGAATGATTATAATATGCTGTGAAAGATAAGAAGCTAACCATAGCTATCACGTATAAAACGTGCTCAAATGACCGATCTGCTACACAACTTACAGACCTGCAAGTCATGACAGATCAAAGCTTCAAAATTTACTTACTCTTAAACAAATAGTTCAGTATTCAGTAAAAAAAAAAAAGGGATGTTTTAAAAACATGTAAATGTGTTGATGCAAGAAACAGAAGGTAAAGAATTACATCATTAGAGGTGGGGAAAATATTGAACCAAGGAAAATGGGGGGGGGGGGGGGAATCACTTAAAAGTTTCAACACCACTAACAACAGATTAAATTAAGGCATTTCAACCAGAAAATGACTAGTTAGTTTCACCCATCCCCAATTCAAACTTTTTAATGACTGGTAATAATATGCTGATGATTGTTAGTAGCCAAATGCAACTGAAGCAGCAATTAATTCAAAACTGTGAAAACAAATTGAAACATATACCTCTTCTCCAATGATTGTAATGTTTGGATGAGTTTGCAAAGCACACTCTAAGGTAATGTGTGAAGCTGCACGCCCCATAAGCCTTACAACTGCAGTCATGACAGATCAAAGCTCAAAATTACTTACTCTTAAACAAATAGTTCAGTATTCAGTAAAAAAAAAAAAGGGATGTTTTAAAACATGTAAATGTGTTGATGCAAGAACAGAAGGTAAAGAATACATCATTTAGGGTGGGAAAAATGAACCAAAGGAAAATTGAATTCCATGATTTTCACACTTAATCATGAGCAAAAATAATTAAGCCTATAACCAAAATTTCTAGAGCCATCTCACCTTTGGGCAAGCAAAAGTGAAAGCAAATTCAAAAACCCAAATATTTGTCTCCCCATTTCTATAGGGAAATTCAAGCAACAAATTACAAAATTAAGTACTTGATTATCAAGTAGACTTCTAAAATCAGCATGACTATGCACACCAAGGACTATTTGCCAACATGATGATTTAGTAACTAGTACTAATAATAGCATAGTTTCAAATTCATCAATGGAGAAAAGATTATTAATTTTTGCAAATTGTATTCGACCTTTTACTTACAGTGATAATATTTTCCAGTTGATCGAGCATCAATCATAACATTTCCAATCATTTCTGAATATATCTGCATGCACCAAACATATTACGGTTATCATGCACCATTTAGACATGGGTAGAGCATTAGATAAAATGGATGTGGTGGCATTGCAATCATCCAGATGCAACAATTCCTGGTATATAACAATATTAAAAAATCACATGGACTTATTTGAAACCGTTTTCTCCCTCATAACAAAAGAGTCCAATCAATTAACTACATACCATACAACTTTTATACATGATATAAGACTAGAAAGTTCGATATGTCAATGATGCATTTATAATTTAAAACTTGAGTTATTTTAATCACCTTGCATGCAGTATCAAACCCAAAACTGGTTGGAACCTCTTTGCATTTCAGATCACCATCAATAGTCTTTGGGCATCCAATGACCTTAGTTTTAATATTGTTACTCCTGATTAAACAATTATAGGAAATGTGAGTTAAATTAATAGGACTTTTATTCAAGCTGATGAAGCAAAACTTCTCTTCTTAACATTGCAGTAATGGGAGCCATTTCGAAATACCATTCCAATGAAAAAAGATTATACATCACATACCTGAAGTTTTCAGCAAGGAGGCAAGCATTAGTGTTTGAATCATCTCCACCAATAACGACAAGTCCATCTAGGTCAAGCTTCAATGCAGTCTCTTCAGCTTGTTTAAACTGCAGTTCACACCTACTTAATCTCCATGTCCCTTTACTTGCAAAAACAAACTAAGGAGAAAAAAAAACAGTCCCACCTGCTCAGGTGTTTCAATTTTGTCCCTCCCACTGCAGATCATATCAAAGCCACCCTGAACAATTGAATTGATGAGTATTCTATTACTCAATAGCTACAAAGTCTAAGCTAATTTCTAGAGGGAGTCAATTGTGTCGTATTCCAACAATCGCATACTCACCACTAAAGAAAATTACCTGATTTCTATAGGGATAGATATAATCAGCTGTTAACTCTACGTATTTGCACTTCATGATCCCAGCAGGACCACCTCTAAACCCATATAATATGCTTCCCTTTGCACGGTCCTGCAAGTAATCTAGCACGACCAACAACAACAACATAACTTTTTAAAAAAGAGGCAAGAGGGAAAAATCTAAATGCAATGATATTTAAATAGCCTTATCAACAAAATCCTCACCGTAGATTCCAGAAATCACATTGTGTCCTCCAGGTGCCTGACCTCCGGACAAAACAACGCCAATCTTTAGCTTTTGATCCGGATTCACTGAATCAGCCCCGTTTGGCACCAACATTGCGGATGGCTGCCCAAACAGATTTGGAAATAGCTTGGCGATCTCATCTGCAAACAACAAGCAATAGATAGAAAACTCCAAAAATTATTCACAGCACTAGCCAAAAGCGAAGCAAGACAGTCGTTTTAGCTAAAGGAGCCAAAATTCAAAAAACTAGTCTACTCGATTTTTCCCGGGAAAAAGATGAGTGAGAGATTTAAAAGTAGTTAGGGGATTTACATAACTACTAAAAATTGATCCGCAATGAATCAAAGTTAAAACTGAAAAGATAAAAGGAACCTGGATTGCCAGCTGCCGAGCTTGGAGGCCCTTCGACGATTTTGAAGGGATTTTTAAGGACAGAAGGGAGAGGAAGCGCGTGGTCAATACGGCTGGCTTGCACTTCACTGTAAACAGAAGCGACGCGTCCCACAGCCGGAGAAGACTTGATAGCGGGAAGCTCGCCGTTAAGTACAAAGGAAGGAGCCATGTAGGTTGAAGCTGTTAGGTTTAATTTAGTTGCAGGGGTGAGTGTTGGAGTGGGAGAGTAGGAGAAGAAAGTAGAATTTATATGTCATATCATAAAAAGATCCAGAGTTGAAAGGGTGAGATGGTCTTTTGGACTTTCGGGTCGTAGGACTCTCCGCCCCGGAAAGGTGGTTGCCCTCCGGTTACAGGAAAATCAAGGGTGGATACACTACACGTAGCACAATTTGGGACCTATTTTGGTAGGAATTGGACGGTTTAGATTTGAGGAGTGATGCGTAGGGTTGGCATCAAAGTTTATGCTCACCGAACCTTCATCTGGTTGGTGAGCGCGTGAATCGAAAGCACCGACGATTTTATATAAAAAGATGATAAAATTATTTATTGATTATTTTGAATGAGTTAATTATTTTCGGGATGTATTTGTGTTTGATGCAGCAAATAAATGAATTTTTACTAATTAATTGTACGACTAAACCCGCCACCTGCATTATAACCTGGGAAACTAAAAATCGCAACAGAAGTGAAAACCGGAGAAAGTAAAGACTACCGCATTGACAATTATACTGTGGGCTGAAACGAAAAATGTAAATTCTTCGTGTTTGGATTTTTCTTCTTGCTCCAAAAATAGAGATGGTTTGGGTTAAATCTTGAATTAGCCAACCTTAGAAGCTTAACGAGGACACAACGATTGACAGTTATAATAGTATTATTTTATCAGGAAAACGGGATTAAACTGTAAAAATTTCTACCATTTCGTCAAGTTAACATTGTCAACGTTGACAATATTGTCAACTATAACCACACACGTCTATAGTTTGAAACCAAACCCGACCCTTTACATTATACAATTTGATCATATTATGTTTGTGCTGAGAGCTAATTTTGATTGATTGTGTAAGCTCAGATTCTCAGATGGTCAGATAGACGTCAGATTGTAAAAACTTTCTGTTCATAAATCAAAATAAAAAAAAATTTAGAAAGTTTCAAACGCTAAATAAAAAGATTGCAATTAACCCTTTATACTATTCGAGAAGGATAAGCGAATTCTTATAACAACACTACAAACCAGTTCAACATACACAAGTCATCTGTCAAGACATGTTACTCGTCTTACATCCGATTGTCACATATTACAAATTTTACTTTATATACAGTAATAGATTAACAAGCACCCCAAATTTTAGTTTATATACAGTAATACATTAAAAAGCACTTTCTACTTTTCTTTACTTATTTGTGATTGATAAAACAGTACTAGTTTTACACGAGGTTCAAGGTTTCAAGAGGGGGCTGCCTTCTTTGATGAGAACAAACACGCTGCCACCATCACCCCTTGAGATTCGAAGGTCTTCGTCGAGGTATGTGGTCAACAGCCATGATTCGGCGTTAGTGTTTGAGATTGGAAACTTCAATGGCGGCTGGCTTGAAATGGTCTTTGCAACTGATGATGCTGTGTCTTGGACAGAGGTTAATATGCCCTTAAGGGGTGTGAGGTCAATCTTTTGTCCCAGAAATTCCACATTTTCCGGTATTACTATGGAGTCCGTGAGCTGGGGAGTCCCAATGACACCTTCTTCAAACTTGATCTATACAAAACAGATTCATGAATAAATAAGACCCATGTCTTACCTTTTAATAAAATCAAATAGGGCATAATATGGGAAAAGTGGAAACAAACCTGCACCCGCTTGGGGCTTCGCACTTCAAATTTGGCATTTGTGGAGATAGAAGTGGTAGCTAGTGGCCCGGAAAACTGGACAGAATTCTGAACAGTGAAATTCTCTGAATCGATTGTCTGTGATATTTCCTCCACCTTTACCAATGGCAGCCTACCCCTTGAAAGCAAGGGAAACAAACCTGAAAAAGAAGTGTACCTGCAGGAGAACAGTGACTGTATATATGAGTCCCAACAGAGAGAATAAAATGAGTAAAGTCCTAGGAAAGCCTGGATTGAAATATAATGATTTCCTTGAGCAAATAACCCGATAAAAGATTATGTAATAGCCTGCTGCCAAATCAAAGTCTTTATAGCAAACATATGCTAGATTATTTTAATAACCTATTCGCCCAAGGGTCGGTTCTAAATAAGGTGGCCCAAATCGATGGTTATTGGACTTAAAGCAATTAGGACCAGTTAGGGTGTATTCCTATTAAAAAAATTCTAAGAATAATAAAATCTAGGCTATATTAAAGTTTATTTAACAACATACTTCTAAAGTGAGGCGAAACAGGCATTAAAATGAGAGCACAATCCTTATTCCCACATTTAAGTTAAATAATACTTGCTAGAGCACAATTAGATGAAAAAAATGATGGTTTCCGGAGAGTCTGTAAGTTGTCACCTACTTCGCAAAACAAAGGAACGTTCTTAGGCTATGTGAGTTTGTATCTGTTCTATCCTAGTTCTCTCAAGTTCCCAAAACAAAAGAATGATGACAGTTTCTTAAAACAGTGTGAGAATTTCTCATAAGAAAATTACAACAAGATCAAATTTTTTCACAGAAGGGATAATTCAATATCATCACAGAACAACAGGAAAAGTTAAACTGTGGAATTCTGATTCACATCATCGTGATCGAGCAGTTGATAAGATATTTGATGGATCAAAGCATGTCAAGGCTGAACTGACCTCCAATTCCATAATTGTATTCTAAATACTGAAAGAAAATTTGTGAGCAAGAGCAACAGAACAAGAAACTTACGCGAGAATCCACTTTCCGTTGAGCAGAGTCAAGGCCTCAGTGGGTGCAGCAGTTGGATTCTTGGCCTCAAGCTGCGTAATAAGCTCCACAATCTCAGCTCTAGTCTCACTACTCGCAGTCAATCCGCGATCGGTCCCATAAAAGGAATCCACCAACTGTTTCTTGAGGGCGTCAACCTCCGATGGCTCCTTGGGCGCCTCGACCTCAGCCACCGCCACCGCTTCAGAGGCCGACTCACCATCGTCGTCGACGGCCCTAACTAAGAAGGCGGGCCTTCCAAGCGTGGATTTGGAGATGGAATTGGCGAGCTTGATCGAAGGGAAAGGGAGAACTGAGGGCCTTGAATTGAATTGGGAATTTGGAGGGGTCTTAGACAGAGTCTTGCAGGGGAAGTGATTCAATTGAGAGATGGTAGTAGTAGCCATTTGAATGGTTCGTTTGATGCTGAGATCAACAAGGGGTAGTTATAGAATATCGAAGTCCCTGCTCTTCCAACTCCCAAGTCGGTGATGAATGACCTCAAAATGCAAACGTCGTAAGCCCTAAAGCACCGCTGGGAATTCAGACATCAACGAAAAGACCATTTTATCCCTTTCTTGTCAGACAAATTAATTTTATTTCAGTCGATTTTAGAAAAGGATGAATAATTAGAAGACAAAATAGAAGGGCAAAGAAAGTTGGGCTAAAATGGCGACGCGTGGCGCGGACGAAGAAGAAATTAAACCGGAGCCAAACAAGAGTTATGAGGCAGGAAATATTTGGATGGTTTTATTTATCAGAAATTATGGAATGTTATTTGCATGTCAAACAACACTGAACCGATTCTGGAACTTTCAATTGGTCAGTTGTCGACTTGTCGGCTTTTTAGTTTTGAAAAAACAAATGGGTGGTGGATGGGCAAGTAGGTCAAGAAAAAAATCCAGCAGCCAAAAATTTGCTTGTAACAAGTAACAACCGTGTTAAACTTTGCTGCTTCATTGGATTGGGTCACGAGGCTTCTACTAAAAGCCCCATTTCATGGCCCATAAGAATGGGTCCATAAGTACAATCATCCCTCGATGATAATGAACAATGACACTCGGTTTGTAATTTCCTCTTCGGCCCATTTTAGTTAACCTTCACTTCTTCCTCTTTCCATTTCATTAAAGTCCAGTCCATAGTTTATCCTCAGTCCTCACCATTAATATATTTATGAAATACGATTTGGTGCTGCTCATGTGACAAGACTCGAGAGGATTTATAAACTAGTGAGATTTTGATTTTCTTTGATCAACTGTTTACAAATGATAATAATAATAATAATAATAATAATAGAAAAGGAAGGGCATATGGGGCTTTAGGGTAGGTTGGGTGAACGGAAATGGATATGCTCTGTTTCTGGGTGGAGTCCACCACCAAAGGCCTGGTAATCAGCTGTAGTAGTACACTACCCACCAATCATTGATCCCAAAAACACTAAACGCAAAATGACAAAGATTTGAATTAAAAAAGATATGATCAACAATTGGTAGGACGCTGCGCAAATTTGAAGAACCAATAACCATATCCAGCTGTGTCTCTTTCTCTACTACGTATATAATATGAACACAACAATCACTTAAAAAATTTCATGTACCTTCCGGAGGAAAAGGGAAAGCCCATTACTCCATTTGGCTGCATCTAGTTAAAGTAAATCACTTGATGAAAAGGAAAAGTCAACTAGCTAACCTAACCGTAACGCAAATTTCCAAACGAAAAAGCTTTTGGAAGCCTTAGGAAGGAATGACGTTGCCTTATTTGTAGGTACAGAATTAATTAATTGCACTTTTGCTAACTATAAATTAATGGCTGTTATTACGACGTTTTATTTCATATCCTCCTCTAAAGATACTGTTGGAAGCTATATAAAATCATTGGAGAAAGAAAAGCATGGAAGATAGATTAGATAAACAAATTTTAGATCAAAGAAAGGGATTTTCCACCAAAGATATCCCGAACGCACCAATGGTAACTGCCACTTGGTATCTAATACCTCAGTTGCTGTGCCAGCTCCAATGGCTTTTGACCATTTTTGGCCGGCGAGACCTCTCCTTAATCAGGATTATCATAATCATTAGTATTATAATAAACACCCTACTAACTTATAGTAGCATCTTATTTTTCTTTATTAAACAAATAAAAAAAAAAAAGAAAAAAAAAAGAAAGGGAAGTTAGTGCTTCTCCAAGTCCAAAGCAAAGCCATGGCTTTCTTTTGCTGTTCTTCTTATTCTATTTTGTCCTTGTTGCTTCTCCAAAATTTCCATATGCCTTTTTGCAATGACCAACTCACAAACCCACACTTCAGTAACGAATCTCAATCTGCGATCTAACAGTACTAATAATGCTTTCTTTGCTTTCCATAATCCATAGTACAATAATTCTATCCTCTCTGCCCTGTCCTTTTCATTCCCATGAAGTCAAAGAGGGAAGAGCGGTGTACAATTAAATTCCTCATTCTTGAAGAAATTAACTCACGAGATTTCCATGCACGCCTCTTCATTCTTTAATCTGATCAAAACTATCTATCTGTATGTGCCTCTCTTAATATCTACTACTATTCTTTTATTTTCTTATTTTTGCCATTCCTCTTTGTTATTCTCTCTGGGTTCTCAAATTCTGTCTGGCTAAAGAAAAACAAAAATGAGTCAACTCAGTGTGATATTGCAGGAATCGGCACGGAGAGAAAGGGAGGTGATAACGATTATTGGATTGCTGAGACAGCAAATGGATACTGTAGATGGGAGGAGAAGAACGACCAGGATGGGTCTGAAGGAACGGTTAGGATTAAGAGGCTTAGCCTGTTGTGGGGCCACGTGGGGTTTCAGACCTACCACCATTAGCGTCAGAGACGATGAGGAAGAGCCACGGGAGCAACAAACAGAGGTCGTAAATACTGGTCCGACTCCCTCCCAAGAAATATCGGATCCGGATTGTCTTCCGATCCCGGCATCTTCAGGTATGAATTTGGCGGCAGCATTGGCCGCTGAACGTCAATTCCGGGAGGCATCGAGCATGAATGGATCAAACGGCAACGCGGATAGCATGACAGCGCCGGGAACGCCGTTGAGGGTATCTTTGATGAGGCTGTTAGAGGAAAGTGAGGTTGGGGATGGAGAAATCGGCGGGGGAGAGAAGGAGGGAGGAGGAGTGGGGAGCGATACAGTGTGCTGCGTGTGCATGGTAAGGAAAAAGGGCGCGGCGTTTATCCCATGTGGGCATACATATTGCAGGGTGTGTTCGAGAGAGGTTTGGCTGAATCGAGGGTCCTGCCCCCTTTGTAATCGATTAATCCTCGAGATTCTCGACATTTTCTAGCAGTTTGATCATCACCATCAATTTGTTTGTTTGTTCGTTTAATGATGCCTCGAGATCATCAATAGTTTGTCTTCGTTGCCTTAATTTTTTCTTTTCCATTGACTTTCAGCATGGACTTGTTCTGTTACTATTTTCGTTTGGCATATGAAAAATATTTGAAAAAGAAAATTATAGTACGGTGCTCTCACTTGCGAAATATAATTAGTCTCTCTTTATGTTTTTAAAAACATATTAAATTTTATGATTGTCCCTCTTTAAAATTTTCATTACCGAGAGATTTGATGAGGTTTTAGATTAATTTAATGTAATGTTTGAACAGAACAAGTAAGAATTTAACTTGTATAAATGAAGATGAAAAACAGAAGGAAAAAAGAAAAAATTGAAGAGTTAAAAAATGTGGGCCGGCAGCTTGATGGATCTGTGGAGGAGCGTGCGTAAGATCTTAGATAATAGTAAGTCGAAGCTTTTTTAATAATGGGCTGCAACAGACTAGAAACAAACAAGAAGGGTGGGCTTTGCACATTCAACATTTGGGCTTTAGGCTACCTTGACTTTACAGTTGGAGAATGAAATTAGTATCTGAAGTCCCATAGAAGTGGAGGAAAAATAAAAAAGCGGTAAAACGGGAAACAAAATATCTGAAGTGAATGTGATAGTGTAGTGTTGTGTTGTGTTATGTGTTGGGAAATTGGCATCTGGATAAGCATAAGCATAAGCATAAGCACAAGCATAAGCAGGCGTGTAGCAAAGTAATCCACTTTTGAAAAGTACAAGTGCATCAGGGACATTACGAACAACATGAAGAATAAGTAAAGAAGGAAGCCTGCTTATGCAATACATGCATACATGGATATAATGATTCTCACCACTCAGTTACAGCTTGTACGTGCAAGGATCTCATAATACCTAATTCTAAAAAAAACCCTTGTTAAATTCACTGATAGTGGTTCCATCATTTTCTACTTTATGTAGTCTAGTTTTAATTTGCAAAGCCTCGAATAATGTCGTCTCCATCTCTGTCGTCTTGGAGGAAAGAAAGCTAAAATTAAAAAGGTTGCAGGAATTACTTGTTGAATTGAAACCTTTTTGGCTTTTTGCGAGAATTGCTACTGTTTGGTATTCTCTGTTATCTTGAACTGTCTATAGCTAGCTTTAGGTAATTAGAGTAGAAAGAAAGAAGCGAATAATAGGAAGGGCGAATGCATTTGATTTGGACAATCACATGGGGAGGGTTGAAACGCGAATGATCAATCAATCAGACGTTCAGTATACACAAGAGAGGGAATTGATCAAAAGCAGAAAGATGGGATCCACTTTGACCTCTTCCCAGATTTAGACCCATTTGATTTGTATTTTTTATAATATTGCATATATAAATTAAATTGGAAGAAAGATGAACAACTTTCAATGAAGTTACTGGACACTATTTCTACTTATGGTTGGCTTTGGGTCTTACAGGAAAGAAAGGAAGAAAAATATATCTAATCCAATCCAACCAACAAAAATGTCTGTCCCTTTAACTTGCCGCTGTTAACTTAAAGACATTATGAAGTGGCCAGGCATGACAATGCCATCCTCTTTTATTCTCATCATCTCACATATAATGTAATAAAATATTTTCCCATATCATCATCCATCAATGTCGAGATGGGCATATCCACATTCAATTCAAAAAATAAAAAAAAAAAATAAAGGTTAGGCACAGTTGCACTTGATTGGTCAGATAGAGTTGGTCATTTTAAAAGCATAAGCACTCAGTTTGCATAATAATTTCAATGTTGAACAAAATAAAGCTGCTCCAGCAAATTAACAAGGAACTCATTTCTTTTCTTTGAACAAAAAGAAAGGAATTCAAAGAACCTGGAACAACATTACACATATACACATTCGTGCTCCAAAGTATCCCACATGTGCTATGTTTCATTGCCAACAGATTTTTATTTCATAACATAGGACATAACTAGTGATAAATTTGGAAACTGTGGCTCCTAAATTTTCCAAAATTTATATATTTCCCTTGAATTTTATTTATAATTTCAGATATTATATATATCTAATACTTTTAAATTAGTTTTATTTTCACTTTTAATATCTAAAGTTTGACCATGCATACCTGTCCTTAACATATATTTGCGAATTACGTACTAGTATCATGACTTAACGACAAAGAAAATAACAGAAAAATTATTAATGTTTGATTAGTTATTATAAAAACTGAAAAAAACTACTTGTATGCCTAACTACCCATTTGAATAGTTAAATAAACGAGTGAGTATTCCTCACGAAAAGATGACTTATATTTAATTTTTATATTATATGATAAGATATGGTCAATAGAAATGACTAGAAAATAGAAACTTTATCCATAGATATGTGATTTTCTTGGATAGTCAATTCCCACAATTTCAGAATTTGGCACAAATCAATGATTAATTATCTGAGACTCTAAGCATTCAACAATGTGGAAAGTATGTATGTATGAGTACGTTTTATGTCCAATTTTAGTAGTTGTAGTAATATGTTGGAGGAAACTGAAAAGGCCATGCCCCTCGTTTATTATTTTGACTTGCGTTTTAGTCGTTAATTAATCAGTCTAAAGTTAACAATATCTTAATTGTTGACTAATTACTCATTAATTCACAATTGGTACAGTAATCGAATTTGAACGCTGTGAAAAAAATATTAAGGCGGCCTCTATAATATTTGTCGGCATTTATATTTTTTATGAATGGGAAACATTAGGATAGGAGATATATTACTTTTTGAAGGTGTGATTAGATATGAAAGCTTCAAACTTTTTGTTTTAATTAATGGAATGAATTAGAAAAAGAAGATAAAATGATTGGAGCGAGCATTAATATGGGAAAAAGAAGCAGACCATTGGTCAAGCCTCAAGAAATTAGCAACTGAGTTTAACTCAAGTACTGTACTATAGTCATATTTATATTGCGAGTGGAGTGGGGTCTCTCTCACTCCCAACTTCACGTCTGGAAACATCAGAACAGTAATGCTCACCAGACAAAAGACTGTATTGGTAGGGGTCCATCGAGGATGGATGTCGTCCTCATATATACATACATTCTCCACGACTCCCTGTTTCTTTCTAATTTCTTTTTCTTTTTTTTTTTTTTAATCTTGCCCCAAGCTTTTTTTGTTTTTTTCTTTTCTGCATCTCCTTTCACGTCTATAAATTGCCGCTTCCCATACACTTCATTTCACACGATACACTACAGTTATTGCCTACATACATAGAGTGACAAGTTTGAGAGAGAGTGAAACTCAATGGAGAACTTTCCAGTTATTGACCTGTCAAAGCTTAGTGGTGAAGGGAGAAAAGAAACCATGGACATGATCAAAGATGCCTGCGAGAATTGGGGCTTCTTTGAGGTACGTACCTGTATATATATGTTTGGTTATGCATAGTTATTGTGACTGATATGTATACTACACATATATTATATAGTTGGTGAACCATGGAATATCTCATGAGCTGATGGACACTGTGGAAAGACTGACAAAGGAACACTACAGAAAGTGTATGGAGGAAAGGTTCAAGGAGATGGTAGCCAGTAAGGGTCTTGAGGCTGTCGAGTCTGAAATCAATGACTTGGACTGGGAAAGCACCTTCTTCTTGCGCCACCTTCCTGTCTCCAACCTGGCAGAAATTCCTAACCTTCATCAAGATTACAGGTCGCCGTGGCTCACCTATAGTATATATAATTTTTTCATTCATTCAGTTTTAATTATGAACTAGTTAAGAGAAGATTAATGTAACAAGTAACGTGAACAGGAAGACAATGAAGGAGTTTGCAGCAGAATTGGAGAAAATGGCAGAGCTTCTACTGGAGTTGCTGTGCGAGAATCTTGGATTAGAGAAGGGGTACCTGAAAAAGGTATTCTATGGATCAAAAGGACCAACCTTCGGGACTAAAGTCAGCAACTATCCTCCATGCCCAAAGCCTGAACTTATAAAGGGGCTGAGGGCCCACACAGATGCAGGTGGCATCATTTTACTATTTCAAGACGATAAGGTGAGTGGTCTCCAGCTGCTCAAGGATGGCCAATGGGTTGACGTGCCTCCCATGAAACACTCTATTGTCGTCAACTTAGGCGACCAACTTGAGGTATATACAATTTTTCATCTGGGAGATATCAGCAAAATCAAAGAGTTTGTCGTTGTTATTTAGCCTGTCGTTTCCCATAAATAACGTAGAAATTAATTGAAATACGACAGGTGATCACGAACGGGAAATACAAGAGTGTGATGCACCGGGTGATTGCTCAGAAGGACGGCACGAGAATGTCGATAGCATCGTTCTATAACCCAGGGAGCGATGCAGTAATATATCCAGCTCCTGAATTGGTTGGGAAAGGGGAAGGGGAAGGGAAAGCGACGACGGAGTATGACTATCCAAAATTCGTGTTCGAAGACTATATGAAGCTGTATGCTGGTCTCAAGTTCCAAGCCAAGGAGCCCAGATTTGAGGCCATGAAGACAATGGTTAATATGGATCCTATTGCAACTGCTTAATTATGTAAAATAAACCAATTGAGTGTGCGCTACTAGGTAGTAATCCAGCCTTTATATTAAATAAATGTATTGTGCCTCTGATGTGTGCGTTGTGGAATTTAAATTTTAATTTAGAAGGTGAACAAGAACCCCTCTATGAATATGAATGTGTACGTCGTAATTAATATTCCATCTGCTCTGGCTTCTGTTTTAAGTATTTATTTATTATTTCCCTTCTGTCACATCTTCCTTATTTCATTTATTTATATAGAATGTAATAAATTAAAATTTACCATATTCAGAAACCGTACAAATAACTGAATGAATTGTATTTGATGTTCCCTCTCGATGATAAGAAAGAGGCCAATATTATTATTCTTATATATGTATAGCCTTCTGTCCGGTCCTAACGATCATAACGGACCGGAGGAAGTGCTTTATTATTCATCTAACCTTATACTAATTTCATTTGCATGTCTCTTTCACACTTGCCCATTCCTCTTATATACCATACTTTTCACCTAAAACATTATCATAATTCTTAATTCATACGAGAAAGTAATTGAACAATTAAATAAATTGATCCCATCATAACTTGCCCCCAACATTAAATGTTCCAAGTCACATATCAACCAAACAACCAAATCTAAACAAACCCCCTTTATGAAAATATGACACAAATTATATGAAGTAACCCCTTTTCAAATTTACAGAGTTGCAATTGCAGATTCATTCGTAAATGTAACTTATTTATTTTATGATCATAACAATAAAAACAAAATTTCTTTCTCATGAAAAAAAAAATCATTTATGAAAATAACGTGTTCCAAGCTTCACATGCCAATGAAAGATATCTTCTCTTCCAATTCCTTAACACCATCTACATTGGACACCTGAAATGCAAATTTTTCTCAAAAACAAACATTCTCCTACAAAATACCACAAAACAGGTACTCAAGCCTGTCGAAACTAGCTCGCTCATACGCTGCATGCATAAATTGTATCACGGTCCAAAAAAGTTTGTTTTATGTTTCTTGACTGCTCCAGCATGACAAGCGCCCAAAGAATGTCTAAAATACTCGCGCAGTGGAACAGCAAAGATGGGATAGCAACTTTTTGCTTATTCTGCTATCTTTAGGGACATGTGAGGATCCGTCCTATTTGTGTGTCTGAAAAACATCTATTTTACTGGTTACTTTAACAAACACATTATATTAATTCACCTAAATGTTTAGACCCTACAATCATGAATCAAGCATAGAAACAATTTCAGAGAACCAGTTCCATTATCCTCTGTTATTCAATTCTCAATATTTCACCACCAAGTAGAAACATCAACTACAAGCATAGATATATAGTCGCTAAATTCTATGCCAACAGAACAGATGGAAAGATACATGTCTACAAGTATCTTCATGGCATATGCATAGAGCTCCTCCCAGGGGTTCATTCTTTTTAACTTTTAATGAATCTAACTAATTCTGAATGGAACTTCCCCTAGTTGCAAAGAAAATAAATTTTTTCTTTACTTTCTCAATAATTCACGAGAAGTTTTCCTGCATGCCACAGCCAGGAATCCAACAAACCAAAATTATATCAATGAATTGTTAGAGATTCTGTTTAGAATGAAAAAATGGATAATTTCAAACAATGAAATAAGTTATGTTCCATAAAAATCAAGAATTGCAGATATAGACCACAGTAAGATGAAGTACTAACGTCAAAAATCAGAGAAACTCGCTAGTATGTGAACAAAAAACATCACCTCGAAGCAAACATGGACGCCCTAGAAAACAATATCTCTCGAGGACACCAATGTTGATTGTTCCATGTTGGAACCAAAATTCTCAATTCCCAAAAACAAAAATTTCCAACTTTTCAGCTGAGAAGAAACACTTCTTGTTCTATTTCAGATCCATTATTAAGGAGAATACATGGATGTAATTCAATGCTGCCATGGCATATGGAGAAAATTTGAGCACTTTTTAGTCCCCTCATACTTTATCAGTTTCCTCGCTCTTCTCTGCTTCCCCAACAGTGTCAGTGTTAGCATTCTGAATCTTTTTCTCATCTGCTTCCTTTGCATCTCCATTTGAACAATGATTTTTCAAAACCATTGAAATGTCAGCCTCAGAAGCCCCAGCAAGCCTAAAGCGTTCAACTGCAGTATCGAGGTTTTTCTTCCAGCCATCCATCCCCAACTTGCATTCAACTTGCGATCGCTCGAAAAGCATATTACCCCAGAAGAGATGTATCTGTGATCTCATCACCGCAGCTTGTTCAGCCGCTTCTTCTGGTGAAATCTCACCCTGACCACCACTGCTAGAGGACTCACCTTCAACACTTCCTTGTTTCTTCCTCCTTCTCAACAATTCTTCCTTCTTGCTTGCACTTGGATCTTTTAGCTCATTTGCTCTCTGCTCCTCAAGCTTCTCCCACATCTGAGTTGCTGCTTTCATCTTCTCCTCAGCACTGTCAAAAAGTTTAAGAGTTTCTGTAGAATCCCAGCTGGAAAGATCTATTTTCTTAGCAAGTGCAAATGACCAATGAAGTTTTGCCATTTCAAATTGCTGCTGCCCCAGTGCAAGCAACCCCTCATAGAAGTCTGACTTGATCAAGAGTGCTTCCTCATATTTCTCTTTTGCCAAGGAATATTTCTCTTTGACCCAATCATAAGCCACTTGAAGTTGTGCTGCAACTACTTCCTTTCCAGCAGACTCATCTAAGGGAATCCGTTTCCTTGCTGCACACATGTGAACATTTCCCCAATTGAAGAAAGCCAGAGCAGCCACCTCCTGGAATTTTAAGGCAGCCTTGTCAAAGAGGTTTTGAGCTTCTTCACTTGTCACTGTCTCCTCAAGAGCCTCAGAACACAGCTCCATCCCAAGTTCATGCAAGTCAACATGAGCATCTGGGTCAATACCAACATGTGTCCTAAAAAGCTGTGCAAACTCAAACAGCCAATCATCCATCTCAATTTCTCTGCCTTCTAGATCTTCTGAAACTCTTGTTTTGTCCTTAGTAACTTCTTTCTCTTCCTTATCAATTTCTGCATCGTCTGCTTCAAGCACAGATTCACCAAGTGAGGAGTGAGAACCACTTTCATCCCCCTTGGTCTCTTGAGTCTCAAGAGGTTTGTCCTCCTCTTCTTCCAACAGAGGGGGCTCTTGCTCTGGACTAACCTCAACAATATGCAACCTTAACATTCCAGCTGCATCAGTTTTATCTGTGTCAGGCTCCTTAGGCAAGAGGCTATCTGCAGAGGACTCTGCCAATCTGAGTTCAGCTGTACATGTTATAGTCACCAAATCACCATCGTTGTCTTTGTATTTGATCAAAACTGACTTTGATGATGGAAAACGTTTGCTCACAATCTCCCTCAGCACTTTAAAAGTACAATTCACGGGCATCTGTGCAAGCCTTATATCATGATCATACACAAGTTTCAATGGCCTCCACCGAACTGCGACCTCCAATGCATGGCCATGAACTGGCAATTGCATAGATGAAGATAAAGACTGTTCTCCATGGCTATCCTTGGCTAGATTGGCCCCAGGTTTAGGAGAACCACTCGAAGGCTTCAACACAAGTTTTGGTAACTGAGCTTTGGTGTCGGGACCATTGTCACTGACTAGATTCACTGGAGGCTTTTCAATCTTATTACCAGCAGATACAGTCAATCCACCAAGGGAATTCGCTGCCTTTTTGGACACCGGTCGAGTTGGTAAACAAGGCCCAAGACCAGCAATTGGCGCACCACGAACTGCAGATGCCCCTAGTGCAGCAGGAGAAGGGCGACTTTGGAGGTCCTGCTGAGCTTCCTGTCGAGGGCCCAATGCAGTCCGCAATCTCCGGGCAATCTCTAAAGCATCACGGTGGTTGGGTTCAGCCCCTAACAAAACCTGAACATCCTGCATCGCCATGTCATATTTACCTATCGCCTCAAATGCACGAGCCCTCCTAAGGAGAGCCCTAACAAACCGAGGCTGCACTTGAAGGGCCATAGTACACTCGGCGATAACAGTGTCGTAGTCAATAGGTTTCATTTGCATTAGGCAAGCAGCCCTATTGCTATGGAACACAGCACGATCAGGGTGGGTTTTGGGAGTTAAGCGGAGAGCACTATCATACTGCTCAAGGGCACCCACATAATCCTTATTTTGGAACCTTTTGTTCCCTTCTTCTTTGAGTTCATGGGCTCTTTTCAAGAATATTGACGAGTCGAAATCGACAGCACCATTTGCATTTGGGACGGTTGTTGAATTTGAAATTTTACCACCATCAGATACTTGGTTTAAACCACCACTGCCCTTCTTTTTTCTACCTCCCGATTTCCCCATAAAATTAACTCTCAAACACGATTATATATATTCAATCAGAATCAAATTGAAAAAGCAATCTTTGAGGGATTCTATACGAGAATTTCAGTAGCGATAACAGAGTGAAAAGACTACTTACAGAACCATTATTGACAAGTTGAAGCTTGAAGTTTGCAGCTTGTAAATTATCAAGAGGTGAGGCCGAGAGAAATAGAAATAGCAGTAGATAGTAATTAGGAGAAAGTGTCTAACAAGAGTTCAGCCAAGTGGAGGAAATGGGTTTTTGGAGCTGAAACCCTAGACGGTAAGACATGCTCATCAGGATCAGGGAATTTAATCAAATGAGATATGCATCATTACGAACCCTTGGATCGTCTTACCATGGCACAAAAGATTTTGACTTCCCTTGCCCAATTGGATAACCATCATGTCGGACATGGGCCATGGGATCTCCTTGAATCTCTTTGTTGCTGGTGCGACGCGTGGCTGTTAGATGTAATACAAATCGGTAATTTTAATTTTTTGAGATGGAGTAACGGAATTTTCGTTACAAAGTGAAGCTAAATGAGATGGAAAAAAAAAAAAAATGAAAATAGGAATTTTTGAAAAGGCAAACACTATCTGACCAGCCACATCAGCTGAAACATCGTTAAAAAGTAAATTATTTTAAAAAAAAAAAATTCTTTCATCAACACGTCAGCTGCAGAGGCCACACAAAGCTATGAACAATATAAATTACATTTTTATATAAAAAAATACTAACTCATAAAATCAATATTATACATTGGCATTGAACTAACACTAACAAATATGCTATTAAAAATAAATCCAGTTATCAGAAGAGATGGACCGAATAAAGTGTCATGTCGGGAGTATTATTGCTATAAATTGCAAGTTGGAGAAATTGATGAATCAGTGCTCCTTATGGCTGAACGATTATTGCAACAATTTGTTGTGAACATGTATATCAAACTAGAGACAACAAGACTTGACTATGGTACAAAAGTATACTTCAGAACACAACAGGCACAAATCAGGTCGAAATTATATCAAGAAATTGTGGACATTGTTAAAGCAAGAGAAACAAGAGGGAAGAAAGTGGGTAAGGGGTCTGTGTTGCCAGCATCATTTATTGGAGGCCCGAGAGATATGCGAAAACAATATCTTGATGCAATGGCTATGGTACAAAAGTATAGCAAGCTAGATCTTTTCATTACAATTACATGCAATCCGGAACGGGAAGAGATTAAGCAGGAGCTGAAACCACCACAAATAGCTCAAGACAGACCAGACTTGACTTCTAGAGTATTCCGAGCGAAACTGCAAGACTTAAAAGAACAGTTGTACAAGAAAGAGATCTTCGGCAAAGTTGTAGCACACATGCATGTAAATGAATTTCAAAAGAGGGGATTGCTACATGCACATATGTTAACCATTCTTCAACCATCATACAAATTAACAAGTCCAAACGATTTTGGCAAACATGTAAGTGCAGAATTACTGAATGAGGAGCAATATCCAGAACTGTATAAAATAGTTGCGAAACACATGATGCACGGGCCATGCGGAGAACAAAATGCAAAATGTCCTTGTACGATAAATGATAAATATTGCAGGTTTCGTTATCCGAGATAATACTCTTCAAAAACTACACAAGGAAAAGAGTTAATACCCTACTTACAATAGACCAAACAACGGACGAGAGGTATGTCATATTACTTGTGTTAATTTTTTTAATATAAAAAATAAAGACAATTAATTATAAATTCCAAATATTGTATTTGAAAATCATTGGTACAGGTCACAACAAGGAATAATAGGTTAGACAACAGACGGGTTATCCCTTATAATTCATATCTTTTAACAAGATACAACTGCCATATCAATTTTGAGGTTTGTGCTGGCCTAAAAGGAGTCAAATATCTATACAAATATATCTACAAAGGGCACGACAGAGTTGCAGTATATGTCTCCAATGAAGATGAAGAAGTAGATGAGATACGACAATTTCAAGATGCAAGATAGGTGTCTACTCAAGAAGTAATGTGAAGGATCTATGAGTTTGAGCTGAATGAAATAAAACTTTTATCAATTTACAACTGCATTTACCAAATGAACAGATGGTATCATTTTTGGAAAGTGAGGGGATCACGTATCAAGAACATTGCTTACAGAGTATTTCAGAAGATGCTCTATCGATGCAGAAGAAAGAGAAATACTTTACAGGGAATTTTTTGAGCATTATGTGTGGAACAAGCAAGGTAAAGTATAGTCTACGCAGAAGAAGAGGCAAGTAATAGGGCGTGTAAATGCAACGAATCCAATTAAGGGGGGAAAGGTATTACTTGAGACTACCCTTAAGCCATGTAAAGGGCCCACAATCATTTGATGATATATTAACAGTAGACAGTTTTCCATGCCAAATATTCAAGGACTCAGGAACCAAAAGTGAACTACTTGAATCAAATCAAAGTGCATCGCATTGCGTGGGAGAAGCAGTAGCATACCAGAAGCCACGAGAATTAAGGAGACTCTTTGCTACAATATTAGTATACTGTGAGCCAACAGATGTGAGGAAATTATGGGATGATTACTTTGATGCCATGTCAGATGATTTCAGTAGGTTGCACCCGAAATCAATACATACACAGATCTCATACGTATTGAAGAGCATAGAATATCACTTGCAGAGTATGGGAAAAGAAATTAAGAAGTATGACTTGCCCGAGATAGCACAAGATCAAACACATCAATCAATCAGTAACTCAAAAGAAATTGTAGATGAAATGACAGTTGAAATACCTCAAGAGGACATTGATGCAGTTTCAAAATTGCAAAATGAGCAGCTAAATGCATATAGAGTGATATTGGACAGGGTGAACTCAAACACCCATGGGGCCTTCTTCGTGGATGGACCAGGTGGGACAGGGAAGAAATTTTTATTTCGGGCACTACTTGTAAATGAAAGATCTGCAGGAAATATAGTGCTTGCAACAGCAACCTCAGGTGCAGCGCGATAATAATGCCAGGAGGTAGGACCGCACACCCACGATTCAGCATACCATTGAATCCAATGGAGTCAAGTTTAGGTGGCATATCAAACAACGCAGACAGGCAGAATTAATCCGCAGGGCAAAACTTATTATATTTTATTTCGGGCACTACTTGTAAATGAAAGATCTGCAGGAAATATAGTGCTTGCAACAGCAACCTCAGGTGCAGCGCGATAATAATGCCAGGAGGTAGGACCGCACACCCACGATTCAGCATACCATTGAATCCAATGGAGTCAAGTTTAGGTGGCATATCAAACAACGCAGACAGGCAGAATTAATCCGCAGGGCAAAACTTATTATATAGGATGAGACAACTATGGCTAAGAGACTAGCAGTAGAGACAGTCGATAGAAGTATGAAGGATATAATAGAATGTGCTAAACCATTTGGAGGAAAGGTAATAGTGTTCGAGGGAGATTTCAGGCAAGTGTTACCAGTAGTTCCTAAAGCTTCAAGACAAGAGACAATCAGTGCAAGTCTTGTGGAGTCTTACTTGTGGAGCAATATGGAGGTGTTGATATTGATAAACAATATGAGAGCCAGAACCGATAGATATTTCAATGAATTCCTACTTAGAGTCAGTGATGGAGAAGAGCCAACAAATGATGAAGGAAATATACTAATACAAGAAGAGATGGTAATAAGGCATGAAAATGATGACAACTACGAGAGGGCATTAATTGATGTAATATTTCCATCATTGCATGATAATGCAAACTCAGTAGAATACATGACCAACTCGTGCGATATTGGTAATAAAAAATGAATATGTCGACAGCCTAAATCAAAAGACAGTACATATATTTCTTGGTCAAAGCAAGATCTACAATAGTTTTGATGAAGCAACAGATGACACGAATAATTACTACTAAGAGAAATTTTTGAACACTCTGTTGCCGAATGGCTTGCCTCCGCACAAGCTCGGGCTGAAAGTAAATTGTTCAGTAATATTACTTAGGAACATAGATCCTTCAAATGGTTTATACAATGGGACTAGAATGGTTTGCAAAAAATTTTGGAACCAATGTAATTCATGCAGAAATAACAATGGGACAACATGCTGGAACACAAGTATTTTTGCTGAGAATACCATTGTCGCCTGTAGAAAATGAATGATATCCATTCCGTTTCAAAAGAAAACAGTTTCCAATGCGTTTATATTCAATGACAATAAATAAAGCTCAAGGACAAACAATCTCATATGTTGGCGTATATTTATCACAAGATGCTTTCTCTTATGGACAGCTTTATGTGGCACTATCAAGAGGTATATTGATGTCAACAACAAAAGTCCTTGCAAAATCGGAAAAGAAAAAAAATAAAATGGCAGTTTGCACAAAAAATAGAGTCTACAAGGTCTTGTTACCAAAAAGGTAATATAAAAATAATACTTACATTCATGAATATTTACATTGTTTATATTTTAAATCATAATGAATATTAATATAGTGTCTTTTCACGCTGCAGCGAACAAGTATTTCAAAGAGAATAGAAATGATAAATTTCATATTAAAAATATTATTTTAAAGGTACAAGCAAAAACATAATCTTTATTTCAATTAGAAATGCATAAACAATAAATATAATATTTAAATTAACCGTTGTATTTATTTTAATCTAAATAAGGACTTATGTGTTAATATTATATAAATAAATAAATAATAAACGAGTAAAAAAGACAACGAGCATTGTCAACGTGCAATGCATGTCATAAAAAAAATCAGTATTATATATAAAAATGGGCATGAAAGGGGAATAATGTGATTTTCTATATTGTCCTTGTAAAATTTAAAATACTCTAAAATAACTTTAGTCATAGTTAATTAAAATTTTTTGACATAAAAAAATATATAATATCTCTATAATTTGATTGGATTTTTTTAACTTTTTTTAATATATATATATATATAATTAAGCATTTAAAGTCATAGTAATTAAAATTTTTTGACATAAAAAAATATATAATATATCTCTATTAATTTGATTGGATTTATTTTTTTAAACTTTTTAATATATATATATATATATAATTAAGGCATTTTTTTAAAATAAACTTTACTATTATTATCTTATTTTATGTCTAACTATTAGTTTATTCTTATATTATTAAATAAAATTATTATTAATAATTAATAATTTATTATTATATTATTATTATATTTTTATTTTCTATTATTGCTAATTATCTTCGACATTATTAATTTAAATGAAATATCTGTAAATATATGAGGCATTATGACAAATTTTTTTAAAAATTTATTTTTAATAAATATATCTAGATGAATTAAGATTTTAATTTAAAAAGGATATGGTTATTTTTTTTAATTACAAAATTGCACTTCTAATTTTGGTTGGCCCAAAAAAAATAAAAATAAAAAATATATTTTTAAATAACTCAAATTTAATTTAATTATATTGATTATCTTTTATTTAATTCAAATCTTTTATTCTTTCTATTAAGAATTATGATTTTATTAATAAAATTTTTAAAATGATTTCATGAATTTGATTGGATTGAAAAAAATTAAAAAAGAAAAAAAATATTATTTATAAATATTTAATTTGGACTTATTTAAATTGATTTTCTTATTTATTGTTAAAGGATATTTATTTACTAAAAGATATTCTAGTAAAAATATTAACCAAAAAACGTGTAAGTTAATTATTTTAAAACGTAAAATAAAAGCCATATAATGATTTTTATAAAATCAATTGGTACTTGAACAAAAAAAAATTATATTGATATCTTATTTAATTCAAATTTTATTCTTTCTATTAAGAATTATGATTTTATTAATAAAATTTTTAAATGATTTCATGAATTTGATTGGATGAAAAAATAAAAAAAAAAATATTATTTATAAATATTTAATTTGACTTATTAAATTGATTTCTTATTTTATTGTTAAAGGATATTTATTTACTAAAAGATATTCTAGTAAAATTTATTAACAAAAACACGTAAGTTAATTATAAAACGTAAAATAAAAGCCATATAATGATTTTTATAAATCAATTTGGTACTTGAACAAAAAAAATGAAAGCAACCAGCGTATAATAAAAAATATATAAACCAGTATATCGAAAATAATATAAATGACATATTTCTTATTTGAATTACTATTTTAAATGGAGAAACAAATATATTAATTTTTTTAATAAGATAATATACTTCAAGGCCTATAAGTAAAAAATATTTTACTGTATATATAAAAATCACTATATTTATTACAATCTAAATAATAATTTATACTTTAATTATAAAAATAAAAAAGCTAAATGAGTATAAAAAATTAATATATAATTACAAAGAATATAGTCAACATGTAGCACGTTATAAAAGTAACTAATAATTATAAATATACTAAAACGGTACAAAAATTTATATCCTAGAATAATTTTTGCAAGCAATTTTCTTGTTATTCTCTGTTTTCAATTTTAAATAGCAAGTTAACAGTAAATTTTTTTGAATTAATTTTTTTTAACCCTTGAACTTTTGTGAAAAATTTTGTTGCTTTGAACTTTGAAAATGACTTCATAATTTTCTAAAACTTTACTTTTTAACCTTACGATCCTTTAAATTTATTTTGATAATAATTTTACTACGTGCAGTTTAAAAAATAAATTAGCTTCATAAGTCACAAGTATAGGAAAATTGAAATTCAAGAGCTATAAAATTAAAAAATAATGTGTTGGAACCATAAAATTTTTTTTTTATAGATTTCAAGGGTTATATTACACATTTGGCCTTTTTTTTTTTTTTTTAAATCATCTTAAAAAATGAATAGAAGCAAATGATAGGCTGGGAGTAATGGGCTACGCCGTGCAAAAGCAGTTGACCGTTGTTTGAGTTCGAGAGCCCATCAGCCCATTCAACCCCCATCAATGAGAGAAAGAGACGCTTTTGTGTTTTTGGTAATTTCACGATGAAATTCCTAGGGTTAACCTCCTTGTCCTCTATATAAACCCCACCCAACCCCATTTCATTTTGTCTAGCGAAGTTTACAGCCTCCACTTCTTCTTCATCCGTCCTTTTCCATTTTTTTTTTTTTTTAATGTACAAATTTTTTTCTTTCATACCAGGCCTCTGTTCTATAACTGAAATGAGAGACGGATTGGAAGTGTCTCTTTGTTGAGAAAGAACAATGAGGTATATAAAAGTCCATGGCCGAGATATCGTTTCAGTCGTTAGTCATCGATTGACGATTCGATTGTTGCTCGTCCACATTTATTTTTGTTTTCATTTTTTACTTTTGTTTATTAATAATTTAGGATTTTAGAATTTGGGATTGATCGGTGGAGAGGGTGCAAACTGCAAATGATCTTCTCTTCGATCGCGAGTTTTGGACCTGTTGTATGATGCCCTTCGATTTAACCATTAATACAGACCTAATGGGATTTGATTATTTGAAACAGACGACGGTTTGGCATCAGCAGAACAAATTAATCATTTGATGCCGGCATTAAATTTATCTGCTGATAAAATGAAAAACATATCCTAAGTTCCGACACTTATCATTTTTCTACTATTGTTAATTATGTTTAAAGCTATTAAATAAAAAAAATCGGTGGTAGTGTACTGAAAATAGGGAAGATATGACTAAATTTTGGTCAAATGTTTCCATTGTTATTCCAACAAATGCTCTCAAATGCCTCTCTGTTATCATTAACAATCAATGGACCGAGTGTTATGAGTTTCATCTGCTACAAAATTTCCGTACAATCTATTAATCCTAAATGCAATTCATGCCTATATACTGAAGATAAAGAGGAGGTAATAGTCCTCAAGATGCACAGATAAGTCTTTCCAAGATGAAATATTTGACTAGAAATAAAAATGCAACAACAAACACATTACCTCAAGGCTGCAAATAGGGAGCTAAACAAATGCACACCACTTAACCAATTTAAAATCCAAAACTGAGCTGGGTTCCTTCAATCCATGTGTGAGACACAAAGTGAATGGCAAAGTTTAAAAACAGCCGTCTCCCCTTTCCGCTGTACATGTGTTAAAGACCATGCAAGAACTACTTATATAATTTGGTAATACCTCCAGAAAGAAACAATAATTTTCCCTTCAAAAATGTCCTCATCTGAGATGTAAAAGTTCAAATGTTCAGAGTGGAAGGAAACTGATATCACCAATATGACTGACGCGTATCAGAAAACATGTGGAAAGCTGGAAGTGTAATGACCCACCAATGTCGCTAAAATGGGGGCATGGGGTGATTTTTGTCAAAGAAAAAAGACAAGCAATTAACTTTCGGTGCGCACTTTCCCATTAATTCCAAGTTTCTACAGCAACACAACTTTGTACCACAACACACTGCTAATTAACTGCTAATCAAGAAAACCATGAACTTGCTTGTAATGATACATAATAATAATAATAATAATAAGATAATGGAAAACAAATCTTAAGATAGTGAACATTTGCTTCTTCAGGTGTAACCTTGCTTGTATCTGCGGAATAGATCCTCTGTCTTGGCATTCCTAAAGGCACAGCAGCCTATCAAATACACCCATATCAAAGCTACAAGAGTTATGAGCAATATGATATCTGCCCTTCTCCATTCCTTTTTCAAGTTAGCCAACAACCCTGCCTTGCACGAATCGCAACCGTAGCACAGTTGAGTTTGGTCATTGTTCCAGTTCAGGCAGTCCATGTCTGCTGCGTCGTATATGGGACTTATCCAATACGTTGGGTTCACAAAGTTATACCCACATTGCGTAGGGGGCTTGCAGCATCCTGACTGTAAATTACAAAACTTTTTATTTAGTTTTAAGTTAAACAAAAAGCTTTTCAACACAAGCTAAAGAGGCAAGAAAGAAATTATTGATAATGTACCTGTAAGGGGGTAATATGAGCATTAAAGAAATCCTGCGCCATGCGAAATCTCTGGTTCAACTCAGCACAGTTATCGGTTGAGCTAAGGCAGCTTCTTATTCGATCCCACTTGTAAGAACTTTGAACCCTCCGGCGAAGCCATCCTGAAAAATCATCCAAGTGATATTCCAAGTAGGCTCTGTTTGGTTCAAGGTGTCCTGACCCCCTAATCGTTACCATATATATGAATACCACCAAACATGCAAGCAATATTATCAGGATCAGCATTGCTATTAGGTAAAATATCAGCAGCCATGGTATTCTCCAAAATCCTCCTACAAACCCTGCTATTGCTACTACCAGAATCAATATCCCCAAGATAATCACAGGCCATTGCAGAATCTTCACGCACGAGTTGTCTGTTTCCATTGCCAGCCAGATCCCTGCACCGATTATAGGAATTGAAAGAAGCATAGCGACGAAGTTTATTGCACCAATCACATTGTTGCTCAGCGCCATTTTGGTGATGGAGGTTTTTTTTCCTTGTTGGGGTTCACCTTGAAAACGCCTAAAGCAGAAGGTAGATGTTGAAAATAGCTACACGATCAGCTTTAGTCATATGACCCACTTCATTTTTATTCCTTACCTTACCTTGGATCCGTGACTTCTACTAAAGTTACCTATAACTATATATATACATCAATGTCTTTATTTTTGTTTTTAAAGTGAATTTTCATCTTTTGGTCCGCTGCTTTTTGAAAAGGAGTTCCTTATAAGTTGTATAGAATACAGGAGATATATGATCTACGAAATTTTTTTACTCAATATAATTATAATATAACTTAATAGGCAAATGAAATTCTAAAATAACAATCAAATAAAAAATCCTTTGCATCCAATCCTCATCTCCTTTTATTTCTAAACTCATGAAATAATATAAAATTTTTTACTGAGAAATAACAAAAATAATAGATAAATATTGTAATCAAATATAGAAAAAAACTTTGAATAAAAGAATTAGTCATATTAGTTAATTGTCCACAAATTTATTATAAAAACATGTGACGTCTCTATTTAGCAAACTATCGATTAAATAGTCATGTTCTTCGTTCCATAAAGTGTAAAACGAGTAAATATAAGGTCCGGTTTATTTCAACACCATAACTATTTTTGAAAAACATTTTTCACAATTATTTTTATATTATTTGATTAAAATATTAAAAATTTAGTCAAAAAATATTTTAATAAATACCTAATATGTTTTTGGTTGTTCTAACTTTTACATTAATATTGATATAGTAACATATATAATATTTTATTTAATAAATGTTTTAATTAAAATAATCTGTTTTTGCTATGCAATTAATTTCCCAAATGAAAATTTTTATATTATAATATTATGTAACAATAATATCTTATTTTATTTATTAGCCAGTAAAATTTAGATTTAAATATAAAAAGCAACCAAGTAAATTAAATTAACTCTATATATAATTTTAGTAAGGAATTTTTTTTTATCCATCCTAATTGTTTCCTCTTTATTATATATATACTATAATAAATTATAGATATCTTAACTGCATGCAACTACATGTACACGTGCTGTGGACAAATTAAAGGATACGCCTTCGATACCGATAGCTGCGTTTACATTGTGCTCTCGTCGCATCTTTCTTTTCTTTCCTTTCCTTTCCTTTATGACTACCAACCAAACCAATCCATTGTTAATTATCAGCGTACGTGACAACACATAACAATGCTTTTCAATTGATAAATAATAATAGTAATTCACTGTTCCACAAGCAGAAGCATAGGTCCAGCTGGCATTGCATTGTAAGAGTATACGATGCCCGGTAACAAAATGAGCACTTTACATATATATATATATATATATATGATTCTTTGGTAATGGCACCTGCCACCTGCCACCTGCCACCTGCAAAGTAATGTATCCACCTTCCCTCCCAGAGGGAGAGAGGGCTTCTAAAATAAAAGGGAAAATAACAAAGTAACACGCCACCACTAACCTATTAGCTTAGGTACTGCAATCTCCTCGAGCATGAAAATGTCATTGGCGTATTCTTCAAGCTCGAAATATCAAACAACTCTATAAACCTCTGATCTGAAACTCTAGTTTTCGCGGCAGCAAACCTCTGGTATTCATCAAATATTGATGTAAGGCACCATCTTTGCAACTTTCTCAAGCACCCCACAAGGCAACCAGTTCGGTGCTGGACATGGCACAGTGATATAGCAGTTTATCTTCAGAACTACATCTGACTACTGAGAAGAGAATTAGGAAATGAGGTAAGGAATAAAAGGAGTACCTTCCCTCTCTTGCAATGAATTAGGACAGGGTGGTTTCTTACATCTAGCAAGGCAAAGACATACGTGAGTACATTGTAAATCAAGTAACTCATCACCTCAGCACAACAAAGTCAATTAAAGTTTTGTTTTTTCAAGTTTTCTAGATACCAAGTGCAACTTTTAATGCATCGCGGATGGTTTGATCCGGAATGTTCACGAAAGGCTCCTGTACACAGAATCAATTATTAATTCCAAGAGCAGAAAATTAAATTGAATGCAAAAAATTTCAATCACAGAAATATTTAAATACTGTAGGAGTCAATCCTGGCAACAATCCCCCAAATTTTGGTCCAAAGTAACAACAGTTAGAACTAAAGAAAAGGGAAATATGCTAGCTGCTTTATACTTAAAAATCGCACTAACATTTGTTAACTAGTATGTCGTATGGCAATAGCCACAAGGCACATTCTACCATCTTGCCCTTTTTTTTTTTTTTTCCTTCTCATATCAGGGCACCTTAAATAATGGCAGTATCTTATGCCTAATTTCCTTTATTAACAGCATACCTATGCAAACGCTGTGCTGAAAATATGCTTGATAGGATAAGTTTATTGTAAAAACAAGCATCAAACAGGAAAGGACGAATCTATCTGATGTTAATTGGTCAATTTCCAGAATTTAGGACCACATGAAGACCCCCGGAAATTCCTCAAAATTAATGGAAAAATAAACTAAAGGGAGAGAAAGCAACCATAATTGCAACACAATAAGATTTCTGTGCAAAATTTCTAATTGTATGTATACTGACTTTGTTTTTATCAATCTTGGTGAATATGGGGTAGCCTAATGTTCTGAAGTAATTTATTATCAAGGTAAATTTATGGAAATGCAAGCTGTTAGTACTCACCATGCATAAATATATCCAGTTTAGCACTATGAAATCTCATGTTCTTCCATGTGCTTCCTAGGGGTTCCAACATGTACTAATAAGGGAAAACAGAGGTGGCAATAAAAGAAAAAGATACAATTAATAGGAAACTCTCTATAGTCTATACACAAAGATATGATCATCTGAGATCAATATGCCGTTTTTCCCTGAGCATCCCAAGTAACTTGTCCTGTGCTTCTTATGTGAATATACGGATTCAACCAGTTCACCTATGAAGACCATAAAAATCCTCTTGGAGTGATAAATTCCTCAGATAAAATTAATAAAGTTGGCATTCATAAGAAGCGCTGATCAGTCATGTGCACAAAAAACAGCAACACCCTTTGTACGCAGTTTTCATCTGTGATACATCGTATGCATTAAGCCCTGAAGCAATTATTAGATGAAAATTTTATGTCTTCTTAATAATTGATAGCCAACAATTCAAAGCCCCAAATGTTACTGGAACGACAATAGTTCATAAGGTCATGTCGAGAAGTTAAGCAACATTATAACAAACGAATCAAACATAGAGAGAAAAGAAAATTTTGGAAATTTGAAAGGTAACCTTGCACATTTCAATTCCGAATTGAAAAAGCGTAATCCCGTTGGCCTTCAAAAACTCATAATTCGCGTCTGGATATGATTCGGGGCACAAGTATCTACTCAAAACATCACAAGCTTATTTCATGGTGATGAAAAAAGCATAATTTAAAATTTACATCGTTTAATTTGGCTAGTAAAGTATCTACTTACATAATCGAACGGAGACCTAGGGATTGCAAGAATCCGAAGTTAGCAGAGTCAGGGAAACCAGACCTGAAGATTCCAATATCGACCATCGCAAAGTTTAGAGGCGGCACAAACAGGTCTTCACCTTCTCGGTCTTTCTCGGCCTCAGCTCCGATCGGTGGAAACCTAACCCGAGGCGGCAGATTATCTGGAGATGACGCTTCAACAACCGTGCCATTATCGACGTCCAATTTGTCGAGTTTCATAGCTTTGGCGCCAAAAAATTTGAAAAGTAGGAAACTGAAATTGATCACAGAGAGAATTTGAGGGGCGGATTCCAGAAAGAATCTTGGTTATTGGAGTCCTCTTTCTGGTGGGCTTTTTATTGAAAAAGAAGGGAAGTGCGCTATGACTGGGATGGGAACATGGGATAGCTCGCACAGTAGGTAGCGGAAATTTGTGGGGAGAGAAGGGAACGCAAGAAACGCGGCATGAAACTAATCCAATGGCGTGCTGACACATTTCACTTGCACTTTGGCTTAACAAGGGAAAGTTAAGCATTAAACTTACCTCGATTAACATTGTTTTAAATTGATCCGTTTTTCCAGTGATAACTAAAAATCCCTTTCTTTCAATAAAAATTTATTTCTAGTCCATGAGGGAGTCATAGACCCAATTTAAACAAATCAATCCTGAAAAATTAGTTGAAAAGGGCTTACATGCTCCTAAACCGATCCAAAATAAGTTTGTAATTGGAGGGATTTTTTATCATTGGAAAAAAAAAATAATAAAACCAAACTAAAAAAAAATTCTTGGACTGACTTCGCATCCCACACACCATATATAGGCAAATATTGTTTTATTTTTTCGGTTAATCCCTGCCTATTTTGCTATGCGTAATCCAAAGAGGCAAAGACAATGTCTCTCCCACAGCCTTCAAACCAAATTTACACCTGACTTCATCCTGTACCTACGGTTGTATTTGGCTTGGGCGGCTAAATGGACATCAAATTGATTTTCTTGTCACAAGCAAAAAGATAAACCTTTTTATATTCTAGAAACTCTTACATAAAAAGATATATCACATGACCTTTATATTGTTTATGTATACAATTCAGTATCTAAAAAATCTGGTGACTTATTTGTTCTATCCTCCAATGTCCTGCTTTGATGGAGTTGATGTTAGAGATTTCTTCAAACAATCAACAATCCCCTCACAATCTGATTGAGGAAGGACGCAGCCTGCTACATCCTCAAAAGCATCTGCGGTATGTGAATGGGGAGAGCGCAGGTTTCCATGAGTCTGGCAAGCCTTCATGGTCTTGCAATGTTCAGCTTCATCATCTCTGATGTTCAAAAACACATCATACAAATTATCTGAAAGACAAAAAAGTTGAAAAACAAACATAACATCCTTCAGCATATCAAAAACAAAAGCTAAATAAACGAAAGTTCTTTAAAATAAAAATTGAAAATTATGATATACTCAGGGTGTTGTATTTACTTATTTTCGGCCTTCGTGACTGTGGAGCTCTGGAAGTTTGGAATTCATCTGGGAAGAAATTGAGAACAGCATCAGGTTTAGGTTGCACTTCAGACAGCAATAGGTTGTCAAAAGATAACTTACCAAACAAGTATAAGTCACCCTCAGTGTAATATTTTACAGCAACTTCAGGAGCAGGCAATTTTTTCAACTCCTCTATAATGAAAGTGAGCATCAGTTAGAAACGGTACAGCTGAATTTTTTTGGAGAAATAAGAATCTATAATGTTGGACAAATCAAACTGTTTTGCATTGTCATACATATTCAACATAACATACTACATAAACTCGCCTACTAAAAATTCTATAACAGGAGTCTCACATATACCATTCTGAGGATGTAAAAGGTGCTCGCATTAAGAGGTTGGGAACTGAAACAAACTTCATGATTAGGATGAACAACACTATTACAGCTTAACTAAACTATTATTAAACTAACAAATGAGAATATTGAAAACCAATTATAATTATTAGTACATTTCCAACTTTATGCTTTCAGATGATACATGTGAAAATAAAACAATCCCCCATAACTGAAACTCTTAAATATACCTCCTCGTGATTTGATAAATTTGTCATAAGTTGCATATGCATGGCTTTCTACACATTCAGAAAAGTGATCTGCAAAAATGACATAGTTGAAATTAAAAACTACCAATTTCAGATGAATGACCAGTCTGCGGTCACCTTTTGGTTGCTTTTTCAGTGAATTTAAAACAATGTAAGTTGTAAAATTCAAAAATGAAAAAAATACTTGCAGCTTTATAAATATGATCACTTCTATCTTTCTGGCTCAAATTAATCCAAAACTAAAGAAACCAACAAAGTTGATAGTTTATGAGCTCTAACAGTAACAAGTCCAACCAAGTGCTTGCTAGTACAAAGAAGTTCCACAAGATAAAGAAAGTTTGCTAATCTCAGACATGCTCGCCACGTCGCTTCATCACATGGTTCCATCCAAGATCCCACTCGATGGAAATTTCAACGTGACGGCAGGATGCAAGTCAAAAAATATGGTAATGAATTGTCAAACATTAGAATGTAAGTATTCTTACAAGCCATTCTTGGGCTTAATGCATACATGAAGACCGTCATAACATAATAGAAGATTGCTATATGTTGAGCAAGAAACCGATCAAACCACCAAGCATTTCCCCCCAATTCCTGCAACCAAATCACCACACTATCAGATTATATCAGAATTACATTTGTAAAAAAACAACTGCATTCATATATGTACATGTGCAGGCAAGCATGACTGTGCATATGGACTCATATGTGAGAGTTTGTCGCAATACATCATCATGGAAAACAGTCTCCATGGTTTTTAACTTTTCTAATTTATTTCTTCTAGTATTAACATGCTAAAATTTACTTCATCAATGTTATGTTCCCAAATCATTCATTTAATTGTCTCCCATGCAAGATATCGAAATATGGAAATATAGAGAGACCGACATAACATGATTTTGAGCATTTAAGGGAGGAAAACTGACACTTGTGACACTGTCAATAAGAATTCATAACACAACTTATCCAGTTATCCTAACTAACAAGACAAGTATAAACTACTATTTATATGTCGAAATATAAAAGATAACTTACTTCCATGATGAGCAAATGGTGCATTTCATTCCAGCTCTCAGCAAAATGCACTTTGAGATAATCTGCTCTTCTCCACCATCCAAAACTCTCATACATGTGCAGAACAGACATAAAAGCTGTCACAATGATTAAACGATTATGGAAGGTAACAACTCACAACCATAACTAAAGAGAATTTTCTATAGCGTTCAAAGTTAACTTAGCAATAAAGACCCTTTTTTGGCAACCCAAACCCAAATTTGCAAATTCTTCCAAAATTCAACGTTTACCAACAGTAACCTAGTCATCTAGATCACATTTTTCAAGTAGAAAAAAAATTATCAAATGTAGATTCCGCTTCCCCTTCGATCCTATTACAAATGAATCACCAATAAGACCATTTCTCAGAGATCATTTACTTCTAACACTCAAGACTTAAAAGGTAGCTTGATTTGCAATAGAGGCTCCTAAAATTGGCCAAAGATGACTAACTAAAAGGGAACATTAGCACTAACCGAAGTAAGGAACTCTCGCAATAGTTTCCAGCACAAAGAACCTCGCATAATCTCGGTCGCGGTAAAAAGCATCCAGAATCTTTATCACTGAATCCTGGAAAGATTAAGAAAGGACACAAACTATCAGACATATTAACTTCGGCTAGATAGAAAAAGATAATGAAGTAACAAAGAACGGTTTTACATAAATCAAACACTAAAGAAATATTGGAAGAAGAACGGTTTTACAGATAACACAACAGCAAAGATCAGTATAACATTCTAATGCATCAAAAGCAATTACAGAGCAAAAGATAAAAGATATAATATGAAAGATAATACTTGCCGTGAGCAAGACATTGACAGATTGTTCAAGCTTTATAATCCATCTCTCCAAAGATGACGAACTATCCTGCGGCTTCTTGCCTTTCCCTAGGAACTCCTCATCTGTAAAAGTTTTGGGTCGAAATGTTTCCTCTACCACTACTTTCTCTTCTTCATCTTCTCGCAAAACAGTTGCTTGAACTCGACACGATTTTCTGCGTAAAAAAAAATCGAATCAAGAAAAAGTGAACAAACAAATTGAAGAAAATTTTGAGAAGTAGGTACTTACCGAAAAGTAGGTGTTAATCGATGGGAAGAGAGGGGATTGTGACACAAAAATTTCTGCGGTGCGAAAGGAGTTCTAGAATTTGTAGAAGAAACTGAGATTGCATATATCGAAGGTGAAAGAGCCATCGCCATTATATCTATCCAACTTCTAAAACATTGCGAAGGAATGAAAATAAGGGAAAGCGGGAGTTGGCATTTGCGAGAATAGTCATATATTGGGGGAGGGAGCTAACGGATTTTCCCAGCTGAAGAGCTTTTTGTCGTTTGTGAGTTTGGCAAACGATCGCGGTTTTGCTGAGATGATATTCCTTGATTTTGAGCCACCTGGCACAATTTTCAATTGGGCCTTGGCCGGGTTATTAATTCGATGGGTGGTGATAGTGAGCTGGATTAGTGTATATAAAATTCTGTTAATATTATTGTTACATTTTTTTTTTAAATTATTGTTACGTGATGTTAAGTGATTGATTATTTAGAATATTACTTTTATTTTGTATTGTAACAATTTTATTTTAATTTATTTATTCAAATAAAAGAAAATAATATAACTAATTTTATATGCATATTTGAATAATTTTACTTGGATTAATAAATACTAATACTATAATTTCTTTAGCATGGAATAAAATATATTATTGAATAATTTATAACGATGTGTAATTAAGATCAAATATAAACTAAAATCGAATCAATTATTAATTTATAAGAAAAGGTACTAAAATAAAAATTTACAAAATACCATCTGTTGGAGGTTTAAACTTTAAACAATATATTACTAATGATATTTGTTTTATATAATAAAAAGATTAATTTTGTTCTATGTTGAGTGTAAGAACATTTTAAATTCTGAACTTAATATTAAGATTAAGTGCGTTAGGAGACAAATGAATATGGTGGTCAGCTGTTAGTAAGAACATTTGTTTGTGATGCTGGTTTCTGAATTTAGGATAAATTCCCTCAGATTAATCTATTCAGACAATTGTAGCTAGCTTTTAATAATTAAACTAAACATTTTCACTTGTTATCTGGCAGTATCTTTCTTTTCCGTCTTTTATTGATAAAAAAGAAGCAGAGTGATGCGTCGGACGAGTTCTATAAAATGGACTTGAAATAAATTATGAAAACGACATCAAAATGGTTACGTCGTTACGTGGTGTTGACAGCTGAATGGTAGACTGTATGACGAATGATTTTTCACCAGCTTGAGGTGAGGTAAGCGAACCTAATTTGGCCCCCAGCAATCATACTAGTTTTTTTGTTTTTCTTACGCCTTTAACCATCCACCTGTTGGCTTGTTTGTGGGAGTTACAGTGTGTGATGTTCCTTAATAGTTTGAAAAATTATTAATTTTTAAATCTTTTTTATATTAATATTAGATATCACTTTAAATAAAATTTTGAATAGATAATAAGACAAATTAAATAAAGATATATTAGAGAATTAAAAGGAAATGGCCTATAATTTAGAACAAATAAAATAAAAAAAGAAAATAAATCTATATTTATGCGACAAAATAATACTATATAATTTAATAAAATTTTATAAATCATTCAATAAAATAGCATTTTTGCGCTTTTACTATTTTTGACGAAATTATTATAAAGTGTAAATTTTACAAACTATTTTTTATATATATATCATTGCGAATTGAAGAAAAGTTGTATTACAAAGTTTGAGGCTAGGGAATCTATTGATCAAAGCAATTAGCAGGTGAGATTTGGATTTAACGAAGTGCTAAGACAATGATAAAATTTTCTTTTTTTATCTGTCTCTATCACACATACCAAGCGGCAAGTATTTTCCATAAAAAAATAGTAAAAAAATATAGCAAGAGACAACACGTGGCAAAGATTGATTCATGTTGCATCAAAATTTCTTGCAAAAGAGAAACGAAATCATAATTGACAATATAAGATTAAGAGGGAGAGATCTTACGGAATGTTGACATCGCCTCCCTTTCCTTTTTGCTTCTGATCACATCCATGCTTCCAGGTTTCCTAGTTTATATGCAATCTCGCTGCACTCAGATTCTGAATTGTGCAAAATTTCCCAAACTATGGAAAATGAAGCGGGCTCTTTAATACCCAAGGACCGGACAAACTTAGGCTACTTTGATAATGAAGGAGTAGGATTGAAGAGCTTCAGAGTATTCCTCAACTGGGTATGCCCAGATCGGTCTAATATTTGGAGGACTAGTCTGTCCTGGTCTATCTTCTTCATTCTGGTCATTGTTGTTCCTTTGGTTTCTCACTTCCTTTTTTTGTGCTCAAATTGCGATTCAAAGCATCGAAGACCCTATGATGCAGTAGTGCAATTATCTCTTTCTATATTTGCCATAATTTCATTTTTGAGTCTATCTTCTTGGTCTCATAAGTACGGTCTTAACAAGTTCCTCTTCTTGGACAAATTAAATGATGAAACTGAGAGGATCCGCGGAGAATATAAACAGCAGCTCCAGGTTTGTTATTCTTTTCTTTCTTCTCAATCATTTGTTCTTTTCGCTCCAAATCCAATAGTTCTGCACATATGATCTATGCGATAACCAAGTCAAAATGAATTTCGTGCGTCAATAGAGGTTAAATTTTGATAATCTTGGACTTAATTTCAACTACTTCCTGATTAAGTGCTTGTCTGTCGGATCCGGAGGATATACATGATTGGATCATCTGACCAAATTAATCATAAAAAGGAATCTTAAGGAGGCTTTCGGTCTGTGCTTTGTTTAGTAAAATAATTGCGAGGACAGAGCAGTTAAATTTTTTGATGCAGAGTATCTAATCGATCTTTGACTTTACATTTGATTTAGTAACATTGAAAATCAGAAAATTCTGAATTACGAGAATCAACTAAATAAAAGTTCAATTATTTTTGCACCTTAAACCCTCCAAGTGTTAACAAGTTGAATTCTTGCAGACATCAACGAAGCTGCTCTGCATATTTGTGCTCCCCTGCTTTGCTTTGGAGAGCGCCTATCGAATATGGTGGTACGCGACAGGAGTTTCCGAAATACCCTACTTCGGCAACATGTACATCAGCGACACTATTATTTGCTTATTGCAGCTAAGTTCTTGGGTATATAGAATGTCGATTTACATCGTGGTCTGCATTCTCTACAAACTGATTTGCTATTTGCAAGTGCTAAGACTTGAAGATTTTGGTCAAGTCTTTCAAAAGGAAAGCGATGTCAGCTCGATTTTGAAAGAGCACCTCCGGATCAGAAGAAATCTTCGCATCATAAGCCACCGGTTTCGAAGGTTCATCTTGCTGTCTCTGATTTTAGTCACCGCAAGTCAGTTCATTTATTTGCTGATGACCACTCGTTCCAGCGCCAATAACAACATTTTCGAGGCTGGAGAACTTGCGGTATAGTAAATTAATCAGTAACATTAGTTGTTAAAATATAAGAAAATGCAACTCATAAAATTATAATTCCTGTAATATGATTATGGGGACAGTTGTGCTCCATTAATCTGGTGGCAGGGCTCTTCATATGCCTGCGCAGTGCAACGAAGATCACGCACAAAGCACAGTCCGTCACAAGCCTTGCTACGAAGTGGCATGTCTGCGCTACAATCAACTCTTATGATGATATGGATGGCGAGACTCCAACATATCAGATTAGTACTTGTAGTCGCCAAGTGTTTCATGTGGACATTGATTGGAGTTTGGACGATGAAGATGACGAAGGAGACGATGATTTGGATGATAACAACAAGATGGTGCCGATTTTCGCGCACACAATCTCATTCCAAAAGAGGCAGGCGTTAGGTTAGTGCGAAGCAAAAAATGGATTTCCATCTGTTAATTCCACTTAACCTAAAATATTGAATCCTAATTAATTATTGCATGCAGTAACGTATATGGAAAACAATAGAGCTGGCATGACAGTTTACGGGTTCATGATGGACAGAGCATGGCTCCACACCATATTTGGTATTGAACTGGCTCTGCTACTCTGGTTGCTCAACAAGACAATAGGTGCTTCTTCTTTTCTTTTTTTTTTTTCTTAATCTTAAATTTGTATACGTGCCTCTGCTTGTACCTACGCATGGTTTTCAAAATCTCACTCCTTTCCGTTTTGTTTTTCACTCAGTGAATTGGTCATGAAAGCAAAGACACTCCAGTGACATAAGAAAGGTACGGTACATTTGGCTCTTAAAAGTATATAATTTGGAGATCACCACTTCGTACACACACAGAGATATATCAAAGCTACATGTATGATTCTGATACTGGAAAATTGATGAGGACATTTGAGCTTCACTTGCTAATCAGCTTATTTCTTATATGCTTTAAATGGCGTGAGTAATTGTCCAATTATTCGCTTAAGTGAACCCATTTGATTTCTACTTCTTTTTGTTCAGTACTTGCGAGAAAAAAAATGTAATTTTATCCCAAAATATGGTCTCTAGGACAATCTGAAAAGAGGAAGAAGAATGATCTCATATAAATATATGTTTGTTTTTCGATATTCATACATCTGACATGAGCCTTCAAAACATTTATTTTCGGCTCTATACATGTTAAATTTGTATATCACCGTTCCTCGAGTTTATTCTTACGAAACAAGCACATCTAATCCTTTCCATTGTTTATGAAACCCTGCGCATGATAAAGAGAGAATCTGTCAATTTTCATAACTCGTTTGGGCATAAAATAAAATTTCATTCAGAAAAAGTAGAAAGCTCTTACTTGCTACAGTCCACGTCAGGACCAATGGGTACAGGAAAGTCGACGTTGCAGAGCTGAGGAAGTCGCTTAGCTTTAGCAGTGTTAACCCCAAAAGTTGGTATAGCCAGCTTAAAACATTCACATAGACGTTTGCGTACTTCCTTAGTGGTAGCCTCACGGCTGACCTCTTGTGCAGCTGCACAACATGGAGGGTTGGGCGATGTGTCGTTACCAACCAAGTATGGATCGCAAGGCATCAAAGTCATGGTTTCCTGGCATAGCGAAGCTAGCAAAGGCTTAGCGCTCACAATCAAAACCGCCAATACCAAGCTCCACAAACCCATCATTTTGTTCTCCTCTCAAGTTTGCAGAATTGTTAACTCAGCTCGCTCTGAAATCTACTGCTAGATATTCATTCGACTCGTGTAGCTATATACTAATTTACGAGCAAGTTTTATTTACCATTTAGGTATTGGAGTAATTAATGAATGAGATTTGTATACCTTATGTTCACCGTTTGAAAAATGTATATATGGGATGTGAATCCACTTTCTTTATTTAAACAACGTAAAAATGGAATGTGAATCCACTTTCTTTATTTTATTAAAGAGAGTTGTTGATTTGAAATATAATTTTTAAGAAATAAAACTCGATTTAATCTCAGGCCAAATTGCACCAATAAGTAGTCAAATATTTGATTAGTTTTAAATAATTTTAGCATTTGGTTTTGTTTCCTCACCATGTATTGAATTATGGGCTATTCAGGAATTGATTAAGCAGCTGTTGACTTCTGATGGAGATGGATTGAAGCTGTTCAATTCCTCATATATAGAGGCAAATCTCTGCATTGATTTATGTTGCTGGTTGGTTAAAACTATTAAAATCTATTAACTTATAAAAACATTTAGGATTACACATTTTAAAAATTTATTGTTAAATATGAGCAAAAATATATAAAAATAATAAATTGTCACAGTTGTTGATTGTTAACGTGGCCAAATAACTGACACCGTACGTAATTCTGAGTTGGCTAATATACCAAATCAATGTAATAGAAATATCTAACATAATTGATGATTTTAGTATCTTTTTATTAGTGAAAAAAAAAGGCAAAATAGTAATAAATAAATACAAATTTTCTTAATTGATAAATAATCATTGGCTTGGTAAATGGATGAACCAGCTGGTATTTTCTTGTCCTACCCCTGAAAGGAAGACAACCCTGGCCACGTAATAAAAAGATGAGGCATTTAAATTGCAACAACAAAGGAAGATATTGCAAAGGTGAAGACAGTAGAAGATGTTTATGCATGGCAATTGCCGATAAAGAAACTTTGTAGTATTGCTTATGACCCAGTTGTTGCTCGTGCCTTTCATCACTGGCTAAATGCCAAATGCAACTCTGTAACCATCGAATCATTGTCTTATATTGGCTTAGCAAGATCCTCGCAATCACCGTGAGCCTTTAACCCACCTATAATTTTTTGGCCACCTAAATTATTAACTTTATGATTCATATTGTTTCTTCCTTGTCCAGAGTTACTCTATCAAACAAGTTCAGAAAGCAAAATTAGCCGCTAGCCATATCTCAACTCCTTAATGGCTGTAAGTGGTCCTTTAGCTATAGCTCTTCTCTTTCTTTTTTTTTTTTTTTCTTTTATTTTAAGGTTGGTAACGTGGTAATTGTATTTTCCTTCTCCTTAATTGTAATACTACGTACTATATTGATTATGCATTCTGATCTAAAACCTAAAATGGTGCCTCAGTAATGAGCTATTCATTTTAAGTTTTAAAAACATGCGAGGATTCACATGCGTAAAAACAGAGCAGCTGTTATTACAATGAATTAGAATTAATAATTATGATGAATATTTCAAGATTGATATGTAGACTCTTTTCTTTTCTGATATGCGTTCAACTGACAACTGATACTGTTGAAATTCAACAATTTTTACAGCAAAGTTGCCATGTTCCCAAATTCGGAAACTGGGAAAATGATAATATACCTTACACTGCATACTTCGAAAATGCGCGCAAAGAGAAAACGGGAGTGAAGATAAACCCAAATGATCCTGAGGAGAATCCAGAGGCCTTCATGTACCGGAAAGACGAATTCGATTTGAGTTTTGGTCAATCCATACAGATTACCACAACACATTTAGAGGAAAATCCTTCTGGTCGCCAAAAGAGCATCACATCAGAATCTGCCATTGCCAGCGACGAGAGCAATTCTGATTATTCGATGTTGCAAGCTGCAGGTTTTCGGCGTCAAAGATCTGCCCGGAATAAGAAAAGAGCAAAAGTTAGAAATTTTGCTTATTGACCCTTTTTTTTTTAAATTTTGTTGTTGACATGTTCTTGATTTTTATTTTTGGATGCATGGCAGCATCACAGAGCAGCATCAGTTCCCAAATTTGGATCTTGGGATCAATCAGACCCCAATTCTGGAGAAGGTTTTACTGCAATTTTCAACAGAGTGAAAGAGGAAAAACAAATTGCATCGTCCACATTCCCATCTCTCCCACCGAAACCAACATACCGTTCCTACACTCACACAGACAAGGAAACTTCCTCCTCTAGACTCAAGGTAACCATTTCCTCCAGAGCAAAGTTTAAATAACTCCATTATGATAACAAATTAACAATTACAAATTAACCTGTGCAGTCCTGTTGCTGTCTCTTTTCATGTGGAAGCCGATAAACAAATGCATTGCATATTTTGGCTTCAGAAACGAAATTCATTTTGCAGAACCAATGGTTTCTCTCCCTTGTATTCTTTATTTTACTGTTCGTTAGTGACAGACAGAGGATATACTTCTTTTTTCCTTTCTTTATGATCATTAAATGCAAATCTAGTTTGTTTCTCTCTCACAGTAATTTTCGGTTCTTCTAGCCAACATTGGATAAATCCTCGATAAATGTATAATTCCTTCATTTCGCTATATATATACTACGTTCCCTAAAAAATTATTAGTAATAATTTTGAAGCAGCTTACGATATTATATTAACCAACTTTAAAAAATTATGTTTTAATTAGTATCTATTGTTATCTGCTTGTGGGAAATAATTATCGTTTCAGTATAATTCGTCAGAACATTCAAACTTTTTTTCGGGATCAAGCACCCCCATAACAGAAGAGGGAGGTTGCTCAAGTCCGTACAAACCCTGCTGCAAATTAATGGCCTAGTTAGCTAAGATATCGGCAACTTGATTTCCCTCCCTATAAAATATTTCGAATCTTGATCTCCCGTTGTCATTGCAGCAAAGAAACAATAGCGGAGAGGATATTTCGAAATCTCATTTATTGATAACATCCACCAAGGTCTGCAAGTCTGTCTGAAGCTCAAGTTTCCGAAATCCCATATCCCATGCAAATAAACCCCAATAAACAAGCCAGAACTCGGCCTCTAGAGCATTGCTGCGTCCAATCTCCATATTAAATAAAAAATAAAAAAATATAAATTATATAGATGAGGTGGCGCCCTAATTCAAACTTAAAATCCGGGGAACGAATTTCGATGCGGGACCCTGTCCAGCTAGCCAGGCCCACCTCAAAAGCCCAACGGATCATCGCGCGATCATTTGTATTATGTCCTAATCTAATCACAGTGATTAAAAGTTAAAACATCTTTCCTCCAAAAAAAAAAAAAGAAAAAAAAAGAAAAAAAGGGTTAAAACACCATAACTACGACGTCGTATTGTATTTTTACCTGAGCGCCAAAACCAGTTGCAGTGTTGCGCAATGCGCACAGCGTGAAATAGAGAGTGTGTGCGCTGTGTGGCACTGCACGCTTAAAATAGATTTCGAATTTTTTTTCGCGGAGCATCCAAATCTTCAAAATAATTCAAATTTCAGAGACACAGAACGAGATAGGAGTTATAAAAATTCGTTTTCTTCCCATCTTTTGGTTTGGTAAAGCAAAGCAAGCGAATAAACCTTCTACTTTCTAGTCAGAATCTCACAGAAAGGAGGAGACCTTTGTTCGTGAGTGTAGGTGTAGTTTTGTATTTGCAAATGGAGTTAGGAAAAGGCACAGTGGGATCATGCTCAAAGGAGCATCAACAGATGTACAAGGAGTGGTTCAATTCAGCCGATTCAGGTTTTTCTTCTTCTTTTGTTCATTTTAGTTAATGTTACACTCACTTGTGCTTCGCCTACAAAACCAAATGTCTTTTTGGGATTAATTTGCTGTAGATGGCGACGGGCGTATCACTGGTAATGATGCTACTAAATTCTTGGCTATGTCAAACCTTTCTCGTCAGGAACTCAAACAGGTTACTCCATCTCATCTTTATTACTATTCTTATTGTATTCTATTTTGCGGATTCTCAGTTTTCTTACTGATTCGTGATTTTCCGTATTCGTGGTTTCTCAGTGAAAAAACCATGTCTGCGTATTTATTTTGGTTTTTCACTTGTCCGATTAAAGGGCCAAAAGATTTATCCTACTTATCTATTTTGTTTTGCTTGTTTCCGGAAGGTTTGGGCACTTGCAGATTCTAAACGGCAAGGATTTTTAGGATTTACTGAGTTCATTCTTGCTATGCAGGTTTTAATTCATTTTTTACTGCCTCAGGTTTTTATACTATCTAACTGGTGTGAAATCTCACTTGTTTATTAATTGTCTTAACTGCAGCTCATTTCTCTGGCTCAAGCAGGACATGAAATAACCTCGGATATTCTTAAAACTACTTGTATGTAATGTCCTATCATGGTTTTTCTTAATGAACTTAGCAGTGATGGCCATATCCCAGATTTTTTAAGACGGAGTAAAACTCTGCCATATAACTAGGACTGCAAGTCTGCAAGACTAGTTTGGATATTTGCAATGCTGTAGCATCATAGGGTAGAGAATCACGTGCATTCCATTTTCCCTCCAGATATTGAGAATTAAGCCTCTTTGGTTTATCTTTGCATTTGTTTATCATTAACAAGCATAAGTCAAGGTTCCAGTTTGGTGGTTAACTTATTGCTATTGATTTTATTTTGGTTACTTAATAGCTTGATGCAATTATGTCTTTCTCAGGTTCCATAGAGAATATAAAACCTCCTTTGATGGAAGGCATTGATGCCTTGTTAGTTGTAAGTAGTCTGCTTTATCTTATTTTATGGTTCAGTTATTCAAATGGCAATGCAACTACTAATTTGATTTTTCTCTGTAATTTCCCAGAAAAGCAAGGGCTCATCAACAGATTATGAGCCAGAAATCAATGGTCAGACACTTTGCATCTTTGTTGATATAAGATGCATTGTTTTTTTTATTGTTGGTTAAGTTAGTTCATTGTAATGAGTGATGTAGGATCTGCTCAGCTACAACCATCAATAACAGGTCAACGGTTTAATTCAAAGTCATCAAGAAAGGTGAGGCATATGTTCCTGTTTGTACAATAGTTTTGCCTATGTTAATGATATTTTCTTTATGTAATGTAACCTTAAATATTAAGCTAATTGATATGTGGGATTAATGGTCTACATTCTCATGGTTGAATTACATTCAGATATATAGTTTACTTGCACAGATTCAGTAAAATGCTAGATCAACTTGCTCCTATTTGTTTTTAGAGGATGGTATTTTAAATTTGTTTTGCTGATGACTTCACATTATTCTCTTCTTAATTCCTTGTTCAGATGCCACTTATTGCAGTTACATCCATCATTGATGGCTTGAAGAGACTGTATCTTGAAAAGCTAAAGCCTTTGGAAGTGACCTATCGTTTTAATGATTTTGTATCTCCCTTATTGGTGAGTATACTGAAGACATATTATTTTGACTTATTTGCATTGCCAATTTAATTTCACTTATCCCCTCCCCCTCTGTGTGTGTGCGCTTTTGACTTCCAGTCTTCAATTTTGTAAACAGTCTGAGTCATGCAATGCTCTTTGGCTCTTGTTAGCAGGCAATAAAATCTAGGTACAAAAAGCTTTAATTAACCATCTATATTGATTAATTTTTCAGACAAACAGTGATTTTGATGCCAAGCCTATGGTTATGCTTTTGGGTCAGTATTCCACTGGCAAAACAACGTTTATAAAACATTTACTTAGATGTAATTATCCAGGTTAGTTAAGTACTCACAATTCTCCTTTCTCCTTTTCAATAAATTAACCTTTCTGGTCAGCTATCTTAGTGTTGGTTATTTTTCTTTTTCCTCCACACAGGAGCTCACATTGGACCAGAGCCTACAACGGATAGATTTGTTGTTGTAATGGTATGGTTAGCCATTTTCATTCTAGTGTTTTATTTTAAAAGTTCAAATGACATGCTAAGTTATGCTGAAGCCTTCATCTGATGACATGAGTCCATTTATTTTGGTTTAGATTTATTGTAGTTTCATCATGATTTGTTTGTTTGCTGGGGTTATCAATTGGAGTTGTTCAAAGTTTATTTTTTGTTGACTAGTGAAATAAGTTGCAATGGACGTGGCAAAATAATTGTTACACTTTGGTCCTTGGGGAATTTGATTCTCATATAGTTTTGAGTGGTGTTCAAGTTTACTTTCTATGCTTTGGAAGTTTTCGAACCAGTGTGTCTAAATCTGTCGAGCTTTTTTTCTTTCTCCAGAATAGGACTGACATCCAATAACTGATTTGACTTGCTGACAAGCCTTGTAATGTTGACCATCTATCATCGCTTCATTTTTGTATCCATGATGGATGCTTATCATGGTACTTTTTGAGAATTCAGTTTTTTTTTCCTTAAAATCAGTCTGGTTCCGATGAAAGGAGTATACCTGGCAACACTGTTGCTGTTCATGCAGACATGCCATTTAGTGGCCTAACAACTTTTGGAGGGGCATTTTTATCGAAGTTCGAGTGTGCACAAATGCCACATCCAGTGAGTTACATTTTGCGTTTTCTTTTTTGACTTTTATCCGCTTATTTTGTTATTTATCATAATCGTTATTTTCAATTTGTTGCAGTTGCTGGATGAAATTACAATTGTTGATACCCCTGGGGTTCTATCCGGAGAAAAGCAACGGACACAAAGGAGTTATGATTTTACTGGTGTTATATCATGGTTTGCAGCAAAATGTGATCTCATTCTTCTTCTGTTTGATCCTCATAAACTTGATATAAGTGATGAGTTCAAGAGAGTAATTGCATCTCTGCGTGGCAATGATGACAAGATACGTGTTGTTTTAAATAAGGCAGACCAGGTGGATACACAACAGGTAAGATGTTTCATTCCACTGATGTCTTTACTTTTTAATTGCAGAAATTCTAGTATTGTACAATCTGCTTACTTGCAGACATTTTTTTATATAGCTGATGAGAGTTTATGGGGCATTAATGTGGTCACTAGGAAAAGTTCTAAATACACCAGAAGTTATGCGAGTTTATATCGGGTATGTTCTCTGCCTTTCTTACATTATTTGGTCGGGCAAACTGATAATTTGTCTGTATGCTATGGAGCTACCGTCTCAATAAAGTTTTTATATCATTTTATTGTATCCGTGTTTTACCATATGTAGTAGCATTATAGCATATGGATGGCAATATCAGGCTTAGCGATTAAAATTTTTGTAGGTTAAATTTCTTACTGCAAAATTTCTTTCACATTTAACTTTTCCATTTGGAGATTTTTTCCTCAACATACATTGATTAAATTTGTCTTTTGTGATGCTTGTTGATTATGGTCAATCCTATATGTCTGCCTCATCATTGCTAATTTATTTGAGGATTTTCTTTGTAGTGTAATTATTTTATGAAAAATGATTACACTACACTACAATATCTAGGGGCAGAGTCTTTGTTGTGCAAGTTAAGTGGTTATAAGTTTTTTATATGATTGTCCTGTTCTAAGTTGGTGGTCGTTTTGCTGGCTTTGCAGTTCATTCAACGACAAGCCTATTAATGAAGAAACTGTCAACCCAATGTTCCTTGAACTTTTTGAAAAAGAACAGGATGATCTTCTCATGGACTTGGTTGATATTCCTAAGAAGGCTTGTGATCGCCGTGTATGTGTAACATTGTAATTTACTATTAGCATTGAAATGGCATATGCACATTTGCTTAGATGCATATTTATTTCTTTGTATCTGAGCTTATGAAATAAGTAGTAGGCAAATGATGGGTTATAAATGTTTGTTGTGTTGTCATATAGATCAATGAATTCGTGAAGCGTGCTAGAGCTGCTAAGATACATGCCTACATAATCAGCCATCTTAAGAAAGAGATGCCTGCCATAATGGGCAAAGCTAAGACTCAACAACGCCTTATTGACAATCTTGAAGATGAATTTGCAAAGGTTTATCTCTTTCTCTATCTGTGCAATTTGTACTTTCCTCTGCTCTGGATGTGTAGTAACCGGTAATACTTTTATGGAGCAGGTACAAAGGGAATTTCATTTACCAGCTGGAGATTTTCCAAATGTGGATCATTTCAAGGAAGTGTTGAATGGTTATAGCATCGACAAGTTTGAGAAATTAAAGCCCAAGATGATACAAGCTGTCGATGACATGCTTGGCTATGAAATCCCAGAGCTGTTGAAAAATTTTAGGAACCCTTATGCATAAATAAATCACTATGAAAGTGAGGCATGCTATGGTTTATAAAAAACTTTTGAGAGTGATGGCAATGTTTTTTTTTTTTTTTTTTTTTTACCACTACCACTTACAATATCTTAAGGGGCAGGAAGTCTTTTGTTGCTGCAATGTTAAGTGGTTGTTATAAGTTTGTTTTTTTTATATGATTGTTTCCTGTTCTAAGTTGGTTGGTTCGTTGTTTGCTGGCTTTTGCAGTTCAATTCAACGGACAAGGCCCTCCTATTTAATGAAGAGAAGAAGGAAAACTGTCAAACCCAATTGTCTTGACACTTTTTGAAAAAAGAAAAACAGGATGATCTTTCTCAATGGAACTTGGTTGATATTCCTAAGGAAGGGCTTTTTGTGATCGCCGTGTTATTGTTATGTGTTGTAACACTTTGTAATTTTAACTATTTAGCATTTAAATGGCATATTGCACCATTGCTTAGATGCATGCATATTTATTTCTTTGTTAATTTCTGTAGCTTATTGAAAATAGTAGTAGGCAAAATGACGGGTTAATAAATGGTTTTGTTTGTGTTGCATATAGATCAATGAATTCGTTTGAGAAAAGCGTGGCTAGAAGCTGCTTTTAGCTTAAGAGCATTTCTACATTGGCCTACATGAATCAGCCATCTTTAAAGGAAAAAGAGATGTGCCTGCCCATAATGGCAAAGCTAAGGGACTTCAACAACGGCCTTATTTGACAATCTTGAAGATGAAATTTGCAAAAGGTTTTATCTCTTTCTCTTATCTGTCAATTTAGTTACTCCTTCTGCTTCTGGATGTGTAGTAAACCGGTTTAATTTTACTTTTATGGAGGGCAGGTTACCCAAAGGGAATTTTCATTTTTACCAGCTGGAGAGAAATTTTTACCCAAATGTGGAATCATTTTCAACGACAGTGTTGAATGGTTATAAGCATCGGGGAACAAAGTTTGAGAAATTTTTAAAAAAAGAAAAATTTATTTAAAGCCCAAAGATTGGATACCAAAGGCTGTCGATTGACATCGCTTTGGCTATGAAAAATCCCAGAGCTGCGGTGTTGTAAAAAAAATTTTAGGAAACCCTTATGGCGCATAAATAAATCACTATTGAAAAGGTGAGGCATGCTAATGGTTTATAAAAAACTTTTGAGAGTTGAGTATGATGGCAAATAATGTTTTTTTTTTTTTTTTTTTTTGAGGTGGGTAATTGCGTAAGGTTAATTTAACTTTTTGTTGGTTATTTTTAAATATTCTTTCCTGGATAGATAATTTTTGCACTGGAACTCCATTAAAATTTATGTGCCCAAAAAAGGTTTATAGAAATTTGTGCTAAATTAATTGAAATACATAAAAATATTTCTTTTATTCAAAATGCACATAACATAAAACAAGTTAAAAAATTAAAAAGGAAAAAATATTTTTTGTAGTTCCCCTGGAATTTGACAAAATTAATCATTTGATAAAATAATAACATTTTCTGTCTGAACCAAATTATGATTTCTTCATCGTTTAAAGTTCAATTTAATGGCAATGTTTTTTTTTTTTTTTTTTTGAGGTAATTACTTTTTGTTGGTTAAATATCTTTTCTGGATAATTGCACTGGAACTCCATTAAAATTTGTGCCAAAAAGGTTAGAATTGTGCTAAATTAATGAAATACATAAAATATTTCTTTTATTCAAAATGCATAAAAATTAAAAAATAAAAGGAAAAATTATTTTGTAGTCCCTGGAATTTGACAAAATTAATCATTTGATAAAATAATTAACATTCTGTCTGAACAAATATTGATTTTCTCGTTAAATTTCAATAGAAAAGAAAGAGCTGGACAGAGACAAGGTGATTAATTTTATCAAAATGATTTTTACTAAATGATTATTATCAAACCTCAGCAACTAAATGATTATTAATTTTATCAAAATAATTGTTGATAATTCTAAATCTCAACGCCAATGTGGGCCCAGACGTTCATCCCAACAGCATCAACCTGTCAAACAAAACGACCGCGTCATTCCTTCTCCGACTATTGTCCATTAGATATAGAAACCAAAAGTAATTGCTTTATCTCGCAGCAAGCGATACCATGGAGAAGACAAAAATAAATAGCAAGAGGTTTGAAGGGAAGGTAGCTATTGTCACTGCTTCTACGCAGGGAATAGGCTTCGGAATCGCTGAGCGCCTCGGCTTGGAAGGTGCCGCCGTCGTCATTTCTTCTCGCAAGCAGGTTCATTGCTTTGCATTTCTCATATATTATGTTTGGACGATTTTGGAATTCGGAATTTTAAATCTCAGTTTGTTATCCTTTTCTTCGACCTGATCGGCTTCGCTGTGGATTGAATTTCTATTTTCAATCTCATTGATCGGCATAATGAACTCAGCCTAGCCAACGTAGCTGCTGAATCTCGTTTAGCTGACCTTTTTTTTTTCCCTTTCGCGTTGGCTTACATAATTACATGTTAAATAATCAGATTGGATTGTCGCTGTTCGATTCATTAATTGCGAAAACTGGTACAAGTGTTTGATTTATCTTGTTATGGAATAATTTTTCAATTTGGACAAAGTTTCATGATCGGTATTGATTTCCAGGTAGCTTAATTTGCCTTAGGATTTCGGTTGGGGCTCTAGCATCAATCCAACAGACGATAACATTTTCTACTTGACTGCAAACCTAATGAAAATTAAGGATGTCGGTATAAACATTTTTGCCAAAAGAAAATATTGGACAAGTCTACTGTTTCGGTTATATTATTCTTGACATTGTTCACATGAAAAATAAAGGGAGGTACAAATAAGGGAACAGGAGAAGGGTCAACAAGGAGAAATGTTGGTGCTGACATATTATAGCATAAGCAGTTTCCATTGTTGATCAAATGACAGAATATGTTTCCCTGTAAATTAGGTTCTACGATGTTTATATAAATTTGTCAACGTGAAATATACAGCAAGTGTTCCGATAACTAGTTCATTAAGATTTCTGAAACAATGAACAACCCATGTCATATTGAGCCTAATAAATTGAATTTAGGCACGTTCTAGTGCAAGTTGTACTTCTCTTAGATGGTTATTTTTTAGTCTGCAACTCTGCATCTACTAGATCTTGATTGTATGTATGTTTAAATTGATCCAGAAAAATGTAGATGAAGCTGTTCAGAAGCTTAAAGTTCGGGGTATCCAAGTGTTGGGTGTTGTTTGTCATGTGTCAAACGCACAACAAAGGAAGAATCTCATTGAGAAAACAGTTCAGGTGAGAAAATAATCTTTTCTGTGGCTTCTTCTCCTTCCATCCTTCTCTCTCTTTCTTTAATATCTATTTTTATTTGTCTACATGTATTAATCATGAAGGTGTTTGTTCCAGTAGAACTACAGAAAGAGTGCTCTGCACTTGTGGTTAAAGATGGTTCTTGACTGACAGGAAATTGCTGATTTTTGGTTTCAGAAATATGGAAAAATAGATGTGGTTGTATCGAATGCTGCTGCCAATCCAAGCGCTGAATCCATTTTGAACACCCAAGAATCTGTCCTTGACAAGCTATGGGAAATTAATGTCAAAGCCTCTATCCTTCTTTTGCAGGTACCATTTCTATTTTCAATGAATTTCGCATTAGAACTAAAATGTGAATTTTCTTTGCATTTTTCTATAGTAATAAAGAAAGTGGGAATTTTCTCTCTCTTATTTATTTTTTTTTTTTTCTGGCGGCAGGATGCAGCTCCTCACTTGCAGAAGGGTTCTTCAGTTATTCTCATTTCCTCTATTGCTGGTTACCACCCTCAAGCTTCCATGGCTATGTATGGGGTGACAAAGACAGCTCTTCTCGGACTCACTAAGGTACATATTTGTCCTGACTTCTTGTGATATTTCGTTACTTCAGCATTGACAAACCATTGATTGCTATATAATGTATACTGCTCGTTGGGATGTTCTGTCTCTCCCTTGTGAAGTTACAAATGTGGGCTTGAAGTTATTACCCAGTGGTGAAAGGACTGAATTGTTGTATTTGGTTGGTCCATGATCTTTCACTTACAAATGGAATGTATAATATTTCGCTACAAATGGCAGCTTCCCCCTTATCCCGTTAACACTCCCAGGGATTGAAATCTGAGGGCTTGATGCTGGTATTACAAGGTTTAACTATCAAGCAGTCTACCTAGGATCTTGTGTGCGTGTGTGTATATATATAATATACACATTTTTTTTATTGTATTTGTTTGTAAGTAAACGTGGAGTTATCTCATGGAGATGGCAGGAGTTTTAATAGTTTTAATAACAACCAAATCTTAATCCAAAACTAGTTAGAGTCATACATTTGGAAATATTTTAGTTACTTTTTTTTGTGAAAAAATTTTGCAAAAAAAAAAAAAAAAAACTATTTGCTAAACAAAAGTAAAACAGTAAATAATTAAGCTTTAAATTAGTTAGGGTTTACTGTAGATGTTTCGCAACAACTTCTTTCCATGTGGTTCTAGTTTTTTCCTTCTAACGTTTTCTAATTTTTGTTTAGGCCCTTGCAGCTGAGATGGCACCTGATACTCGTGTAAACTGTATAGCACCAGGGTTTGTTCCAACACATTTTGCTGAGTTCATCACGGGCAATGAGGCTTTGGTAAGTATAGTTCCAGACGTTAGTTATTTCCATTTTTGCTCACATTTGGAATAGCCCAAGGACTCTGTGGCTTATTTTTTACTGAATTTGTATCTTCATTGTTGTAGAGGAAGTCCATTGAGGGAAAAACCTTACTGAACAGGCTTGGTACCACAGGAGACATGGCCTCCGCAGCTGCATTTTTGGCATCTGATGATGCTTCTTACATAACCGGAGAAACTTTGATTGTGGCTGGAGGAATACCCTCTAGACTTTAGTTTTCTTCAATGGATTAGCTTTAGTCCACAGTAATAAACAAATAAATATCCTAGCAGAGAGAATTTTTCTTGCTGCTTTTGATGGATTAGCTTTCATTTTTCATGCGTTACATGAATTATGTTACAAACAAAATAGGTACGACTTTTTATTTTCCATGAGAAAAGTAAAAAATTTCTTTTATTGTCTGAAAAAATTGCCTTTGAGGAAGATTGTTATTTTACTTAGCAAAATGGAATACAAAATAACAGATTTTCATCTTTGGAAGCCATTTTACATATAAATTAGAAAAATATGTAATCCTCAGTAAATAAATTTCTAATGTTTGAGTTGTTTTAAAGGAAGATTTTTTTAAAAGAAAACCTTTTGGATTTTAGAGGCCTTGGATACCAAAATATCGTACATTCTTTCAACCCATCAATTTGAAACGTACGATATAATTTTAATTTCTGTTATTTTAATTATTAAGAATTTCAAGTTGCCTCATTCTTTTTTTTTTTTTATTTTATTTTTTCTTCTCATTTTTCACCGTCGATTTTAAAAAAAACAATACTTAAATACTCTTTTCATTCCATTTGATTCGACAAAACACGCATAATAAAAATTTAGTTTAATAAAATTTATTCTAACTCTTTTTATTCTTAACTTAATAAAATATTAATAAAAATCATTCATTAAATGAATAATTATAAATAATATTTTAAAAAAAATATATTTAAATTTAAAAACCTTTTAAATATTTTGACACATTCAAAAAAAAAAAAAAACAAATAATCAAAATGGAACTGATAAATCTTTTTTTATATGCATAGATCAATATTTTATTAAAAAAAATTATTTGATTTAGATATTTAAAATCTTTTTAAGAAAATTATTTTTCATAATTTTATATTTAACCTTACCTTCCAATCATCAAACCAAACAAGACAACATCAAACCAATAAACCAAACAAGACAACATCAAACCAATAAACCAAACAAAACAACGCGAAGCTTATTAAACCTTTCTTCACCTTATCTTTTTCCCAAAAATAAAAAAGGCAATTACCTTACCAATTACCACACCTTGCCATAGGTTACAGTCATTAAACCTTCTTTCACCCCTTCCAAACAAAGGGTAACAGAACCCTATTATTACATGCTATTACACTATATATATATATATACCATACTAAAATCATAATCCCTTTGGGTGACTGCTAAATTATGTACACAAATTAGCCAAAATCAAAATATGCTATAGCGCCAATCATCAAACAACAGTTCTCAGCTTCTTTGCAAAGTCTTCTTTCTTTCCCCTATGGACTTCTTGACACAATCTCCAACGCCTATCATCCCATATCACTAGATTATGCTTGATGTATATATCAGTCTTGTAGCTCTGGAACTTCTAGGCCATTTTATATCCATTTTTAGTACCTAGAAACAAAGTGACTGGTTTTCATGGGTGCCCGATGATTCCATTCCTCACCACTCTTTCAGCATTTACTTGTGAAATCCAATTCAAAATAAAACCAAGATTATGCGAAAATGACAGATATCTACACAGGAACTACATCAGCATCTTGATTATCCTCGCATGTCAAAACAAGACCCTCAACATAGGTTGGGAGGAGAAATTGGAACCATCGACAACCTGTTGAAACAGGCTCCTGTGGTGGAACTATCATCAGTACATTATCATGGCGTCGAACAACACCCATCACACTCACAGTGCTTCCTTCTTTGATATACCTGAGGTCCAATAAAATCCTTAGAAGTATCCAAACCAGAAAACAAAAATCAGAATGTCAAGGAATCGATCAGTTCCCAAGTGCGCAAGGGAATTTAAGATCTGAACAAAAATTGCAAGGGGAAAAAGATTTAGGATATCAGATGGCGTACCCTTCCTTGAGGCGCATAATCCGGTGATCGCTGGAGAGGCTACGATCAGCTAACCAGCGTAAAAAGTTTGGTGATAAATCTCTGTTCTCCTTCTTCACGTCAACTACTGTAGCTGGTTTGACAAATGGAGCAACCTTTGCCCCATAGCCTGCCTTTACTAGTGCTCTTAATCCAGATTGGAAATCTGATATGTAAAAGTCAGCAACATATTTCTGTTCACCAGAATCAGTATGTCATTAAATGCACACAAGATGTTCTCTCTTCCCGAAAAGTAAGGACCCAGGCACAGAAAAGAACTAAAACATCAACTTTAGACAATAAAAGTATTATTCCCAATTAAAGGCACAGCTACAGTTGCAGTTAGTTTATAATCATGAAAGTGTTCGAGACTTAAAGCCATAAAAGTCAATTTGTGTGCCCTCTTATTAACGTGCATAGAATAGAACACTGTCAGTAACTTTTATGTTGTCACTCAGCTACATGATTCTATTTAACAGCATATATCTTAAAATCAGGTGCCAAGATCATTGTTTCTGTTTTAGTTATTTAGTGTTTGACTGAATTGAATTTAACAGGTTTGAATAATGACACCCAAGTACTCGAGCAAATGCAGTGAGAAACTGAACCACCATTGGCAAAAAATTACATATTTCCAAACTGACCTCCGAATATCTAGATCCCCATGAGAAGAAACGGTGCTTGGGATGTGCAGATATTCCACCACACCCCCTGTATTCATGCAGTTCCGTGGAAACATATACGCACCTGGGTACCCTCTGGTAAGATGATTCCAAAGGGATACTGCCACATGTGACAACCTACATAAAAGAAATCCATGCATACATTACATCAAACACAATATACTAAATAGAAATCGTGAACAAAGATGTTTGCTCATATACCATCTGTACACCTTTTTGTACACCTTTTTCAAACTAATACCAAAATATAGCCAAGTTATGTTAAATATTTCAGCTCCAGCTCAACAAGTGCATCTACTCAAAAAGTAAAATGCTAGCTTGAAACTTTAAGCAGAATGCCAAAAACTAAGATAGAAGTTAACTCCATAATAAGAATAACCCGTCAAAGTTTTCCATCAAAAAATGCTGAATGGAAATTTCTCTGCATTAATAGCATACAGACTCATGGTAGATTCCAGGCTGACGGGTTTACATAACAAGTATTTATTTCTTTAAACCAATGCAGATTGCTCAGGAAGTCATTAAAAGAGTTCAGGAAGACATTAAAAGGGCTGAGGTAGTGATATCATTAATGGAAAGCCATGAATTGGTCATTTTGGCATGTCTCAATTGAAATTACTTCGGGGAAATCAAGCACCTGAGTATAAATTATAATAGAAAGACAAAACGGTGAACCATAAAACAAGGAGGTCTGAAGTCAAGGTAAAGACACAATCGACGCTCCTAAAGAAAAAAACAAGCATATTGCAATCAGTTCACCGAGTAGGTTTGAAGTCATCTCATAGAATTCAATCTTTTAACCCCACAACAAGCAAATATGGTCCCCTCTAACATCTAACCAGCACATGCAACCAAGATTGTGCGTGACAGCTTTGCTGGCTCAACTCCACCTCTCATGTGGACCAAAACTTTCAACGGGCTTCAAGACACTGGGAAAATTGCGAGTACATAACTTAAGTTCCCTCAGCTCCGGAGGGAGAAAGCTTATGGGGGGATAGAACATAGACATACGGAGAAAAAAACTATCCTCTTAATTAAGAATCAGCAGAAAGTTAAATCATTCATAAACGAACCGTTGGTTATTTCAATTAAAGTAAGCTAAATTCCATAAAAGTCTGCGTTTCTCCGTTTAGCTTTCTAGTCCTTAAATTAAAATTACAAGCATCAATCCAAACGCCCACCTACTACATATCTAAGAAAAAATTTTAAAAAAAAAGTATATTGAGAAAAAAGAACCAAGGAATTGACCCCAGAGATAATATAGGAGAATAAAGTAGCGTAATGTGTAATATAATCAGAGAGTGGTGTGAAAATTACCCCAGTGACCTTGACGTACTGTCCATCAATAGCACCTCTAAGCTCAGCATCGGGATACCTGCTAACAAACCCTAACAGCCCTTTCCTTCCCCAGACGCAATTCCAGATAAGCCCTACAATTACGGGGATCAGTATCGCTCCCACGGCCACCAAAATAACCGCTTTTTTAACTGCCACCATTAGGAATGCACCAACAAGCAATCCCATGGCCACCACTACCAGTATCACCCACACCACGGGCCTTGAAATCCTAAAACCGACCTTTACATCCTCCGTCAAGCTGGTAACAGCAGACCCATAGAGCGCCTTGCTAGAGCCGGATCCAATTACTGAGGCAGTATGGTCGAGCTGGCCGGATCTCCTGTGGGATGGTGGAAGCGAACCGGAGCCCAATGGACCGGAGCCAAGGGGTCCGGAGGTGATGAGACCGGTGGGCTGGAGGGGCATAGGACCGGAGGATTTCTTGACTGGTCCGGAGTTGGGCCCGGATCGGACGGATCCGCTATTGTGTTGAGAAGAGGAGGAATGGCGCGAGGGTTGCTTGGGTATAGGAGGAGGAGAAGGCCCAGTAGGAGAGTGTTGATCGAGGACGGGGATGTCAAACATTTTACCTAGCTCGCCTGACTTTTTGATATCACCTCCGGTATAAGGAACGGCGCGTGATGCCATTGTAGGTTGCTTCTCCTTGAGAGGCTGGTCCGGTCGACCGGAGACGACGAGCCCATTTTTGAGCTGGTGTGACGTAATTCTTGTTCCCATTTTTTGTAATTGTAGGGTGATTGATCGAGAGAGAGAGAGAAGCAGAAGTGAAGAGTGTGGAGGGCAGAGTAATGAGCAGTAGGAGGAGGAGATGGCGTTTTGCTGTTAGTGCTAGAGGGCGACGAGATGACTGGAAAGGAGCTGAGAAATTGCGATAATGACGTGTGTATCCCTGTGGTGGACGTAGGTGTCTGTTAATGGGGCTACAGTTATTGGGTTTGTTTGAGGCTTCAAAGTTGTTTAACTCAAATAGAGTTGAGATTATTACGACTCTGATACTGATTTCTGATGTGCTCATTAATCACACTCCCATTTTATCCCTTGTTGGTCCTTCCTCAATCAATACTACTATACTATGTGCCCTGCCCTGCCCTTACTTTATTCTTTTGCTTTTCTTTTCTTTTCTTTTCTTTTTGTCAGCTACTGCCTAATATTTTACGTAATTGACTCATTTTTTCTTTTCTTTTCTTTTTCTAAAACTAAAAATACATACAAAATCAAATTCAACCAAACGGTGATTGCATTTCTTTAAAAAAAAAAAAATAAAAAAAAAATACTAAAAGAGTTTATGCAGCCAGCCATACAAGGAAGGAAGGAAGGAGGCTGCTGGGTCCTGGTTTGGAGATGGAGATCTATCATTTCCTTCCAATTCCAAAAATATACAGCTATCAGAAATTATTATTTCAACTATTGAATTTGATAATAATATCAATATTTGGACCACTTCTAATATTAACTACTAGTTTGTTTACTATTAACTGATTCAATCACGTACGGGCTAATGTTGTAATTTCATTACTCCAATAGGTCGGTGGCTATGTAAGGACGAAAATGTCCTCTTGTGATGATCCCATGAGAGGAACGGGAATCCTAGGAGGACCCACTACTATCCAATTTGAGGACGCGCATTATCTTGTAATTTTATGCTCCGAGTCCGAATGGGTTAGTGTTAGTGTTTTTCGTATCACCACTATTGCATTATTTTCATATGAAAAATGTTTTAAAAATTTTTGAAAGATATTAAACTTTACGCAATCATGCAAATTTGATTCTAGTATTTCAAATATATTTTTGCCACAAGTATTCTGTATAATAGTATAAATTGCCAGAAGTATTTTAATGCACGACACAAAACTAAACTCGTTAGCATTCTAACCAAAAGTAAAGAACCACTCGTCTCCAAACATTGGGCTGGACTTGAAGCCCACTTTTCCTATAGCCCATAGTAAGCGGAATTTGTTTGTTGCACTCTTGGACTTCCCCATAGGGCCCAGCATACTTCGCTCAAATCGATTTAAGTTGCCACGCCAAATTAATTTTGGTTGAAGCTCATGCAGAGAGTTTTATAATTTAGTATCCAGACCTCCAAGGCAAGGGTGCTTGTCAGCTTTGGCTATTGAAAATGACAATTCAAGCCAACTTGCAATGAATATGGCCTGTGGCTGTATTAAGATAATTTTCCTACGTAACGCACCACTTGAGAAGCAGCAGCACGAACACGTAAGAGATAAATGCAGTCACCACTCACCACAGGCACGGGGGAAAACTTGCAACTTATAACGGAATAATCAAACGAAATTCATCTATTCACTATTCAAAAAAGCTTTGATCATTTTAGATTCATATATGTTTTTTCATTCTATTAATAGGATACACCCCAAATATTATATTTTTATATTATGTAATCTAATTATCAAGTATATAAATTCTTTATATTTTAAAAAATAAATAAATTTTAAATTATTAGTTTTTTTATCTAAAAATGATAACTCAAACAATCAAAATTTTACTAATTAATATATAATAATGAAAGAGTTTAGAATGAGTTTTAGCTCATTAATTTGCTATTAGTAAGCCAGCAGGTGAATTTCATTTAAAAATTCATACATTGATTAGGGTATGGGATATATTCGTGCCATCAGTACCAAAAACATAAAAAATGATTTGCAATATATGTTATATTCTTTGTTTCGAAATGAAATAAAGAAATTGCTTCCCCATTTTTATATTATTATGATATGATATGAAATGATATGATGCGATGCGCACAAAGGTTCTAATAGTATTAGACTTGACTTACAAGTCAATCATAGAAAAGTTGTGATTAATGATCCCTAACATCCTGTTTGGGTTTTATTATTAGGAGATTCCAAATGTTAATTACCATTCACCGAGTAAGCGTCATGTCGTTTAGGAGAATAGTTCTAACGGTTGTGAACATTTTAAAAAAAAAAAAAAGCAATTAAGATAGACGGGACTCATTTGCGACTTGTTTTTTCCTCGCAATTACACGTGTACTCGTAAGTTGTATGTAGAAAACAAAGAGAAAAAACAAAAAAACAAAAAGGAAAGCTATATAGTTTTAGTTGAATTAAAAGGGAAAGGAAGGGCATATATCCAAAGCTTGAATGATATGCAAAGCTTAATCAATCTATCTGTCTGTCTATCTATCAATGGTCTCATGACTCATGGATGGAAAGCTTTTTGCAACTGTGGCCACTTAACATTAATGATCCAAAAAAGAAACAACTATCAGAAACAGAAACTAAAGTCTTTACTTTTCAATGGAGCCATCACGAGACGTCCCTGAAATCTCTGCTTTGAATTCATCTTTCTACTGTCAAACGCCCTAATCTTTTCACCTTCTTCGCGACGACCTGCATTTTCATCAGTTTTTCTTTCCCATTCTTGATGCCATAGCTTCTCTCTTAATTGTAATAGTTTTCTATTGCTCGTCTTTCCTCCAGCAAAAAACTTCTAAAATGGAAACTTTTCTTGTCCTTTTTAAGTAGTTCTCTCTGTTTTTCTAGCTCAAGAACTTGCTACGTTTTCCTTCTCTCTATGACTATTTCCCCATTGTTTCCATCTATTCATGAAAACTCATCTTTCCTTTTCATTTTTCTACGGAACCCATGTTTTTAAATCAGTTCATGCACTTTCTGAAATCAATTCACACTTTCAGAAGGAAGACTCCTCCTTTTGATTGTTTGGTTTGACTAGCACACAACCAAAATCAAACCCAAAAGAGGAAATCGAAAACAAATGGCGGGCTCATGCTTCCATGCATTTCGCCTTCGAAGATCCAAGAGCAAACCGTTCACAATTCCTTCCTCATCCAAAACCCAGTTCAATTCTGACATGGAGAACATGGAGAAGAAGAGATTTGACAGCTTGGAGTCTTGGTCAATGATATTGGAGTCTGAGAATGTGGATGCATGGGAGACGTCAAAGGAGGACCAAGAGGAATGGACTGCTGACCTTTCCCAGTTGTTTATCGGTAACAAGTTTGCCTCCGGGGCTCACAGTAGGATTTATCGTGGAATTTATAAGCAAAGAGCTGTTGCTGTGAAGATGGTGAGAATTCCAAACCAAAATGAGGAGACTCGAACTTTACTCGAGCAACAATTTAAATCTGAAGTTGCTTTGCTTTCGCGTCTCTTTCATCCCAATATAGTTCAGGTAGCGTCCTATAAATTTTCTTGATTTTCTGTCAAGTTTATTTGAATGAAATGATATGTAGCAATGAAGTAAACTAAATCATATCTTTAGCCTCCAAATTCTCAATCAAGACGTTGTCAGATACTTTTCTGTAATTAGATAGAATCTTCTTGGTACAGTCATTCTTAAAATTTGGACTGCTGCAGTGAAAATGGACACTGTGTGAAAACTTCGCTAAATTCTACAATTTCTTTACTTATCCTATTAATCATCTCTATGCTCTGTGGCTGCAATGTCATGATGGTTTGCTCTGGAATTTGGAGACACCCAAAATATCCAGGGTGTCAACTTTACAAAGCCTTGGCTCCAACTAATTGTAGTCATCCACAATTTCACCATTCACCCGGTGTCTTTTTTAGAGGGGACTTTCAACCTGAAATTTGCTGCCTTTTAGTATGTAAGCCATGAACATTTAAGCAGTGGTATTGTTTTCCGCGTAACTCCCCGTTATATAACCATTCAAAAATAATGTTACTCTTAACTTAATTAAAAACTTTGATTTCACTAAAATGGATGGCCTATTAAAATTGCTGCTCTTATAATGCTGGATGGTAAACCAACTTCTTTACAGTTCATTGCAGCGTGTAAAAGGCCACCTGTGTACTGTATCATCACAGAATACATGTCACAAGGAACTCTGAGGATGTATCTCAACAAGAAAGAGCCCTACTCTCTTTCAACAGAAACAATATTGAGGTTAGCTCTTGATATATCGCGAGGAATGGAATATCTTCATTCACAAGGAGTGATCCACAGAGATCTCAAGTCAAATAATTTGCTTCTAAATGATGAAATGCGGGTTAAGGTAGCAGATTTTGGCACATCGTGTCTAGAAACACAATGCCAAGAAACTAAAGGAAACAAGGGAACTTACCGCTGGATGGCGCCTGAGATGATCAAGGAAAAGCCTTATACTCGGAAAGTTGATGTTTACAGTTTCGGAATTGTGTTATGGGAGCTCACTACTGCTTTGCTTCCCTTTCAAGGAATGACCCCTGTACAGGCTGCATTTGCTGTGGCTGAGAAGGTCAGATAGCTATACTTTGATGCAAATTTCTTCCTCTTGGAATATGATTATGCTTATTACTAGATTTCTTAAAATGTTGCCTTTCATAACTTTCTTTTGAATGTTTGATGCTGTTACCTAGAAGTAGTATTGAGACCTTCCCATGATTTAGTTCTAGTTCTTCTCTTGATCAACTCTGAATATTTTTTGCTAATGGTAGTGAAGCCCATGACTGCTGAAAGAAAACAAAAGTAAGCATTATGGTCCCTAAAATGTGACCAACTAGCTAGACCATATTTTGGTTGAGACGTGATGAGAAAGTTAAACAAATCAAGTTACTGAACCTCACAATTAAATATAATGATGATGATTTGTTAGCATATTGAAAAGAGATGGGTAGCAATGTATAGTCTTCTTCTTTCAGTCTTATAGCTACTGGAAATTAGATTGATGTTGTCTTTGTTTTTAGAGGTCCTGTCCATCTTCAAGACATAGCTCTTAATAGTTCATCATAGATGGAATCAGAGACAATCCATTATCTAAAAGTACCTGTTATTCTGTTATTCTTTTCTTTAAATATCAATAGACAAAGTTTTAAGTTCTCTGATTTTCCACTGCATACAAAATAGATGCTGAAGGTCAAATTTTTTTTTTGTTCGAAAGATCCAGAGGTTGTGTCATTAACATCATGCTACATGCTTTATGCCTGTGATTTCCTAAGTGAATTTAAATATTTAATCAAAGAGTTGTTTGCATGTTATTGCTGTGGCGGGCAGAATAAACCTAATTTACTTTGTTTTTGTCATTTGTTTCAAACTAGTGTAGTGAGGTACTTAAAAGTGGGAAGGCATTGAATATAGGTGATGCTGGTTTGCTTTTAGACCTGTTTCAGCAACAAATGTATATATGATTAGCTCTTATCATGGTTTTCGCACAAATTATTGAAGAAAATAATAATAAAAAAAATTGATGAACTATTGTTTGTCGTTTCATTCTTCCTAAATATTATTAACTTCTCCCCCTGCCTATTTCTCCTATGCTAACGGTAGAGCAGATAAATTTTTGCTAATATTTTATCCATAGGGAATCACAATGGGTTGTTATGTAAGAGAATCATCTAAGTTAGTAAACATCTCTTTTGGTATTAAGAAAGTAGAATATTTTCATTCTATTTATTTGGGTAATGTTTTCTGTTGATTTCATGATCTGCTGCTTATTTATCCATAGCTGTTACAGGTTGTTTAGAAAAGTAGTCATAATGCCCTAATGGATGAATTTTTATTTGGAGAAAATGGTGCATATTATTGAATGGAATAACATACAGAGATCCTATCAAAACAGTCTAGGATCTCCTTCCTCTATCCACGCACTTCAAAAACCATACATTTGACTTGGCTAGTTTTGCTAACTTGTGTGCTAATACAATTGGATTTACTACCCACTTGTTGAAACACTAATATATGAAATGTAACCAAGGTCCAAGCTGCAGATATCTATTGCAAAATATTATGCTTATAAAAAAAAAAAAACGTATTCCTCTGGATAACTGTTCTGCTGCATGCAAGAAAAAGATCTGTAGGTATCAACAAACTATACAATCTCAAATAACGTGAATGAAATCTTCAACATAATTTGATACGATTGCGATGTTTTTATTTTGAAGTAGCTTCCAATTTTGTTGCTAACATTCGCTAATATTTGGGACTCAAACTGCAATAGGAACGACTTATCTTGTATTAATTTGTCCATTTGCAGAATGAGCGGCCTCCAATGCCAGCAAGTTGTCAGCCAGCACTTGCACACTTAATAAAGCGTTGCTGGGCCGCGAACCCATCAAAGCGACCGGACTTCAGTGACATTGTTTCTGCTCTGGAGAAGTATGATGAATGTGTCAAAGAGGGCCTTCCTCTTACTTCACACCCAGGGCTTGTCAGCCGGAATGTCATCCTAGAACGCTTGAAAGGCTGTGTATCCATGAACTCATCTATACCTGTACATGCATAGCATCCTTGGGAGGTATTGCCATCTCTTCAGATCCTTAAGGTAATTAACTTGTATATGACGTGCTTTCAATTGTCTAAGGTCATGCTCAATAATGGCGTATCAATAAGGTTGACAGGGACAGGGGCCTCGGAATAGATCCTCGCTTTGGTAGTTAATTATTATTGTTTGATTTTTAGTAAGAAGTAGAGTGAATGTGAAAATTACAGGGAAAAGAATGAATAGGGATGCTGCAGTAATGCTCATATGACATTGTGCCTAAGTAGGAGCTATCGAGTGGCGTGGCCAAGTTGTGCTGGTATGCTGTAGCGTAGACAATCATCTTTGCAAGCTAGAAAAAACCATAGGCTAGATTCTTCAAACCAAACCAGTTATGGCAATTAATGTATAAATGAAAGATGATGTTTCTAATATTCACTAATTAAGTTGATACATGATTGTTTGTTTTTTAGAACTTTTATTCAGTTTGTTCAATTGCTCTTTAGGTTATATCAGATGCTTCATCATAACAGATTGGGAGCCCCCAGTAATGATCTCAGCTGGTTGGACCAATTGTGGACTCTCCATTTATATATGCATTATGCATGTCCAATTCTTATCCAAAACTAGTACAGTTCTCTTGGGTAGTGTCATGTTGCCACCCGATAAGTATTAGAAGTCATGAAATCAATCTAGTTGGAGGAATCTCCACCTAATGCCACCATTTCTTGACCTTAATTATTAATCATATCATTAAAAACATGTTACTGGTTTAAATACAAACCGTAAGATTTTCGATTGTCCTGGGTAGCATCAGCATTCAATGGGTCCTAGAAATCCTACATTTACAAATGAAAAATACGAAAGAGGTCTTTTAGACTTTAGGATTATAAAAGAAGAAAAAATGGAAGGCAGTTTGTGCGGGTAATGATTGATTCATGCACAGCTTGCTGTGTTACACTCCATCGAGTTTCTTTGCTTTTTAGGTAAAATTCACCTGGGAAATGCAGTTTGTTTATTTTCAATCACGGGCGGAATGTGAAAAGCACAACACTTACAATCAAGACAGAAAAAGTAGACCTTGCATCCAAATCTTCCCATTCACTGGAAGAAGTGGTCAATATTCCTGGAAGCTCAAAAAGAACAAAAGAGAGAAAATTTCAAAGATATCCAATGTAACATGTATATAATTGGGAAAGAAGACCGAAGGTAACAGGAAAGAAAATAGCTAAAAAAAAAAAAAAGTATAAAACAACATTTTTTTTTTTATTTTTAAATTTTCAGTTTCTTAGCACTAATATTTTTCCATTGGTTCACATGAACAACTGTGTCTTGCACTCATAACAAACCGATCGAGCCACATATATTAAACTTTCACAGTAATTCAACCAAATAACACATAGAAACATTAAAATTGAAAACAACATTTTCTTTGCTCAGGAGGGGCACCACAGGTCCCCACGTATATATTTGAATAATCAAAATTACCAGTCGCTTAAACTCTATGAAGAAGTACGCAGACGTGTCTTAATCCATGATTCCAGATATTGCAACTCCTCATTGCTTATTGAATGGCCAAGACCAGGATAAGCCTGCAAAATTGTAGACGGCAACTCTCTTAGAAGTCAAATAACAAGCAGAAAATCTGAGGAAGCATAAAATATGTTACCTTAAACTCACAGCTTACACCAGCCTTTTCAAGAAAAATGGGGCCTGCTTGTCCGGCTTCAAACAATACTGTTCTGTCAGCAATACCATGCGACCACAAAATAGGTGTCTGCACAAATTTCACATCTTTAACCATTAAACCATAAAACAAAAGAAAATTTGTTACTAATTAGAAGTGAATCACCCAGAAAATTATTTGTGTTTTAAAAGATCACGATTCTTGACCATTAGAAGCACATGAATAAAAAAGGATAAAGGTAAATAGATCACCAAAAGCACCACTTGATGCTAGGAGGGAGCATCATAGCTTTATTTAGCTAGCAGTAGGTACCTTTCTGGCATCTGGTGGAAACTGTTCAATAATAGAAGAGTTGAAAGGAACCCATCCACTAAAGACTGCACCGCCTCCTAGAGTTTTCGGGTACAGCAGAACACTAGCCAAGGTCAAGGCACCTGCAAAAGGAATTGACAGATTGTCAAAGATCCCTAATGAAACCAAGATTATTTTTTATGAAGAGAGAGAGAGAGAGAGAGAGAGAGAGAGAGAGGGACACCTCCTTGACTAAATCCACACACAAATACATTATCAGGATTTGTCCCAGCTGCTATTTCCTGGTCTATCATTGCATGCACATTCTTAACTGCTTTCTGCAAACCATCTTCATCTTTGGGAGAATCCTAGCATGTCAGCCAAAACAACCTTAAAACCATATGGGGTGGTCAGATTGTAAAATTGACGAGGTAGATCATTTTCAAGTTTGACCAGTGACTAGAGAGATGATCCAATCATTCTTTTAGATTACAATTCTGTTTTCCAAACCATCAGAAATTAGAGTATTTAAATATGCAAAGACAGTTTGTGCTTGATATTGCAAAAAACAAAACAATTATATACAATTTCAAAATATGAAAATGTACCATTGATAATACAATAATAGCAATGATTTTGTTGTATATAACACTTAATTGTGTCTCTTCTTTTATGCATTTCTGTACATTTTTGCATAGGTGCATATGCTCATTCATAAATCGAATGCACATATTACCGCTTCTACTCAAAATATTTGCTGGATCTCTCATTGTGCAAGGACTAAGTAGATTTACTTTTATCCATAGTTATTGAATTTATAATAAATTTCAGCACAACCACTAAATATCAATTTACATGACCAAAATCACTCAATAAGACTGTCATACTCAGTAGTTAAATTTGGCTAATCTCTATAAAAAGTCAGCAGTTATCATACTCGATAGTTGTTAAATTTATTTGCTAATACAAATTGAGATTCAGTGGCCATGCTCAAATTACATGACAAATTCATTGATCAACAGTAAAAATTGACTCATAACAAGTATCAAACATAACTTAAATTCTCATCTAGAAATTTCAAGAAAGTAGTTCCAGAATCAGTAGCTATTTGAGCAAAATAGAATATTAACAAAAAATAATGCACAAAAAGGGCCCATTTCTTTAACCCACAAAATCATCCAATATGTGACACCATGATGAACCTAGAAAAGATCGTTATGATCATTACAAAATCTCAAAACTAGAGAACTCATCAATAACAACTTCATGTTTTTTTTTTCTTTTGAAACTAACTTCATGGGTATGTTAGTTATGCACAAATTGGCCCAAGTACAGTATTCAGAAACTGAAATGAGCAAAGTAATGATTTTAGCGAAGGACAATAATTCAATCAAAACTCAGTAAGTAGATAGCAGACGCATGGATTAAGATACCTCAGTTAAGAAATATTACTTCCACAACTCGTTCATGAGACCTAAATTGTAGGCTGTTAGAACTATGATCAAACTAAGGTCAAGATGCATGGAATGAAATTCACAAGAGAATGACATATAAAGAAGTAGGAAAAGCTTAACTTACAGCTGTGATGGGGATCTCATGGATGTCAAACCATGATGGCATTACAGCACGATCTACAAAGACAAGCAAATATATTTGTAATACACTACACCAAATCCAAAAAATCCCACAGCTAGATTAATATTTTATGAGATTGCATGTTTTGTAAAACCTGCTGAGCCATTCAAGATCAGAAAACGTTAACCTAAACAAAATGAAGATAAGATAACGAGGGCACGCACAATTTTAACACACTTGCAAATTCAACACATTCTACCTCATAAAATACACCCCTGACCCCTCTTCCGACTAAACGCATGGTATTGCAATTAATTACTCCGTTCACTCCCATAATCAGTGCAATTCTTCTGAAACAGCTTGTTCCAACAATTAAAACAATTCATCAAAATAACTCCACAAAATTCGCAATATCATTCAAACATAGTAGAACATCAAAAGGGGACTCGAAACGGAACCAAATCAATACACCAAGATTAACAAAAACCTCATTTATTTATTTTTCACAACCGAAAAATAACACCAATATGATAACTAATTTCATTCAGATTACCACATGAAAGATTTACCGAAATAAGCACAAGAAAAAAGAAAAAACAAACACGGAAATTTATTATGATGTATGTTAGCGTTCACGAGAATGCTTACAGTTGCAAGTGACCGGACTATTAGGAGCAGAAGGGAAAGACCATTTGGTAGTTCTGAACTCAGGAGACGTGAAGAGAGTTTTGATTGGTTCATTGGCAGGACCAGAATCACCCAATCCATGAAGCCAAAGAATAAAACTACGAGCCATGGATTGTGGATTTTGAGGAGGAGAAGGATTTGGCTGAAAGAAGAATAGGATAAACACAAGGATGCTACAGAGAACCACCGTAAAGAGTGGTGAAACCTTTGTTGGCAGTAGCATTTTTCGTCTTCCATAGCTACCCCTTTTATTTTAAGTTTCGCGACTGCTTGAAAACGAATGTGAAATTACTTGGATTACCCCTTATGTTGCTTTTTTTCCTGTTAACTCAGAAATCTTGTATCATTAAAATTCTAACAATTTCCAGACAAGAATTTTTATTTAATATATTACTTTTCATGCTTGACAATTACTCTTCTTAATTTTCTTGCAACAATTTTAGATTTTCACACCTTTTTTTTTTCCCATTTGCAATTGAAGAGAAGAGATTAAGTTTTAACCAACAATTCGGAACTATAAAAATGGTGCCACAATCAGCATCTTTGACAAATTATAAACCATGAAGTCATTTATGGTAATTATAGTATATTTCTATTTATACTAGTACATAATACCAAAAAAAAAAAAAAAAATTTATAAAATTTAGTCGAACTCATTCGCTGCGAAGAAATACAGCAAGCAAGAATGTACAGTTTACAGTGCAAATGGCAATGTATCTTTTGTTCATCGGTTTTCTTGCGAAAGTCGAACTCATATTAAGAAATTCGTCGAAAAAACATTTAAATGAAAAAAGAGTGATTTGACTGGTAAGGTGAGCCCCATCTTGTTTAAACTTGTTTAATCCAGGCATTTGAGTCACTCCGCAGGGTCTACCCTTCCCCTGGAGAATGAGACTAGAAAAGATAAAACTAAAAGGTTGGTCGGTTCAGCTTGCTGGGTCGCTCAATTATTGCCACCAGAAATCAAGGCTGCACCATCACCAAAATATACTTACACCGATTCTGCTTCTCAAAGAGATAGGTCATTTGGGACTTGACATTTGAACTCCATTTTGCTGCAAGCGTGATTGGAACCTTGGAATGAACTATGCTAATGAAAACAAACAATCAACGGTCTGAATTTACTCTTGTTTTCCTTCATAACAAGGAGGAGAATTTGGCTATTTGGTTCATAGTTTGCATCACCGCCACAAACAGATAATTTCTCCTGTATTTCTGTATTGCTTTATCTGTTCTCAAAGAATGGGCTGAGAGAACTAAAGTCAAGGTCAAGGCAGAATGCACCGGACCTAGAGATACTGTTAACGAACTATATGGAGCAAAATAATGGAGAATAAATTGTAGTCATGACCCATGAAGATGAGAATTAGCAGTTGCAATTGCTATTATCAAACCACACAAATCACGAACAAGAGAAGAGCAAGAAAATGAAACAAGTAAACATTGAAATTCAGTTTGCAATGCAGCAACCAAAAGGTCAGAGAAAGTTTCATCTATCCGAGGGGCTGAAAATGACAGTTAAAACTGGAAAATATATCTCCATGATGAGAACTAGAATAAGGATATCTTGTTAGAAAGAATTGACAAAGAGGTTACTTTCATAAAATTTCAGAATTGGGGAAAGAAAGGTCAAGATAATCAGCTCCATAAGCTTACAAAAGAATACAGAAATTCAAAGCCACAAATCCCAAGTCCACATTTCGAGCTCCCTATGTCTTCCAAGGCTGTAGAGAAGAATATAAATGATTATATATTTTCAGAATAATGAGTACAAAGATCGAAGATAATGGCATTTGTAAATTTGTAGTTATTACTACATAATGAAGGGTTGAAGAAGAAAAGATCAAGAAACTGGTACCTATAATAGTACATGACTTGTTCAAACCGTATCATGATACTGATCGATCGCTTGTTTCATGGCATCCAATTGTGATATAACAAATTCCAATTTCGTAAAACAGATTTCATTCGAAATTCTAGAATTGTAGTCGCACTTCTCAAACGGACGGTACTCGCATGCACTTTTGATTTCATTGCGGAGAGTAAACTGGATATCCTGCTTCGATTTTCACTATTATTTGGGGATTTCATTAAACGAAACTCATTTCAAGCTTTCAATAGGAATCAAGTAACATCCACCCTTGAAAAATAAACCTATAACATAATAAATCACTCATGGAATTGAAAAAGTAGAGGAACAGAGAGACACCTTGATCATTTGCATGAACTCTCGGCAGTGGTTGTTGATGAATTCCTTTCGAGGACCGGTAGGACTTGCCAGTTCATCCATCACTCCTCCGGCCAGCTCCAAAACCCTAACTATTGTCTTTATCCCAAAAAAATTTCAATTACCAAAGCTAATAACTCAAAACTAAAATTTTCAGTATAAGATTAAATACCTTTTCCACATTTTGAAGTCGCTGCAACGATGTGTTCTGTGTCTGCGATGAATCCATTGATGCAGTATAATTGCTCTCTCCGCTACTTCACCACCTCGTCACCTCCCGAGTCGTTTTATCCATCATAAACAAACCCCTCATTTCTCAAAACTTAAACGCCGCGTTTGATACTAAATGCCCCCGGCTCCATGTGTGCTGACGTGGCAACATTGGACTGGTTAATACTAAAATCCCGGCCCACGTATGCCGACGTGTCCCGGACCTCTTGAAGCAGTAAACCAACCACACAGGAATCTTCATTCTTTCTTCGCCATCACCTAACCAACGCAGAGTCAGAGGGAGGGAGAGGAGAATTCATGGCGGCTTCAAAGCTACAAGCTCTCTGGAATCACCCAGCCGGACCCAAAACTAGTAAGTTCACTTCGATGTTTTGTTAGACCTTTTTTATGATTTCTTAAAAATCTTTTCTGTGATGAATAGAAATTAGAGATCATAAAAACATCTAATCGACTACTTTCAACATGTATTATTCTCTCTCGAATTCGATTGATTTACATGATTTGCGGTTCCTTTGAATATTCTGCTCCAATCGAAACCCATAGGATCTTTATACGTTTAGATTAATCCTACGGTCTAATTTCGCGCAATGGAGAATTAAAAGAAGAAGAAAAAGATTGTCTTTTGTGAGAATCTAGATATCGAATTATCTTGGGTTTAATTTTACAATTTTGTTTGTTCATTATCTCAATTTTGATGTGAGAGAGCCTGCAATGACAATATACAACTGTCCAATGTGTGAATTTTCAATTTTCTGATCACGGATTTGAGGCTATTAAAATCTACTAGTATAAATGCATGATCTGTAGTCTTAACTAATGTTTTTTCATAGTGAATATTTGGGTGGTTAGTGTTCCCTTTGGTGATTAAAACTCACTCCTGCTGGTAGAGCGGTACTATCTATAGAGAGTTAGAAACGGGACCAACGGTATAGCCAACCTTTCATGTAGTACCTGGCTTTCTTTTATTTTAGATGGAGAGAACTATCCTACTTGGATTAGCACCCACTAGCGACTCCAATGAAATGCAGACCGGTCTACCAAAGAGCAGAACAAAACTTCAAAACTGACTTTCTGCTTTACTCATTTTAATTCAATGCCTTTTTGCAGTTCACTTTTGGGCACCAACTTTTAAATGGGGCATCAGCATAGCAAATATTGCCGACTTCTCTAAACCACCTGAAAAACTTTCATATCCTCAGCAAATAGGTATCTTCCTTTTATCTCTGACAATAATGACTGCATCTAGAATTGATCATTGCATTACATCCGTGTAGATGACCATTATTTATCCCTTATGGATATGTCTTATTGACCTACAGTTGCACTTTGATTTCAGCTGTTACTGCCACTGGGCTTATATGGTCACGCTACAGCACTGTAATAATGCCGGTGAGTTTGGAATTGATGAAATCTGCCATATATAACTGAGATAAAACAGTGTCATTTGATGCTCTTTTGAAGCAATATATCTTGTAAGCATATGGCAGCTTGCTATATCTTCTGATTACTGCTTATTTATGTAGCTCTTAGTTATAACATTAGCATTCTTGTTATTGTTCAATATTATCTTCCATGCAATATAATCATGGTTAGCTCCAAGTCATTTAAATGAGTGATCTACTGTCGTCTTGGCGAAAGCTTTATTAATTTTGATTCTTGTTAATCTTTGATCTGAAATGCAGAAAAACTGGAATCTATTTAGTGTAAACGTTGCAATGGCTGCAACAGGCCTTTACCAACTTTCGCGCAAATTACAGTAAGTTCAATTCAAATTTCTGTCATATGTTTCTATGGAACTTATAGGATTTATGCCTTGAAGCTACTTGCATAGGAAGGTTAGAATTTCTCTCTAATCTTTTTCCTTGGTCCATCAAAATGTGTGTTAGACAATGGGGGTGCCTCACTCCTTCCTAGAACCCATCCGTCTTGATCTAGTGAGATTTGAATTTGAGATCTCCTCGTGGAAATCTTCAGCCCTAAATGACGCCTAACCCAATATTCTTCCTCATTTGTTGTGCTATTGCTTATATAGACTATGTCCCTGTTAGATACTTCTAAATTATAATTAAAATTTTCCCACATTTCCAGGCATGATTATTTTCCTGAGGCAGAAGCTGTTGTTGCAAAGGAATGACAGACGAGAATCTGCTCAAGTTCCTTTGGTTCTCCTCAGTGCAGAAGCCAGTTTGCCTTCTCGCCCTGCAATTATTTAAACATTCTCAATCTGTGACTTATGTTTGCATCCTTCGGGGGTTATGGATATTTCAGTATTCTATGATGTAGAAATTGTAGGTGGACTTTGATTGTTGTGCTTGAAAGGCAATTATGAACTTAAAAAGTTATTAGTTGACCAAATAAAATCTTTTCCAAATCCCTTCTTTTTCACGTTCAGTCGTTCATTCTGTAGTCTTTTTAGCAAACTATTTGCAGTCCAAAATGGATTTTTATAATTAAATGCCATTATCTGTCAATTTTAGTTTAGGAACTAGGTTAAAACTACGAATGCATCAGGATGATTTAATCATGCTCAGGACCTGCACAAAGTTGGCTCAGATCTTACCAAGGGATGCAGCAAAATGATTCATTGAAGATGGACGATGGGATCTTAATTTTACTTGCACGGGACCAGAATAGATGAAAATGGAAGTGATGGCACATTATCTGAGCAACAATTTGTTAGCTGCTCCAATCTTAAACATGTGAAATTCCCCAACTTGGCGCTGATATGATGGGCTAAACAAGTTTCATATGTCCAACATGCGCTCCTACTCTAATCCCAAAAGATATTCCAGTCAACCAAGGTGAAGCAAAAGAAATAGGGGAGAAAAAATCGATTGTTCAATGATAAAAAATCATAGTTAATTGTAATTGATACAAGTTACAATCAGCTCAGCCAGGGAGCAAATGAATAAAGAAAAGAAAATGCATCCCCGCTCAAGTACAGCTGGTGGCCAAATGGAGAAACATAGGAAAATTTTCGTGTTAAAATCAGCAGCAACAAATAGACTGTTTTGTTCTCATTTTTCTGTGTCAAATAATCTAGGGGACGCCAGCAATCATGATCCAACACTACTTGAGTTCACTTTTTCCAACTGCCCGTCTCTCAACTGATCTGGTTTTGAATCACAATCATCATCATGAGATTTTAAACCCAGACTCAAATCCAAAGTCCTTTCATTCAGATCTTGTCGCACCACTTGATCACCATCCTGAGACTCAAGTCATTATTCAAGTCAACATTAGATGGATGCTATATTCACCTTAAATTCAAAGCATTTTCTTCATTTTAATGGTCATTAAACAATTATAATGTCATTTTTGTGAAGATATTATATGGCAATTAACTTGCCTACAAATAAATCTGTAGGGAATAGATATGAACCAGCGTTCTATGAAAGGAAATCATCAAAGAACTCAAAGCACGAAAACAGCCACAAATCTGAATAACCATTTACCTGAGTTTCTTCCATAGGTACATCATTAATATCGGGTTTTTCATCAAAACCATCACCCTTTGGAGTTGGCTCCACTGGAATTGGTTCAGCATCACTCAGTTTAGCTTCGTCTTCACCCCTCTCTGCAGCGTCTTTTTTCTCTTTCTCTAGCAAATAAATCTGGCATTGTCAAATATACCCCTAATGATCAATGAACAGCATTGGCTTACTAGCAACCCAAAGGAACAAAAGTGCAACTATATGCTTCTATCACCCTCGTAGAAAAACATTAAACTTGTCATTTCCTAATAGTACCTTGCAACACATGCTAGACGCATACTTTTGATAAAACAAGTAACATTTACTGTCAGCCATCGGTAAATAGCAATTCTTTTGCAAACATTCGCTGGAGCACAAAAAAATTTCACAATGTAATATATTCCACTAGTAATAACAGGTAACATGCATCACTTAAACATGTCAATTCTACTAGTACTCGCATGTTGGGGCAATGTAACTGAGAAAATATGCAATAATTCATCTAAATTTTATAATAGAAAGCATTTTCTAAATTATCCTGGTTCTAAATGATGGCGAGTGGCCTTGATACAATCTTTCATGATTCGGAGGTCTGACTTCCAAAAAAAAAAAAAAAAAAACTTTCCAAAAAAAAAAAAAAAAAAAAAAAAAAAAAAAAGACTCTCTTGATTGGAAAGACAATGTATTCAAAAGGCCCCAAAAAAAAAAAAAAAAAAAAAGACTCTCTTTGATGAAAGACAAAGGCTATTCAAAGCCCACAATTTGGAAGGCTTACTGCACTGGACACCCCTTTACCATAGCTTATCTTCCCCCTCTGCCAAACAAAATCAAAGCAAACACATAATTTCCTAGCGGCAACACATTTCTCTATCAATTTGAAAGTAAAATGCCTTTAAAATCTGCAAATTTCCATTAACATCCTCCACCACACAGGTGAACAGAAATGGCTTAAAAACCTGGATCAGCTATCTGTTGAAGCAAGATAGCTGCATACTAAAATTATTGAATTAAATGCAACAGTACTACAATATTCCGGATAATTTTATTTGAGAATAAGAGCATAACATGTGTATGAAAATAGATAATTTTTAAGATGAGAATTTGACAAAGATTGTGGCAAACCCAAGACATCTGGCTTCAATAAACGATTTACAGAATGGGAATTGACAGAATTTGATTGGGACAGTTGGGGATTGCTTTTGACCATATGGAGAAAGTGTCTAACATATTATCAGTAAAGCAGACAAAATACCGCAAATAATGAAAGAAAAAATATGCTCAAAATGGACAAGAAATGAAGACGGATCAGCAAGAACCATAAAGATGCATGATAATGCTTCAATAAAAAATGACATTTCATGTCATAATTTGAGCAACATTCCTGGATGAGAAAGAACCATGAAGATGGATTTCAGTTTCAGTAGAAAATTTCTTCCCTCTAAGAAATATCCCTAGACATGGGTTCTTTGACCAGATTACACTAGATCTAATGTATCTGCACAGAACAAAACAATGATATTGAAACCCCATAATATTTCCTCTATTCCTTTATTGTATCCATCAGTCAATTGATTAAGATAAACATACTACATATGTTAATATAATAATATTCCTGTAATACTCTACTAAAGCTCAGTTCTAATTAACAAGAAAAATTACACGCAATTGAATAGCTCTAAACTTGATGTACAACATTATTGGCATGGTTTTCATATAACAATTCTACCTCCGACTCATTTTAAGTGGCATAATTTCAATTTTTTGTACCACTTTATTTGTCATTTTATAAAATTAAGTATTAATTATTTACCCTTGTCTTTTGGTACCTTATTAAGTAAATATTAATTATTTAGAGAATTGATAAAAGGGAAATTTAGTCAATTACACCTTTTTTTTGTTTTAAGAATTGAAGATGTTCACTGATTTTCTTAATTCTTGTGCGTTTTAAAATTGTGACACTTAAAATGGGATGGAGTATAACAGCATTCCTATCGATTAACTTAACAATTCTAAAGAACCTCTCTTCATTTCCATGCATAAGAATATAGGGTCTCTTCAAGAAGCCTATTCCTTTTCCAAGCATAAAGCTCCGTGTTGCATAACAACACAAGGTAAACCAGATAGCATGGTTTTCAGATAAAGCATCTTTAATTTCCTATTATGTTGGTACCACTAAAATCTGTTGGCTCATTGTCTTTCTGGCTATTCATGTGAATGATTCAGAATTATTTGACACGATTTACTGTTACATTTAATGAGGACCAAAGTCATTGTGACCAATGAAAAAAAAGCAATCACACCATCAGAAAGGTAAAATCAAAGTGCCCCCTCCCAAAAACCTCATGAAACAAACACATACAATGAACCAAACCAAGTACAATAAATCAAGCAATACTTGTCATAGATGAACAAGCCAGAATTTTTTTCCCACATAGTTTTTTTAATGTTCCTTAATACTGAACATGCTCACACCTACTCTAGGAATAAGAGAAAAATATAAGCAAGCTAACCACTTGAATGTCTGCAATGCGCACAAATAGATTACTCAGAAAATGATTGTATTCTGATCATTTGTTTAACTACTATTACACCAGATCTTGAAATAAACAATATCAAACTCTCTGCACAAGTTCCAAAAGTTGTATTTTTGGTTTTAACTAAATCTTCAAAAAGAAAAAATAACAAGTACTGTGCAAACCTCACTTTTGCCCTAGGTTTGCAGAGTGTAAGTTCAGAATGATAACATTCCACATCAACTTGAAGCTGGAAATACCCATGTCGAAAGCTTTAAGCTGATGAGAGCATGGGCGTGGAAGATATATCCAACCACAAATTGGTAATCAAGTTCATGTAAGATAAACTAATTATAGTAATATTAACATTATTCAATCTAACGATGTATTTATCAATGTATTATGAAAATTATTAAATCTAATGATTACAAATCAAACTAGCCATTGCAATGGTTCTTTAATATCTACTCAGGATTTTAGGTTCCCTTATTTTAGCAAAACCCTTAACATGAGTGTTCCTTTGCTTTCCAAATTCTGATGGCATTTTTATTGAAAAATCTAATTTAATCATATGTTATTGCTAGTACAAACTCAAATTCCAATTGAACCATGACCTCCCACCACGATCAAAAGTCTAACAAACACCTCTTCCCTCAATATATATATCCCACCACGATCAAAAAAGTTTCTAAACAAACACCTCTTTTCCCTTCCAATATATATATATATTATATATATATATATATATTATTGCTGGTTGAAACTAATTTCCAAACCCCCTCTTCGGCCAGGGCTTGACCTTGGCCGTCAAGGATTTCTGGAAGGGGCTTCCCTTCGGGTAAAGCTCTAAAATATATATATAATATATATATATATATATATATATATATTTGAAAAACTATTTCCAAACCCCATCTTCGCCCAGGGCCTTGACCTTGGCCGTCAAAGAATTTCTGGAAGGGCTCCTTCGGTAAAGCTCTAAAAAATATATTAATATATATATATATATATATATAACACTTTCTAAAATTTAATTTTCCAGTAAACAGTAATGATAAACATTCAATTTTTATCTCCTATAGGCATATTATATATACACTCTAATTTATCCAGTAAACAGTAATGATAAACATTCAATTTTTATCTCCTATGCATATGACTAATGAAATCCATAGTAGATGAACATAAACACGACCATATCCTTTCACTCATCACCATTGAGCTGGCATCTATATCCTCTGCTGTGTTATTTTCTAATTTTATAAAGCATGAAAAAATTAAAACAAGACATCTGCAATATAACCACTTCTATGCTGAAAAAGCAGGCAACTTCAGAGGATTTATGGCACAAAACACAACCAATCGACTAACAAACAACCCTTATGTAGTATATGCCATTGCCTGCACAATCTAAAGTTAAAACAGTTTTCAAAATACTAATTCAAAGATGCATAGTGTAAAACTTGTGGAAGGCTTTCAGTTAGAGTGCCATCCTTCAAGAGCTCTGCTACAAATAGATAAAGTATGGCTTCATCCGACAAGGTGATACAAGGGTATATTTTCATAATAGCCCACTTAACTTTCTAGATCAAGAAAATATTCAAGTCAAGGTTCCATCAAACTTTAAAAATATTTGAGAAAAAGCTAATGCAAACTCAATGAAATTTGGACCTACATATTCACAAAATGAAAAGCAACAGAAGAAACAATCCTTTTCTGTCAAGTGCGCAACACCATTGCAAAAGAATTACTTATTATTAGCACTTCATAGTCTTCTTAGAGTCTTCTAGGAGTAACTCTAATAAAACTTAATGCAACACTTTGCATGTTTCAAAACCTTATATTGTTCTGATTGAGGGTTTTTGGGAGTAAGGTATGATAAAGCAAAGTAAGTTAGTTTTTGAATTGTTTTGGAGGAACATTATTTTAAAGAAATGGTTTTTGGAGGTTATTTGGTGTGTTTGAAAACCCACCGACTTGAGGTGTGAAGAAGAGTTTTAACTTTTAATTTCCTATACTATCCCTACTATTTTTTTTTTAAATTTCCAAATTGCCTCATTCAATTATTTATTTATTTTGTTCTATCTTCTTACTCACAGCCTTATTAAACAATATCTTTAAATACCTTAAATATCCATAAATGAATATCTTGTTAAGAATAACTTTATTCAATTAAAATAACAATTTACATGAAAATAATATTTTTCATAATTTTATATTTAGCCTTACCTTTCAATACTATCAAACCAAAAAACATAATCTTACTAAACCTTCCTTCACCTTACCTTCCTCCCAAATATAAAAAGGGCATTACTTTACCTTACCACACCTTGTCATACCTTAATACACTTTATTACACCTTATTAAATCTTCCGAATGAAGTGTAAAATTAAACCCAAAATCTCAAACCCAGCAGAGCAAAACCCCCCAGTCTTTACTAAAAAATCCATCAATCTGACCATGAAAACAATACCCTAAAACGCTGTACTCTAGAAACCCAGATCTAAAATGTAGCAACTTAACACAGAATTCGGATTCATCAGAGACTTGAAATATCACACATCAAACACCAAAAGAGAAAAAATAAGACCACGAACAACAGTAGTGAGAAAGCAAATCCCTAAAAGTTAAATGAAGGAAAAGAAATAAAAGAATGGGGAGGCGAAAACAATACCGGGATGTATTTGAATTTACGTCTGGGAGGCTCCTCAGGCAGGGGCAGCGCGTCGTCCTTGAGAGAATTCTTGTCGGCATTGGAGTTATTGGCGGCATCCTTGTTGCTTTGAGTTAATGGGGTCCACTTGTAAAGCAGGAGATGAGAGCCGTTATTACCGTTAGTAGTAGCGTTGGCGGTGGTGTGGAGGTGATGATTTTGAGAGTGGTTGGTGTTGTTAGATGGGGAAACGTGGACCCATTTCTTCTTCCACTTCCTCACCGGTCCATTGAACACCGTGGCCGGTCCGTACCGAGTGGAGGACCGCCCGAGTCTCGCCCCTACTCCCTCCATTTTTTTTCCACTCGAATCGGGGAGGGGTGCCTGATCGGTTCAAATTTTCGCTAGAAAGGCAAGATCCACTGTTTCTCTCTCTTACTCTCCTTGAGAATTTTCTTTCCTCCAATTCTATTCTACTAGAGAGAGATAGAGAGGAGAAGGACAGGTGGCCTTTAATATTTGGTGTTTTATAGTGATTTCCAAGATTGGGAAAGATTGCATAAGGACGGTACGGTAAGTTACTGTTCTGGGGAATAATCAGAGCCGTTCCAATGGTTGACTCTTTTCTCAAATTTGGTAGTATTTTGTAGATTTATATAATGATTGGTTCACGAATCGGGTTTGGGAAATTTGACGATGGTAGCTTTTCCAATTCCTCAGATAGATTTCCCCTCTGATTTTTTTTCCGGAAAAACAAAATTAAGAATAAATCTTAATTTAGGCTTTAAACTTCGTAATTTTAGCAAAAAAATTCATATTTCACTAATTGGGTTAAATAACACGTCAATTCCTCAGATAGATTTCCCCTCTGATTTTTTTTCCGGAAAAACAAAATTAAGAATAAATCTTAATTTAGGCTTTAAACTTCGTAATTTTAGCAAAAAAATTCATATTTCACTAATTGGGTTAAATAACACGTTAACTTATATCAAATGATTTAATTTATTTTATTTAAAAAAAATTCCATACCAAATGACAATCCAATCGCTCGTATTTGTTTGTTTAATAATATCTATTCGGTACTGTAAACATATTTATAAATTTTTTTTTAATCTTTAATAAATGATTTAGAGTTGACCTTTATTCCTCAATCTCCGTAGCTTTACCATACCAATTTTGGAGTTTTGAGCCAAAAAAACAAATTTTGATGAACCATTGTAATCATATTTCAGCCGATTAAAACACAGTTGAAGATTATGTATAGACGAGACTTATTGATTGAAGAAGGAAACTTGAGAATTTAGGTTTTAGGTTTCAAAAATCGGGTTTTAAAATATATAAATTTTCAATTTAAGTTACCTTTGTAATTTAATAATTTTTTTATTTTTTTAAATTTGTCGATCACGTTAACCACACCATTATGATTTTTTGTAAATCAAGTTGAAATTAGGTCATTTGGTATAATTTAAAGTGTGACTTGGCCCAAAGATCAAATATCACTTTTTTTTTTTTAGGGTTACAAATTTAGGGCCTAAATTGAGATTTATTCAAAAAAATTATGATTCTAATTTTTTGAGAACGAGTATATATAAAGGAGCACATTGATTTTTAATTTCCCTCGAAAAATAGATGTTAAAACATCATTATTATTAACCCAGGAAAGCTTTTCCAATTCCTCAGATAGATTTCCCCTCTGATTGGATAATTGTCTTTAGTTAATTTATAAAAAGTTAAAAAGAAATACTAAATTATATTATTAACCCAGTTCAAACATCATTATTTACTTAATCTACAAAAATACTGTAAAATATATACATAAGTATATATATGAAATATAAAATATTGTTCAAAAATACTTAATAAATACAATTATAGTTAGAATTCTCGTTGAATTAATTGAAAAATATTAATTTATAAACTCGAAAAATAGGCATCATAGAAAATTCCAACTATATCAATATAAAAAATTATTATTATTAATCCCTATATTAGATATTTAAATATTGATATAAATAAATAAACTTTCAAATCCTATCCAATTCATCCTCTCAAACTCTCAGGCTACCAGTTCCTTTTATTTAACAATGACAATAAAACAATCCACGCTGCTGATTCTTCTATACAAAAAAGTGCCACCGCATCAACCGATCTTTTGTTAGCCAGGGTTTCGCCCATAGATTGGCCATTTAGATCTTTTGATCAGTAGTAAAATTCTTTATCTAGTGCTATATTATTGCATATCCAAGGTGATGCCATTGAAGGCAGCAGTCAAATAGCCAACTTTCAGGCCAAGCTTAGTCGAAAAAACATCATCTCTGCAATGATAAGCCTTGACTGGAAAAGGCTCAAAACCAATAGACCGTGTTGCAGCAACAGAGTCATGAGATGAGTTCTTTCTAGCAGCTGGAGTTTGGTTGATTGTCCTCTTGTAGGGACCAAACCACTTGGCTAGCATGTAACCATTTCTCCTCCATGGCGGCACATGCATGTCCATCTCTTTCATGGACTGTCTAATTGCACTGCACATTAATCTCACAACCTGCTTGAGCTCCTCAGGTTTGGCAATGAATACTTGTGGAAAAACATCAAGCATTTCAGCGTAACCGTTGCTGGGACGAGCAATTTCAAATTCTGCAGCTAGAAAAACTTCAACAATGAATCGATCCCCATTAACATTCACATCTACATACTCGTATTCTCCAGACGGATGCCTCCCAAATTTCTCCCACCTGGATTTGCAAAGACCTGTATCATACGTACGCAGATCATTAATTTAATGCAAGGAACTAGAGTGTATATATACAAAATTTTATTCACTCCTAATTCTAAATTTAAAAATTATAGTGTACAAGTACCAACCAGCATCAAAGCCCTGGTCCCGCAAACGAGACATCAATCGGCGCTTAAATCCCTGCGAAGACCTTTCCCCAATGATACCACATGCAAACTGTGTTTCGGCGCTAATATTTCTCCTCACATCGTCGTCTCCGTTGTCATTAAACAAATTCTGTAACAATTGTTTGTTTTCAGCTGAATCAGAGCAGTAATTTTCCAGAGCTTCAAGATTTGAATCATTTTCCAGATGACGTTCGTTGTCTGCTTCAATCCTGTAGTCTCTTTCGATAAAAGAATTGACAAGGTCAGAGAGATCATGGTCGGAATTATCGGGAGAATAGTGCTCGCTCCCGCTGCTCTCGCAAAGCCTCATCCTCGCTGCCTCGCTGAAAGCAGCACCCATCTTCTGGAATCGGAAAGGGATCTTTGCCATGGTTTTCTTTGTCTCTAATTTGATCGAAGAGAGTTATAAGGCGGTACAGTTTCTGCTTTACGTGTACAGATAAACGGAGGGATGTCGAGAGGATGTCGATATTCTGAAGAAGATTAAGGAAGATGACGAAATTATGGCGAAATTATGGCTTAATCTGTAAAAGCTATATATAAGCCAGGTGGAAGATAGTGACTGCCGGATAGTCATGTACACTATCTTGGTTAGGCTGCATGTGGATGTATATGGGTTACTTTGAAGTCCAGGTTCAATATGCAACAGGATTGACTAATACTATTGACACGAAATTAGACTTTAATTGAATTGAACTAGCGTTCCAGGCCGCGATTCAATTGGCTCGATCACTGCTTTATTAAACCGATAAGTCAGTAATTAATTCATTTCGTGTGTAACACTTTAATTCCTATTTGAATGGATTAGATTTTATTAGAATCCATTTATGTAAAATATCAATACAGCTCAATGATTCAAACTAATGGTAATTTTTTTTGTTTTATATATATATATATATATAATAATACTGCGAACTATACAATAAAGTTTAATTCTCTCCTAACTCACCTAATTGAGTGAAAATAATTCTGATAAAAAAAAAAAAACTTTTTATATGTATATATTATATTTAGAATTATGGACAACAATAAAGCGGACTGATACTATAACAAATTAATTACATTTGTGGTACTTAGATTTTTATTTTTTATTTGATGTCCGAATAAAAAAATTATAATTGAGTGTTTGAATTAATAATTTTGATACAATTAAGTGAATTTGACTGGAATATCTCACGGAAGTATTACCTTTCTTTGTTTTTTTTTTTTTTTTTTTTTCCTTTGTTTTTTTTTTTTTTTCCCTTTTGTTCTTCCATATTTTGTCTTGAAAAATCAAAAAGAAAATTAAAAGGTTTTTTTTTTTTTTTTTTTTCCCTTTTGTTCTTCATATTTTGTCTTGAAATCAAAAGAAAATTAAAAGGATACTTTTGTTTAAGAGCAGAAATACAAGGTAATAAAAATAAAATAAAATGAAAAAAGAGAATTAAATTTAATGGAAGTTTATATTTGATATGATTTATTGAGTAAAATAATTTAATAAAATATACTTGATTGTAAATATTTTTTAATAATTCCCGCATTCAATTGTAAATTTCGTTGACACCAAAATAAACATTCAATTCACTGACATTCAATTTAAGAGTCCAGATTTTGTCAAATCTTTTATTGAGTTTCATGGTTTTTTTTTTTTTTTTTTTGGTGTAATCCTATAGACTTTAGTTACCACGAGATTGCCACTAGGTAAAATTCCACGACAGCAATCCCATGAATCTATCTGGATGTTGAAAATTGGCGCAGTAAGTGCCTCCTTGATGACCAGATTCAATGAACCTTATTTGCCTGTCTAGTGTCTAAATACACTGAATCCAGTTTTCTTCTAATTGAGTGTTTTTTTTTTTTTGAAATAAATCTCGTTTTGCAAAATAATAATAGGGAAAAAGTACTCAATTCCTGTCTTTTTTTAAATTTACCAATTTGCACTTTTTTTAAAATTTATTAATTTGGACATTTTTAAAATTTATCAATTTGTTTATATATTTTACTTCCGTTATACTATTAAATCATTCTATTAACTTTTTGTATTTTTTCTATTAAGTTAATAAGAAAACATAGAGATTAAATGATAAAAACTAAAATACGATATTAAAAGAATTAGTCCATCTCTATATTTTTAAAAATAAAAAGAATATTTTCATTGTTTTATTAGGTATCTAAAAAAAATATAAAAAATAGACGAAAAAATTTTATAATCTAACGGAAATAAATTATAAAAATATTTAGTCTATTTAAAAAACGGACAGAAACAGAGCAGATATATTTCGCAATCTATATGAATCTTACTGCACTTTTTCCTAATAATAGGACAAAATAAAATAACGTCGAAAATTTGATTAACGTCCATATAGGCAGCTAGTTGCATGAGACTGATATTTAGGCTAGATGCACTCGTGGGAAGTGTGCATTTTGGCACTGTTTTTATGGGCCGAAGTTCTTTGTTAAAGGGCTCTGTTGCAAGTCGAACACAAATGATAAAAGGGCTGAACCCATTTAGAATAGAATTTTTAAACGATTGGGCTCAGCCCATTATACAGTGTCGATGACGTTTCCTATACCACCTGTTCGGAAACACATTCGCGGAACTTCTCTCGACTATCGCCAACTGCGCACGTAGACAGTAGATCTTCGGTCTGAAAAGTCAAAAATACCCAGTTTTATAAAAATAATGATAAAACACGAAAGTGGTCTATTTCTGCCTCGAAATGCCGAAAATAGATTCTCGTCGTCTTGCCCTCCCATGCCCGTGAGATTGATAGCTTTCAGGAACTGTTAAGCCAGCGGAGCGCACCTATGGCTTCTTTACATTAAACAAAGGTTTGTTTGTTTATATCATGTTTGATATGGTCTGAAAATGTGCCTTGTCTGTTCCCTTAGACAGAGGTTGTTCTTAACTTCTTGTAAATATTATAAGGGGATTGGTGTTTGAATTCGGCAATATGAAAACGTTTCAGATTGGATCTTGGTAGCAAAGTTTTAAATTTTAGTGATTAGTGGTCTGGTTATTCAATTTTCATTTTATTTGGAGTATATGCGACTCTAGATTAGTGATTGTCGTTTAAACAATGTTGATTATTATTCTTATTATTGCAGGCCTAAAGCGAAGGAGTATTTTATGTTCATTCAATTTGTGGTAGCTGTTTTCGTGATGTTTGATTGTGTTTCGATTTGTGATTTGGCCGCTACGCTAGTGTGTTTTCGTTTCCTGCTAAAGGGCTAATATATGTTTTCCCTCTTGCTAACTCACTTTTACTAATGGTTACTTGTACGGGCTTCACTTTGACATATACTTTTTTTAATGCTTTGTTCCTTATTTTTAAGCATACAAGTTTACAGGCCAAATAATAGTTTGCTTCTTGCACTATACCCATTTCCTGTTGATTGCATTTGTATGGATTTGACTCCCCGTGAATGAAAAGCTTATGAGTTTGATTAGATCCTTGCATTATCCCCATTCTTGTTGATTGCATTTATACTCAACTTCTGCTGGACAAACATCTGTCCACACCTAAACTTTGATCCTCTGATGTTTTAGGTTGATACACTGCACTTACTTATACTTGCTGCTGTATTTCCCATGTCATTACCGCTAGCAAGGACGAGCTCCTCATAGGTCAACCTAAATAAGTCCCTTAAGAAATTCAGATTTAGGGAAAATATTGACTCTCTTAATAGACATGCTCACAAGTCACTATGACATGCTTTTTCTAATGTCTTGATTTTCACATATCTTATGCAAAGGAGGGTAATAAATATTTCTTGTGCAATTTGTCCATTGTCGCCCAAAAAAAAAAAAAAAAAAAAAAAAAAAACATTTCGCCCAAAAAAAAAAAAAAAAAAAAAGAAAAAAATCCCTCTTTAATTGTTTGCTTTGTTTGATATAATTTGGATTCTTTAAAACATCAAAAAAAAAAAAAAAAAAAAAAGAAAAAAATTCCCTCTTTAATGTTGCTTTGTTTGATAGAATTTGGATTCTTAAAACATCTACTTGTCTTTCCAGGTTCTTCATGTTTTACCGGTTCATGAAACCCTGCAACATCCTAAAAAAAAAAAAAGGTTTGGTTGAATATATTCAAAGTTTGAACATTCGTCTAATAGAATGGCTGATGGGATATCAAGCTTCTGGGGTCCTGTTACATCCACTACTGAGTGTTGTGAGAAGAATTATGCTAATTCTTCTTATATTGCAGAATTTTACAACACCATATCCAATATACCATGCATACTTTTGGCTCTCATTGGCCTCATAAATGCATTAAGGCAACAGTTCGAGAAGAGATTTAGTGTTCTTCACATATCTAATATGATACTTGCAATTGGAAGCATGTTTTTCCATGCCACGTTGCAACGTGTGTAAGTTTCACTCTCTCACTGGATGATCTTGTATATTACTGAACTATTATGTACTGTCCTTTTTCTGGTATTGTGAAAAAAAATACAATTAGAGTATTTTCGTGGATAATATAAATAAAACCTGTTATTCTATGAAAGTAGTTTCAAAACACTTGTACTTTTTTTATATGTAAAAACTCTTTGTTGTATTTTTAGTTATGCCCTGTAATCAAGTTTTTATTATCATCATTTATGTGATGCTTGCCAGTTTCATTTTTGTTTGTTGCTTGATTTTCATCTTGTGAAGGATCTTTCCAATTGTTTTCTCTTTTTAGGTGCTGAAATATTTGATTTCTTCAGTGATTATCTTTTTAAGGAATCTGTAGAGTAACTCTAAATATGAACTAGACAAAAAAGAAAAGGACTTTGAAAAAAGAAACTGCTGTCTAATCCGCAGAATGTTATTAAAAGTTGATATACTGCAAGTATGTTCATGCACATGTTTCTGCGTTGATATTTACTTATGTAATTGACACGACCTTCTTGTGCACCTTAACAAATTAAGTGCACTCTCATTCTTTGTTATGCCAGCCCAAAACAGCTTGACGTGAAAATAAATAACTGTCAGTTCCAAAAATATCAATCTCTCTTAATATCTTTTTTTTAGTTGTTTTGATTGACCTATGCTAATGGTGGTTGGAACTCATTGCCAGGCAACAGCAAAGCGATGAGACCCCCATGGTATGGGAGATGCTACTGTATCTGTACATCCTCTATTCACCGGACTGGCACTATCATAGTACAATGCCTACATTTCTCTTCCTTTATGGTGCTGTTTTTGCTATGGTTCATTCAGTGGTGCATTTTGGAATGGGCTTCAAGGTGCATTTTGTCATCCTCTGCCTTCTTTGCATCCCTCGAATGTACAAATATTACATTCATACAGAAGATGCCTCTGCCAAGCGACTTGCAAAACTGTATGTGGCTACCCTTTTCACTGGTAGTTTAAGTTGGCTTTTCGATCGGATCTTTTGCAAGAACATATCAAATTGGCCCATCAATCCGCAAGGACATGCTTTGTGGCATGTCTTTATGGGTTTTAATTCCTATTTTGCAAACACATTCTTGATGTTTTGCCGTGCCCATCAGCGAGGATGGGCACCAAAGGTTGGCTATTTTGGTGGTGTTCTTCCATATGTGAAGATTGAGAAATCAAAAAAAACTCAATGAAAGAAAATGAGATTATGAAAAAGAAGTGAGGAACTTGATTTTGTGGAAGATGGGGTGTTAACACGCACCCTTTCTCCAGAAAACATTTCCATGTAGTTTTTGCTTCTAATTGGAGGCGTGTGAGAAGTTGTAGAAGCTAAGGAAAACAATCTGTCAATTTTTTGTTCATCTGGATGGATCTTGAGGGAAATGTGACGTCAAAGTTTTCATTGTAAAAGTAGAACATGTACTATATTTTATATGCTCTGTTGAATCATCAGCTTAGATGTTTTTTTTTTCATCATAGGAACTGACGATACCACGATAAATTTCCCATTGAACTCCTTAGAAAGACCATGAATTTTGCTTATGCCATTTGGTTTTTCTCTTAGGAGGTTGCCAGGGGTTGTTTGACTTTTGCCCAGGGTATTATGAACTGTGCCCTTGTGCTCGAGGATTTACATAGAAATGGGATATTGATTTCTGTTAAGATTTTGTTTATGGCGCCGTCCCTTTTTTGGCAATGAAATTCAAATGTGATATTGGCTCCAATGTGCGGATCAATTTCCAAAAAGAACATTTTCAGACAATGGTAACCATGTAGAGCAACCCGAAATGTTCCATATTCACTAAGTGCATTGAGTTTCTAATTTTAATGAAAAACCAACAAAACCTACTCATTGATGAATCTTAAACGTTTCCAACTGATTGAGAACTTTCAGATTCTTCGGCCAGCTTGATTCTGGAATTACAAGTAACATGCAGATCACTCTTTACCTAGCTTGAATCAACTCATTTCTCTAGGTTTCTCAATAATGGTGCTGCCATGACACTGTTATTAGCTTTTCATCTGGCTTTGGAAATAGCTTCAGTTGCCTGTGCCACCTCTCATTCTTCCATTGTATTGCAGTTTTAAGAAGAGAATCAACAATACATGCCGTTGACAGTTTATGAATATCCTGTTAATGCTGTACATAGTGCGCACACTAAAGAATGCCTCCACCTAGAGATTTCGAATCCGAAATAGGAAAGTCAACATATACAAACATTTCTCTTTCACTGCTTGGCTACCATGTATCACATGCTGCGCAGAGTTAGAACATTATGGATGTGGGCTAAGAACGTCCGACCAGCCTTTCCTGAATGATTTCACCAAGCTTTGTGTACAAAGCATGCTGCTCCTCAAAAGTAAGGTTCGTCAAGATCTACAAAACCACACAATCAACTACTGCAGTCATTTACTCTTTAATATGACCTAAGATGGAATATATAGTCATATATGGAAATTAATTAGTTTTACCTGATCTAGTATCATCTCAACTGAGATACTTTGAGGCACGACGAATGATTGATGATAGATGTATGCAAACACAGCCATCACCATCTACAGAGAGTGATCAAATCAATCAGAGAGCAATACAAGAATGGTTGCAACATAAATTAGATGGAAACGCTGCATTTGAAGCATCCATTTGCTCATTTACATGTTTTAATTTCAAATCCTGCTTTAAGAAATGAATAAAATGCCTTGAATCCAAATGGCTCAAATTGGAATAGCAGCAAATAAATAGAGTGCAGCCAACTAAAAGGAAGCAAATGCTCCAAACTGGAGATAAATAGATCCTGAGCAAATCACATCAAATAAATAGAGTACAGCTTACCTGACAATCCATTCTATCTGTAATTCCACCATGGCCAGGAATACTGTCACCAAAATCCTGTTGCAAAGATGAAAACAAGTTAGCAGATGATATCCAACACTTTGGAGAGCATGTCATACATATCAACATCATTCCCCATTCCTCTCTCTCCCTTCGTCTCCCTATTGTTTCCTTCTGAAAATGCTGAAAGTACAAGAGAGCACCTTGACTTTAAAAGCTCTTTTAAAACCACTTGCAAAAAAGCCTCCAAAAGGTGCTATTATTGAGGCAAACAGACCAAGGCACATGGCATGCCACTGAACAGGCAGAATGGAGACTTCTTTCCACGGAAACTGCACGAGAGCAACTAATGTAGCATTAATATTGGTAATTAAGAAATGATTCGAGTCTCTGAAAGTTACAAGTTAACCAAGATACACCGATTATACAGAATAAAAATTCAACACAAAGAAAAGAGAATAAGAAAATTACATTAATTCTTTTTTTTTTTGTTTCATAGTAACAAGAAAACATAAAAATGTAACTCATAACAAAATGTTACTTGCATGCTTATTTAAGGCTCAAGTTCAACACAGTTACCTACCATACATTCATCACCATATCTACACATGATTCTCGTTTCAAAAAAAAAAAGGCAACAAATGAGATAATTATGAAATTTAGTATCAACTTAGATTTACCTTGACAATTACCTTAATACAATGAGTTTCAAGAATAAGTAGATGCTGGATAAAGTTAATAGTGTGTATTCCAAGGCAGCAGTTGGCAACATGCAAAAACACAACCTAACTCAAACAACCGCAGGCAAATCATTGCTAAAATCACAGGCAGCGAGGATATCCAATCATATTTAGTGTGTTGATAGATACCAAGTGAAAATGACACATGGTAAACCTTACTAACGACAGTTGATGCAGTGCAAGGAAAGCTGTTTATATATTGACAACAGGATATACAACCCATCTAAACATAAAAACGGGTATAAAACCATAATATGAAAAGCATGGACCATAAGCTTGTTGAGTGTCATGCATTAAAGTGAACAATTCTCATCTTGTTCTTAACAAACTGTAAAATCAGTGCAGATATTCAAATCCAATTGAACATGAGCTTACTCACCCATTCAGGAATCCATTCTGGTAAAGTGAAATACTCCGGCTTAAATAAAGGCCCAGGATCACATTGAAGCCAACCACTTGATAAGTCCTGCATGAACGTGGGTCCCCAGCATAATTAACCAGTATGCATTTTAAGCAATAATGACTAATGTGTGGTGGGAGAATTACCTTCCTTGGACATGTTAGCCACTGAAAACGCCCCATGACATTTGCAAGCTACATAAACAAGCACAAGGTTGGTTAAACATTATACCACTTGACATTCATGAACTACATAACTGAGCACAAATTAGTTAAACATTTAGAGAATCCTCTCATAAAGTCTCGAGTCAAATGTGAAAGCATCAGTCTTTTGATGTAATTGACATGAAAGTGGCTGTCAGTAGTAAAAATGTCACAACAAATATGCCATTATGAGAGCAACAGGAACTTATGAAAATAATGGGGAACTCGTGATGAATCCTAACGATATGAGCCTGAAACAGTGGTTTAACTCCTCCATTCATGGTTAACTGCATTATTGTATAGATCTAGACATGGCAACAAATTTCCTACAGAGGACACACAGCTGAACAGAAGTTGAGACTTCATAGAAATATACTCATAATAATATTATAGTTCTGTGACCATGATAGTTGCAAAGTTAAGCCTTATACTTCAAATTTGCATTAAGCACAAGATTGATACAGCAAGAATAATGATTAGATTATGGTAAATGAAACTAATTACAATACACATCAAATAAAAAGATCCACTAGAATTGCCAGGAAAAGGAGCAAAGTGCATGCTCACCACAAATGCAGAGATCATAGTTGTCACAGATGCTCCAATGAATCCCTCCCACGTTTTCTTTGGTGATAACTTGATCAAAGGGGTTTTTCCAAAGAAGAAACCGAAGATATAAGCAAAAATGTCGTTGATGACAATTAGTGTGGCTGGAAGAAGAAACCTACATAGCAAGGTAAAAAGATATATGTAAATGAGTACCAACACTGATGAGCTATTCATGTTTGAAGTCTAGTTTATGATTAAGATAACAGAAGACAGATTGAACTGATTATGTAGCCTATAGGCAAGAATAGAACAAATATCCATAGATTCATTACATATATATAAAACTTGTTACTGAACTTATAGATATACATGAAAGGATGAGATGGGACCAATAACATAGGAATAAATCTTCAGGTAAAGATAAATGAAGCCAGGTCATTAACATCTGGTCTTTTTGAAACCAGGTTACATGGGCTGAATTAGGAATAGTTTGGATATTTCTTTTGGTGGGGTACTGGTACCATCAATGTTTCCCATAAGATATTAGTAGTTTAGTAATGAAAGAAAATATTTTTCCAGGCAAGTTAATGAAAAAGCAAAATTATGATGAGCTGCTGTCGCAGAGGACAAACTGGTATGGGAGTGGCAGTTGCACTTTGAGAAGTAGAAATTTGTGTGAGATTTAACTTACAGATGTACATGATAATCCTTATCCCCCATAATACTTGGACGGCAAAAGTATTCCTAATGAAGCTTTGAAAAAGGCAACTAGGAACAGATCTCATTCTACTTGGAACTCAATAAACAAAACCTCCAAGCTCATATGAGAATCGAATTGCAAAGAGGACAAAGTGAGCACACTAGCATAACCATTTGACCAAACATTTCCATAGAGAGGACAAAAATGTCATATAAGTATCATAAAAAAATAGGGTCTAATGCACTTGGCATATCATATCAGAAAATGAAACTAGCAGAAAATAAAGAAAGCCCCACCTGCCCGAGGAAAGCTTGACACCGTCAAAATTGGGAACAGAGGTTACACACAATCCCAGATCAGAGAAACCAATATTATATAAATTGAAGCATGTCAACATATACGTTTCAGTAAGAGTTTTGAGTTACCAGAAAATTCCTTCAAAAATATTGGCCACAGTGAAAGAGGATTGAGTAAACACCACAATAAGAATCATGTGCGTCCATGCATACTGGCCAAATTGATACTTGTACATCTTCTTCTTTAGCGTGAGAATGAACCACATAAAACCTAAGCCAATTGTACAAATCAGAACCCAAATCAGAAGCAATGCATCACGAATGCGTGTCAAAACAAACCCACTCTAAAAGGCAATGAGAAACCCTTGAAATAAATTTTAATGGCACCTTATGTAGCATACAACTAACCTGCAATATACAAGAAATAACAAATAGCCATATGATACTTGATGAGGCTGCTCACGAGCTGATACAAGAATTTGTCTGAAGTTACAGTATTGACTAGCCTTTGACTGAGAATGCGGCCATAGACAAATAGCATTGCAGTGAAGAAGAAGTGCCTGAGAAAAGACACATTTATAATGACAATAATACTTTGAATGCCAAGAATTTTTTCTGTGTAATTGAGTGCTTGCATGAGAATAGATTTTACAATTAAGGGCCTCTGTACCTTTTAATGACCAGATGTGTGAGAATGAATTAAAATAATATGAAACTGGTTTTACTTGCTTTGTCAGCAGACACATGGACTATGTTAATAAGAAAACATTCTCAGAATATGCATGCTCAAAATCTTAGAAATCCGCAGTAGCAAAAAAAATGTTGTTATCTATGGGAGGGATACCTGATTTTTTTTTTTTTTAAGAAAAAAGAAAAATAAAATAATTCATGTGTTTGCCTGTATAGCAAGTGAAGCCAAAATTTCTGTTACTTCAACCATCGTGGCACTTCAGGTTGCTGGAAAAAATACAAAACCACTTCATTGCATTTTGTGTGGATGTTCAGAAACTTAATAGCACAAAAAGAAAAGTTCAGGCACTCATAAAAAAATTACAAATTTTTTACGTCTCAAATCGCCTTGATCCCTTTATACGTATAATCTAACAAGGATAAGATGATATGCCATCCTTACCAATTTAGAAGTCTAAAACCTGGGAGGTGCCTATCTTCATGGGCTTTCCTAAGTAAATTGAATAGTTCTTTGGCCATAAATATTTGAATGACAACCACCATTGCTGTGATATAGAGATGACCCATGTAGACAATAAAAGCAAAGCCCCCAATCATCCAAATGGTCGAGTATGCACGGATCCACATTGACTTGTATTTGTTTCGATCATGAAGCAGTAAATGGCCTCCATTTTCCTTACTAGCCTCTGGAATAACCTGAAATTCAGGTGAAAGATAGAACTAAATATGAACTTTCATCCACAATTTTAAAGAAAGCAATATATCTTCTCAAACAAATGATAAAGACGTTTACAATCTTCCATTTATTATCCAAACAAGTATGTCAGAAGAAAATAGGGCACAACTGATAGTGATATTGAATTCATTGAAGAGACTAAAATATCACAATACACAAAAATAAAAATAAGTCATGAGGGCAAAGAAAAAATTCAGTACTGGTTTTCCTTCAATAGCATATACTGCATAACATGGATACTTTCTAGGAAATATATACTTCTACAGAACCAATTTGTTGATGATGTTAAAAGAACATGAAAAGAAAACAAAAAACAACATATTGAAATAGAGTAACCGACCTCGTTGGAGCGCCTGCGGTGCCGAAGCCGGGGTGTTGATGGGGCACTAGTGCTGTTATCCCTTTGCATGGCTATGTACTTACTTTCACTTGATTAACAATCTAAAAAAAAAAAAACTGCATCTATATGTAGCCTAGGAAATTGGCACCTGCCATGTCAAAAATGGTCCTTAATGAAAAGTAAATATGCATGGAGGTATCGAAAGAAATTCACCCAATTGTATGAAGTCATGATGACAAACACCAAGCATGATATTAGAGGAAAAATCAAGGAACATTAGGTAAATACAATTTTCAGTACAAAGGCAGTATCAACGAAGAGCAAACACGCTTCATCCAGGAAACAAAAATTATGAGCATATAAGCAGATGTCTTCTTGAGTAAAAGTGCACCCTTTTGGCTATCAACCTGATCTAGAATAACTATTTCATTCAGAAAAACAATCTCCAACATCTACGGATGAAAGAAAGAAAATGCATGTTTTCCCTCTGCCGGAAAGTATTAACCAAGCATCTGGCTCGAAAGCCTACTTTAATCCACAACCTGGGTCGCGCTGCTAGCGATAGTGTTTCAACATAGAGTGCTTCGCACCTGAATTTGGTGAAAGTTGAGCTTCATAATCTTAAGCATAATAGCAGTTTGCAATTTGAAGCAAAAACTATTACTTCCAACATGAAAAAAAAGTCCCAACTAAACAATTGCAGAACTCTCAAAAAACAAAAAAATAGTAGCAGTAAGAACTGCCTGCTGCTCACAGTTTCGTGAAGATGTTGATAGCTCTAATTACTGTTTGCGTATAAAGAAATCAAAATAAATACAAGTAGAATACAGCTCCAGAGAGTATATAGAGTTAAAAACCCCAAAGAGAATCGTTAAAGAAGAAGAACTCCGCAAGACAATAGAAAAACTACCTGAAACAGAATGGCATGACAATTCGCAGGAAAACCCACATCCGAAAATAAAAGAGTTCGGACGAGAAGATCCATGCCATACACAGAAAGCATGACGCATGTAAGCTAGCTAAAAAGAAAGAATACCTGGTTTCAGTTGAAAGCAGCTGTGAGAGTGAAACAGAAGAGAAGCCCTTAGTGGAGAGAATGAGAATAATGGATTAGAGGGGCGAGCAAGCCAAAGCAAAGGAAAGGAAAGGAAAGCAAAGCAAAGCAAAGAATAATTCCCAGGGAACAATTACTAATTTTAATTTCATTCGTGGAGTACAATACAAAGGCACACAATTTTCAATTTTGGCAAAAATTAATTAATTAAATAAGAGCTCAAAAGTTATTATAATTTTCTGATTAACTCCATTTTACTTACTATTATAGACGAACGGGGGAGCGTTAGATTCACGCTTTTAATCCTTTTCTATTTACACGTGGATTAACCCTTAAGTGTGCACGTACCCAAAAATCTGCTATTTTTCTCTCTCTTTCTCCATTATTATATGATGATATGTGAATAAAGGTGAACCAAATTACCAACAACAGTTGGTTTTCTTTATATTAGGTTGGGTATTTGATATTTGTATGTAAAAATGGATTGAAAGTAAAAGTATTAGATCTATAAATAAATAAAATATAAAAATAGTGGTTTGAAATAATTATAGATGGGTATATAATAATTATAAATTGATTTAGTAAAACTACTATCCATTTAGATAGAATATAATTGTTCTCCTTTCACCTTTACATACTTATTATTATCTGTTATCAGCAGTAATTAAGCGTTTTTTCTTTTAATTGTGAAATTATAGTCGCGAAAATTTGAATTTACTTTATATATAAAAATTAAAAATTGTCAAAAATATTTTTATTAATGTGAGGAATTGTGTTATGTTTGGATTGCTGTAAGATTTTTCGCTATGAATTTGCATATTTGGGTTTCAAGATTGTTTAATCAAGCAAACAATAATAATATTTCAATAATAAATAACAGTGTATCAAGACACCTTAATGTAGATTTTCCTTTTTTTTCAATATTTAAGGGGGGAAAAAGGTTCTTCCTTGACCCAATAACAAGCATCGATCCTCTCACTCGCCCCAATCTCATTATATCTTTCTTCCTATTCCCGCTTCAAATATTGAAGCTTTGTGTTTCTTTAACCATATACATATAGGAACAAGATGTTGATTTTGGTGGCGGAATTTAAAAAAAAAAAAAATTTAAAGAATCAACTGCGTATTTTATGCTTGTCCTTAGCTAGGAATCGAGAGTGAAAGTGGAAGTTTTTACGAAATGGAACTAGTATTGAGGTAGCAGTATCGGTTTGTGGATGACAGTATTTATAGCATTCATCATCTCATGTGGAGACGAGTAGCCATCTTTTCCCATGTAAAAAAGGTGAACAATCTTGCTTGTTTTCCAGAACAAGTCTTTGCAAATTTTGGGAACCACACTTCCCTCAGTCTGCACTACCATTCGCAGCAATTCTCTCCTATGACTCTCAATTTCTTTCTTCGTTTCTCTTATAGCCTCTTCCTCTGAGATGCTACCTCCCCCATGAATCACACGCAATGCCAAGCTGTTCAGTTTTCCTTGTTCACTTTCTCTCTGCAATTAATACGTACGTTGATTTTATTTGTAGAGAGAAACAAATGCAAATGCAAATGCAAAAGCAAAAATAAAAACAAAAGAGAGTACCTTGACTGTTGTGAGATCATTCAAGAGCCGTGAAATAACGCTCATATGCATAAACAGTTTGTCGTATTCCTCGCTCTTCACTGCTTCCTCTGACAATTTGCACCCAAGAAAGTAGAGAGGCACCAGAACAACTGGTCCTAAGGCAACGCTCACATATGCACTTGACATATAGTCATCCACTGAGGGGATCGATTTCCCTCTTGTCCATTCGAACTCTCTCCACATGCAATCCAGCAATATCAGCCACTGGAAAAAAAATTTGTTAGCTAATTCATTCTTTATGCTGGTTTATTATTTTTTATCTAATCTAACTAATAATTAATCTCCTGCTTACTATCTCAATTAAATGATCTTTGACGCTTCTTCCTTGCTCTATGCCCGCTTTCACTGCAAACTCATTGGTTGTATCATAAACTGCAGAGAAAATTATCTCAATTTGTTCGGAGCAGAACCCTACTTCTGAATGTCTGTCCCACCTGTTTTTCGTTCAACACACAATTGTTAGCTGACATATTCCCATTATCAGGAACAAAATGGAAGCAAGGGAAACATTAATTACTTTTTGACCAATGCAATCATGTTTAGCAACTCTTCTTCGGAGCCACCGACATCAAATAAATCATCGATGAGAGTCACAAGAACAGTGAATTTAGCCCATGCGATTCGGGCGTCGGAATGCTCAGGAGAGAATAGCACAGCAGCAGCAGCAAAAAACCCATAGGCTATCTTCTGCCTTGCAAACTTAAGCTCATCCATTCTGTATTCTTTGACCCATCTGATTTCCAGTTGGAAGAGCATAATCAATCAAGTATAATATTCAACATGTTCCTCCATTCAACCGTTCAATTATTAAAAGAAATTAATTGTTATACTTACCTTTCCAAGATTTTCAATTCTTTTTGGTGTATGTATTGGCAGGCATTAAAATCTTTCAGTGACAGTTCCAGCAAATGTTTGTTGTCCATGTTAAAGCACCTGGAATATGTATAAAGTGTCAACAGACTCTAGATATTTTCCATTCTTTTAGAAGAAAAGAAAAAACCGGCAGGAATTGACCTGTAAGATGTTTTGAGAAGTCGGGTGTTGTCTACTTCAAGCAACTCTATACTTTTCCTGTTCTCAAGCCGTTCCAAACTGGCATGAGGATACTTAAGAGCATACTCGACCTAAAAAAAAAGACCCATAAATGAATGTATCATCGTCTGGAGTAAATGTCGTGTTGTAGCAACAAACTTTTGATATCAACTAATGAAATTGTTACCTCTTTGTACAATTTTTTTTGGGCACAAGCCCCATTTACTAATGCCAGTCTGAGAAAGGAGGTTGTCCAAGCATTTATTTTCTCCAAAATGGGTTCACTTGGGAGTATTGCCATCTGGGAAGCTTTGTACAACTCGAGAATTGTGTTTATATCTTTGTCTTGTTCGCTGACAGAATCCAAGTACTGCTGTTGGTCATCAAGTCCTGTTAATGCTTCTGCACCAATATTCCCCCAAATTTTATATGTCATTAACTTGTGCATAAAACTAGAGTGTGCTAGCTCTGTTTTTGGCCAAAACAAAACTTTCTAGTCCATACCAGAGGAAACTCTATATCCATTCATCCTTAGGAGTCTAAATCCGATAGCAAGACAATTAATGTCTGAGAATATTTCATCATCTCCTTGAAGCCAGCATCTGTTCCACCGCAAAAATTATCAATATAAATTCAACCATATATATACATGGAGAGAGAGAGAGAGAGAGTCAGATAAACCTGTATTAAACTTTTTTTTTACAAAATAGCAAATGCAAGGCATTTCACCTGTAGATTTCATCTAGAATTGTTTCAATCTCGGATCTGAAATATTGATCAATCCCCAGTCTTTCGAGATTATCAATGGTACAAAGGCGAGTATATATATTTAAAGGATAGATGGTTGGAACTGCAAAAGTAGTATAAGATGTAAGTATGCAAATTAATACAACAAGTGACTAATCAACTAATACACACACCTGTATATGTACCTGTGTTTTGGTATACTTTAAGAAGGGAGACCAAGTACGTGAAGCATTTATCATCATTCAGGTGAAGCAAAGCAGAAGCAGTGGTAGATGGGGAATTAAACAAAGATCCATTGTTTCTCTGATACTTCATTATATTATTCCAGTCATCATGTTTAGGCAAACCCTCCGCAACATATGCAAGATACTTCTTCTTTCCCTCCAAACCACTTGTCAAAGCACTAATTATGAAGCAACCGAATATTTTCAGTCTAAATGCGCCCATAATTAATGTAGACTGTAACATCATATATAATAATGATAGACTTGACTTACCAATGATAGTTGTATTCTATTATTTATATATTATGCTAGCAAACTCTAATAAATGAGAGAAAGGACTGTATTTTTGACTATATACTAGATAAAAAGGATAAAAGAAAAAGAAAAAGGTAACGCAAACGACATTCACCTCTGGACCTCCAAGTCTCGCTTGTTAAGCATTGCATCGAGCGAAGACGGGTTAATGGGAAGAGTCAAGCCCATACGCCTCGCTTGGTCGATCATGCCAGGATATATGATATCGAAGCCGATTGGAGAACGCTGATTCCTGTCCGTGGCGGCCCATTGATAGGAGCCGATAAAGTCTAGGCCTAGTAAAGGAGTTGAGAATTGAGATTATTAATTATGAAAAAAAAAAAAAAAAAAAAAAAAAAATTAATTATGAAAAAAAAAAAAAAAAAAAAAAAAAAAAAAAAAAAGGAGATTTCCTGTTACTATAGTCTAATAATACCCTTAAAAAAAAACTATATTCTAATAATAAAATGGAATCGGCATACCTTTGCAAACGAGTGTTTGGCCGACGTCCCATCTTCGAAGAGCAAGTATGCATGCTAATGTGGAAGACAGAGAGTCTTTGATGAGCAAGGGATCGGTTGAGTGAGAAGCCCATGAGCCATCAGGATTTTGATTCTCCAAAATCCATTGTAAGGATCCTGGGAAACGTGGGGAATCTCCAGCAGGGACCATGGCAACCCATGCAGTATCATACGGTGAAACAGATAGATCCACTTTGTGTAGCATTTCTTTGATTCTGGTAATTGATCCATCCCCTAACCCAACCTATAATTGGCATACCAATTATTCAATGTTTTTTACTTTTTTTTTTTGGATATTTAATCAACATGCAAATACTAACGTGCAAATCAAACAAATTAATTAAACATTACTGACCAAATCCAATTGTTGGACTCTTCTTTTCGAGGGTGTCTTGGGATGCAAATAATTTCCTAAACAGATTAATGAAAAAAAAAAAAAAATCATCTCAGAACATAAAGCTATCACAAAGCATGTATATGGCGTTTGTGTATATTCATGAAACAAACCTGAGGGACTCCTAGTCTCCCTCTTTTGCTGGGAGAGAAGCTTGAAAGTATGTCCATAAGCGAGTGACATTGAAAGAGAGAGATTATATTATTTTGATTGCTTTGGAGCTTTGTTATTGCTTCAATGGACAGTGTGTGGAGTTAATCAGAGCAGCATTATGTATACATTTGGAGGTTGGAGATACGATAGACGGTCAATATTGCTGGCCGCCTTTCCAATCCCCAAGTCAAAATACTAGTCTATAAAATATTAAAGTATACGTAATATATGTACATATTGCTTAGAATTCAAAGTAATTTTTCTTGGCGCAGATTGAAATCTAGTCGCCAATGCAAATACACGAAATAAGTATTTTTATTTGTACTGTTGGTGCAGCCGCCTTCATTTAATTTTAATATTATGCAGTATAAAATATAACGACTTATCTAAACGACTTATCTATCAGCAGCCAGAATTGAAAAGGTTGTTTGATCTTTTTCTTTACTTTTTCATTTATATTTATTTCAAAATATATAAATTCACCACCAAACTTTGTAATTTGAACTTTATAGCATCTTAATTTTGTGAACGACCTGATATGTACTTGAATTTGCAAATTTTGATAACACTAGTCGAAATAATTTTAGAAATTCTTGATTTTTATATGTAAAATATTGATTTAATGTATAGTTAGCATAACTTTTGAAATAATAATTTTCATATTTTTTAATAAGTCAGTTGAAGTATATAATAAAATAATTATATATATTTAAAGCGTTTAATATATATGATTTTATGAGTTAAAGTATTTATTGCATTAAAGTAAAAGTTGAGGATGTCACAAGGTTGAAATAATAAAATTCAGGATGAATTATGTATTCAACCTAAATTTAAAAATAATTAATAAAAAAATGGGATTAACTTATTTATATTGGGTTTAGACTTCATCTATGAAATAAATCAATAAAAATAGAAATTTTTGTTGAAACGATAATATTTGTAATTATACACTTTTAAAAAATATAAATAATTTTTAAAATATTTATATTTTTGGGCAACTATAATCTTTGAAAAGTAGTGGACTAGCAAAGATATTATAGAAATATAGAATTGCATTAGGAAAAGAGCTTTGTAAGCATAGGAAGTAAACATCCGTTGATTTTTATAAATAATCATATCGAACCGACTTTTCTATGGCTGCTTATTTTAAGCAGTGGGTTGCTTACTGAACTCCGGCCTGCCAGGCATAAAACATTCTCTATTTAATTCGGTAATTTTTGTCTGTGCTGAAGGAATAAATCTTTGGTAACATTAAAAAAAAAAAAAAAAAAAAAAACTTGAAGGAATAAAATCTTGGTAACATTTTAAATAAAAAAAAAAAAAAAAAAAAAAAAAAAAAAAAAAATCATTATGAAAAGTCTCTCCATTTTCACTTATGAACTTGGCTCCACTTGTAGTTTGTCACCTTATATTTTTCACAGCCCAATACACAAAAATATCCTGTCTTTCTATTTGTTATAGTTAAATCATAAATTCATAATCTAAATATCTTGGCAACTTGTACATCATAAAATCTAATTTCAGTTAAAATTCATTTAAAAAAAAAAAAAAAAGTTCATGGAGTCCATATCTCAACTTGGGAGAAAGTTACTATTTTATTTTTGTATTTTGTCAAAGCCCCTACCTCGTTCCTCAATAGTATACACAACTAAAGCACCCTTCCTTTGAGAACTGAACTGAAAATACTAGCATCAATGTTAAACTTTAACCTGCCAGGCCAGCCAATGGTTTTTGCCAATTCATGCATGCAGCAATCAAAGGGGATACATTCTGAATAGAAAGATAGCCTTGGAGGAATGCCAATTCAAGCATGCAAATAATTCAAAGCTGGAACCTGGGTTTTTTTAGGCGTACAAAGCTATTAAAGCGAATAAATTAATCAGAAGTTGGCACCTGAAATAGAAAACTCCATGAAAGATATATAGTAGTCAGAGTATTCTTTTAAATCGAGAGAATCTATGGTTTCCACTACAGCAAACAAACTACTCTATAAATAAATCTCTTCTCTCTGCGCGTGCATTTGCAATTGCTTCACCGCTAAACTAGTTATGGCTGCGTCCGCGTGGAGGGTGGGCAGCAGTGGTCCACTTACATAATATTGAAGGCATTGATGAACAACAGGCCGCACTCGTTTAGATCTTTTTGCCATTCCGATGATAATAATAATGGAGGAATGGAATCTTTCTAACACAAAAATTTCTACATCTCACTGTGCTTAATTAGGCACTATATTTTGCCTTGGTTAGAATTAATATAATACATAAACAAATTCCGTTCTGTCTTCTTGTGCTACATTACATGTAAATTGGTTGTAATGTATAGTAGTTAGTTGCAGCATTCATGTGCTAAGTGCTGTGCATACACTAGTATTATTACCTTAATTTCTGGTCCGATCCATGTGCCGCTCTCTTTCTTTCTCGCGCATGCGTACAGGGTATTGGTGATGTTTTGGGTCTAATGGAATTCTGCATATTACAAACAATTAATTGCACTACGTCAATTAGATTTTTGACTATTGACTCAGTTTTTCTTTTAGTTATATATATATATATATATAACCCTGAACCAAAATATAATATTTCAAAAATGCTGACTCGTCACTCTCTTCTTTCAGTTTTTATTTTCCCTTTTTTTTTAATAAAATTTTGGACTTTTTTCTTTTTTTACTATGATTTTTCTTTGTTTCTAAAAATTTGATTGGTCATTAAAACATTTTTAAATTTAGAAATTAATTTTTTATGATAATAATCGACATCTATGAAATCTTTCTACAATTTAATGACCATTAAAATATTTTTTAAATTTAAAAATTAATATTTAATTTGTTATAATAGCCAACATTTTGAAACTTGATCTTATTTGGCTATATATTTTGCTTCCATTCAATCTTAGTTTTCATTTGTATCTCTATGCATCCTTCTCTCTCCTACTATTGTTCTTATTTGATAATTTTTATTTGCTTTTTTATTACAGGCGGTAAAGAAGAGATGAATATAAATAGCTCTCCATAAATTTAAATCTTAAATCACTCTCAGATTAGGTTTTTTTTTTGACTTTCTTTCTTTCCTTTTTGAATTCTAAATAAGAAAACTAAATTTTGCTTACGGATTCCCTTTTAATCTTTGATCTTCTTTTCTCATTATTTTTTTGAACTCTTATTTTCTCATGATTTAATTTCTCATTTTTTTCCTCTTCTGTTTCGCTTTGGATCATTGCTTTTTTTTTTTTTCAATTTGTTTTGGAGGGAGTGTTTTTTTGGGTTATTAATATTATTATCATTTATTGGATAGTAAAATTAATTAATATTTTATAGTTTATACAAATTTAATATTATTATTATTTCTCATTTCTAAGGGATTCCTAAAACTACTTAATTATAATTTTGATTATTTCTCATTTCTAAGGGATTCCTAAAACTACTTAATTATAATTTGACATAATTAATAACGTCTTAAGACAATAAATTGTTTTATCTTATAAGAAACCAATATATTTGATCCAAAAACCTTAGCTGGCATTTTTATGAAAAGGTAATTATTTAGTAACTTTTTTAAATTAATTTTATTGTTATTAAAAAATCATATATTTATTATGATTAATTTAGAAATTTATATAAATAATTGATTAAATTTTTTTATTTAGATATTATAAATTTAAATTTGAATTTTTATATAATTATTTATGAAATTCAATAAATTATAGTTTGAAAAAAAAAAGTAATAAGAATAAGAACCCATTATTTTAAAAAAAAATTAATAAGAGAAGAGTCTCTAGAATCTTCTTTAAAAAATTTTTATTTACCGTCTAAATTATGTCTTCAAAAATTTTTAAAATTTCTTTTCAATTTTTTAAATAATATAGATCTCACTAATTTTTCTTTGGTATCAAAACTTTCTATTTTTTAATCTATTATATTATATATTACAATTAAACTGAAAAATACAATCTTATTTTGGAATTGGATAGATATGAATATAACAATTTTTATTTTTTTATGTTTATAGAAATAATATTTATATAATTATATTATATTTTTTTGTTAAGTAATTAATTAAAATAATATTTAGTCTATATATTATCCATATAATTTATTTGAATAGTAAACTTTATCTATATACTTATTTTAGATAGATACAATGTTTAAATTGGTTTGAATTATTATAGAACCTTTAAATTCTAGATAATTAATTATATAATAATTAAATTTAAAAATAATATTTTTTATAATAAGCATATAAGTTTTTATAAAATTAAAAAAAAAAAAAAAATAAAAAATTAAAAAAAAAAAATTAAAAAATTTAATTTTGTTTTGAAGTTATAATTTTATTTGAAACCCTAAGTAATTTAAATTTTATTTGCTAATAAAATTAAAAAATTATATTTTTTATAGATTTCCATATTTGATTATTTAAATCGTAATAAAATTTTATTCCATAAATATAAACACCTAAATATGATTACTTGAATTTTTTAAATTATTTAAAATAAAATTAATTACAATTAACAATTTCTATCAAACGACATCTAATGAACTGCATATGCGGAAAAAATAAATATTAAATGAATATACTAAACAAATTTATAATAAAAATATTAATATGCTTTAAAATAATATACTAAACACAATTTATAAAATAAAATAATAATATGCTTTAAAAAAATATAATAACAATAAATTAACTTATGAAATATAAACTATGTAATATTGCGACCTTGGCCTAGTTAAGATGATTCGCTTTACAAGTAAAAGGGATATCCTTTGAATTTTTTTTTTTAATAAAACTCTTAATTTTCGATTATCCTTCGACATAAAAGAGACAAAATAAAAGCAATATGCTACGTGGCAATCTGCAATTAGATAAAAGAATCCACAGAAATTTCCGTTTGGATGAGCACCATAAATAAAAACTTGGAACACATATATGAGACATAATAATGCCACCAACACAACAAGCCACTCTCTTACTCTTGGTCATTGTCGCTCCCTAACTGAATCTAAGCTAGCTCTATAACTGAGTGCTGGACTTCTCCTATATATATAGCATGCACACTCTTGCCTTTTCTTTCACTTAGTTGTAAAACAAACACATGTATCCTTCTCTCATGGCCAAGAATAGAGAGCACACTCTCTGGCTGCTGGTTCTACTGCATATTGCCATTCCATGTTCATCGTATGAGCAAAAACTGAACAGCATTGATCTTGCAGCTTTGGCAGCCATAAAGAACAGCCTCACAGACATTCCAGGCTCCAACTTCTTTTCCACCTGGGACTTCATATCCCCAGATCCTTGCTCCACCTTCTCCGGCATTACTTGCTCTCTCAATCGAGTCACTGCTCTCACTCTCGGCACCGGACTCTCTGATTCTCCGGGGCTTGCTGGCTCACTCTCCCCTTCCCTCTCCAACCTCACCTACTTAACCCAACTAATCCTCTATCCGGGCCTTGTTACTGGCCCCATCCCTACCCAACTCGATCGACTTACCAACCTGCGTGTCATCTCCTTAACCAACAATCGCTTAACCGGTTCTATTCCCACCTCACTAGCATCGCTCCACAATTTGCACACGCTCGATTTGAGTAACAACCGACTCACCGGCTCCATACCTGTGGGTCTTTTCACAGCGTTGAGCCAATTGAAAGTCGTCATCTTTGCTTCAAATTCCTTGTCCGGAGAGTTACCCAAGAGGATATCCGCTCCACTGCTGCATTTGGATCTGAAAAGCAACATGCTAAGAGGCATTTTGCCGTTAGAGATGCCGTCAACGCTTCGTTACCTGTCGGTGTCGAGAAACGAGATGTGGGGTCCACTCAACGGCCTAGAGTCGCTCTCAGATTTAGTGTACCTGGACCTAAGCATGAACCAGTTCAATGGGCCCATCCCTGCCTCTCTCTTCAGGCCTTCCCTCACTTGTTTGCTCTTGCAACGGAACAATTTATCTGGGGGCCTGGGGTTTGTGGACCCGTCTTCTGCATCCTACGGTGAGGGATCCATCGTGGACTTGAGCCACAACTTGCTGAGCGGAGAGCTGACGCCAGTATTGGCTGGGGTGGAGAGTTTATTCTTGAATAACAACCATTGGATGGGGACGGTTCCAAAGGAGTACGTTGACAGCGTGTACCGAGGCATCACCAAAACCTTGTACTTGCAACACAATTATATAACGGGGTTTCCTTTGGAACCTGGGAGGGCGTTGCCTGATACGGCGTCGTTATGCTTGTCTTACAATTGTATGGTTCCGCCAGTGGGGCTGACGACCACTTGCCCCATCAGTGCCGGTGGGCAGTTCTCTAGACCAGAATCACAGTGTGTTGCATTCAACCATGGAGTTGGGAACTCCAGGCATTAATGGTTTAATAGTTATAGTCTACATCACATATCGGGTGAATGCTATAAATATGGGTCACGCTGCATTTTAACTGCTTTGCGATCGAGACGGACAAATTCATTAACTGTTCTATCTCCAAGGATTATTTTATTTCTTGATATATATTATAGTTTATACAAGGGATCAGCGAGATGTATAAAGCAAAGGGCTGTGGTATAATATATATATAGCGAGTAAATCCAAGGATACATTCCGATGTAAAATAAAAAAGAATCCAAGTTTTCTAGTTTTCTTTTTTAAACTTCGAAATGGCTATGGTTTCGTTGTTGCCTATAGAACAGTTCGCTATGAACTCAGAATTATGTGGAAGAATTTTATTTTTAGCACATAATTAAAAAAACCGTTAATTGGGCATTAGACTACTGCACATCCCACCAAACAACATTCCATCGTAGCAGTGAAATGCCATATGAAATTAAAGATATCATTTAATCTTGCATATGAAATTAAAGAGCCAAGTGTAAAATCGATGAGCATTAGTTCAAGTCATATTTAAATTTTAACTTTATATCATATCCTATATTTAACGATATGGATGGCTAAATTTTTCATTTTTTTTGTTTGAATGAAAAAAAGTTTACAATCAAGTTTCTAAATTATTTAAAATATTGTACGCAATTGACCAAGGTTGTTTCGCAATGCCAAATTATTTTGCAAGCCAGAATGGAACTTGCATTTAGCCATGCAAGCACTACTCATGTAGAACTTGCTTTTATTATCACACCTAAAAGGCAAATGAAAATAAAATGGAAAATACGATTCTCAGAACTCTGGCATCACACCCTCTCCATATCTCGTTCTCCTCTTCCAATGTCCAAATCCATTCAATGTTTCATTCAGGCATTTTAACAAACAGTATATATGCAACAAAAATTGCAGTGTACCCACACCTACAATTGACACAAATTCGTCCCATTTTCATCAATGAGCACCCTATTGAGCTTAATTGGCTCACATTTACTGCAAGTTAGTGACAAACAAGTTGGGCAAAGAAGAATAGTTAGCTTGTTGGCTTTAGGATATCTCGACATCAAACACCCAACGTACACCTTATCAATACTTTTACTTTCAATCAACTAGCAACTGTGCTAAAACAATGACCACAAACAGTTTGCAAAGAGTCACGACTCGAGGGAACTCGAACGATACTTCATCCTGGCCATCAAAAGCCTTCAATCCTTATTCTGTTGATTTTTTGAAATCTATCGACATTAATGGTGGTATCGTAGATAATGGTAAGGATATGGATATAGTAATGATGGCATTGAATTGTTAAGGCTTATTATTTTGAGAATGGGAAGCTTTAATTGATTTTAAACCTTTATCTTCTACTTACACATTGGACAATTATAATTCGACTGATTTCTATCAGTTAATAAGCATTTAATACGGATCATATAATTTTTAATGAAATTACTACAAAGACATGCTAGAAAAAATAAAATAAAAATAAAAATTTAATTATATCAATTAAATTTTATTAATATATGTGTTGTGTGCAAGTCCAACCAAGATAAAAAATTATGACAGTAATGGAATAATTTTTTATAATAAAATAAAAGAAAAACCGGATATTTAAATTGATTAAGATTATTCATTTCAATTATAATTAATTATGATTATCTTTTAATAAGAATTTAATTCATATTTAAGATAATGTTTAATTAGGTTATTAGTGAAAAGTAGGAGGGAACCAAATATACTTTTAATAAGAATTTAATTCATATTTAAGATAAATGGTTTAATTCAGGTTATTAGTGAAAGTAGGAGGGAACCAAATATATATATATATATATATATATATTTATATATATATGGGTAAATTTCCGAAGACCAGAAATTCATGGATATATGGTAAATTTCCGAAGACCAGCATTCCATGCTTCGAATTAGCGACGGTGTGCATAGAAGAAAGGCACCAGAAAAAAGATGGAGATGGAGCAGCTGCTAAGCATGGGTTTTCCAACCGAGTTGGCTACCGAAGCTCTGGCGGCCACCGGCGGCAAATCCACCCTCAAAGCCACCGAATGGATACTTTCACGTAAGCCTTCTGACGCTAATTCTAAACCGCCGCCAAACCCTTCTCCGCTCCAGCCAAAGCTGGACCGCTTCTTCCTCTTGCAATCAAATTCGAAACCCAACTCCTCAAGTTCCCCACAACCCACTGCTGGATACCTCGAAGGACGACGAGAAGGACATGACGAAATGACTCCTCTACCTTCAAACTCTAAGCGGCCCAAATTACTGCTAGATACTGCCGTCAGCCACGAACCCTTATCAGAACGCATGCGCCCTTGCAACGTGGAAGACGTCGTCGGCCAGGATCATCTTCTAGCCCAAAACTCTATCCTCCGCTCCGCCATCGACTGCAACCGCCTTCCGTCAATTATCCTTTGGGGTCCACCTGGGACAGGTAAGACCTCCATTGCTAGAGCAATTGTGAATTCCACTCCCCAGTATAGATTTGTTTCTCTGTCAGCAGTGAATTGTGGGGTTAAGGATGTGAGGGATGCAGTTGAAAATGCTGGGAAGATGAAAGTGAAGAGTGGGAAAAGAACTGTCTTGTTTGTGGATGAGGTTCATCGGTTCAACAAGTCTCAACAGGATTCTTTCTTGCCTGTCATCGAAGATGGTAGCATTGTGTTTATAGGTGCCACCACGGAAAACCCCTCCTTCCATTTGATCACGCCACTGCTCTCACGCTGTAGACTTCTTACCCTCTATCCTTTAAAGCCTCACCATGTGCAAACCATTCTCAACCGGGCAATCAATCATTCTGATAGGGGACTGCTTAAAAGCATAGGTGCGAAAGTTGAAGTGGATGAAGATGCTGTTAAATTTTTATCTGAAAATTGTGATGGAGATGCCCGTGTTGCCTTGAATGCCTTGGAGATTTCTGCTACCACTGCATCTTCCCGAATAAATAATTTATCCTCAATCTCATCAGTGGTTAGTGTTACTTTGGGTGATGCTAAGGAGGCACTTCAATGCAAGCATCTTGCATATGACAAAGCAGGGGAAGAACACTATAATCTGATCAGCGCGCTTCACAAATCTATGAGAGGAAGTGATGCAAATGCTTCCATTTATTGGTTAGCGCGAATGTTAGAAGGCGGTGAACAACCACTTTATATTGCTAGGCGTTTGATAAGGTTTGCGAGTGAGGATGTTGGGTTGGCCGACCCTTTGGCACTTAACCAGGCTGTTGCTTGCTACCAAGCTTGCCATTTCTTGGGCATGCCCGAGTGCAATGTGATTCTCGCCCAGTGTGTGGCTTACATGGCTTTGGCTCCTAAATCCATTTCTGTGTATCAAGCAATAGAGGCTGCACAGAAGATTGTTAAGGAATCGGTTGGACAAAATGAGGGAGTGCCTCTCCATTTGAGAAATGCTCCAACTAAGCTAATGAAAGAGCTTGGTTACGGGAAGGACTATATCTACACTCCCCACAATCCATCTTCAAAGCAGACCTATTTACCCTCTTCACTTGAGGGCTACAAGTTCCTTGATTGGCCTCCCGATAATGAGTGATAAGCAGGAAACGACTTGAATTTGATCACTACAAAACTTTTTGACTGTGATAGCTAATGCTGGTTAGCAGTCCTGATGATTTCTGCTGCAAAAGCCCGTTATTTGTTCTAACATCATCCTGTTTTACTGTTTTATAACTGGATTGAAACATATAGAGAAACATGCTAAGCACAGTAAGGAATACGACATTAATGTACTAGACCATTAGTTGTTTATATTGGCAAAGTTCCAGTGAACTATATCTTCAAGTCCTTAGTGATTTCCTAAATTTAAGCTGTCAAAATTTTGCTCAGTTGTTTTCATTAGCTAAATGTTGTCGTGTATTCTTTAATGTATGGTACAGAGGCTCTAAACATTATGGCGCTACCTTTTATATATCAAATCCAATTGTAGTGGAAATCTGAGCCTATCAGCATGCCTACCTGTTATATATCAAAACCAATTGCAGTGGAAATCTGTGCCTGCCAGCATGCCTCTGAAAGAGGCCTCCATTAAGTAGCCGACGAGCTATAATTGTTATTGATCCTATCCAAGTTTGGTTGACAGAGCATTCTATAAGAGAGAGAGAGAGAGAGAGAGAGAGAGAGAGAGATGTGCCTGTCAGCATGCCTCTGAAAGAGGCCTCCATTAAGTAGCTAACGAGCTACAATGGTTATTGATCCTGCTTCCCAAGTTTGGTCGACAGAGCATTTTATAAGAGAGAGAGAGAGAGAGAGAGATCTAATTTATAATAATTAGCGAGAATGACCTTTCCAACTCCAACATGCAGCAAAGCATGCGGAAGTTCATCTTTTTGCCAGAATGTTTTTTCATAATCATAAAAAGATGGCAATAAAATATACAGACTGTTTCACAACCAAATCTTCTATTGCCTTTCATAATTAGTAGATTACAGTAGATCTCAGCTAGCTAAGACGCTAAACTTATTATTGCAGCTACAAAAAACACTAGCTAAACAAGACACAGAACATACGAGAAAGGAAGGGAAAAACAGAAAAAGAAAAAAGGGCTAAGATTATGCTTATCTTTAGGTAAATTAGATCCATTCTTTTGGGTTGATGCAAGCATCTAATAGCTTCCACTCTTCACTCCCCTCTTCAGGTTTCTGTATGACCACAATGAAACAACCTATCGCTGTCAGCTCATAATTTTCACCTCTTAGTCTGACACAACATATGCAGATAGTCTTGCACACTTACATGGTCATATTCCCACCGAGCCGTTAGTGGTAGAGAAACAAGAATACTTTCAATTCGACCACCTGTCTTCAGCCCAAATGTAGTACCGCGATCATAAACCTTTACAAAAATCAAGAGAAATGGCAATCAAGGCCTGCTCTTCAACAAATTTTCATGTTACAAAAATTCAGTTTGGATTTTTCTGAGCCAGTTATACCAAGTTAAATTCCACATAGCGACCCCTTCGTAGCTGTTGCCATGCTTTATGGCGTTCAGTAAATGGCATATCTTTTCTTCTCTCTATAATAGGAATGTATGCAGGTACCACAGAATTTGCACACTCTGCAATTTAACAAAAAGTTTGCACATGAATGCAAATTTTAACCCCTGGAAATGAAAGAACATATCTGCTGGTAAAAACAACCTAGATGCATAAGTCTCAATAACCTAAACTAATTACCAGTGGCAAAGGAAAGAAGCATCTCTTGATCATAGTCATTTAGATCATCAAAAAATATTCCCCCAAGTCCTCGCCTCTCGCCTCGATGCTGCATAATGGTATTGTTAATAAACATATAGGCCAATAACTTAAGCAAAATCTGGAAAAATACTTAAGCAACATGTTATCTAGAACGATTTTGGAGGAAACAAGAACCTAAAAAACAACTGTGAACAACAACAATAAGCCTTAGTCATAAGCTAGTTAGAGTTGGCTAAATGTATCTATTTTTTACATTCCACTTGGTTTTGCATTAATTCTTCAGTAAGACCTATCTAATCTTTCTTAATCACTTTTCCCATGTCCTCTAGGGTGTTCCTCTCCCGTTGCTAGTCTTCTCCACTTAACTTAAAGATGCTCTATTTGCCTTAGAGAGGCATCCTACAGTCTACAACACACATGAAGAACATTACCATAGGGTATACTTCACTAACAAGGTAAACCAAGTAGTTCCAGATCATCATTCCTGCCTAGTTTTAAAGGTACAAGATCAACTTGCATTTTAACACTGAAAAGGGGCAGCCTATTTCCCCGTCACATTTCTCACCTATACAAGTGCATTTTGAAACCAGTCTGTTATTGGTTATATAAAAGCATTCATGGACCTCACATAATTTCAACACTATTTTCCCAAAAAAGAAAAGGAAAAAAGATTCAGCCAAGCGGACTGGTTTATTACAATATTTTTCATTCTATATATTTCAGACATGTGTAGATTACAATAGAAAGCAAGAAACATCACAGCATCTTCAGACATAAAAGGCAAGATAATTATAGGTTTTCCATTTTCCTTCCCCCATTGTTTTATCTGGGAATGTACGTGTTGTGGACTTGTGGTAACAGTTGTAGGAAGGAACAACTGATGTAATAGGGGCATTGATAAGATAAATTTAGAATCCAGAGTACTATAAACAAGTATGATAAACATGTGAAACAAAATGCCTAATGGCCTACCTTAATATAGAAGTAGTCATCACACCACTTTTTGAACCGGGGATAAAAAGCAGGATCAAATTTGTCACATGCTTTTTTTTGAATCTACAACATACAATATAAACATTTGTCAAATGAAAATAAAAAAATAGAAGAAATATCTCCACAACTACAGACCCTTCAGTAAAAGCTGCCCTACTAACAAAAACTGGAGTTGCGGATGTAAAATGGGCAACTATTACTTCCAAGTGGATGGAAAATTAAATTTGAGGAAATATCCTTTTAAAGAAAAATGGCATTTTCTATCTTTTACCATTTTGCTCTCGAGAAAAGAACCACAAAATATGAAAAACGAAACAATTAAACTCCAAATATAAATCATAAATGAAAGACTACATTTCACTAGAGCTTTTTAAAAATGAAAAAACAGAACCAGCATATCAATTTGAGAATTTACAGAATGGAAATGCTTGACATCCTCATCAAAGATGTAAGCAGGAGTCAAATCAGTCCCACCACCAAACCACCATTGCCTAGGTGCTCCAGGAGAATCTGCGTATCATGACAAAAAGACATCAGGCAACTTCAGTACGTCATTTCCATAGCCAGTCGATCATGCTGATGATGGTTTTGTCAAGGCATTTTGAAATCATCAATTAATATCACGCATGAAAAGATCTCAGGTGGAAACATAATGGGCATACACTATTTTTGCTTATAGGGTTTGGCAATCGTCAAAAAGAAAAAGATGTAAAAGAAAGATATACTATAAGTTTAAAGTGTAACAATGGAAATTGTAAGTCAAGTGCTCTGGTTTCCGGATTTTGATTCTGGCAAATCCAAGCATTATACAATTAGAAATGCAGTTGTATATATAGAAGACACAATCAGTCTGTGAAGATAACGTATGGTTCGTTTAAGAGTTTATTGTTGCAACACGCGCATACTTACCTTTGGGAGCATCGGTTTCGAAATAACGATAATTAAAATGCAACGTTGGGGCGAAAGGGTTCTTTGGATGCAATACCTGCAAAAGAATAGAAGTTAATTGGTGACAGTGTGAAATAATAATAAGAATAAATGATAGAATGGTAATCGAAATGAAGAAGTTACAGAGCTGATCCCAGCAGCGAAAAATGGAATAGGTCCAGGCTTTTGATCAGCAGAAGCAGCCTTAGCAGCCCGGTAAGCTTCGGGGGGCATCACTCCGTAGACGACAGACACATTGACTCCAGCCTTCTCCCAAACAGCGCCGTCTTGTAAGACCCTGCTGATGCCTCCGCCACCTCCCGGTCTGGACCAGACATCCTCCTTGAACTTTCCACCTTTATCGACAGCCTCTATGGCATGACACACGCTGTCCTGGGCTTCTCTTATCATCTTCTCGAAGCGGGCTCGCACATCTCCTCCTTCAGTTTCACGGAGAAATGTATCCGGGCGCTCGGTTTCGGGAGTTTCCTTCTCGATAGAAACGGCAGATCGTATCATGAGAGAGGATTGATTGTGGAATTTAAGGCAAGAAGAAAAAGGAAATGGGAGTTGTTTGGGATTAAAATTGCCAGAGAGTTTGCCCAGAAAACAAGTAGATGTAGAAGTAGAAGAAGGTGAGGAAAGTGGGAAGAAGGGAAAGGTTAAAGAAGATGACAAGGCTGCGTGAGGCATTTGGTTTCGCAATCAATTTCTCAATGTCAAATGTTTGTATTTCTTCGACTATGTCCCAGGTGGGAGTCCCCCTCGCTCATATAGAGAAGGAACAATGAAAAGCTCTTGTTCGTGTTGGAAGCAGATAAGGATCCCCTTTATCCCCCGGTTTTTGACCGCTTGCTTCTCCTGCTAACAACTACTAGTATTAGTCTATTACTTACTGTACTATCTGCCGCGCCCACTGAGTCTGTATATCGCCGTAAGAATCCCATGGGACACCATTCCCCTCCTTCGGTCAAATACAACTGCACAAATCGTTAACCCTTAATTTCTACTTCCTAATGTTGGGTCTAATACCGTCCTTTGCATTAAAAAGAACAAAAAAAAAAAAAAAAAAAAAAAATCCCTTTATCCCGCCCGGGTTTTGACCGGCTTGCTTTCTCCTGCTAACAACTGACGTAGTATTTAGTTCCTCATTACTGTACTGTGACTAGTCTGGCCCGGCGCCCGACTGAATGTCTGTATTTATCTGCCGTAAAGAATCCCCTATGGGACATTCATTCCCCTCCTCGGTCAAATACAACTGCACAAATCGGTTAACTTCCTTAATTTCTACTTTTCCTAATTTGGGTCTATAATGATCCGTCTTTGCATTAAAATAGAACCCATAAAAAAAAAAAAAAAAAAAAAAAAAAAATTATACTTCGTGCCCACGTAATTTTTGCATTTGTCTTCGAAAAAAAAAAAAAAAAAAAAAAAAAAAAAAAAAATTATACTTCGTGCCCCGTAATTTTTGCATTTGTCTTCGACTAATAATTTTACTTGACAGTTTTTGCGCTGTGCGCCCGGTATATAGTATATTTATTTTTTAGACTTAAAATATGTGTAACGAATAAATTACTAAAAATTTAAAGTATATATAATATATGGGTAATATGATTCGAATATATCAAGTGAAATTAAAAATTTTTATTCTAATTGAGCTGTTCATATAATAAATTTAAAAGGAAAAAGCATGTTAATACATTATTTATATGTGGTCATTGAAATAGAGAAAACATATTAGTGTATAAATAAAAATCTATATCCCTTTAAGTAATAACTTGAAGCATATAAACGCATACATAAAAAATTTGAAAATTTATTAATAATTAGATGAAGGCCGCACTTGCACAGTTACATCTGTATTTTTATTATAAAATTAATTTCTCTGCAATTGCTTTATTAAATTTTCCTGTTATATAAAAATTATAATGTCAACAATTATAAAGCATAGTTTTAGTTAGAGTTTGTAATTTAAATATTTAAACATTGTTTCTGATTTTAGGCAATTCTACATAAATAAAGTTCTGTAAAAAATATAAGCAAATAAGTTAGAAGAGCAAAATTAGATAAGAGGTGTATAAAATATTACTTATTTACTGCAATTCACATCTTATATATGTTTTGGTAATAAATTTTTTTATCATATTTATATTTATTTATTCTGATTTTTTATTTTATGGAATATTATTTTAGGTCAATTTATTAACAAATTATCATTTAGAAGGAAAGTAGTTAATAACAAGGCGCACTTTTTATTTTTAAGTATAATAATAAAAGACATATTTAATTTTGAGTGAAAAGAAAAATACTAAAAAGGCAAAAGTCATTGTTTTAAAAACTATAAATTAAAGAGAGACAATTCTAACGAGCGAGACATTAATTTATGACAGTAATAAAACTCATAAAAAATTAATAGAGCTAATACCAAGAGCCATTGTATTTAAAACTTATAAAAAGGCTACAAATTAAAGAGAGATAACTTTTAATAAAAAAAACGCATTTTTAAGAAGCTATAGTTTCTTTTTTTTTTTTATTGAAGATAATATTAGGATTTTATTAAAAAATTTCAAATCATTACAAATATTAGTGGGAGGATATAACCCCTCTTCTGAAGACTGACATAGAATAAAAACTATAGAATTATTATTTGCTGATTTAATAAGAAATTTTAATAAAAAATAGAAGGTAAACTTGAAGAAAACAAATAAATCTTCAAAAGCAGTTGATTAGATGAACTCCCTGAATCTTCTATACATGGCGTAATTATTCATGAATTAGTTTGTCAGGTCCTTGACATGGCTGAATATTGTCTGCTTTGGGCCCTTCCGTACGAGGTCACCCTCACGGTTTTGTTCTTGGGGGAAATGGGAAACTTCCCAGGAGGTCACCCATCCTAGGATTTCGACGGTTTCTTGTTCTTGGGGGAAAATGGGAACACTTCCCAGGAGCTCCACCATGCCTAGGATTCCATTAAGCGAGCACTGCTTTAATCCCTGGAGTTCTCCTAATCTCCAGCCAATTTCACCACTCAAACGTCCAACCATTCAAGGCATCACCCCTCTTTTGTACTGTCTGAACACCCTGTGCGTAGCCGATGTGGGATTCACCTAAGGTGTAGTGCCCCAAACCTGGGATGTCACAGTTAATCCCCTTCAACATAGTTGCATGAAGCATGTACAAATAGATGTCCACTTTGTTCGGGATAAAGTTGCAAGCAAGGAGTTATAGGTTCGTTATTTATCTTCCAATGATCAAATTGCAGATATATTAACGAAACCGTTGACTAAGAATAGGTTTATATTGTTGAGAGACAAGTTGACTATCGCCCCACACCGATAGTACAACTTGAGGGGGCATGTTAGTGATAAGGTTAGTTCTGAACCACCTCTGGTGCGTAGCCTGATGTGGGATTCGCCTAAGGTGTATAGTGCCTCCATAACCTGGGATTCACATATCAAAAGCCCAACGTAAGCTAACACATAGGGCACAAAAAAAACTTCTTCTATGACACTTCCTAATTCCAATCAATAAATGGGGTTTCCCAAAATCTAAGATGAAGTGCTTGGTAAAAATTTCCAGCAAACTCTGGTTCATAAACTCATTTCCAATCCCCTGTTTTTTCACTTATCAATTTTTCAATCCTCTCACTCCAACAATAAGCAACATAATGATCTTCATGAGCAACAACTCCGAACACAAGTTTTCATGCAAAGAACATAAATGGTAAATGACAAGAGATATCAAACCTTCACTCCCAAAAGCTTGAGCTCTTCTTTAGCTCCCTTTTTCTACAATCTTTGAACTCACTTCTCCTATATACATCAGAATTCTTATAAATTATCTACAATATAACTCAATTAGAGGTTGAATAACATAAGGTTCAAGAAATTCTACTTACTTGGAGAAAATAGAGGTTGCCTTAATGCTTAATTACCATGAAAATGGATGGAGAAAGGAAGGGAAAGGAAGGAGATGAAGAAGATGAAGATAAAGATGAAAATGGGAAAGTGAAATGATTATCACGGGTATGAAAAATTTGATTTTTACGGTTGTAGGCTATCAAATAAGATGTAAAACTTCCTTACATGGCACCTCCAATTTATGCAAGGTTACAACTTAATACCCTTAAGCTTGATCTTTTACTGCAATTGAATCCTCTCTTTAATATTGCTTTGTATCTTTTCCTTCTCATTCAAATAAGTCCACTTCTAATCCATTCTATCAAATAAGTCCACTTCTAATCTCATTCTACCCCAACCGGGTTTGGTTCAACTCGACTCAACTCGACTCTATGAAATGACTCAACTCGGGAATGTTACATAGTTGCTTATGACGAAAGGATTTGAACCACTCAATCCAATAGAGGAATATACCGCATTACAAAACTCCAAAAGACGAAAATCATCGTATAATTGAAAAGTTCTCCACAAATTGCAATCTATCCAAATAAACCAAACAAATGCAAACAACAAAACAAAACTCCACTTAAAATAGAGAGATCATAAACTCTACACAAGATGGAGATAAAACACAAATAATAGCAGAAATATAAATAACATGAATCAATGCCATAATAGACATAGATATGTAATTTATTTAACAAAAAAAAATAAAAATCTACCTCAAAACTAGAAATACGAGGAGGGACTATCACAAGAGACAGCCCATCTTCGTGTCTACATGCTTAATTTTGTGTTTCAGTAGAGAGAATGGAAGATAACAGTGATAGGGAGAGAGAGGGGGTTACCTCAATTTGGCAATAAAATTTTACTTCCTTAAGTTTAATTATATATAACTGAAAAAAGTCATATTTAATTTTTAATAGGATAGAACACCAGGACCAAGAGCTATTGTGATTGAATTTATATATATATAACCAAAGCTATTGTGGATTGAATTTATATATTATATATATATATATATATATTATATATATATATAATATATATGATATATATATAATTTGAAGCACAAATATATATATATAATTTTGAAGCAAAAAATATTTCAAAAGTGCTCATGTGTTACTTTATTCTTTCATCTTTCTATTTTCCATTTTTTTAATAAAGTTTTAACTTTTTTCTTTTTTTACTATGATTTTTCTTTATTTCTAAAAATTTGGTCATTAAAATATTTTTAATTTAGAAATTAATTTTTTTTATGATAATAATCAACGTTTTTTAAATCTTTCTACAGTTTGAAAGGCCATTAAAATATTTTTTAAATTTAAAAATTAATATTCAATTTGTGATAATAACCAACATTTTTTAAATTTAATCTTATTTAGCTATATATTTTCCTTCTATTGTATCCTAATTTTCATTTGTATCTCTACCCCTCCTACTCTTTCCTACTAATGTTCTCATCTGATAATTTTTATGTGTTTTTTTTTACAGGTGGTAGAAAAGAGATGAACATAAAGAGCTCTCCATCAACCTAAATCTTAAATCACTCTCGGATTAAGTTTTCTTTCACTTTCTTTCTTTCCATTCTTTGAATTCTAAATAAGAAACTAAATTTTGTTTATAGGTTTCCTTTTAATCTTTGATCTTCTTTTCTCATTATTTTTTGAACTCTTATTTTCTCATGATTTAATTTCTCATTTTTTCGTCTTCTCTTTCGCTTTGGATAATTGCTTTTTTTTTATTTTCAATTTGCTTTGGAGGGAGTTTTTTTTGGGTTATCAATGTTATTATCATATATTGGATATTAAAATTAATCAATATTTTATAGTATATACAAAATTAATATTATTATCATTTCTCACTTCTAAGGAATTTCTAAAACTACTTAATTATAGTTTTGACATAATTAATAACGTATAAGACAATAAATTACTTCATCTTATAAGAAACCAAATAATTTGATCCAAAAACTCTTAGTTGGGCATTTTATAAAAGGTAATTATTTGCAATTTTTTTAATTAATTTCGTTGTTATTAAAAAAATCATATATTTAAATTGTTTATTATTTAGAATTTATAAAATAATTAATTAAATTTTTTATTTAGATATTGAGTTTTATATAATTAAATTTTGTTTTATTTAGATATTGAAGTTTTATATAATATAGATTTATAAATTCATAAATTTATAATTTAAAAACACAAAAAAATAAGACCAATTTTTTTTTTTAAATATTAATTAAGCACAAGAGTTTCTTAAAAATCCCTCTTTTTGAAATTTTTATTCTGACCCGTTTCTAAAAATTATATCTTCAAAATTCTTAAATTTCTTTTTCAATTTTTTTAAAATAATATATAATTAATAATTTTCTTTGCTAATAAAAATTTTTATTCTTTAATCTATTTAAATTATTATATTATTTGAAATTAAAACTAAAATATTTCTTATTTGGGAATTTGATAGATATGAATAATAATTTTTTTTTTTATTTTTTATGTTTCATAGAATAATATTTAATAATAATTATAGTTAATATTTTATTGTTAACTTAATTTAAATTTAAAATAATATTTATCTTAATATATTATCTATATTAATTTATTTTGGAAATCGTAAAAAAATTTTTATCTATATACTCATTTATGATAAGATACAGGTGTTTAAATTGGGTTTGAAAATTTTTAAATTTTATCTGAAACCTAGATAATTAAATTAATATTTTACTAAATTAAATTTAAAAAAACAATATTTTTTTTTATAGATTTCCCATATTGAATATTTGGACGTAAATTTTTTCATAAAATATTTTAATTGTTTGAATTGTAAACTTTAAAGCCTTTACTGAAACCTAAATATACTACTTCAAATTTTTAATTATTAATAATATTTATCTATATATTATCTATATTAATTTATTTGAATCGTAAAAAATTTTATCTATATACTCATTTATGATAAGATACAGTGTTTAAATTGTTTGAATTTTAAATTTTATCTGAAACCTAGATAATTAAATTATATTTTACTAATTAAATTAAAAACAATATTTTTTTATAGATTATCCATATTGAATTATTTGGATCGTAAAATTTTTTCATAAAATATTTTAATTGTTTGAATTGTAAACTTTAACCTTTAACTGAAACCTAAATATTACTACTTCAATTTTTTAATTATTTAAAATAAGTCAATGGCATTATAATTTCTATAACACACCCGTGTGGCACTTAGACTTAGCTTATAATCCAACTATAGAACTTATTTTGCAATGCATATCTAAGGATCCTGCACAATCGTGTGTGGGCTTGAGGCCTTAAGGCATCCTGGACAGCATAGATTGCCTGTACCGAAACCCCACTTCAAGACAGATGCGCAGCCTTTGGCCCTATAGCGTCGAGAGAGCTCCTTCTCTATGGAGACATCAGCCCCTCTTAATAGAATATGATGTTTGCATCCTAGTTCACTAGGGTTCGGTCCCGAATGCCGACCCCGGGGCGGTGGAGAGCATTATGCCGGGTCTCTCCTCTCATAGTCTTAGTCCAAATACCATTTAATATGCTATTTTCGTTTTCAATAACCTTACTTTATTTATAAGGTTATCATGGTATGACACCATGGATAGGGGTGTGTGATAAATTAAAGAAGTGATAATTTTTAATAGATAAACATTTAGTTAAACCATTCACCAAATACATAGACTTCGTGAAGGCTTATGTTTGGAATTAAAAAAATAAAAATTTCAATAGTATGAATTTGAAATTATTTGTCTTAAGGTGCATAAAAATAAGAGTAAAATTTCTTTTTTTTAGAAATATTTTATTTGCACTTTTCTACGGTGTCCCTTAATCGTAATCTGTGTGAATAATTAATATTGCAGTTCATACAATTTTTAACACCTTTGAGAGTGTCCATGGAAAAATTAAAATAAGAAAATTCTAGTTAATCTAAATTATCTAATTATAGGATAAATGAATTTTATACAACTTTGTAGATTGGATATCTAAATTTTTATATTTAGAATAAAAAAATGAATATTTTAATTTTATGAATTTTATTTTCTAAAATTCAACATAACTGAATCAAATTCTACTTCTCTCTCCCTAAAATTATAGTCCTAATTTCCTATTCAGATGCCTAAAACTAATAGTTCTATTTGTATTTTTAGGAATTTTTTAACCTTTTTTTCACAATACCCTTTTATAATAATCTGTGAATAACTAATATTGCTAAATAGGGGAAAACAAATTTTAAGATAATTAATTCTATAATTTTGATATATTTAACCATTCATTTTATTTTAAGAGTCTCAAAAGATGATTAATATATAATTTTTGACATCTTTAATGATATCTATAGAAAAGTAAGAAAAAAAATTATAGTTAAATTAATTTAACTAATTATTCTTAAACTATATAAAAAATATTCGGACTAAATTTAGGAAAAAAAGTGTATTAAAATAAACGGAATTTTCAAATAAATTCAATAGAATTGAACAATGAAAATTTTTATGATAAAATTTACTTATTAGGAGAAATCCAGTTATTTTTTAACTCAAGAATATGAATAATTTTTTTATAAATAAATGTCCTTATATATTAATTTGAATATAATTTTGGATAATTTATATTTTTCGCATACGAAAAAGTGTAGTCGCAGGTACTTCGATCTCCATCAGTTCTGTCTCAAAGGATAGTCACAAGTCACTCTTGCAAAGCAATTCTCTAGTTTGGTAAGGCTTCAACTGTAACAATTCGTATAATTTCTTGTATGAGGAAATTGATACGCAGTCCTAATCATTGTAGAATTCCGAAGAAAAAAAAAAATACTTAAAATTAAAAGCTCCTTTTGCTAATTATGATCGGATTTATTCGTGGAAGTTATGGTTTTATGAGAAGAGAATCGATTCTGTTATTAGCATTAATTGATTTTGATGGGTTCATTCGTTGAATTAAAATTAAAATTATTCAATTTCTCTGTGTTGTGTTGTTCTTCTATTGAATTAGATTCACAAGGAGAGGAATGGAGGCGGGAAGGAGCCCTGCAATGAGAGTCCAGATCTTAGCAGAAGCGGACATAGCAGAGATCCCTTGCCAATATATTCAACCCCCTGAAAATCGACCCGTCATTGTTGGCGATAGTAATGAGAATATTCCGGCGATAGACCTGTTTGGGTTGGATGGAGAGCACAGAAAATCAATTAGGAAGGCAATTGGAGAGGCTTGCAGGGAATGGGGTGCATTCCACGTGATCAACCACGGAGTACCCACTCAATTATTGGACCAGATGAGAAGTTTGAGCTTGTGCTTCTTCAGTGATTATCCATTTCAAGATAAGCTAAAGTACGCATGCGATCCCTCTTCCGCAGCCTCCGAAGGATATGGGAGCAAGATGCTGGTTGATAAAGACAGCGTCTTGGACTGGAGGGACTACTTTGATCACCACACTCTGCCCCTTTCTCGCCGTAATCCTTCTCGCTGGCCTCACTACCCTCCCAATTACAGGTGATTTTCCATTTTTTTTGGACTATTCAACTTTAGTTGGACTTTGAGTTCAAATTCTTTGACTATTTGGTCAATGGCAGAGAAATCGTAGGGAAGTATAGTGATGAGATGAAGGTGCTAGCTCAAAAGCTTCTGGGTCTGATCTCAGAGAGTCTAGGGTTGCCATCATGTTGCATTGAGGATGCAATAGGGGATTTCTATCAGAATATTACCATCAGCTATTACCCTCCATGCCCTCGGCCTGAGCTTACACTTGGTCTCCAGTCCCATTCTGATATGGGTGTTATTACTCTATTGATTCAAGACAACGTTGAGGGTCTTCAGGTTTTCAAAGATTCTCAGTGGGTGACTGTGCACCCTTTATCTGATGCCATTGTTGTCATCCTGTCTGATCAAACTGAGGTACTCCTTTTCCAACCCTCATCATCATCTGAGTGTTTTGGGTATTATTCTTTTCTTGTACTTTCATCTGCTTATCTGCCGCTTCCTAATTGGTTAGCTTTTAGATGTTGAATTCAATTTGAAGAGTTCCTTTGTTTGAATAGAAATTTGTAGATCGCGAGGGGGAATTATCGCTTAAGAGGTGGGAAGTTTACTCTCATAAGAGTATTCTCTGTAATCTGCCAAGTTTTGTATCTCTTTGCTCTATCGTGCCTCTTTTGTTTGATTAGTTGTGGAGTTCTATCCTACAGATTGACAATTTGAGTATGGATTGTTAACTCTAAAAGGGGTTGGAGCTCTGAGGTTGGATTACTTTGGTGGTTAAGATAGATTATGGGGGATTTATGAAAATCCCACGTGAAATCTGTAAAATAATCTATTTTTCGTAGTGTCTTTGAAGATAGGTAATGATTATTTTATTCTTTTTGGGGCATGATATTTGGTGCACTGCTTACACTCTAAAGTGTCATTGTGGCTGAACTTTATGAGTTTGAAAGAGATAATATCCCAGATAAATTCTTGCATGCAATCTTTCTTGGATGATGTTGGTTGGGTTGTATCTTTGGTTAGCTGTGCCCATTATTGACCATTAGAAACCATTTGCACAAGATTACAATGGAGATAAATAATGCATATGATATTTGATGCAGAGCAGAAGGTTTAATTGTGCCTATTTTGAGGTGAAGATGTTAAATGTTGATAGAGGCCACACGGGAATGCAAGAGGAATGTATTTGAGAGAGGAGAAATCTCTCTGGTCTTGTTATGATGCTATGTTTTTTCATTTCAACTTCTATTTATATTGCGCCCCGCATATTACACAGTTTTTTATTGAAGCATGAAGCCTCGAACTGCTTTACAACGTCCTGGCCTGCACTTCAAGCAGAAGTCAATTCCAAATTATGCGTGATGTTCTCTATGCTGATAGCTAGGCAATCTTGTGAATTTTCATCACGGTTTAATCATTTTCTATGAGGAATCGTATTACATTGAAACAAATAGACGGTGACTTTGTTGTTGTGTCTTGCTAATGGGATCATTTTTCTTGCAGATAATAACCAATGGGAAGTATAAGAGTGCTCAACATCGGGCCATAACTAATGCCAGCAGGGCTCGACTTTCAGTCGCAACATTTCATGATCCAGCCAAGACTGTGAAAATATCCCCTATTTCTGAGCTTATCAGCAAATCATGCCCTCCTAGATACCATGAGGTTAATTATGCAGATTATGTGTCATCATGGTACAGAAAAGGGCCACAAGGAAAACGAAACATTGATGCACTTCTGATTAATCATTGACCGTCTACAATGCCTTATGTTTAAGAGGACGCATTAGTGGCTCCCGTTATTTTTCTTTTGTAAATTCAGTTTGTATCAATATACTTTTAATTATTTTTTGTCAATCCGAATGATTGCATAAGATCAATTCTAAAAGTGATTGGATTGGATAGTGGGATTTCTAATGCCTCAGGGGTAACATTTAGCATTGTGTTGTGCTACAGAAATGGTGAACAGAAAAGATATCTAAATCGATTTCCTAATGCCAGCATGTATTCACTTACAGAATGAAGTAGTCAGGGACCACCCTATTTAGTAATTATAGTCAAGTGTTGTTCGCCTAAAATTTACTCGCATGAAGCAGCAAAACGCTGGTGTACTCCTTTTCCATAAATTATCCAGTGAATTATATTACTTTAACCTTGTGGTATTTTAATTTACAAAATTATGTTACTTTAATCTTGTGGCATTTTAATTTTAAGGGAGATTTATTGTATCTTTAAAATTATAAATTTTAATAATGATATACACTTTTTATATTAACAATACATTTTAGAATTTTTAGCTTTTATATGCAAAATATTGATTTGATATGTGGGTATCATAACTTTTAGAATAACAGTTATCACATATTTAATCTAATTTTATAAATTAATGTGTTTAAATAAAATGGTTTTACAAAATTCAAGTGTTTAATAGATATAAAAGTATTTGATAAGTGAGAATGAAAAGAAGGATGTTGCGAAATTAAAATTGGTATAAAAGAAAAATTGATTCTGCATACTTGTGTTACATTGATATATTATAAAAAATAAATCAAAATCTATTTTAATATAGGAAAAAAATAAATTGGTCAAATTAGTATATGAAAATAGAAATTATAGTTCCTTTATGTCAATTGACTGAGAAATTGGTCTCTAAATTGTAGTCAAACTATAATTTAAAAACCTCATAGTTTTATGATTTAAAAAAACCTCATAGTTTTTAAACAAAGGTTTTCATGTATTAATTTGACTATACCTAAAATATTTTTTTCCCTTTTCATATATCATAAATATTGCTATTTTTAAAATTTTTATTTGCAACATGAAAAGGAATACAACAATGTTTTTTAATTATTTTAGTGTTCACTATATAGTTATCTTAATTTAAATTATAATATAAATTTAAGACAAGTTCATCTCACAAAGATAATTTTAATATATTTTCAATTTATATATAAGACACTTAGCTTGTACGTAGCAGTCATGAAACATAATTCCAAAAGAAATAAACAATATCCCCGAATATTTAGTAAATTAATTGGTAAGAAATAGGGCTTCCCCCAATGTCCCAATATGAAAAACATTTGTGCCTGAAAAACCCACGCAAAATGGAAGAAGCAACGAATTTTGATTAGAAAAATACGCGTTTGCTGAACAAATAGATTACATAAAAATAGCAGCAAAATAGTTCGGTTTAAAATGGAAATCATTGCAATGAACAAAAACATTGCAAAAGCAAACTGGAATAAATAATGTTCCACCAATATCAGAGCTCCGAAAGAATTGCAGGGATGTAATGAGACAATTCCGCTGTTAGAGACTGAAATCCATTCACAAGTTGCGTGTGGAAATCCTGGTCTTCCTCTCCAATTAACCTAAAGTGTACGCGAATGGCACGCTTACAAACAGCCATGAACTCTAGGAGTGCAGCAATGAGTTGTTGCAGCTCTTGTGAGCGTAATCTGGTAGCAGGCTCACCAGATAGGAACGCAGTGCAGACACTCAAAACTCCACTATTTACCTGCACATATGCAGTTTACCATGAGATAAAACATCTCCTTGGTGACAAAAGAGAATTGTTAAAAGACGCAAGTTGCATTAACCTGGAGACACATCAAGAATACAAAAAAGCTCTGTAACTTACCTGAACTGCGACACTGCCCTGAAGAATTCTCTGCAAACTCTGGAGGCGTGGGAGCTGATCCCCTTCAGAACTGCGAGGCTCTTCAAGTTCATTTCTTAAGGCAGCTGTCCGAGTTTCAATCATCCCTATTGCATTCTCCACTGGGGAGAACTCCAGAGATTCAGATTTTATCACCAAAAGCCTATTCACAAGGGCAGGGAAAGAACCTTCAGTCTGAAGAACAGTCCGCCTTTTCCATTGGTCTTCCAAACCACCCTGTGTCTTGCCATTTTTTGTAAATGGGGTGTCAAACAAGAAGCGGTCAAAGACTCGTGCACGGACGCTTCCAGTGGATAGAGAGAAAATTCTTTCCCGTCTACTTCCCAAATCTTCGTCCTCCATTACTGGATCAACAGCGGTAATCTGCAGGTAGCAGACTCCAGGCTGTAATTCATCTGCCTTTACTTGTCTAGAATCAGGAATAATGTGCAAAGTGTGATTGCCATCCATCCTAGATTCGTAAATATGACTTAACTTCTCCATTATGTCACCCAGCCGTACATCACGGGGTTCTCGGTATACATATTCCTTCCTGTCCAGTTTCCCAAATCTTTCACCATAGAATCCTACCCTATAGTATGTTGCATCAGTGAATGGAATTGGGCTTGATTCCTGCTCAAGGATTGATTCATAGATATTAGTGAGTAATGTATGGCTTTTAGCCAGCTGTCCGTATGCCCTCCTGCTTTTATAAACTGGAATGACGAGTTCCAGAATGCTTGCACAGAAATGAAAGAGCTCAGCTTGTGAGAAAAGCTTATTTGCAAGCTGTAGATATTTTACAGCAGAGTCAACAGTAAGCTTTGAAGCACCATATCCTTCTACCTCTGCAGCAGATGCCTCCGAAGAGATCTCACTGCTTACCATTGGACAAATTTTACGCAGAGCAGTTACATGATCCTTGCTCCAAACACCATCATTTCTAGTCACAAGGGCCTACATGGATGTAATTAAATATTACTTAACCATCATTACATGATCAATGAAATCACAGATAAAAGTGAGCTCCACAGCATATCAAGTAACAGAACAAACATTATGGAATAGTAACACAAAGGAATTGCTTTAACTTAAAATTCCTTAATGCCTCAGTTAGCTCCTAAAATACACCATTATGTAATAGTCAACTTTGGGAAAATAAAGGATTACCTATTCAGCCTCTTAGGTTTCAGGCACAATTTCTCCGGTAAGGCAATCACTTCTAGAGCAATTATGAAACAAGTCCAGACTGTTTCTACCTTCAATCGCCATAATTCACTTCTTTTTTGTGACAATATGAATTTAACAACAGATATATAGGACGATAGATGATAAAGTTGGGAGTTATTTCCATGTATTAACCTGGTCGATTTTATATAGAATATAAGCAGAGAAATACTATTAATTTTTCCTTTTGAAAATTGTAGATCAGTAAATTACCTGCATTACAACACCAGCCACAGCCACAGCACACTGTGCAGCTTCTGCCCAGGACTGCATTTCCTGATGAGCATCACATAAATGCAATAACCACATTATGTGCAGATCAGGAACAGGTGCAAATGCCATTGCAAGTTTATAGTAGCTTTCTGCAGCGGCATATCTATCGATAGTCATCACAGAAGCCTGTTGAAGAAAATGCAGCACAAATTATAATATCAAAGCAATAGTACTTATTCACCCAGATGACATGAAGTTCTTTCCCAGAAAAGTCCTGGGAGGATGATGCCCTTTCCTGAATTATAAGAACTTGAGTTAGACCAAGCCAGGAGTTGCAATACAATGGATTAAGCGGAGAGGACACATTGATATCCCTGCTTAATTTATATATCCCATTGCAGTCTTGCTATTGCAGATTGTGTTACCTAAATAAGCAATTGCATGATTCAAGATGATTTGGATACTGTGCAAACTTACCAAAAGTGCATGTTCCAGGCTAGCATCAAGGGCAAGGATTAGACTGTCAGAGAGATATTTCACCTCTGACCAGGACCAGCGATTTTCTACTGATGTGTCCAAAATTGCCACAAGTGCATTTTCAGGTAGACCAGACTCCATTAATAGGTTGGTGCTCTTATATTCATCTGCCATTTCCTCCAAAGACTTGCGAAGGCGTCGTGCTTCACCACTCTCTTCCAGTGTTCCATCGGACTTCATCTGAGTCACTTGCACATCGGACATCAGCTCTGACAATGTGATAGTTAACATAACCCGCAACCTTGCTGTTTGCATAAAATAATAGAAAGAGCTCTGCAGAAATGAAAGAAAAAGAACTTATGACAAGAACAATGTAAGACCAAGAACCCAAAATGGAAGAGAGCCTACCCTCACAAGTATCTGGAGTCCAACGACAGCTCTTGTTCTGATGCTTCCATTTCTGAATACAGCAAGCCGAAGAAGATGGAAAGCAACCTGCTTTAAAAACCGATCATTCTCCCTGGCCATAAGGGTTGCCCCGTGAAGATCAAATACACAGTAGAAGACAGGAAACAGAGCTTTCCAGAAAGCCAATGGTTGATTTCGAGAGAAGAAGCTCATAAATATGGCTGTCATGCAGTCAAGTTTTCCATAATCGGTAGCAATGCTATGGGATGCTGACATCAAGGAAAACTTTTCAGTTATTTCCAGGACCTGAAGACTGACAGAGGCACTCAAGTTTTCCTCCCAAAGCTCCTGGAGTAGTTTTGAAAGTTATCAGCTTCCTGAATATGGCTTAGCATATGCAGAAAGTAAAATGAAAACTGAAAAATATGTCAAAAATAAATAGCAACTGTTGCATTACAGAATACATAAGCAAATGCATGTGAGATTTCTGTAGGAAATTACCAGTTTTTGTCTCAATATTGGATGCAAAGATTCTCGAAGTGCTTGGGCTGAAGCTCCGATTCTTGAGGATTGTGCCTGAGCAAGAGCTTCTCTCAAGGAATATGGTTGGCTAGGAGAGCTTAACTGGGAATTTACTCTCTGCCACAAATATCCGTTATCAGGTGTTCCCTGAGTCTGCATAGAGAAATTCAGAATTTATGTGGAAAAATAAAATACCAGTTCTCCAAAATTGATGGGCAAACTTTTAACAGAAAGAAACACCATTAAAGACATCAATGTTGAGGTGAAACCAAAAAGTAGAAAGAAAAATTAACTCACTCTAACTTCTTGTCGTGATGCCTCAGATAGATAGTTATTAATTGCAGGAGAAAGCCTATCAGAGTACTTAGGGGAAGAAGGTCCATCTGTGACAGGACTGCGAGAGCTAGAGCCC